TCCGTACGTGAATATCTCAACACCACAACAAGCTATTGCAGTGCACTATAGCTTAAATTAATCCTCTACCTCTACTGCATCTTTCTTGCATGTCCGTTTGTTGTGCCCTGGCTCACCACACTTCTTGCAGCATCGAATGACCCCTACACTAGCACCCACTTGCCCTCTCTCCTCACGTCTCTCTGCCTCAAGCTGAGCCTCAGCATTCCTCTGAGCTACTATCACCTCTGCTTCTGCCTGCGATAGGGTCCTTCCCCTTTGAATCCATTTTTTCTTACGCTTTTTACGTTCAGAAGCTGCCTGGCAGGCCTGCTCAAGTTTAATGATCCTAGCAGCCATCAACACCTGTGAATGTGCCATCAATTCTGCCCCTTTTTTAAACTGCCTCACCATCTCAATAATCGACGCTAGCAAGGAGCTCCGGTGCCTTCGAATCCGGCTAAAGATAAGTGTTGATTGAGCATCTATCTCAACTGCATTGCTTGGTGTTTTAGGTTGCCAGATGGGGCCTGGTAGAGCCGGTGATGGGATACGAGGCTTTGTTTCAAGCTTTGATAGCACCACCTCTGGAATGTGTAGAACTAAACCAGTTGCTCTAAAGCTTGATATAATGTTTTCCTTTGAAAAAGCCTTATCAAAAACATTAGAAAAGGTAGTTAGGAAGGCTTTCTTATCGATATGATTGATGTAGCAGTTTGCCAAGACATTGATTTCCTTCTTGTATGCCTGCTTTAGGGGAGCAAAACACCCTACATCGAGCGGCTGTAGGATATGGGAGGTATGTTGAGGCATACAGAGGGTGATAATCTTGTTCTCCTTACACAGTTCCTGGAAGGCAAGCGACTTGTAGCTCTCATGGCCATCAAGAATCAGCAGCCAGTGACTACCAACTGTCCGAGCCTTAGTATGCTCGATAAAGTGGTGTAACCAGGCTAACCCAAGCTCATTTGTTGTCCAGCCATTGTCACTAACATCTATCCTCCAGCTCTTAGGGTTGTGGTACCAGGCCTGGTCGTGGTGCTTTGCCTTGAAGATCAGGAAGGGTGGAAGTAGCCAGCCCTTGGCGTTGATAGTAGTAATCAATGTTGTCTACTCGTGGTCATCAGGCTGCACCTGCAGTGGTTTCAGTCACCTCTCAGATGCCGTTACTACTTTTACTGTCCCTCCAACACCCATCTGGAAGCCAGTCTCATCAAAGTTGTAGGTGTCTTCGTCCAGGATACTGTACTTGGCTTTGGTATTGCGTACAAGGTTAAACCAGGGACCAATAATCGCAGGATCGCTACATTTAACTCTCTGGTGATCGCGAAGTCTGGTTATCTGAGATTTAATCTCAGGCTTCCGGTGGACAAGGTTCCTAGCCCATTTTTCTCCAACCTTCCCACCATCACACGTAGCCAGCAGTTGATCAGCCATATCATGTACGTCACCAAGTGTAGAGGCAGATCCTCGTGCATCAAGCTTCCGTATATGTTGGACTATTGTCTCCTCCTCGTGCTTAGTGAGCTTTGAAGAGTTGGGATGGGTATCACGTCGGGCAGCTGTTCTAGCGCGTCGGTCACTAAGTGTGCTTTGAGGAACATCATAGAGAGCAGCAGCGTGTCGCTGGCTTAATGACATGTTGGATTTCATCGCTTGGATAGCAAGGATAATCCTATCCTCACGAGGGAGCGATTCAAGATCAGGTTGTTGAGACATTGAGATAGGTGATTGAAAGAGGTGTGATCTTGGCAGGGTGAACGACTCGCTTACCTGACCGACTCGCTTGCCGCTCACGTTATTCTAACTTAGATTAGAAGTACTAGGGGTTGTTTAGTTAGACGTGGGAGGAGGCAGTAAAGCGAGGAGGTGCGTGGCGCGGGTAGGGCTTCTTTGGGCAGTTTGAATTTTGGCCGGATACCTGCTAATAGTCCACCGTATCCTCGCCAACCAAACGTAGGCGCAGAGCGATGTCTCTGCTTGGCGTTGAGGACGAACAACAAAATAGACAGAGGATACAACAGTAACTAGTTAGGAAGTGCTAAATAGCTTCTGCTCCGCTCCATGTGCAGAAACATGATGTGTTTCCTTAAGGGTGCTGTTTTATTGTATTATATTCTGGTTACACATATACACTAAGCTTAATGAATAGCGTGCACAAAAAGTGATGGTGACGCTCGATGGCGACCGTTACCTTTCCCAAGGTTGCCAAACTCAACATCGTCTTTAGCCTCCATCGGGATCTGGTGCTTCTGCTGGAGCGGTTGCGAGTTAGTTACTATACGCAGTCTGACCATGTACCTCGATTTCTGTGGTATTCCTGTGGTCTTTCTGCAAGTACCGTCTCTTCCCATTCGTTGAGGTGCGCAGGTGATTTCCGGCTGCAACGATAGACTGGCACGCAGTGCACAAGACATCGAAGTTAGGTTCCATAGTCGTGTTTGTACGCGTTCACATTCTGTTTAGTACGCTACGACCGTCTCCGTTCCCGTAGCACTTGAACCGATCTGCTGACAGTCAAAGGTACACCCCGAGTGGTGAAGCAACGGAGAACCCGCAACGCCCTTCTGGTGTCTTCTTCAACCGTCGTGGATCCACATCCAACGAGGAACCAATTGCCTTCGATGTCAGGGGGCACAGCGTTCGCTCCAGGACGCGATCCGCACCACGTTGCCACAGTGGATGGCTTTTGACCGCAGCCGTGCTCTTCTACTCAGTACGACATGCTGCTGCCCATATCACACGGCGAAGAAATGTTTCCGTTGCCAGTTAAATCACGCAGCGGTGGAGAGGTTTTGAGTTTTGCGTCTCCATATCCTTCGTGGCAGCCAATAATAATCTCGCCCTGCATGGTTAAGGGATCTGATCCGCGCTTCTATTCCTGGCTCGGGACATTGGCAGGACAAAGTCAACGTCACCCATCCAGGATTCAAAACACCAGCAAACGGAGATTCTGGTCCCACTCCTGCCAAGTCACAGAGTCCCAACCAGATGGCGACGACGCTGCATTTTGTGTCTTTGCGCGGAAAAGGGGACCTGAAAGTGCACCGAGCTTGGCCGATGTGTACCTGCATTTGCCACACACTGTTGCGGCCATTCCTGCATTCCCCCTGTTTGTGAAATGGCCGAGCGTGCTGCATAATAAAGTCCGCAACGTCGCCCACCTCAGCAAACGTTCCTTTTTTACCTCACATTCGTTCTCTCTGCATACTCTCGTTTTTTCTTGAAAAATTTATCTGCTCTCTCTTTGAGAATTGTCTTTCGCTACCCACCTTCGCTTGTTCATTGTCTACTCGTTCATCAAACCCATAATGCGTTTCCTTTCCTCTGTCCTCCTCGCCTGCACGGCGCTGCTCTCCTCGGTCGAGGCCCAAAACGGCTACAAGGGATTCAACTACGGCGCCTTCTTCAACAACCAGCAAGCCAAGCGCAGAAACGACTTCGCCTACGAGTTCAACGCCGCCAAGCAGCTGCCCGGCACGAACGGGGGCTTCACCAGCGCACGCCTGTACACCATGATCCAATGGGGCACCCAGAACACCGTCATCGAAGCCATCCAGGCGGCCATCGATACCAAGACGACCCTTCTGCTGGGAATGTGGTGCTCGTCGGGCCAAGCCGCGTTCGACAACGAGATTGCAGCGTTGAAGGCGGCGATCAAGCAGTACGGCAAGGCCTTCACGGACCTCGTCGTCGGCATCTCCGTCGGAAGCGAGGACCTCTACCGCATCACGCCTACCAGCATCCAGAACGGCGGCGGCCCCGGTGCCCAGCCGCAGGAGCTCCTCCACTACATCCAGCAGACCCGTGATGCGATCCGGGGAACCGCTCTCCAGGGCAAGCCCATCGGCCACGTCGACACCTGGACCGCCTACGTGAACGGCAGCAACAGCGCCGTCATCTCGGCCCTCGACTTCCTCGGCGTGGACGCGTACCCGTACTTCCAGACCACCATGGAGAACAGCATCGGAAACGCAAACAGGACCTTCTACGATGCGCTCCAGGCCACCATCAACGTCTCGCAGGGCAAGCCCGTCTGGGTCACCGAGACGGGATGGCCCGTCACGGGTCCTACGCAGAACCAGGCCGTCGCTTCGGCTGAGAATGCGCGTGTCTACTGGGAGGATGTGGCGTGCAGTCTGATGGCCAAGAATGTCAATTTTTACTACTATATGCTGCAGGAGGCGCAGTATGGGAACCCGAGCCCGGACTTTGGTATCAAGGGGCCTGGGGATCTCATGCAGATTCCGACGCGCTTTGATGTCCGCTGTTAGGGAGATGGAAATGGGCTTTAGAAGAAGAGTTGGATATGCCTCACGGCCGTAGTAATCATAGTGCTCTAGAATAGCATGGAAAGTTCAGGTCCGTTTTCTCGACACTTTGCATTCGTGAGATTCGTATGTGCCCACACACTCTCGTAGCTAGGTCCCACTCGCCCGCGTAAATACAATGTAGAACCTAAGTCCTATCATTTCCATCAAACATCCTCGTCCAAAACCCCCGAAAATGCCTCCCCCTCCCCGCCTCATTAACCTCATCAACCTCCCTCGGCGTCAACTTGAACCGCGCCACGCGCAAATAATCGCTCAGCCTCTGCTCCTTGCCACTCGTCGTCACAGCCACGACATCCTGATCGATGCACCACCGCAGACTCACCTCCGCCTCACTAACACCGTACTTCTTCGCCAGCGCCTTCAGAATACCGTCTGCGGGCCCGGGTTTCGCTTTCGTGGCTGCCGTCAGCGGGGCGTATGCTACGGTCGCGATGGCGTGGGCTTTGTGCAGGGCGAGCAGGTCCGGGTGTTGGAGGTAGGGGTGGAATTCGATTTGGTTGCATGCTGGGGGGATGCGGGCGGTTTGGAGGATGGTGGAGAGGTGGGCGGGGAGGAAGTTGGAGACGCCGATGGATTTGGTGAGGCCTAGGTGTTTGAGGTTTTCCATTGTGGACCAGGCGGTTTGGAGGTCGGTGGGGGTTTGGGCCCAGAAGGGGGAGTGGATGAGGTAACTGTTTAGGGGAGGGTAGGGTGTTAGTGGTTTGGTTGTATGGAGTTGTGGATTCTGGGTATGCTTTGAGATGGTTTTTGGATATGGACTTTTTGTCTCGAATTCGACATGGATGGACTGGGGGAGACGGAAAGGGGAGAAGAGCCAGAACGAGAAGAAGGCAGATATTTAGATGCGTATATCACCAATAAGAAAAAGACTCACAGATCCACGTAATCCACTCTCAACTTCTTCAAGCTCGTCCGCAGCGCCTGCTCAATGTCGCAGTCCCCCCTGGCCAGCTTCGTGACGACGTACAGTTAGTTCCTCGCGGGCCACACCGCTCTCCTGGATGGCGATGCCGAGCTCGGTTTCGGTTTTGTACACTATAAGTGACAAAGAGTCAGATGGATCCTTTTCCCATTCTTTCCTTTTATTCTCTTTTCTCAATCGCACGGATATTTGGGACGGGTGTGTACCCTAGCTATAGGTATAGGAACGGCGAAGCCTGCCTGCAGTGCAGCACCTCGCCTCCTTTACTCAACTCATCATCCCGATTTCATATCCTTTGATATCGAGCTTCTTCCCCTCCCTACGTCTTGCCCCCAAATCCAAGAAAGAAAAAGAAAGAAAAACTCACTCTCCGCACCGTCCAAATGCCGAAACCCAAGCCGTATCGCCGTTTTGACTGCATCGACGACGGCAGTGTCGACCCGGGCCTCGTCGCCCGTCTTGTACCATGCCGTGCCCGTGCCGTAGGCCAGCATGGGCATCGAGGTGCCGTCGTTGAGTTTGAGCGAGGGGATGGGGGTGGGTTGGGGGCCGGGGATGTCTGCCATTGTTTCTCTTTGCGCTTTTCCCCTTTTTTTGTTTGACGGGGTACTTGGGTGGTCGTTGAATTGGGTTGGGGGGCAAGTGGGGAGAGGAGAGGGGAGGGAGAAGAGGGAATTGCGTATATGGTATATGAATACGATTGAGTGGAGGAAAGAAGAGAAGATTAGGTTTCGTGGTTCTTTCAATATCACAGTACTACTTGGTGTCTTTCTTATGTTGTTAAGGTGCAACTCACTGTTCTTCCCTTCCCAGCCGACACAGCAAACAAGACTCTAGGTAGAGCTAAAGGTGGGGTACAGTGACGCCATCATCGACCTACTCAGGTACGCCAGCAGGCACTTCTTTTCCGACAGGCAATGCCAATTCCGCGGTCCTACCTGGAACCGGATTTCATGATATACTGTAAGTAGCGTGGATACTCTGCCAATCAACAACGTATTATAGTCGGTAGTGTAATCCGCGTCCCCATCAATCACTTCCTCCGAGAGCCGAAGAGCATCATCGCATACATACACATCGCACAGCACAACACCAAAACAACGCACATATCGAACCACGCCCACTCTCTGCACAATGCCATCGCACAGACACCTCTCCCTCATTACTCAGGGCGAAACACCAAGAAAACGCCAAAAAGCTTGTTTCTTTCACCCCGTCACGCCCTGCACAGCATAGCACAGCATAGATTTCACCGCAGAGCGCCATGGATATCTGATCCAAGGAAATATTACGCAAGATTGTGAGGTGGTATCCTACAGTAGTCTTTCTATACAGGAGTCCCAGGAAAAGAAGAAATAAGGAAAATGGTCCAAGTGCGTTGTGCAAAAAGTCGGGGATGAATACATCGGCAGGCCGTACTAACAAAAGTCGACCCGCCTGATTATCCTACACGAGTTTCTTTCATGTGTTTGATTGATTTCTTGTTGTGTTGGATCTATCAAGGGTTGGCAGTACCCCTTATTACGACCCCCTCCGCCCTTTTTGCCTTCTTGCATGCAAATATCATTAAATTACTTTGCCCCAATGGCACACATCTATGCAGACTTCTCGTGTTGGGTAGAGACACGCTGTAATGAGACAACTGCAACAATAATTAGCATTCAGCATGGAGAGCAGCGGATTGTGGTGATGCTTACCGAAGTCTTCCAGGGACCGCTGCTTCTGGTCCTTCTTCCTGATCGACTTGCCGTGCATGAGGTTATCGAAGCCTTGGCTGCCCTGGAGGAGGTAGTAGACACCGCCCATGACGCAGAAGACACCAAAGGAGAAGATCCAGATACGCACGACGGCGACAATGGACGTCTGGCCACCAACAAACCAACCGAAGATACAGAACAGGGTGGCGATGATGTCGACGACCAAAATGGCGCCAGAGAGCTGCCACGACGGGATCGAGGACCAGAAGGGACCGTTGGCACGGGTGATGAAAATCAGCCAGTTCTCCGTCAGGGAGATCTCGAGGAAGAGAACCTCGTCACGGACACCAAAGTTCTGGACGATACCACCGCTGACACCCTGGCCGGCGGCGTTGGGAAGATCCTGGTAGGGGAACATGGTCGTGAGGGTGATCCAGGTACCGACAGCGAGGACGACACCGAGGAGGACGGACATACCCCAGAGCTTGGGCAGGTTCCACTTGACGGGCGTCTTGCTGAAAGGCGCGTTGTCGTAGGCGATGGCGAGGGTAGCGATATCAGCGAAGATGGCGATGAAGACGACCAACTCGAGATTGAGCGAAGTGTTCAGGATGGCGATCCAGAGACCCAAGAAGATTTCCAAGTGAAGAGACAGGGCGATACGGTAGACGACGTAGGCGTACATGCGGTGGAAAATCTGGCGCGAGGTCTTGAGCGCATCGATAATGGCGGAGAGACCAGGAGCAAGGAAAACAATATCGGCGGCAGAGCGAGCGGCATCGGAGGCGCCCTCGACGGCAATACCCGTATCAGCCTTCTTCAGCGAAGGAGCATCGTTGACACCGTCACCAGTCATAGCAACGAGGTAGCCACGCTGCTGCAGGATTTCGACGACATTGTACTTGTGTTGCGGGAAAACCTCGGCGAAACCGTCGGCAGCCTCGACGAAATCGTAGACCTCAGAACCGGGCATCTCACCGCCACCACCAAGACCAAGGCGCTCAGCGTTGTAGACGTTGGTACCGAGACCGAGCTGACGAGAAGTCTCCCTGGCAATACCGACGGCATCACCAGTCAACATCTTGATGGACAAACCGAGAGTCTTTGCCTCGTTGATGGTGCGGGCGGTATCGTGACGAGGAGGGTCAGAGCAAGGCATGATACCAAGGATTTCCCAGGAGTTGTCACCACGCTTGCGAGCGACACCAAGAGAGCGGAAACCACGGGTGGCGAACTCGGCGACCTTGTTCTTGTAGGCCTCATCGATGGCCTCGGGGATGGGGTGATCCTCCTCGACAGTCTTAAGAACGAAAAGCGGGGCGCCCTTGACGCAGATGATGCGCTCGCCCTGGGGGGACTCGACAACGGCCTGGACCTTCTTGGAGACGGGATCGAAGGGGTGGAACTCAAGGACCTTGTACTTGCTGAGGACCGACTTGGCACGGGGATAGTACTTGAGCGCCTTCAGGAAAGCCTTATCGATGGCATCAATACCCTTCTTCTTACGGGAAGCGGCCAAGCAGGCAGTGAGCATGAGGTCCTCGGGCTCGACGCCGGCGACGGTGTAGGGCTCGGAGAGGGACAGCTTGTTCTTGGTAAGGGTACCGGTCTTGTCAGAGCACAGAATCTCGACACCAGCAAGAGACTCGATGGCGCTGAGCTTCTGGACGATGGCCTGCTTCTTGGCGAGGTAGGCGGCACCGACGGCCATGGTGGTGGTGACGACAGCGGGGAGACCGACGGGGACACCAATGATGGTGATGGCCAGGGTGAACTCGAGGATGTGGACGATGCCGTTGGAGCGGTAGAAGGAGCTGACCCAGACGACGAGAAGGGTGAGGATGACCAAGATGAGGAGAACCGTACCGATACCATTGAGAACCTCTGTGAAGTGACCGGTGCCGGAGGAGGCGCTGGCGACGAGGGAGGCAGCACGACCGACGAAGGTGGAGTCACCGGTGGCAGTGATGACGATGAAAGCCTCACCACGCTTGACAGCGGAAGAGGCATAGCAGACGTCACCCTTGTGCTTGTCGACGGCGAGCGACTCACCAGTGATGGCGGACTGATCGACCTGGAGGAAAGCATCTTCGGTGACGATGCGGCCGTCGGCGGGAATGATGGTACCTTCTTCGACCTGGAGAATATCACCAGGGACGACTTCGGGAGCCTCAACCTCGGTGAGGGCGCCGTTACGGAGAACAGTAGCCTTGAGAGCAAGGGTCTTCTTCAGTTCCTCGACGATGGAACCGGCCTGGAATTCCTGAACGAAACCAACGCAGGCATTGAGCAAGAGCAGGGCGCAGATGACACCAAAATCGACCCAGTCCTCAAGACCGGCAGCGAGGACGGCAGCAGCCTCCATGACGAACTGAATGGGACCAACAAAGTACATGAGGAACTTGAGAATCAGGTTCTCCTTCTCCTCTGCATGGCTAGTTAGCATCGCATACGAAGGCGACCATGCAGCAGGAATACGCACCCTTCATCTGATTGAGACCGTACTTCTTCCGGCGGGCCACGACCTCAGCATCGGTGAGACCGATGCGTGTGTCCGTCTGGAGAAGCTCCTCAGGGACGACGCGCGCACCGCCGGGCTGAGCGACCTCCTCCTCCTCGTAGTCAATGGCGGCATCTTCGGATTCAAGCTCTTCAATCAGGGCATCCATGTCCTCATCCTCCTCGTCTTCCTCGTGATCGGTCTTGGGAGGCAGGGCAGCAGGCTGCTCGGTGCCATACTCCTTCTTCTCATCCAGGTGGCCACTGGGGACGGACGTGCCGAGGTGGTTGGGCGGCACAGCGCCAGTGTTCTGGGTGAAGTCAGTCATGTTGTTGGGTTGCGCGCAGGGCCATTGACACGGCATACCTCGGCCATGGCGGGCTAGCAGCGGAAAGCTATACGGTGGCGATACAGGCGATATGGAAAAGGGTAAAAAGAAGGGGGTGGGTGACGCCGATTCAAAGTCTCAGATGAGATTCAAATCGACAACGTTGAGCCTGCAGGAGAAGGAGGAAAAGTCAGCCAGGCTTTGGTTATATAGGGCGGGCGCGCAATTTCATTGGCGGGTGGTCTGTGCGCTCGGGTCCGACGCTTCTCTCGAGCAAGAGGCCGAACAGGGCGATCGATCGGCCGTTCGTGGAAAAGCGGGCTTTCATGCGACAAGAAGTGACGACGACGTACCTTTTCGCACGGTGACAGGGCCGATTGAGGACGCAGACCTGTCTGCCCGTCGAGGAGCGCGAGGAGGGTGAGGGAGGGGGGACGGGGCGGATGGGAGGCAGACTCGATACGAAGATCAATCGAAGGCAAAACTCTGAAGGGAAGGGGGCGATGATGGAGGGAAGCTGGAGGGTCTTATAAGAAAACGGCAAGGCCGGAAGGAGGCCTGGCTTTGCACACAAAGTGACGAAAGTGGGCTCTCGGTGCGAAGGCGGACTCGCTCGCGGTTCGTTCGCCGATATGGCAGGGCGGGATTAAAATCCAGAGAGCGCTCTTTCTCTCTCCTTCTGCAACGTCTGTCACGGGAAGCGGGATGGACGGCCAACAAGCAGCACTTGAGCACACAACCCACACGGAGGCTGCGTGGGAGAGGCTTGAGCCGGGCCATGGTTGAGTGTCAAAACAACGCCGCCAGGGCCAGGGCCAGGGCTCTTGCCGAATCAGGCCTAGGGCGTGTCTTTGGTGATTGGCTGCTCGTCAGGGCAATTTTGTCCTGACCCACCCTCTACCAACAAGCTCCCTTTCTTGTCCCTTGAGCTAGCACTCCGACTATGTACCTGTACTTAAAATGAGGGTCCGCCCTCTCCGTGCTAGACTACCCAGATGCGCTGGAATAATTGCGCTCAGATTATTGTGATCGTTATGCGGCGCTTCTTGGCTGCGACTGCTGCTGCTTCTTCTTCTTGTTGCTCAGCGGTTCTCTGTTTCGCGACGAGGAAGCTGGAGACGGCAAGGGCGCCGAACATGGGTAGCTTCCGCACGAACCCCATGGCGGTGTGTGTCCTTCAGAATTTCTGCGGGCTCTCCCGCACGGCCTGCAAACAAAGGAACACTGGAAACATTTTGTGGAAACACTGTTGGCTGGACAAACATGCAGAATTTTTGTGTGGGGAAAACGACAACTCTCTTCGGCGCGCCATTATTTCATCCACTTTGCCTCCACTACTCCACCCTGCCGATGAGCGATATTTCTGCTTCTAGAAAAAAGTCTAAAGGTGGTGGCCGCGGTGCGGAGCGGATTCCGGCTTCCCTCTTCTTGCGCGATTTTCATTTTCATCAATAATCCGTGGGCACGGTGCAGCACGGCGCGCTATTTTCCCTGCCTTGGCTGGAATAACCCAGAACAGAAAAGACTCAGACGACAAAACCCTCTCATCCCTTTTTCGTCTCTTCCCCCATCTCCGCCGGCGCAACCCAGGATCCAGGCACTCTCATCACAAACTGTGATACAGAGAGGCTGGAAAGCGGTTTCACATATTGTCGGATTCATCGACCCTGGTGCGCCGTACCAGTAGGAACCCCACGCAGCATGCTGCACTTTCTGCAGCTGGGAGGCCGTCATCGTCGAGACTTCACCAACTAACTGACCAAGCCAACAGGTCAGCAATTGCGAGATGCCGCGCACGCCGGTGTGCTTTGCTTGTGCACGAAAAGAGCCTTGTGCGCGGAGAGACGCAATGGTGCCGTCATGAGCCCGGGATGCCATCAGCAGCAACTTCGATGCGTCGGTCGCTCGTGCTGACCAGGCTGAAAACCCCCCACACAAGTTTGTTCATCGGCATCAGCGTTTCGATTATTCTGCCGCGCCCGAAACGCTCGGATAACGCAACGTCAATCACAAACTGCACGCCGGGGCTCGGCACAATGCTTGTTCTGCCCGGATCGCCCAGCGCCAAGGCGTCCAAGGATGACATTTCCCCTGCCCACATTCACCACTGGCAGCATTCGGATGACATCGATGGCGTGCGGGGAAAACATTGGAATGCCGTGTGCTGCTTCCTAGCCTTTCAGTTGCACTGCAGAGTTTCGACATGATGGTTGTGTTGCGCAGAAATGCCCGCTCAACTGAGTATGTTTGAGCTTGCCGCTGGTGGGTGCGACTAAAACCTCGCTAGAACAGGAACGCCGTGTGCTCTCGACTCGGCTCGCCGTGTTGGATTCCTCGATCCGCGCTTTTCCATGCTTGCACGAGGCCCACCCACAACCTGGAAGCACCTCGGGACCGCTCGTGCTTCGGCCGCACACTTGGCTGTGACATCGGCCTATCACAAAACCGCCCTATCGCCAGGCCTGCACCCAATCACCGACCTTTCACGAGATAAGCGAATCGCCAAACGCGCTGTTCAATCTTCTGTCCGGTCTGGTCTGTGCGAGAGAAGGGCCGTTGAGGAAACACTGGCGTGGTGACGCCGACGGATGCGACAACTGCGATTTCAGGACTGATGTGACGACAGTCGAAGGTGCTTTATTTTCGTTTCATCCTCCGACGAGAGGCGCTGGCAGCTGCCCGTGGTGACCCCTTCCCAGAACCACAACAAATATCCTCTTTTGGACGCGGTTTCTGCAACCAGCTCCTTCCCTTCCACCGTTATTCAACCATCAATGTTTTCTTACCCTTCCTCCGGCCCACCCAACCTTCGCCTCCTCTTTTTCACCCTTCGTCTTCCTTCTCTCTCTCTTCCCATGTTCCAATAATTGGTCCACCTTGGCAAAGGTCATTACTTCTGCTCTGCATCTTCCACATGCCCATCTCAGGCTGGCCAAGCCTGTCCCATGACCGCCATGCATCTAGCACCAATAGTCCATCCTACGATCAATACCTTCCATACTGCGTACTCCGTAGACACGTTGGTTCAAGCCCAACCCTCATCCGCATCTTCTCCGTCCAGCCCTCGATCACATTTCCCGCCTGGTGCGATTATTTGAACATGAGTCTTTTTTTCTCCTGCTCTTGGGCACAATGTCGTGCCGCACCTGCAGCTTGCGGCTCGTTCTGGCTAGAATCGGACAACGCATCGTCGACGAGCAGACTCCACTTTTCAGGGGCAAGAATGGTCCCTTGATGGGGTTCCACCTGGACCCTTAGTCGAGCTGCACGACAGCCTTGGAAACGTGGGGAAGAGGCTCCAGGCGGCAGGCACGGGGCTTCCAACTCACGCTCTTGGCTATGCACTCGCCAAGGCATTCTGGGTTTGTACCGTATCCTCTGGATTGCGTACACTTTGAATGCGAACTTGGCGGGTTTGGCATCTTTATACATAAAGAGCCTATCTCTGGGCAGACGTCCTTGGCCATTGCCGGCGGTATGTAAAATGCCTCACAAGCTATTTATTTTAGAGTCGCCGCGAGGTGGTATTTTGTTGTGTAGATTAATTTCCGGATTCCCGCCGGGCATATGGACTGCTGCTCCACTTTCTTGCGCCCGCCTTGCAGATGATCCCATTCGAAAGGTCATGGTTTTTGATATCATATTACCGACACGCTGTACGGAGCTAGCATTTTGAATATGTATTCATCACGGAGCGCATGCACGAATTTGTTGGAAACATTGGAATTTCGTCTGCTGGCTGCTACTGGGCACCCTTATAGTGGGCCCAGACTACTCCATTTATTCTACTATCGGCACGCGACCATTTTCTGGCTCTGGTTGGGATATGGTGCGAGTCCCCACTGTGGAATCTGGGGTATACTCGTTGCCAATGCTTTCTGCAGGGGTGGGCTACCATCTGGTGCTCCCTGAGTCGAGGCAGACCTATGAGAGGTAAAACCTGGATTTACTTCTTCGTCGACCGGAGTTGCGTTGCTCTGCGTGTCGGTGGTATCCTACTGTGCCGGTGCGTCGAGTTGACTTGATTTATCCTTGGGAGCCTCTCGACAATGGTTGCATCAAGCGGAACATATGGAAGTTTCGCTCAGTCTCTGGCAAGTTGCAGCTTCGTCTAATGCGTTGATGCGTTGATCAATCTCGCAGTGCTTGAGTTCTGGGATGGAGAGCATTACATGAGTACACCAGAAAGCACTAGGAACCCAGGGACTACAAGCTGGGAGGTATCGCAGTTCACCAGTGTTCTTGTATCACATACAGATGTACTGTACAACTAGCACAAAATCTAGGCGACTTGAATTTCATCCTCTCCTCACTCTCATAGACACTACTTTCTGTCGCAACAGCATCGTAGAAAGATCCATGTGTGTCTCCATCACCACCATCCAACCACCTTCCCAAACAGGACACAACCCACGATGCTCGCATCCCAATACGAGCCTTGGCAACAAACAGGACTCCTCTATGCTCCCAACATTCCTTACTGTGTACATATTTTTTGGAACCTACAGCACTCTCGAGATCTCTAGCCACTGTTCACACAAACACCATCACCATCCCAACACCCATGCACTTCCCCACCCCAACCTCCCTCCCCCTCCTCACCGCCTGCCTCGCCCTCAACACCCTCTCCAGCATTTACTCCCCGCCCACCCCAAGCCATGGCTGCCGTCACCCTCTTCCCCCAAACCTCCTCTCAGGCGGGCCTTCACTCAACTTTACCCTGAACTCGCCCCGCGGAGGCGGCGATCGAAGGTACCTTCTGCACCTGCCGAGCCATTTTTCTGCTTCGAATAAGAGGCCGGTTCCCATGGTGATTGTAATACATGCGTTTGGGCAGACGACGGCGTCGGTGGAGGAGATGACGGGGTTTTCGGAGGAGGGGGAGGGGGAGGGGGAGACGGATGTCGGGGTTGTTGTTGTGTATCCGGAGGGGGTGAATGTAGGTTTAGGGATTTTGTTTGTTACCCTAAGATATCGATGCTGGCTGTTTGCTGTTATTGTTTGGGTGGGTTTGAGGAGGGTTTATTGGGGTTGGTCGTTTGAGCTCGGGTTTGGTATTCCTTATTTTCATTTTCTCGGACTGTTTTCTGTTATATGTATTTCCGACCTAGATGTTTGTGTTCTCACTTTTTCTCTTCTCTACTATTTTTCTGTCACTTCTTTTCTGTCACTATTCTTCTGTTACTACTTTTCTGTTACTACTTTTCTGTCATTACTTTTCTGTCACTACTTTTCTGTCCTCTATTGTTCTATTCTCTATTTCTCTGATCTCAATTTCTCTAATCTCAACTTCTCTAATCTCAACTTCTCTGATCTCTATTTCTTTGATCTCTATTTCTCTGGTCTCTATTTTTCTTGTCTCAATATCCCATTCCTCACCGTTCTGTTCTTGAAATCGACTTTCGTAGCCCAATCAGACATCGCCCATTCCAGCTCCCACTGCCCTACCAAATCAATCTTCTACCATCCCTCTGCACCCCGCTCACCAAACCCCAGAACGTCTGGCTCGGCGACCCCGGCGCCCACAACCTCACCACCCTCGACGACCGCCCCTTCATCTCCGACCTCCTCACCCACCTAACCTCCACCCTCTGCCTCGACACCTCCTGCATCTACGCCACCGGCTTCTCCAACGGTGGCGGTCTCGCCGCCCTCCTGGCTTGCTACCCGCCTACCGCGTCCCGCATCGCTGCCTTTGCGGGAGTGTCTGCTGCGTATTATACCAAGCAGTCGTTGGGGTACAGCTTATTTGAGCCCGAAGCATGTGACACCGGGGGCAGGAAGACGATGCCATTCCTAGACGTGCATGGAGAGAAGGACATGGTGATTGCGTATGACGGGGACAATTCCAACTTCGACGTCGATGGGAATGGAGTCCCGGACCCGGATACGCTGCCTATCAATTCTTGGTTGAATGATTGGGGGGTTAGGAATGGGTGTCCGGAAAGCGGGAATCTGACGGTGCAGAGGTGGTTGGAGACGGGGGATGTGGTGAATTAGACGGTGGTGTTGAGGGATGGGGGTGATGGGATTGTGAGGGGTAGTTGGACGTGTCGGGGGTGGGAGGATGTGGTTGTGGGGTATAGGGTTAGGGGGCTGGGGCATGGGTGGCCCAGTACGGTGAAGCTGGATGAGGTGTGGGAGGGGTTTAGGTTGGGGCCGCAGGGGTGGAATGCGTCGAGGGTGCTGATGAAGTGGTTTTGGAGGTGGAGTTTGGGGAGCTTGACGAGTGAGGGGCCGTGAGAGGAAAGGAGGGGGAGAGAGGTAGTTGATTAAATGGTGGGAAAGTAATTGAAATTATTTGGTTGTAGGGGTGGTGTAGTCCCAGAGAGCAACCTCAACCACATCTCAGTTCGTAAGTTGATTCCAAAGAAGATGGCTAGTGTAAGCACCTCCTGCTAATTCAACTACCTAAGGTTATTGCTACGGTACCCCCAATCGCTGAATTCTCTCCAGCTTTCGCACCCTTGTTGTAGGTTTATAGTCGTTGTTGTAGAGATAGAGGTGACCTGAGTGCCTATCACTGTTATAATCAATTTTCTGATTCCCTAAAGATAAGACATATCCTTAAGCTGGAGCAATGATATTGTCAGGATGTAATGTAGTAATGTGATCAGACTTTAGCTCTGTTGAAAGCTTAGAGTTGTGCGCGGACGCTGGGTCGTGATTTTCAGTGACGCAAAGAGAAAAGGAGTCTTTGCAGTCGTTCGCCCGCATCAATAGGGAGTGTTAACTCATCGAGATAAGCAACCTACTTGCTATCATATAGTCTTATTGATATTTTGATATTGGTGATTCCTCAAGGTATCACTACACGTGACCTCATACCCCCCCGGGGCACCCTCTAGCGTCTTGGCAGCAGCTTCCTCGACTCAACGAGAACCTCACGAACCCGCCTTCGAGCTGGCTACTCACCTTCACATCAACAATACCTATCACTTTGCGCCTTTTGCGGCGCCACAAACTACGTCGGTCAACGCATGAGATTGCGTCTTCCGAGTACTGCCTTGACAGCATCTTGCCGGCTGAGGCGCGCCACCGCTCCGCGAAAAGCTTTCACAGTCGTGAGAGTGTTCTCCTTGCACGGGTCTGCTCATAACGGGCGTGAAGATACCCAGGACCCCAGGTAGGTCGCCACGAGACTCGCCATAATCACTGCCACCTGCCACGTGGTATTGCCCTCCCCTTTGCCGTGTCAATGCCTGGCGCCATCACGAAGAATAACAAGAAGGCGGCGTCCAAGAATGCTTTCCGCCGAGCGAAGAAGAAGTCGAAGCGCGGGGTAAGTCGTCACCACAATTCTGATCGTTGCGACACATCTGAAGCGGGAAAGCAGGAAACCCCTTCCGAGTCCCGCGAGGGCAGCGTGACACCCTCTCTCAGCGATGCAGAGTCAGTCTACTCCGAGCTTACCCAGGATGGCGACAAGGCGGCCGACGACGAAGTCACGCCTGTGTATGACTTCGACAACCCCCTCTACGAGCAATACAGAGAAGTCTTGGAGAAGTTCCGACAGCCGTCGGAAGAGGAAGCGGCAAAGAAGGAGGAGGAAAAGCCCGAGGTTTACTTTGATGAAGATGAGTTCATGGACGAAGAGCGTGAAGAAGAGACCGCAAAGAAGCTGTCCAAGAAGGCGAGGAAGAAGCTCAACCGGATGACAGTCGCCCAGTTGAAGGCTGCCGTTAAGAAGCCCGAGCTTGTGGAGTGGACTGACGTTGATTCCTCCGATCCTCTCCTCCTCCTTGCGATCAAGAGTGCGAAAAATGTAGTTCCTGTGCCGAGCCATTGGTCCCTGAAACGAGAGTACCTATCATCAAAGCGTGGTATCGAGAAGCCTCCATTTGCATTGCCAAAGTTCATCCAGGAGACTGGTATTCAAGAAATGCGCGATGCTGTGCTGGAAAAGCAGGCAGAAATGACTCTGAAGCAGAAGCAGCGAGAGCGTGTTCAGGGCAAACTTGGAAAACTCGATATCGACTACTCTAAGCTCTACGACGCGTTCTTCCGCCGCCAGACGAAGCCAGAATTGACCCGCTATGGCGAGGTGTACTATGAGGGCAAAGAGTATGAGACCAATCTTAAACATCTCAGGCCAGGCGAATTGAGCGATGAACTCAAGGAAGCTCTAGCCATGCCACCTGGAGGGCCGCCTCCGTGGCTTGTGAACATGCAGCGTCATGGCATTCCGCCATCGTACCCGAACATGAAGATTCCCGGCGTTAATGCTCCCATCCCTCCCGGCGCTTCATGGGGTTATCAACCAGGTCAGTGGGGAAAGCCGCCTGCGGACGACGCTGGCCGCCCTATCTGGGGAGGAGATCTTACCGGACTCGCCGAACTCCAACAGCAACAGCTACCTACGCATCCCGGAGAGCCAGTGGAGAGAGGCATGTGGGGAGCTCTGCGAGCAGAAGGAGAGAGTGAAGATGAAGAAGAAGAGGAAGAAGAGGAGGAAGAGGAAGAGGAAGAGCAGACCGGTGCAGACATGTCAGGAATACAGACTTCGATGACTGCTGCCTCCGCCATGCCCTCCGAAATCGGTGGGATCGAGAGCATCGGAGGTGAATTCACTTTGCGCAAGCAGCGCAAAGGAATCGAGACCGAGGAGCCACACGCCCCCCGCAGTGCATACCAAGTGCTCCCGCAGAAGGATATCCAAGCTACTGGTTTCTTCGGCGGCGAGCATGCGTATGACCTTGACGCCGCCCGCCGTGAGCAATTTGGAGATAATAAGAGGAAGAGAAAGGCTGGTGATGTTGAAGTGTCTGTCGATGTGGACGCCCTGGGAGATAATGGCAAATTGGATAAAGAGGCGCTCAGGAAGCAGTATGAAGCTCAGAAACGAGCGGAGACACAGGGTAATTGGGCTCCCATTGATCAGGATGATCTCAGCGAGATGATTGCTGCTGAGCGCCATAAAAGAGCAAAGAGGGAGGACAATAGGCGAAATAGGCGTTGAGGGGGGCTGCTGGTATGACTTGGAGGGATATGTGAGCGTTGAAAGAGTCGACAAGGGTCTTGTAAGAACTCGGCGTAAGATAAGTGATGAAATGGGCTGGCCATGACGAGATGGGAAGAGATTCGAGATGTATGCGCGGTGAGATGTTTCCCGGTGCGAGAAGCGGATGAGAGGGATCCTGTAAAGAAATTCTGTTTAAGAGCTTTGATGGCCTCAGGAGTTTGGGAAACAGGCAAGCATGAAGGTCGGCGTTCAAGGGAAATGGTAATCGGTGCCTAAGAGATACTCCACGGCTGGTTCACTGTCCATGGTATACTTAAGAGCGGTGCAGCGGCAGGCTATGCGATTCATTCAAGAGATCAAGCTTTTTTGAAGTGCCACCAGTGCGGGGTGCTAAGTACATGTCGGAAGCAAAGAGAGATTTGTGATGCACAAGGTAGGAATCAGGAAGCAAGATTCAAGAAGTTTCTTCAAGAACAAAGCGTAATCCGCTCAAACTTGGAGATCCAAGACATGAGCGCGAACACGTTCCCTGCACATTTCGGAGTGCCCAACCGGTATCCTCTAACCTCGCTCTAGGTATAAGTACGTCCTTTGATTATCCCAGGGCGCTAGATTAAGAGCATCTTATTTGCCAAGTTAGGATTGCAGGCGGAGGCAAGTGTTGCAACTGCAGGCGCAAAACAATCCATCCCGAATCACGTGAATCTAGGAAAATCGCGTCCGCCGCGCTTGGCTTCGACTTCACTGCACCAACACTCAAATACTCCGTCGCAATCTTCGCTTCCTCAACACCTCCATTCTTCCTTGTTTGCAAGCTTTTAGTGGATAGTACTTACGCTCTAGTATATCCTGCCATCGCTCTTTTGCGCACCCAAACGGTTGACCTTCCGGTGCTGTCGTCGCAACCATGGATAGGGACAGGGACCGAGACCGCAGGTTCGTCGCATTTCCCACTACCGCCTACCGCCACGAGCAAGATGTTGGGTCTCCTACCGACCAAGTTGCTCTCTGGCTGTATTCTTAGTTCACGCTGACATCTCCTCAGGGACGATAGATACTCCAATACCTACCGGCCGCGCTCTCCCGCCCCACGCGTAGACAGCTACAGAGCTCGTTCACCTGTGCGCGCCAGAGGCCTTGCCGGCGCCGACACCTACACGCCTGGCGGTCGGCCGCCGCGCCCACGAAGCCGTTCTCCGCCATGTAGACGAAGGTCACGAAGCCCAAGGCGAGATGACAGTTGGAGGGCTAGGGCTCGATCACCGCCTCGTCGGGGATACTCGCCGCGCCGCGATGACTACAGAAGCGACCGAGGAAGGTCACCCCGACGTGAAGGATACGATTCGTATGGACGGTCGCCTCGTGTGCGCGAGAGGTCTCCTCCGCCCAGGGAGAGGGATCCCTCGCCCGCACCCAGCCGTAGCATCCGGTCTCCCGTGCGGTCCGCTAGGTATGATGAGCCTCCGTCGCGACCCCGCAGGTAAGCTCTCTGGAACTTCAGATTGCCGTCAGTTTGTTGACGTTTTCCGTAGCCCTTATCGTCGATATTCCCCTGCTCGCGATACCCGTGATGTGAGGCGCCGCTCCCCTTCACCCCGTCGGGAACGACAAGATCCATATACAGCAGACACTTGGCGTCGCAGGTCACCGTCCCCTGCAAAGGCAGCATATGCATCCAACGACGTTTCCGGGAGGGAGTCGGCAACTACCTCACGTCGCTCATCGCCACCTCCTGTACACCCCAGCAGAGCCGCTCTTGTTGATGACCGGTCCTTGAGAGAGCCCGCTTCGGCAGTAAGGTCACCGTACCGCGAAAGAGACACCCGAGATCGCGAACGAGACTATGACAGAGAAAGAGATTATGCTGCGGATCGCGAACGAGAGCGCGACCGGTCGCCTCCTCGGCACCGCGATGCGCCGCCTACGGGACCTCGTGGCGATAGAGATTTCGCTCCCCCTTCTGGTCCATCTGGTGGTTACCGCAACGGCGACAGTAATATTGGGCGCCCTCCGCCAACTGGACCCTCTGGTCGCGGCTATCCTTCCCCTGCCATGTCACCGCCGGGCGGCCCATCACGCACGACACCGCAACCGCCTGGCTACCCACGAAGCAGCCACCCCAATCTCGTTTCGCGTCCAGGAGGCCGGGGACGTGGTGGTTTTGGATACGATGCCCCCCGCGACTTCTCCGGACCGCCTCCCAGGCGCGGATCGGGATATTGGGGACCCCCTCGTGGTGGCTATGGCGGACCACCGCCCGGAGGCCGTGGAGCTGGACCTGCACCATTCGCCCCTCCCTTCCGTGGCTCCAGCAATAGCACGTCGACTACCTATCCCCGTACGCAGCGTTTCCGCGACCATCTAGCGGATCTGCCCAAGGAAGTTCCTGGTGGTCAGAAGCTGCCCGAGCTCTATGATAAGAGTAAGATTTTGAAGCTAGAGGAGGAGATGCGCATCCTGCGGGAGAAGATTGAAGCAAAGGAGGCGGCGAAGCGGCAAAGCTTGAAGGAGTGGGATGCTGGGGAGAGGGAGAGGGAGACGGCGGCCGTGAAGGTGGAGTTGGCGGAGAAGCATTTGGCGAGTTTGAATGGGGAGGCGGAAGCGGGTGGGCCGGCGTATTAGTAGTGCGGCTTTTGATGAAGTGCTTGGATCGGGAGTGCCAATTGGGGGAGATAATGAGATGATGTGGACGAGGGTTTTGCTTAGCATTTCAAGGTGATACTATCTCTGAAGTTCTAGGTTATGGTGGTGAGGTTCGATATCGAGGATTTCGGCGGATGATGGGTTTTGGAGTGGGAATGAGGTAGCCTTGGACGTCTATGCACGCGCACTAGCTAGGCTCTTCCGCCCGGGACACAGTTAAGTCGCGTCGAAGGAAGGAAGAGTCGATCAGGGGGTGGAAGAAGCTAAACGATTCGGATTTCGAGACATCTGGGCGAGGAGTTGGGGAGTTTCTTTTTGGTGTAGCATAGTAGTGGGGGCTAGAGGGCGTTTTATGGATTACTGTAGACTGCCTATTAGGGATACATATCTGTTGTTGTAATAATTATCTATTTGGTGTGATTGGTTTGAGTGATGTGATAGATGTTCCGGAGAGGGAGTAGTCTTTTCGGTGCTTATGGCAGGTACCTAATATAAGAAACACATTGCAACATGATTCTTGCCTGTAAGAGTGTAGCATTACTTGTATGCACTGGGAGGCTTGAGGTACCGGGTGGCGGCGATGGTGGTCCCCCACCGAACTACTCAAGGCGCCGAGGCATGCTCATTGGGCCCAGTCATCATGGGTTGCCGCATCTGCAGCGGGAGCTAAAATAATTGTCCTGCGAGTTCCTTCAGAAGTTCACAACCTTCGCCGCCGCGTACTCGTACAGGCCGGACTCTCTCCCTTCCCTCTGACCGCTGGCCATGCCTGGCGTCACGAAGGCTGAGACTTCCACACCTCGCTCCGCAAAGCCGGACGCCATGTCCACCACCGGCAGACAGCGAGCAGCCCCGCGCGGTGGCTCAAAGGCGAATGCGAACGCGCCGCCGCCCACGACGACCCCCTCTCACCTAGACACCGAACAAATGAAGCCGCGAAAGGGCGGCCAGAAAGACGAGTTCTCCGCCCTGCTGGAACCCTTCTACTACGGCAAATCCCTCACCGACCCCATCAACACCGCCGAAGACAAATGGAACCTGCTCCCCGCGTTCCTCAAAGTGAAGGGCCTCGTGAAACAGCACATCGACTCCTACAACCACTTTGTCGACGTGGAACTGAAGAAGATCCTCAAGGCGAACAAAGTGGTGCGCAGTGACGTGGATCCGAATTTCAAGCTCGAGTATACAGATATCCGCGTCGGGTTCCCGAATCGTCAGGATGAGGACGATATTGAGAATCATAAGAGTAATGTCACGCCGAACGAGTGTCGGTTGAGGGATATGACGTACGCGGCCCCCGTCACGGTGGATATTATCTATACGAGGGGGAATGTGAGGGTGAAGAGGACGGGGATCAAGATTGCGAGGATGCCGATTATGCTGAAGAGTAACAAGTGCAGGTTGGTTGGGAGGAATGATCGAGAGATGGCGCTCGTGGAGGAGTGTCCGCTCGATCCCGGAGGGTACTTCATCGTCAGGGGCCAGGAGAAGGTCATCCTGGTCCAGGAGCAGTTGAACAAGAACCGTGTGATTGTGGAGAGCGCCAAGGGCATCATGCAGGCTTCCGTTACGAGTTCGACGCACGAGAGGAGGACGAAGACATATGTCATTCAGAAGAAGGGACTCATGTTCCTCAGACACAACACGCTCTCCGAGGAGATTCCCATTGTTCTCGTCTTGAAGGCTCTAGGTGTCCGGTCTGATAAGGAGATCCTTCTCATGGTTGCTGGCGACGACGGCGCATACCAAGACAGCTTTGCCATCAACTTCGAGGCATGTGCAAGGGAGAAGGTACACACTCAGCAGCAGGCGCTGGAATACATAGGATTCCGCGTGCGGCTGTCCAAGAAACCGAATACGGCAAGGTCGCGCAACTACCTCATGGAAGCTATCGAATGTCTCTCTTCCGTTGTGCTTCCGCACGTTCCCGTCGAAGGCCTGGACTTCCGCACCAAGGCTCTCTACGTGGCGTCCATGGCTCGGAAAGTGCTCATGGCGATTCACGACCCTACGCTCGTCGATGACCGAGATTATGTCGGTAACAAGCGCCTCGAGTTGGCGGGTCAGATGCTGTCTCTTCTGTTCGAGGATCACTTCAAGAGGTTCAATCACGAGTTCAAGCTCAGCATCGACAAGGTGCTGAAGAAGCAGAATCGGGCGTCGGAGTTTGATGCCTATTCACACTTCACAGTACACAAGAATCAGATTACCTTGGGAATCGAACGCGCGCTGGCAACCGGGAACTGGTCCCTCAAGCGTTTCAAGATGGACCGCGCTGGAGTCACGCACGTTCTTAGCAGACTGAGTTACATCGCTGCGCTTGGTATGATGACGCGAATCAGCAGTCAGTTCGAAAAAACGAGAAAAGTCTCTGGTCCTCGTGCGCTGCAACCGTCTCAGTTTGGTATGTTGTGCACGTCGGATACTCCTGAAGGAGAGGCATGCGGTCTGGTAAAGAACTTAGCTCTCATGACACATATCACGACGCAAGAGGAGGAAGAACCGATCAGGAATATCATCTATGGCCTCGGTGCACAGGATATCAATGAGTACACGGGAGATGAGATACACCGAGAGGGTGTCTACGCCGTCTGCCTTAACGGAACGCAAGTGGGGTTGACCTATTATCCAAAACAATTTCTTGTAGGATTCAGGAAGCTCAGAAGGAGAGGGCGCATCTCGGCGTTCACCAGCATTCACATCAATCACGACTTCAAGGAGGTCCATATTGCCACCGATGAGGGTCGTATTTGTCGACCCCTCATCATCGTGGAGAATGGTCGCTCCATGGTCACGGCTCGGTATCTCAAAGCACTGCGCTCAGGCAACATGGACTTCGATGGTTTCCTGTCTCGCGGTCTGGTCGAATATCTCGATGTCAATGAGGAGAATGACTCCAACATTGCCACCTACGAGCATGAAATCAACCAGTACACGACCCATCTGGAGATTGAACCCTTTACCATCCTGGGCGCCGTCGCAGGCCTCATTCCTTATCCTCATCACAACCAGTCTCCGCGAAACACCTATCAGTGTGCTATGGGTAAACAGGCCATTGGTGCTATTGCATACAACCAGTTTACCCGCATCGATACTCTGCTGTATCTCATGGTGTATCCACAAAAGCCCATGGTGAAATCGCGGACGATCGAACTCATCAAATACGACAAGCTGCCTGCAGGACAAAACGCCACAGTGGCAGTCATGTCCTTCTCCGGCTACGATATCGAAGACGCCCTGATCCTCAACAAAGCCTCCTGCGACCGCGGCTTCGGCCGCTGCCAGGTCTTCAAGAAGACGTCTCTCCCGCTGAAAACGTACGCCAACGGCGCCTCGGACGTCGTCAACGCCAGCGCCGTTGACCCCCAGAACCCGAAGCACCACGCGCTGGGCTCCGATGGCCTGGCTCAAGTTGGTGCTCGCCTCGACCAAGGAGACGTCTACGTCGCCAAAGCGATCCCCACGGAAACTGCCCCCGGCACTTCTGCCCGCTATATCGACAAGCCGCAATCGTACAAGCTACCGGACCACTCCTACATGGACAAGGTCGCTCTGGTAGAGAACGAAACCACCGGCGCCACCACGATCAAGTTCCTGCTGCGGCAAACGCGCCGCCCCGAGCTCGGCGACAAGTTCTCCTCCCGGCACGGCCAGAAAGGTGTGGTGGGGCTGATCGTGCCGCAAGAAGACATGCCCTTCAACGACCAAGGCATCGTGCCGGACATCATCATGAACCCCCACGGCTTCCCGTCGCGCATGACGGTGGGCAAGATGATGGAGCTGCTCAGCGGCAAGGCGGGCGTGCTCGACGGGTCGCTGCAGTACGGCACCGCGTTTGGCGGCTCCAAGGTCGAGGACATGGCCGACCTGCTGCTCCAGCACGGCTTCAGCTACTCGGGCAAGGACTACATGACGAGCGGCATCACGGGCGAGGCGCTGCAGTTCTACGTCTTCTTCGGCCCCATCTACTACCAGAAGCTCAAGCACATGGTGCAGGATAAGATGCACTCGCGGTCGCGCGGGCCCCGGGCGATACTCACGCGGCAGCCGACGGAGGGGCGGGCGCGCGAGGGCGGTCTGCGGTTGGGTGAGATGGAGCGCGATTGCTTGATTGCGTATGGTGCGTCGCAGCTCTTGCTGGAGCGGTTGATGATTTCTTCGGATGCGCACCGCGTCGATGTTTGTGGTGGGTGTGGGCAGATGGGGAGTCAGGGGTGGTGCAGGATTTGCCAGAGCGAGAAGGAGGTTAGGCAGTTGACGATGCCGTATGCGGCCAAGTTGCTGATTCAGGAGCTGGGGAGTATGAATGTCAAGGTGGTGATTGGGTTGGAGGATGAGTTTGGGAGTCGGAGGGGGGAGGGGAGGTAGAAGGGATTGCGGCGAGCGTGGCATCCTAGAGGGAAAGAAGATTCTGATGTGAAGGTCTGGGCTGGATGGGTATCGTTGATGGGGGCTCGGACAAGGAAAAGGGGTTTAGGGGGTACTTTTCGTGTCTGCATAGCGTGGCGAATCGGCTAGACCGGATTTCTTTTCTGTGTGAGTGGTAGGTAGGGGTGCATGCATTTCTTGGGTGCGGGCGGTTCATTGTGCATGCATATCTGGTGATATCAGAGCACCCAATTCATCCTTCACACATTCAAACTCGAGTAGCGTCTGGTGTAGGCTTTAGAAGCTGTTGACGTATGATATTCATTCCGAAGGTATCCCCATGCCCTACGACAGCATACGCTCAGGGACTAGAGAGATCTATCTATCAGCTTAAGGCGTAGAGCATTCGATAGACTGCTCATTTCCCTCAACACGCGCATCCTACAACCACACAGGGTACATGTCCAGCTAAGAACAGTCGGACCGCTTTTCTGGGGCCCATCCTCTGTGTTGATATACATGTGCAGAGCGGGCTCGGTCAAGTAAGGCACACTGACCCTTCCAATGTGCTCTTTCTTGTTCTGACGTACTCGCTCAGGATACTGAGACCATTCTCCATCATTCCATTCGCCCTATCCTCCTATTCAATTCGTTCGACCTGCCCTCCTACCCAACTCGTTCGCCAGCCTGCCACACGTCGCAGACGTAGTTTCTTGCCGGATATACCGGCACAGCAAACTGGGATGCGAGAAGACGAACGCGAGCTTATCTCGAGTTCTCTGGTGATCGATCGACCCGAGGATACGGTCGACTAGTTCCTGCGGAAAGAGTAGGATCCCGGGTGACAGATTCTGCCGAGGAGGGAAGCTGGAGCGCACGACGCATTGCAAGATGTCCTGTGTGAGCGGCGGAGCGATGCCACGTCGTTCGAGGACGGGATAGATGGCGAGGCACAGCCGGATCAGATGCTGCATATCCAGGCTTTTTATGATCATGCAGAGCAGCTCCGCAGGCAAACGGGCGAAAGGGTTAACCGGGTCTTGCAAGGAAGGCGATGGGAAAATCCCCGCTGCTTGTGCCATGAGAGAGTCTCAATCCTCGTGTGCTTTGAAGGCTGGGTCCGCAGCGATCCTGAGTAAGGAGCGATAGATAAAGGCCGACAGATACCAAGCCCCGACGGCCACCACCGAGATATATGCTGCAGTCGGCGCCAAGGATTGGGGAAGGATGTTGAAGAGATATGGGTCAAGGACTGCATGCGTCAGCAGATTGTATGAAGCCGATTATGGCGTCTTCTTACTGATATCCGCTGCGACAGGCGGCGGGGTTTCCATCAATGATCGATTGGTAGAATAGAAGGAGGCGGCAGCTTGTATGCGAAGGAAGAGGGTGGTAGGCGGAATGTGTTTGGGCAATGGCAGCTCTCGCTCAGAGCCTCCCGCCTCTCTCCGCTTGCTGTATTCAAGAAGACTTTCCAGGAGCTTTGAGGAATCGCGTACTTCAGTTGCGGAAAACGTATCGAGCCAGAAGTCGGTGGGAGACTGGAGCTTCTGTCAATCTACGCCTCTGGCAAGCAAACGAAGCCACGAAAAACGATTGGAGCATGATAGCCCGTAGCGTTCAACAAATGGAAACGGTTCAACATACAGTCGCTGGCCAGCAGATGCGAACCTCGTACCGTCGACCGGCTTCGAGATCTTTCAACAGGTACCAGGACTCGCGGCCGTGGGGAGCAGTCGACGAAGGGAACTGGACAGGCAGCTGGGTATGGAGTACAGACGCAGCAGAGTTCGGAGCGGCAGACAGCGCCTCTATGTGGGTATTCTCAAAGTTGACAAGGTCATTGGAGTGTTGAATGGGCTGTGGAGTTACGAAGATGGTCTTCTCGACATTGGCAGTCACCATCCAGATGCTGGGGACAATGGAGCAAACGAGAAATGCGCGCATATTTCGCGGGTAGCAAGGCTAGACGGCGGCGGGCACACAGAACCCACACGGAGCAGTGAATAAATCATCCTCTCCAGAGCGAGAGGAAATTATGGTAAAGTTGCGGGAAGCGGGACTGCAGGCGTCGCAGTGAACTTGGTTGATGTCGGAGGTGAGGTGTGCTGTGGTGTGGGGTTTCTCGGCGTGGCAAGGGGGTAGGTGGAAGGTGCGTGCACGTGCCACACCTCAGCGAGGCACTATTTTCTTCTCCGCTTCGAGGGTCAACAATCAACACCACAGACTCTCTCCCCACGCCAACCCACCACCAACGCCGGCACTCTTCCCGTCGAAGCGCTGCACATTTCATCCCCACTATCCTGTAATACAGCTTTGCCTTTACAAACATGAGAGAGGTTATCAGCTTGAACGGTAAGCCAGCTACCCCTCGCCCACGCGCCCTGACCGCCTCCTGCGGGACATATCGGTTATACTGACTTCGCGCGTCTTTAGTCGGCCAGGCCGGTTGCCAGATCGCAAACTCCTGCTGGGAGGTAAGTCTCCCATTCAGACTCCTGCACAAGAGCATTTTCCTGTGCCCTCTGCCTGGATAGCAACACGCGATAGACGCCATTACTAATGGGCTTGGTAGCTCTACTGCCTTGAGCACGGCATTCAGGTATGTGGAACTCATCAGAGCCTTGATATTGCTCGTCACTAACCCATCATTCAGCCTGATGGTTACCTGACCGAGGAACGCAAAGCTGCCCAGGACGACCATGGCTTCAGCACTTTCTTCTCCGAAACTGGTATGTTTACACCCTTTTCCACGCCCCAACCGACACTAACGTTTCCCTGTAGGCCAGGGAAAGTATGTTCCTCGCACGATCTATGCCGATCTGGAGCCCAACGTCGTTGATGAGGTCCGCACCGGAACCTATCGTTCCCTCTTCCACCCCGAGCACATGATCACCGGAAAGGAGGATGCGTCAAACAACTACGCCCGTGGCCACTATACCGTCGGAAAGGAGCTCATCGACCAGGTCTTGGACCAGGTTCGCCGTGTTGCTGACAACTGCTCTGGACTGCAAGGCTTCCTTGTTTTCCACTCCTTCGGCGGAGGAACTGGTTCCGGTTTCGGTGCGCTGTTGATGGAGCGCTTGTCTGTTGACTATGGCAAGAAGTCCAAGTTGGAGTTCTGCGTGTACCCTGCCCCTCAGGTCGCCACATCCGTCGTCGAGCCGTATAACTCCATCTTGACGACCCACACGACGCTCGAGCACTCCGACTGCAGCTTCATGGTTGACAACGAGGCAATCTACGATATCTGCCGGAGGAACCTTGGCATTGAGCGCCCCAACTACGAGAACTTGAACCGTCTCATCGCTCAAGGTGCGTCTAGTTTGTATCCCCTCCCTAGGGTTTGATCTGATTTTGAATAGTTGTGTCTTCCATTACCGCCTCTCTTCGGTTCGACGGCTCCCTGAACGTCGATCTCAACGAGTTCCAGACCAACCTGGTGCCTTATCCCCGTATCCACTTCCCTCTCGTCGCCTATGCTCCTGTAATTTCCGCCGCAAAGGCCGCCCACGAGGCCAACTCCGTCCAGGAGATCACCAACGCCTGCTTCGAGCCCAACAACCAGATGGTGAAGTGCGACCCGCGCAACGGCAAGTACATGGCCACCTGTCTGCTGTACCGCGGCGATGTCGTGCCTAAGGATACGCATACCGCCATTGCCCACCTTAAGACCAAGCCCACCATTCAGTTCGTCGACTGGTGCCCGACTGGCTTCAAGGTGGGTATCTGCTACCAGCCCCCCGAGACCGTTCCCAACGGCGACTTGGCCAAGGTCAACCGCGCTGTGTGCATGTTGTCCAACACGACCGCCATCGCCGAGGCATGGTCCGCTCTCTCGCACAAGTTCGATCTCATGTACTCCAAGCGTGCGTTCGTCCACTGGTATGTTGGTGAAGGTATGGAGGAGGGTGAGTTCTCTGAGGCTCGTGAGGACTTGGCTGCGCTCGAGCGCGATTACGAGGAGGTTGCTGCCGATTCGATTGAGGGTGAGGAGGGTCTTGAGGCCGAGTACTAGACTCTTGAGCCGGTATTGCTACGGTGTGGTGCATACGGTCCGGTATATTGTTCCATGTCTGCATGGTTAGCATTGGTCGGAGCCTAGTCCCGCTTTGATTGAATGAGAGGCATGGAGGTTTGGACTATGTCTCCTGGAACAGATTTCGAAGGATAGGAGTGACCTTGTTCTCTTTATTACACTCTTCTGTAATGCGGTGCTACCAATAAATTGATCTCTTCTCCTGTTGCGCAGTATCCGACGAGCTGTTGCCCGAGTGTGCGCACCCCAATATAAACTAGTCAAAACATCCCCTGTTGTAGTCCGTCTGCTATTCAAGAACCATTCATTAATTCATTACCCATTCAAAACCTAAACTATCACCTATCTACTCGAGCTCCTCATCCCCAGCATCCAGCCCCACGGCCCTCCTCTCGGCCAACTCTGCAATCTTCTCCCTCAACACCTCCCTCCCATACCTCGTCGCCACCTTCATGGCCAAATCCAACATCTTGCCATTAGAATCACGCATCAGCTTCACAATCTCGAACGCCTTCATCCCGCGGTCCTCGCCCGCCAGGCACTCCAGGCCCAGCATCTGGAGGAGCGTGCGATCGATGGTGACTTCGAGTTGCGCTAGAGCTGCCTTCTGCGTCTGCGTGGGACGCGTGTGGGACAGTGTAGACAGGAGCTGCGTGTGCAATGTGGAAGTGAGGATGTGCGTGTGTTCGAGGGCGGTGACCTCGTCGCCCGCCTCCTTCTTCTTCCTACTACTTCCCCCTCCTCCCTCCTCATCGTCCGAGTCTTCATCCATGGCATCGACGTCCCTTTCGCCATCCTCGGCGTCCTTGGGCCCCGTGATGGGCATCTGGAAGTCGAATTCCGACAGGATGGGGCGCGGGAAATACGGGTGCTTCTCCTGGCCCTTGAGGATGATGCAGTGGAAGCGATGGTTGGCCACGGCGACGGGCCAGTACGATTCCTGCTTGCCTCCCGCGGCTAGGCGGGGGAGGAGCGCGGTGTCGAGCAGGGGCACCCAGCGGGCTTGACCGGGTGTGCGCCAGTGCAGGAGCGTGAGGAGCACGCCTGTCGAGTCGTAGATGTAGGGGTCCCCTTCTGCGGAGAAGAAGACGGAGGAGAGTGTCGAGCCGGGGGTCAGGGCGACGATGTCTTCGGTTTGGAATAACTCGTCCCTCTTTACGTTTTCAATCGTGTACAACAGCGTACAGGTGCCGTCGCTGGAAACAGGGCCGTTGCCAATGGTGAGGACGTAGTCGCGCCATGCCGCGCAGGTTACTGCCGGAGACGCCTTTTGCCGATACACGCGCAGGGGGATGCCGTAGAGCGTGTAGACGCGAACGTAAATTGAGGAAGTGAGGGCCACGATGTAGCTGTCACTCAGAGCCAAGGCGGTGACGGATTCGCCCTTTGGAAGACTTGTACGCCAGTCCGCTCGCGTGGTCCACGTTTCGTGGGGACGGTAGTAAATCATTGCGGGTTGGTTATTCTCTTTCGAAGGCGGGCACGAGAAGAGAGTGCCATGCTCGTTCAGGCAGGCTTTATCGTATTGAAAGGGGTCGGTGAAGTGGAAGTCGCGGTGGAATTCGCGGTCGTAGAATTCCACGGTGACGGTATTGTGTGTGGATTCTTGGGAGACGGTCCAGACGAAGCCGGTGAGGTTGAGGCAGAGGTAGCGGCGGTTGCCGCGCCAGGGGGTGCTGCCCGGTTGGAAGGCTTCGTGGGGCTGGGGACGCAGGTATGATGAAGTGTAGGTCCGCCTTTTACCGGATGGCGAGTGTATGTTTAGGTGGTCATTCGTACGTTTGCCGTTGCCGTTGATGGCAGGGGCGTAACCTGCACCGTCGTCGTCGACAACGAAGTCGTCCAGGCCGTCCTCGGAAAGGGCATCATCAGGGCCGAGAATGTCATCGAGGGAGTCGGGAGTTCTCGCTCGTCGATGCCGGCGCTCTGGAAGATCGATTCGAGCGCCGTTCTGCGGCTTGGTCGCGTTCCCTATCGACCCTTCTGACGGATCATGTAAGAATGGCGCTGGTTGGACGGGTTTCGCAAGGAGAGCGACGTGCTCAGCTGGAACTATGTCTGTGTGTATGAACAGCTCTCCGTCGTTGTTCGTGTATGAGAGGATGTTTTCTGCAGGATGCCACGCCATGGCCAGCACGGTGGCTTTTAGGTCGTCCAACTTCTTTACCAGCTCCTGCGTCTTCGTATCCCATAGGCACAAGCTCAGGTCGCTCGAAGTGGTAGCCAGCAGCCCTCCATTAGGCGACCATGCAGCAGCGGTGATATCGCCTGAATGACCAGTTTTGAATGCTCGTTGAAGCTCCCAATCACTGGACATGACCTGGATATCGCGTCCGGCGGTGGGTGCGCCGAAAGCTCTTCCGTCAGGATGCCACAAGACTTTTGCACTCGCCTCTGCGTCGGATTCCAGGCTCTTAATCAATCCGCCCACCTTTTTGATCATATTTGGCTCTTCGGAGCTGAGAGAATACATGTATATGTTGCCGTCAGTGCATGAGACAGCAAGGCGGGATCCGCTGAGGTCGAAGGCGACGTGTTTTACAGCTCGGCCTTGTTCACGAAGGTATTGGACTTGGGTCATGTCCTTGGTGTTGACCACCTTGACTACGATCTCACTGTCTGTAATCAGTTTCCATCATTTTGCGACGCAGACGAGTGAGAAGGCGTACTCGCTAGCAACAGCGACCCAGTTGCCGTCCGGGCTTAATGCCACATCTCTTACTGGCAGAGATGTTCTCACGAGGATTTCGTCCAGTTTGTTGGTCTCCAACGAGTACTTGCATACCGTCCCATCTTCTGAGCCGGCGATGAAGAAGCCATTCTAGAGATACTTGTCAACATGGGCCTAGTTTATCCTGCGATGGCATACATACGCCAGCGACAATAGCCGTATTATTCTCCTGGCAGTCGTCGACCGTAACGGGTTCGTCGGTGGATCCGGTAGTGAAGATACGGCAAAAGTTATCGACTCCGACGGTAATGAGTTGCTTTCCATTAGGCGTATAGGCCAAATAGGTTGAGCCTGGTGTGTCTACAATCGTCTAGTCAGTGAGATGCAGGCTTGAAGAAGTCATTCACAGCACTCACGGGCCGGCCGGCTGCGGATCCGCTGTCCGGAAGCCATTGTGTGGGAATTCTATGTCTTGAGGTCTCAGTCTGGCGAACTGATCGCGATGCGCGTGTTTCGACGCGTCGTGTCGGTCAAAATGTGTGGCCCATGCGCTTATCGATAACGGCATCTCTTCCATGCCCCGCCGCTTGGAGTCCATCCACAACGGTCTCGAGCGCAAGCGCACTCACTACCTAGAATTGGCCTCCAATAACCCTTAGGATATGCTTAGAGTCTCTACTACTGCCGAGGGGTGTCTCTCTAATTCCCTGATTTACTCCGCAGCTGCTGTTGTTGTATGTCATGGGAAAAGCTTTACCAAGCAAGCATAGCTCCGAGCAACTATCGCAGGAGGGCAGAGCGGTTGGTGAGAGATTTCACAAGCTGCACCATTTTCAGTACAGGACCGGCAACGTGATCTGGTCTGCTCAGATGAATGAACTTGCGCGACTGCGACCGCTAGGCGACGTTTCATGGATTTTTTTTGCTGTATTCACGTCTCACGACATGTTCTATACACGGTTGATTTAGAGGTTGTTGCTCGGTCAACCATTCCGTTTGTAGCTAGCGTCGTTTTACAACGCGACAAGCATGTCGGCTCGCCCGCGATTTGAAAAGGTGCCATCAACCCTCTTCTCACCTCCACTCGCAAACACACACCCACGAGCGCCCTCTCTCAATTCTTGCAATCGCCCAGCCGCGCATCACTTACACCCGCTCCAAACGAATCGCGCAGATCACACCTTCAACAATGACTGTCCAAGACGACCACCAGATGGGAGGAGTGGAGGAGACCAATACTGCCGCCGACAAGGGCAAGGGCAAAGCTCCCAACCCGCCTGCGGAGCCACAAGTCGAGGAGGAGGACGACTCCAGCGAGGAATCTGGCGCAGAGGAACCCGAGGTACGTGTAGCGACATGTTTGTTGGCGCAATTCACTAAGTGGGATAACAGGTCGAAAGTATGCGCTCCGTTGCCACTGCGGGAAAGTGACCTGTTACTGACCTGGAAACCACAGTCGAGGAGGTAGAGGATGAGGATGCCATGGACGAGATCGACACCAGCAATGTTTTGCCCAGCCGTACGCGTGGTAAGACCATCGACTATGCGAAGGCGGCCGAGGAGCTCGGCGAGGAGGACGACGACGAGGACGATGACGAGGACTTCCAAGGTGACGATGCTATGGAGGAATAAAACGTCGCTTTCCTATTTCAGGTGAGCGAGGGTGGTTTCCGTATGTCGGGCTCAATCGCTGAAGAAAGGGCAGTCCTAGAGTCTCATAATGATGCGGCTATCCATGGATCGCCTATGACGGCTCATCAATAGGGTTTTCGCTTCAGGGAAGATGGTGACTTGCATACGCACAGCAAGCAATGGCATGGGACATGGGAGTCTTGGCGTGGTCGTCTTGAAGATGGTTGGTTGCCGCGGGGCTGAAGGCTGTTGTCCGCAACTCGCGTACAACGCCTCAGGATACGTATCCTACCACATGCACATCGAATTCAACTCTTTAGAGGGTTACGAATAAATACTCATGATATCATCACAGTGCCTGTTGCCACGCTAGGCGTACGAATTGCTCTGTGTGTGTTTGTGTGTGTCGGCCATGCTTCTTGGTGCCTTTCCCTGCGAGACGCAATTGTACCTTCCTACAATAGAGCCTGGAGGCGGTGCCTACCATTACTGGAAATCCAGGGTCCAGCGGTGCATAAACAATCGCCAAGGCCGAGACTCTTGAAGAACCGCCGCGACCCAGACGATCCTGGTTCTCTTCTTCAACTTTCCGGCTCACAGTCAACTTCGCTGGGAGGCACACAATCCTTCCCAACAGTATCATGGCCCCACGCAGCGACACTGTTTCTCAAATGTTCTCGGATGGACCGCATGCTGCCGTCTATCAGCAGTGATCGAAAGTCTGGCACGGATCGGTGTTCCGCATGGAGCGGACAGCAACTCAAGGTGGAGCAATGGGCTGAGGTTCACAGGCAGAAAGGGCAAAAATGAAAAGGTGAGAAAAGCGCAGCACGATCACGCGAGCAGCACTGGCATATATTCTCTTTCTGGAAGAGATGGTTTGCCCGAGTATGGTCTGCAAGATGGCACAGCAGCTACGAGTTGCACATGCGATGTGACGGACAGGTCGCTTCGGCTGCTTGTTGGTTATTGCCTCTCCTGCCACGGGCTCTCGAGGGCGGTTCAGAGGACAGGTTACATTGGACGTTTGCGTGGGGAGAGGTGCGAAACTACCCTGGAGTATCCGTTGCAATTTCCATGAAGCTCTCCAAGAAGGCGATATCGGCGGGTTGAGGTGTTGGGGTGGAGGGAACATGGACGGGCGTTCTCGTGACTCATGGAAACATCAGACGAGGTTCACCCGCGTTGCTAGCGACGACTTTGTTCCGGTATTTTCCGAGGGTCCAGCGTGGAAAAGGACGAACATGTCTGGCGTAGCCCACGTACGGAGTGGCGGTCCTCTTGCGAGCGGTCAACGACGTGTCCTGCTGGCGCGAGCAAAGCGAGAAAACAAAGTCATCTGTCGAGACGTGGAGGTGTGCAGCTTTTTGAGAGCTGCGCACAACAAGCAAGAGACTGGAGCATCAGCACAGGGATTTCTCCGAAGCTCCGGGCATCGTTGTCACATGCGTCGCTGCAGGCGCAAAGTGTCTCGCTGGAGAATATGGGACATTTTTTTGTACTCTCCAAAACCTGGCTCTATGACGCCGCGGCGCATCGGCTGGCTGGGGGTTCAACTGATAAGGAGTTCACGGTTGAGATGACCACGCCGAATTACAGGAGAGCAACCACAAAGCAGTGGCGGGACACGAGAGTCCGAAGCAATTGAGCCAATGCGAGGCAACGGGATTACAGCAGCCAGGCCGTGTTTGGCCTGCCGGCGTACGCGGGTGGGACGGATGGCGGCGAGAGGGCACAGACCCTCCAGGGAGCGGCAATCTTGTGGTGGAGCGCCCAGCCCAGAGGAAAAGAGGAAAACAGCACCTTTGTGGACGACCGCCCACGCGCCGAGCGAATGGCAGTCCTCCGAAGTCGCAGAGGAGATCTGGGAAGACAAGGCAAGCTTCCCTCCGCCCCGCCCCTAACGCCCCTAACGTGTGGCGGAAAAGGCCCAAGCCCCCGGTCGCATCCATGCTGTGGTTCTGTCCCTGCCAGCGTGCGCCGTGCCATCCCCGTCACTGCATGGCACCGTGGGGTAAAAGGCCGGCCAAAACATCCAGCAACAGGAACGCAGGCACGCAAACCCACATCCTTCCAACCCTACACCGGAGGTACTCTTTGCCGTCGCCCCCGAGTCCAATACGCCATTGGCCTTCGCCTACCAGCAGACAACGGGAATCCACGAGGGAGAAAAGACGGAAAGACAACAAAGAGTGGGTTGACATGTGCCGTTTTGGGGAATCCCCGCCTGCATTGCACCACTTCGATAATGAACAGTAAAGTAGTCCAAGACTTCTCTGCAGCGAGTCCAGCACGATTGGCAGTGTGGAAATCCGCACGCGGCATGCCTGTGGCCTGAAGCCCGTCCAGGCAAAAAGCGGTACATAATTGGTAGACGTACGGAGTAGTTTGAGTGAGAGACCCAGACCTAGCGCTGTGGTGAAATTTCCTGAACCCCACCCACCGCCTCCCTCTGCCTGGGCCCCCTCCAAGGGTCCGACCCTCCCCTCAAAAACCTCCCATACCCCTTCGCTCATCCGACCCTCTCTCTTCCCTCCCACTCTCGCCCTCTCTCTCTCCCTCGACGCTTCCTGCCTGCCTGCCTGCCTGCCTGCCTGCCTCTGAGCGTGCCCGTGAGCCAGCCCAATTCACCACCTTGCCTACAGCACCTCCGCAGAGTAAGTCCCGTCTTCTCCGCTGCCCTCCTAGCACAAGACAATTCCTTCCGCCTGCGCTGTGACCGAAGTCGACATGGTCGATATGGGCCTGCATACGCCTTTCCCGCATCTCCTCCATACAAATCATGGCAACCCCGCGTTGCCCCCAATCGCCTAGCATCTTATCAGCACGGCCGTGCGCTCTGCCCCGCTATCAGCGCTGCATACCACTTTGCACAGCGTCATGAGCAGGATTGCCTTGGAGACGGAGAAGGGACGAGGTGATGGGCAACTTCGTCACCTTGCCAGAAGCCGGACGTGAGAGTCGATATACCGCTGTCGAACCTTTCGCCACAACACTTCCTCTTCCCTCGCCTGATCGGCCTGCGCGACCTTTGCACGTCAATTGCCTAGCTCCCACTCACTGGTCGCTGCACCAAGTACTCCCACCAATTCGCTGCTAACTTTCGCTCACAGTCCAGCATCCGGCAGCGAGCCTCAGTCAAGCCCTCGAGCGACCATAGATCTCGATCCTTGAAACCCATATCCCGAACCGTTCCGCTACAAAAAACCTTCGGCCTTCCGCCGATATAATGGTTCGGGTCTCGTTCGCCGAAGATACAAAACTGCCCCAGGATACAGTGATTGAGGAGGAGCAACCCTCCGTGTTTGCCTACCAAGATGGCCCGGAGAACAAGTCTTGGGCGGGCACCCTCCCCTTGAAGCAGGGTCTCTATGATCCCGAGCTCGAGAAGGATGCTTGTGGTGTCGGTTTTGCTGCGTAAGTAGTCAAGCGCAAAGCTGCGCAGCTGATCATTTGGGTTGACAATCGATAGCCACATTAAGGGTAAGGCAAGCCACAAGATCATCTCCGATGGTAAGCCTCGACCAACGAGAGTTTGCCTATATATCGTTCTAACCATATTATTCAGCTAAATCGCTTCTTTGCAACATGACCCATCGAGGTGCCGTGGGCTCGGATGCTCGTGATGGAGACGGCGCTGGTGTCATGACCTCCATTCCACACAAGTTCTTCGTGAAGGAGTTCGCAAAGACCCAGGGTTTCACCCTCCCACTGCAGGGTCAATACGCGACCGGTAACCTGTTCTTCAAGCCCGACGCGCAGATTCTGGAGGAGAGCAAGAGCTTGTTCGAGGATGTGGCAGATCAGCTAGGGTTGAGGGTCCTTGGATGGCGTGAAGTCCCAAGAGACTCTACGCTTTTGGGTCCTGCTGCTCTGTCCCGCGAGCCCGCCATCCTTCAGCCGTTCGTCGTTTTGAGGGAGGCTTACGGAGACGGCAAGGAGCCCAAGCCAGACTTTGACCAGCTGTATGATGGTGCCTACTTTGAGCGGCAGCTGTACGTGCTCCGGAAACGGTCTACACACGTGCTTGGCCTTCACAACTGGTTCTACATTTGCTCCTTGAGCAACAAGAACATTGTCTACAAGGGTCAGCTGGCTCCCGTGCAGGTATACGAATACTACTATGATCTTGTCTCGGTGGACTACGAGGGCCACTTCGCTTTGGTGCACTCCCGTTTCTCCACCAACACATTCCCCTCCTGGGACCGCGCTCAGCCCCTCCGGTGGGCAGCCCACAACGGTGAAATCAACACGCTGCGTGGAAACAAGAACTGGATGCGTGCGCGAGAAGGCGTCATGAAGTCGGAGCTCTTCGGTGACGAGCTGAACCTGCTATACCCCATCATCGAGGATGGTGGCTCCGATTCCGCTGCTTTCGACAACGTTTTGGAACTTCTTACCATCAACGGAGTCTTGTCGCTGCCCGAAGCCGTCATGCTCATGGTTCCTGAAGCATGGCAGGGCAACCAGCTCATGGATCCCGCCAAGCAGGCCTTCTACGAGTGGGCTGCATGCATGATGGAGCCTTGGGATGGACCCGCGCTCTTCACTTTCTCCGACGGCCGCTACTGCGGTGCCAACCTCGACCGAAATGGTCTGCGTCCCTGCCGTTACTACGTCACGGATGACGACCGCATCGTCTGTGCATCTGAAGTCGGTACCATCTCCATCGAACCTGAACGCGTTGTGCAGAAGGGTCGGTTGCAGCCCGGTCGCATGCTTCTTGTCGACACCCTTGCTGGACGCATCGTGGACGATACCGAGCTGAAGCAGAAGGTCGCCGAGCGCCAGGACTTCCGTTCCTGGATTGACAAGAATCTCCTAACCCTTCCCAAGATAGTTGAGCAGGTGACTGAGAAGGGCGTCGACATCGGCCACACTGTGTCAGAGACGCGTGTTCAGGAAGACCCCCGCCTCCGTGCTTTTGGATACTCGCTCGAGCAGGTCAGCCTGCTTCTGGGGCCCATGGCTGCCGACTCCAAGGAAGCCCTGGGCTCCATGGGCAACGACGCTCCTCTGGCTTGCCTGTCCAACCAGCCACGCTTGCTCTATGAGTACTTCCGTCAGCTGTTCGCACAGGTCACCAACCCTCCTATCGATCCCATCCGTGAGGCAGTTGTCATGTCCCTGGAAGCATATGTGGGCCCACAAGGTAATCTTCTTGAGATGGACGAGAGCCAGGCCCACAGGTTGCTGCTACCTTCGCCGGTTCTGTCCATTGAGGAGTTCAACGCCTTGAACAACACCGCCACCGTACATCCCGATTGGACCGTGAAGACGATCGATATTACCTTCCCCAAGAAGGAAGGCATCGAGGGATATATGGCTGCTCTCGACCGGATCTGTGATGCTGCCACCGAAGGCGTCAACAATGGCGACAACATCCTCGTCCTCTCCGACCGCGCCACATGCGCCGACCGCGTGCCTGTATCTGCTCTCCTGGCCACGGGTATGGTCCACCACCATCTTGTGCGCAACAAGTGGCGATCACAGGTCGCCCTCTTTGTCGAGACTGCGGAGGCCCGCGAGGTCCACCACATGTGCGTGCTTGTCGGTTACGGAGCCGATGCCATCTGCCCGTACCTTGCAATCGAGTGTATCCTGAAGATGCACCGCGAGGGTCTCATACGCAAGAAGCTTACTCCTCAGCAACTCATCGACAACTACAAGCATTCTTGCGACGGTGGTATCCTCAAGGTCATGAGCAAGATGGGCATCTCCACGCTGCAGTCCTACAAGGGTGCCCAGATCTTCGAAGCCCTTGGTATCGACGACAGTGTTGTTGATCGCTGCTTTGCTGGAACTGCCTCCCGCGTCAAGGGTATGACCTTCGAGCTCATTGCTCAAGACGCTTTCGCTCTGCATGAGAAGGGTTATCCCACTCGCCCGATTGTCGAGATCCCCGGTCTCGCCGAGACTGGCGAGTACCATTGGCGTGATGGTGGAGAAGCGCACATCAACGACCCCACGGCCATCGCCAACATCCAGGATGCTGTTCGCACCAAGAACGACAAGTCCTATGAGGCCTACTCCATGACCGAATACGAGCGTATCAAGGACTGCACACTCCGTGGTCTCCTGGATTTCAACTTCGAGGACCGTACGCCTATTCCCATCGACCAAGTTGAGCCTTGGACTGAGATCGTCCGCCGCTTCGTGACTGGTGCCATGTCCTACGGCTCTATCTCTATGGAGTCGCACTCTACCCTTGCCATTGCCATGAACCGTCTTGGAGGCAAGTCCAACACTGGTGAGGGTGGTGAAGACCCTGAGCGAAGTCAGGTCATGGAGAACGGAGACACCATGCGCTCTGCCATCAAGCAGATTGCATCTGGTCGCTTCGGTGTCACCAGCGCCTACCTTGCTGATGCTGATGAGCTCCAGATCAAGATGGCCCAGGGTGCTAAGCCCGGAGAGGGTGGTGAGCTGCCTGGCCACAAGGTCTCTCAGTCTATCGCTAAGACCAGGCATTCCACCCCTGGTGTCGGTCTGATCAGCCCTCCCCCTCACCACGACATTTACTCCATCGAGGATCTGAAGCAATTGATCTACGACCTCAAGTGCTCCAACCCGCGTGCCCGCGTCTCCGTCAAGCTCGTCTCCGAGACCGGTGTCGGTATCGTCGCCTCTGGTGTTGCCAAAGCTAAAGCAGACCATATCCTCATATCTGGCCACGACGGCGGCACCGGCGCTTCTCGATGGACTGGTATCAAGTACGCCGGTCTTCCTTGGGAACTGGGTCTTGCCGAGACTCACCAGACGCTTGTGCTCAACGATCTCCGTGGTCGTGTCATCGTCCAGACGGATGGGCAAATCCGCACTGGACGCGATGTTGCGATTGCCTGTTTGCTCGGTGCCGAGGAATGGGGCTTTGCGACCACCCCTCTGATCGCTATGGGATGTATCATGATGCGGAAATGCCACTTAAACACTTGCCCTGTTGGCATTGCAACCCAGGACCCTGAACTGCGCAAGAAGTTCGAAGGTACCCCCGAGCATGTCATCAACTTCTTCTACTACATTGCCAACGAGCTCCGCTCCATCATGGCTAAGCTTGGCTTCCGTACCATCAACGAGATGGTCGGCCGCTGCGAGGTCCTCAAGATTCGTGATGACCTCCGCACTGCTAAGACGGAGAACATCGACCTCTCCCTGATTTTGACTCCAGCACACACTCTCCGACCTGGCGTTGCCACTTTCAACGTTCGCAAGCAAGACCACCGTCTCCATGTTCGCCTCGACAACAAACTCATCGCTGAGTCCGAACTTGCTCTGGAGAAGGGATTGCCAGCTCGTATTGAGTGCGATGTGGTCAACACTGACCGTGCTCTGGGTGCCACTCTTTCCTACCAGGTCAGCAGAAGGTATGGCGAGGCGGGTCTGCCTCAGGATACGATCCACGCCAATATTCGCGGCTCCGCTGGTCAGTCTTTCGGAGCTTATCTTGCACCCGGTATCACTCTTGAACTGGAGGGTGACGCGAACGACTACGTCGGCAAGGGTCTGTCTGGTGGTCGCCTCATCATCTACCCGCCTCGCACAGCCGTCTTCAAGGCCGAGGAGAACATCCTCATCGGTAACACCTGCTTGTACGGTGCCACCAGCGGTACTTGCTTCTTCCGTGGTATCGCTGCCGAGCGTTTCGCCGTCCGTAACTCCGGCGCCACTGCCGTCGTTGAAGGTGTTGGAGACCACGGTTGTGAGTACATGACTGGTGGGCGAGTTGTTGTTCTCGGATCGACTGGACGCAACTTCGCTGCTGGTATGTCTGGTGGTATTGCCTACGTTCTCGACATGCATCACGACTTCGAGCAGAAGGTCAACCAGGAGATGGTTGAGCTTAGCGGCATCGAGGATCCTCAGGAAATCGCCTTCGTCCGTGGACTCATTGAGGACCATCATCACTACACCGGCTCAGAGCTCGCCGCGCGTGTTCTCAATGACTTCACTCGTGCGCTGTCGCGATTCGTTAAGGTCATGCCAACAGACTACAAGCGCGTGCTGCAGGAAGAGGCTGCCAAGAAGGCCGAGGCAAAGAAGAAGGAGTATCCTCTCCCCATCCTCCCCGGAAACGCCGTCCGCGAGCTGCACGAGGACTCGCGCCAGGCTCAGGAAAAGAAGGAGAAGAAGAAGGTCGACCTTCTGGACATGGAAGACAGCATCACCGATGCCAAGGCAGAGAAGAAGAAGGCTCTCGTGCTCGACAAGACTCGTGGCTTCAAGCTCTACCAGCGCCGATCCGAGAAGTACCGTAACCCCAAGACCCGTACGCGCGACTGGCAAGAGCTCTCGCAGCGTTTGAACGAGGATGAGCTGAAGTATCAGACCGCTCGTTGCATGGACTGCGGTGTGCCCTTCTGTCAATCGGATACTGGCTGCCCCATCAGCAACATCATTCCCAAATGGAATGAGCTGCTTTTCCAAGTAGGTGTTTTTTTCTGCAAATTACTGCCGAACGCATACTGACGACTCGTCTCACAGGGTCAGTGGAGGGATGCTCTCAACCGCCTTCTCATGACCAACAACTTCCCCGAGTTCACTGGCCGTGTCTGCCCCGCTCCCTGCGAGGGTGCCTGTGTGTTGGGTATCAACGAGGACCCTGTTGGTATCAAGTCCATTGAGTGCGCCATTATTGACCGCGGTTTCGAAATGGGCTGGATGGTCCCATCGCCGCCCCAGGTCCGCTCCGGAAAGAAGGTCGCCATCATTGGCTCCGGTCCTGCCGGTCTCGCGGCCGCTGACCAGCTGAACAAGGTCGGCCACAGTGTCACTGTCTACGAGCGCGCTGACCGCATTGGTGGTCTCTTGATGTACGGCATTCCCAACATGAAGCTCGACAAGAAGGTTGTGCAACGTCGTGTCGACTTCATGGCGGCCGAGGGTATCAAGTTCGTCACCAACGTCGCTGTTGGTGAGGAGGGTCAGCCAACCCTGGATTCTCTGCGTGCGGAGAACGATGCCGTTGTGCTTGCCACTGGTGCGACTGTCGCCCGTGACCTGCCCATCCCCAACCGCAGCCTTAACGGTATTCACTTCGCCATGGAGTTCTTGCACAAGAACACGAAGTCGTTGCTCGACTCTAATCTTGCCGACGAGGCCTACATCTCCGCGAAGGGCAAGCACGTTGTTGTCATTGGTGGTGGTGATACCGGCAATGATTGCATCGGCACGTCTGTCCGCCACGGCGCCCTCTCAGTTGTCAACTTTGAACTGCTCCCGCAGCCGCCGCCTGAGCGTGCCCGTGACAACCCCTGGCCTCAGTGGCCCCGTATCTACCGCGTCGACTACGGCCACTCTGAGGTCAAGACGCACATGGGCAAGGATCCTCGCGAGTACTGTGTCATGTCCAAGGATTTCGTGGATGATGGCAACGGCAACGTGAAGGGTATCAATACCGTCCGTGTTGAATGGACCAAGTCTGCCACCGGCGGTTGGGACATGAAGCAGGTGGAGGGCAGCGAGCAGTTCTTCCCTGCGGATCTTGTGCTCCTTTCCATGGGTTTCTTGGGCCCAGAGGAGCGCGTGTTGGGTGGCTCTATTGAGCGCGATCCGCGCAAGAACGTCAAGACTCCTCCAGGACACTACAACACCAACCTGGATGGTGTCTTTGCTGCAGGAGATTGCCGTCGCGGCCAGTCCCTGATTGTCTGGTATGTCTTTTGACCCGAAGGAATGTACGTACACAGTGTATACTAACGAACATTAGGGGTATCAACGAAGGTCGCCAATGCGCCCGCGATGTCGACGCCTACCTCACCGGCGTGCCTTCCTCCCTCCCCGTCACTGGCGGTATCGTCAAAGCCACACCTTACGAGGCTCTGAAGCTTGGCGGTACCACTTCCGACCTCGCGGCCGTCGCCGTCGCGGCCTAAATCCCATTTCCTTTCTATGCACTAACGGAGTTGGTTGTAGAAATGGTCCACGAGAAACGCACGATTGGCATAGTTTCACGATACAATTTGGCACAAGATTTGTTTTCCTCCTATCCGTCCTTGTGAGTCTTGAGATACCTTTGTTCATGATGGAGCATTGTAGATTATGTTTTGTTCGGGTTTGGTTATATAAGTAAATACAGTTCCAGTACTCTTGGGTACTTCGATACTCTGTTCAACTGTTCCATGCTGTGATTCGATGTTGCGTACGTCTGAAAATTGAAGTCGTCTTGAACCTCAATCTTGTCGACAAAACAAGCATCGCCAAGCTTTCACGCACGTGCCATCCAAATCGGAGTTCCCCAGTCGTAAACGCCGACGTGTTCCCTCAGAATATCTCTAGATACCAACTGCATCATGTACCTCCGACGACACTTTGTCGCCCAAGCACGGAAGCAGCGATAACAAGCGCATACCAGCATTGTCGGTCCTGGATTTCTCATTTGAATGAGCGGCATATAGCTCTCTATTAACCATGTCAAATAGGTATACTCATCTATCTCTTTACCCATGACCTTTCTTGCCTCCAAGAAAATCCCCGTTCCCTGAAACCCACAGCTATCAAGCTAGCACGACTGACCGCTCGATAGATTCGGCCGCGACTCGTCCTCGCGCCCCTCCCACAATTCCCTCTTTTCCTCGTACCCGGACTCGACTGCCTCGCGCAACCGCTCCGCCTCTCCAAGCAAATACGCCAAAAAGTCGCCGGCTACGTACGGTTTTGCGGCCCCCTCGGCGGCATCGCCGTCACGGTCGCCTGCGTTTGGGGGAACGTATAGTGGATCCGGTTCTGGTGGTTATGGCGCAGGCGCAGGTGCAGGTCCGGCGTTTTCCGCGTACCCTGGGTATGCATCTGGTGCTGGCAATGGGTACGCGAATGGGAATGGGATAGGAGGCAGCGGTCCAGCACCGGGGTTCCGCACCGCGACACCGAATTCGCGGGGCCAGTATAGTGCGGCCGTGCTCGAGGAGCTGGAGAGCCAGAACGAAGAGCAGGTGGGCGTTTTGGTGGGCAAGGTGCGGGAGTTGAAAAATGTGCGTTTACAATCCTCTTTTCCCCTGGTTTTGTTTTGTTTGGATTGGGGATTGGATGGGGTGGGATAGTGCTGGGAGAGGAGGAGGGGGGAATGAAAGACGCTTCCTCCTTTCCCCCTCTCTGTCTCAACCCTTTCCAGTTTCCTTCCCGTCTCCTCCTCCCCGTCTCTTCGCTCCTCTCTCCTCCAAACACCCTCCTTATCCTCCCCTATGACTCCTTTACTAACTCCTGCCGCGTTTTAGCTCACCCACCTCATCGGCGACGAGATCCGCAGCTCCTCGGCCCTCGCCGACAAGATGAACGACCAGTTTGAGCGCTCCCGCGCCCGCCTGCGCGGCACCATGACGCGCATGCTGCGCATGGCCGAGCGCACGGGCGTCGGCTGGAAGGTCTGGTTGATCTTCTTTGCGTGCGTCGTTTTGCTGTTATGGTGGGTGTGGCTGTTTTGAGATTTATGGACCGCGAGTGAGACACTGGAAGAGACGAGAAGGGGTAAGGAGGGGAGACGAAGGAAGGGGAGACATGAAGGGGTGAGGAAGGAGAAGGGGTGCGGAGAGGGGTTGTATAAACTCTTTTTCTTTGGGGTAAGGCACTGGTTGGGTGCAGGGGCGCCGTCATGGGCATGACTTGATAGAAGGTCTAACGGTGTTTTGGCGTTTCGAAGCAATAGGCGCGCTTTGCATATGCGCGGATGCGGTTTCGCTTGTTTACTTTTATTTATTTTCACATCGTACATATTGACCTTGGGGGATACCATTTGAGCATTGCAAAGAACACATAGTATGGTCTACATGCACTGCTCAGCGTGGACTCGCGCTTCACAATGAGGATACACTTGCAGAATAGATGAGTGGTGTACAAATACGTACATCTTACGACTACAAAACGATTCTTACGAGACTAACCGACCCATAGTATCAGAACGTACCACGAACTGCAGCCACTAAGCAGTAACTTTCCTTGTTCCAGCAAGCAACGCCTCCAGATTCTGCCCAATTATTTACAGAGCGTGGAAACGCGTTTGGGAGCCTACTGCCCTCTTTTCACGTCCGACTGAACAACAACCCCCTGTACTTCCAATCCAAGTTGGAATACGTATTTCGAGAAATCCAATTGGCTATATTCTAGTTATGCCACCTAGGGCACGGTGTTTTAAGGCTGGCTACTACACATGGAGGGAGGCGCTGAAAGGGCCAACTACCGCCTCTGTTCACATCCGACTGAACACCCCCCTGCACGTCCTCTGTACTGCTGTTTTCCACATCTAATTTAAACAGCTAGCAGGGCAGCAATATAGGAGGTCCTGCAATTAGCTTTGTATTATACCTCTACGTATAGTAGTATATTTAAAAAGAAAACTCTACCTATTGCATTATTAAGTTGTAGCTAGTTAGCTTGTGCTAGGTAGGCAATTCCACCTACAGAGGAATTGCAGCCGGATGTTCAGTCGGACGTGCAAAGCCGCAGTACTAATACTCCCCCTCCAAAATCTTCTTCAGCACCTTCGCCTCCATCTCCCACCCCTCGACCCTCTCCTGCCCCCTCTGCACCCGGTCCATCAACCACTCAATCCTCCCCGCCAACTTGGCCGGCCGCCCATTCTTCCCGTACAACTCCGCCAATCGCACCAACTCCCCCTCCGCCTTCTCAATCACCTCCGTCTCCGTCTTCGTCAAGTCTGCCAAAATCGCCAGGTCCAAACGCGCATGCAGCACTTTATCCTGCGTCAGACGTTTGAACGCAGAGTGATAGACCGGTTTCCCGGGTTTGATTGTCGAAGGACGACCGGTGTGGTTGGACACAATGGAAATGAGTTCCGCCTGCTCGAGGGCCCGTAGTACCTTCTCCCCACCCTTTTTATACGTATCGTCCAGTAGAACCTCGTTGTACCGCAATGACCCCTTCTTCGCGAGCCGCTTGATCAGCAGCCACGCCTGCTCCGTGGTCCAGCCGCGGCCGCTGTTGGAGTCCCCGCCGTCCGTACCAAATATGTACATTTTCAGAATCTCCGAGGCGGATTGGTCGATGATTTCGCCGACGGCTTTGTGCGGCGTTTCGCCCGTCTTGATTCTTCGGGCGAGGAATTCGAGATCGGTCAGTCGTCCACCAAGAAGCTCGATGCAGCTATCCAATTCTGCTAAATCCGGGCGTGTTTGGCTGAGCCGTCGTTTGGGCGTTCCTTCGTCCTCCTTCGAAGAGGACTCAGGATCGTCCGCATCGAGGTGCGTGATGACGAATCTTTTGGCAACTTCGGGGCTGCAGTCTGAGAGGGAGATTTGGCGGAATACGCGGTCGGGCAGGGCTTTGGAGAGCGGTTTGCTGAAGGAGATGTCGCTGGTCAGGAAGATTACGTGGGCGACGTTCGCCGTCGTGAGGCGTGCGGCCCTGAACATTGTCAGTGATGTCTCTTGCGCGATGGTGGAGTCGCGCACTTACCATTCGGCAATCTTGTCGTAGACAATGCCTCCCTCATGGCTCTTGTGCAGGAAGTTGTCGACCACAACCACAGGTCTCCGCTCCGGATGAGCTTCCAGCCATTCATCGTCGGCGAGCTGAGCATCCTTGTCATCTTTTCGTCGACTTTCCAGGGCAATCTGCCGCAGTGCTGTGGCCGTGTTGTTGAATATTTTGCTGAGTTGGGAATCAAGGGTTTCTGAGAAACCGGTCTTGACTCCAGTTGCACCTTGAGCAGCCATGTCAATCATCCCGCTCATGCTGTTCATCCAGGAGAACACGGGTTTGTAGCCCACAGCCGCCGCAGTAGCATTGATCGTAGGCCCATCGCCTCTCGCATCCTGTATAGGCTTACAATCGATGATGAGCTTATACTTCTTATCCTTGAGGGCCTGGTTGATGACCAGCTCTCGTTTCCCGGTACCGCGTGGCCCTTGCACGATTATGAAAGTGTCCGCTGTTTCCATGAGCCACGTTTGTATCTGCTCAATGTTGGCTTTGCGGTCGTCCCAGACGGCTTCCATGCCGGCGTCTTCGTCGTCTTTGCGGTGCCAGGGAATGATGTCTGTGGCGTAGCCTTTGATCCATTTGTAGAACTTATTGTCGCCGATGTGCAAGGCTCGCGTTATGTGCATTTTGATGAAGAACGTGCGGATTCTACATGCCTATGTCAGCAGTAGGCCACAGGCTCAGGAGAGAGGGCCTTACGGATCAAATATGGCGACGGTGATACCGGCCACCAGAGCAGCAACCAAGGGAATAACAATCCTCGGGTGGTTCACCAACCAGTCACGGATCCAATGGGCCTTGATTTTTCGCTCATACGACAATCTAAGCACAGTACCCTTCTTGCCGCCTCCTTCCGCCTCCGTCACCAGATAACCATGCATACAATTCTTCGCCATAGTCGCCCTCGGAATCGTAGCAAAATCCAAATACGCATATCTCGGCACAATCTTCGAATCTGGGGGCTGCGTCTGGATGTCCCCCAGTTTTCCATACGGCCGGAAGAAAGCATAGAGCTGCTCCTGAGACATTTCCACTGCCTCGGCGCCGGGTTCGGAAGGGATGAATTCCACCTTGAGACGGGACGTAGGAAACCGGAAGAGGTCTTCCAGCCAGGGGCGGCCTTTGACGAGTCCGGCTCGCATTTTGCGTATAGGACTCCACCATGGCTTCACGTTTTCTTCTTCCAGATAGCGTCGAATTACTTTCTCGACTTCAGATACGGGCGTGGCATCGTCATAACTAAACTTGACATAGGCTCCACCTTCCTTGATCCGGGGGATAGTCCTGGACACCTTGATGCGGATGTTGTACTTGGAGCTGGCTTTCTGGATGATCTGCTCGGGATCCCCGCCCGTGCCTCTTGGTCCTATTAGATGGTTCAGCCAGGGGGGTAGTTTCTCCTGCGCGACGAAGGGTATTCGCAGTAACTTCTGAAGTCGTAAGGGAAAGACATTGTCGAAGAATAGGATTCCTTCGTTGGGCCCTGCGCTGATATGGCCCGTTTTGACATCCTCGGTAGAAGTTGATGAACATCGTGATTTGACTACAGTATAGCTCTTCAAAGGTGTACATGGAATCCTATTATCCGTCAACCCACATTCTGCAACCCTTCTTTCCCTTCCGCTTCTTGATTATGACTGTAGCCTACCTCGGCGAGATAAGATAGATCCCACTTCTACTTGCGACAGCAAGCCGCAGCGTTGTTGGGTAGAGCATATTGCTGTTTCAGACACACTGCTATTGGTACATCGTGGTCCTGTCGAATCGTCTCATGGTGACGATACCCTCTTCCAGGATGCATGGTATCGCTGTGAGATCGTGAACGTTCGTTTGGTCGTCGCGCTTGTGACGTAATTCTTGGCATTCACTTACCGTCTCCAGAGCACACGGTATATGATTGGTTGTGCTACTTTCTTGGCACCATTCATCCACCAACAAACCATACAAACAACTACATGTACAGAGCATCTGGGCACGCGACTCTCCTTCAACTCAACAAATAAACTACGTCTCCGAGTTAGGGCAGCAGGACCCCATATTTTATGACAATGTATACCCTGCCTCCAATTCCTCCGCATCCGGTAAGTGTTCGCTTCCTGCCAATAACAACTGCTTCTCTTCTGCACACCGGACATCTTGCGCTTCAACTGATCGACAAACGGTGTCTGAGATATTAATACATACTTCAGGACGGCAATCTCTGGCCTTCCTACAGCGTGGACCCTTTCGAGCTCAGTAATCGAGAATGGTTCCATGCAACAGGCTCCAAAGGCCGCACAAATTATGCTCACCACCACAACCACCAAGTCGTGTCCTACCGTCAAATGCTCCGAGATCTGGACCAGGACGAAATGCAAGTGAATAAGCACAAGAACAATATTCGCAAATTTGGCGCCGGCTGGATACGGCCTCCCGGCATCACCAAGACGTATAGGAAGATTCTGGAGGATGCCAAGAAGCAGGAAGAGGAAGAGGCCGCTGCACGACGCCAGCAGACCTTGATGGACCTGGAAGCCGCGCAAGCAGATGCGGCGAACCGCGAAGCAGCTGCCCAGGGCGGGCACGATGAAGAGATGATGGAGGGCGCGGAGCGGGATCTCGATGATGACGTGCCTGAAGCCGAGGAGGCTGAAGACAGTGACCTGTCGCCAAGTGAGGGTGGGACCGAAGCTGACGAAAGTGAGGATAGCGCGTTGGACGGCACGCAGGCGGATATGACGTTTAACGAGGACAGCTTCATTGAAGGGAGCGTTGTCGAGGCCGAGGTTGAGCATATGCTTGAGAGGGACGAAGCGGAGATGGCGGGCGTACTACAGGATGAGCGCGATCTTGACGACGACATTCCCGAAGCAGGCAGCTATGAGCATACAGATACGGAGTTGGACGATAGCTCTGATGAGGAAGAGCAAAGCTTTGTATCTTTCTCGAATCCTGCAAGGCCGTCTTCCGTGAGGCGCAACTCGAGTACGACTGGGAGACGTAGCTCTGGCGTGACTGGGCGAAGAAGTTCTGGGATGACTGGGAGGCGAAGCTCAGGTTTACCCCCTACCATGCGGGAGGCAGGCGACCGTCCGGGATCGGGCACTTTCAACATTGAGTCGAACCGGAGCAGTTTTGGACTGGAGGGTAGCAGCTCGATTTTGGACAACAGCTCGTTCCTTCGGAGCTCACCTGCCGCGCAAAGAGCCGCTTTGAGAAGTCGCTTTTTAGGAGCTCGTGCTCAAAGAGGAGGACGAAGGGAATGATTCTGCTACGGGTACTTATGGGAAGGGGAATCGTCGATGATTCTGTAATCCATTGATAGACTGGGTGCTTTTTTACAATCAACAATATATCTTAAGGGGCATAGAAACACAATCTGTCTTCAAAGCATTACATGGGTAGTGCTGTTTCCTGTTCTTCGACTCCTAACACTCAGCGAAAATTACAATGTGCATTCTCATCCATCATCGTTCGCCCTGACTTGTGCTTGAGGATGTGTTGTTCTACTGCGGCTTTCCACGTCCGACTGAACATCTAGCTGCAGTTCCTCTGTAGATAGAATTACCTACCTAGTATAATTTAACTAGCTATAACTTAATAATGCAATAGGTAAAATTTTCTTTTAAAATGTACTACTATACGTAGAAGCATTATAAAGCTAATTGCAGGACCTCCTATATTGCTGCCCCGCTAGCTGTTTAAATTAGATGTAGAAAACAGCAGTACAGAGGAAGTGCAGGGGCGTGTTCAGTCGGACAGCTTATGATTTAGAGGCAAAGGGAAGAAGAACTTCGGAAGAAGGCGTGTTGGATGAAGAACTTCCATACAAGTTCGAACGATATCATCAACACGTAGGCACACTCTACGAAAATCCCACGCTGTACCGGTTCAGGAAAACAAGAAAGAAGTACAATGATTCGGCCGGCAGCAACGCATGAGCCAGAGAACTGGCCAACGCGCTCTTTCTACCCCCGTTGTTATGTCTATTCTTCCCGTCAACATGAACAACATATACCTCAGAACCACAATTCCCATATGGGCAGTCTGCGCTCCAGCGATATTCAACAAGGCGCGGCGGACGAGTTACTGAAAAGATTAATACATACCTGATGGCATGTGAGTCTTGCAGCTTAACAGAAAGCGTGAAGCAAATGTCCCGCACTCATCTTCCGACGTTGGGCGTGGTTAGCCGAATTAGGCTCAATGGTCCTGAAAGGTGAAGAGGATCACCGCTTGTCCATTACTTTGCTGAAGCGCTTGGAGCTACTTCAAAATGGGCCGATCGGACGTTGGTGGTAAAGCATTCACTTGCATTATACGGCAACCGACTGTTAGAACAGGAGTGCCCACGGGAGAACACTTTTGCCTTTGTTGACTGTTCCATGCAGCTAGAGAGGCCATGTGTGTTCTTTCTACTCTTCATTTATTCGTTCAAGTTTTAGCCGCGTCTGTTTCCACCGTGTTGGACTGTTTTGCTGTTAAACAAGTGAGTAGAACAGTCGAAAAACAAGTACAAGGGGCAGCCACGCCCGCTGCCTGGGTTGGAAACTGAATCATCATTTCTCTCCCTAGTATACAGAATTCAAGAGGACTGGAAGATCTGGCGCTTCCGTAGATGGACCGGCTCCTCGCCCTTGGGCGTATCTGGTATCACCTTCTCGAGTTTCTAATGCGGTCAATCGAGATGAGCCATTTGCGATAGGAACCACCCAACATACCAGCTTATCAAACACGCACTTATTGAGTTGCCGCTCGGCTGGCCTGCAGTTCCAGAGCTGCTGGTTGTGGTTCTCCAAGCATTGCCAGTGGCTGCGGAATTCCGCCAGGCAATGCTCATTGATGTCTCTGATGCTATACTGGCTATCAGCACGACGGTTGATAACTCGCCGGGGGAAATTCATACACGCTCGCAGCGCATCGTGTGACTTTACGGCCCTCCTTCATGCACTCGAACTCGCCCCGACCGTTGGCCTCCGTCTTGCACATCATATAATCGTCATTGTACGCCTTGCATCGCGCCCCAATGAAGAACGAGGCGCTTAGAAGGGGCGCGGAGCTTGCGCCTAGCTCCTGAACCTTGGGGATGTCATCGGGTAGAGGGGTGGTGTCGATGAGGACCTGCGAAGTGAAGCTGCTCGCAGTTAGCTTCTCCGGCTCCGCAGAACCTCTCCTAGGAGTACAGACCGAGGCTGACGGGCAGACATCTTGAAGGAACAGGGCCAATGGCGGCGGCGCAATGTTCTTGGGAGCTGTGAAGCGGGCAGCAGCGTGGACCTTGACGACGTGAAGTTGGTGGAACGTCCCGGCGTTGCCAAGCCCCGGGCTCCTCCGTTCACGCACCAGCCTCAACTGGTTGCGCCGACAGCTTTTGTTGTCTTTTGTTAACAGCTCCAGCTCCACCCAACCCTGCTGTGCGCACCACGAACGTTTACGCCCGATTGAGCTCTAAGTGCTACTGCGGATCGCACACCTCGACGAAGAATCAACTTGCCGCTAAACGCGTTTTTGGCCACGCGCACCAAGCCCAGTATTTAATACGGTCAATCATCCCCGTCAACACAGGAACAGCTCAAGATGTCATTATTTGGCAGTCTGGGAGGGACATCTGGCGGAACGACGGAGAGAAAAACCGGCACTCTATTTGGAAGCACATCGGCGCCATCGACAGGATTATTTGCGCAGAACCAGCAACAGAATGCTCCCCAACAACAGACCTCTTCTCTATTTGGCGCACCAAAGCCAGCTGCTGGCGGCCTGTTCGGTGCCTCCCAGACTCAGCAGTCCCAACAACCTTCTGGTGGCCTCTTCGGTGCATCTCAATCTCAGCCTGCCCAGAGTTCTCTCTTCGGAAATCCCGCCCCGGGTACATCATCACTTTTCGGAAACACCCAACAACAACAGCAACAACAGCAGCAGCAACCACTGGGGAGCAGTTTCTTCGGCACAACGTTACAACCCGCTCCCTCGCTCCCTCAGCTAGCGGCGCAACAACTACAACAATCTCAGCAAGGACTGCCTCCGTTACGGCAAACCGCGAATTCCCAATTCGCCAGCACGTTGGTGAGCGGGCAGAGTAAGTGGCCTACTATGTCCTGGCCAAGTCACTCCTAACACATGTACCAGGAGAGAAGTCAGTAGTCGACCAAATGATTACCCTTGAGAAGAAGTGGACGCCGACGGAGCGGGAATGCGCGTTCCAGTACTATTTCTATAACAAGGTCAAGCCCGAAGAAGTCCCTTTCTACACACCACAAGACTACGAGGACCCAAACGAGTGGGAGCAGGCCCTTTCGAAGAAACCTAGCGACAGCGTGATCCCGGTCCTATATCGCGGCTTCGAACAGGTCGCCGAACGCATCAAGACGCAAAACTTCATCATCGCAGGGCTGCAGACTCGTCTACATCAGATCAATACCGCTCTGGAGCTCATAAAGAGTAGCCACGAGCTCGAGATTGCGTCGAGGATAGCGGAAGCCAGACGGAAGCATATCGTGTTCACGCAGCGGACACTGGCTCTCGCTGCAAAAGTCCAGATTCTGCGGAACAGAGGCTATGCCATGGATCAGGCGGAAGAGGAGTTGAAGAAGAAGCTCCAGGATTTGGAGAAGCGGTCTTTCGATCCGGTGTTGTCGGGTCGTCAGGAGGAGATATGGGCGAGGATGTCTGGAGTCCGAGAGCGTGCGAGGATATTGCAGGAGGAGACGGACAAGTTGGGGAAGACGTTGGAGGGTCAGCAGGACGGAGCTGTGTTGTCAGAGGAGGACCAGAAGAACATTGATAAGGTGAGGCGTCTCTCTGTGTGTCGGCTTGTTGGAACCTGATGCTAACATTTCTCAGCTTTTGAAAGATTATGACAAGCAGCTGGAGCATCTGAAGAAGTGGGTCGATGATACCAAGCAGGAATACGAGGAGTGGGAGAACGAGCGGAGACCCCAGCCCAGGCCTGCGAGGTGAGGTGGGAAGAGAGCATTCTGTGTAATTGGCGATTTGGGACAATTGGTCTGATGATACCGATCTGGCATATCTTGGGCACATGCAAGTTCATGGTATTTTCGGACAGAGATCATCGGATCCGCATGGTTTGTTGAAGGGATAGAGGGAATGGTAATTCCGTGCATTCCGTGTGGTCGCCGCCGATATCTCCAATGCTGCAATGCTGTATACGCATATCTTGATCGTCCCACTGATATGCAACTCCATCCTGGAGACTCCAATATGCCATTAATCTTACACACTTGTACTCTTACACCCCAACACACCATGCCGCGCAGCCTCTGTTTTTACAAGCATGATATCCTTCATTCCTCTCAGAAGAAAACGCCGCCCATGTGTGAGACCCAAACCCGCAAATACGCTTCTTTCTCCCTCATCTTCTCATGCGCCGCTCGTGTATTACCGGGGTATCACCATCCCTCAAACAAGTTTCCGCACGTAGTCGATAACGAAAGGAGCTATATCATCTGCGTCAGTCGTCCATTCACCTCTAAAAGGAAACCTCGGTTTTGATAGGCCGCTTGTGTGAGTTGAAGGGACTCGTACACAGATACAGCAACACGCAGGCTACAGCCGTGCCTTTGATCTCCATGGCAACGCGGTCCTCGGCTTCGCGGAGCTCGGCGGGTGAGGGCTGCGGTGGTGCTATGAGAGAGGGGGAAAGCGTCAGTCCCGTGGTTCTTGTGCTTGGGATAGAGGAAGGGTGGGTGGGTTGGGTTGGATTTTGGGGAGGGACTTACGGCCGAACATTTCGACACTTGGAGGTTTGGAGGTTTGGGAGGTGGGAGGGAGAAGTGTTGAGGGTTGTGTGTTGGGAGTTGGTGCAGAAGGTCGGAGCTGGCTGCTTGGAGTTATTTTATATTATCAGTAGAGATCTGACAGTATGTAACTTGCGGCCGGCGAGCGGGAGTCTTCATGCTGATAAACCGAAGTTTTTCCGGGGCCGATCACGTGCGCATAGGAGAGGCGATTCCAAGGTTGTTCTGTGGAAGGATTAGTGTAATAGCTAGTTGTGATATCTAATTCAATGTATTCCCAATTTTTTTTTTTTTTAATGTGTTGAATGGCTTTTGCTGGTGTTACCCGGATGTCGGTCTTTTCTCCATGTCGCTTCGATGAATACAGATCGGAGCAATCATCATCAGGGATGTGAATTCATGCTCGCTATGGAAATGCTTTTTATTTTAGCTGTTACATCTCTTGGATTATGTTACATTGGTGACGTAGAGGTGTTGCTCTGATCTTGCTAGTGGCGAAGACAATATACCGCGGTGTTCAAGCCGCGAACCTCATCAACAAAACCTTGTGCCCCGAAAGCGAGGTATTAGAATATCTATAACTAATGACTACCTGTTCAAACTAAACAAAGATGAGAGTATCGTGGTATCCAGCGCATGCCCAAAGCCCCATGCAGTCAAACTATCTATCCTGAACATGATGAACCGTGCCGTTTTTCCCATAGCAGCGCCCACCCTCAAACTCCCTACCCCCCCCAACCACCTAATCCCCCTCCATCTCAGGAATCATTAGACTCGGCGCCCTCGCAACCACGGGATTCCTCTTCAACCCCATCAACCTCTCGAAATTACTTCTAAGATCCACTTCTCTATATCCCTCATTCTCTCCCACTCTTATCGTCCTGAGCATACATCTCCCGTCTTTGATCCAGAAGCACTGCAGAATGTTCTCCAGTGGCATAGCCATGGCAATGGCGCCGGGCTTGAAAACGCTATGTGGTATCTTTGACGCGGATCGTTTCAGTTTCCTGGGAGATAGTGTCGACTTGACGGTATATTCGAAGTGGATGACCTCGGTCATGGCGTTGGCGACGACGAGAGAAGCACCTGACGGGGACTGTGCGGCGTGCACAATCTTCGTGCTGTATGTTTCGTTTTGAAGGGTATCATATCCAGGAAACGGTATCAACATTGGGTATTCCTTCCCCAGAAACGCTGTCACTAGCGCGCACCTGCGTTGTGAATCGTAGAATACGGACGTCAAGTCGCCGTCATTGAGCGTCCATGGAGGCATACTGAAGGAGCGGGAGTGCTCGGATATGGTGCTGACGGGCTCGCGTGTGCAGTCCCAGACGTCGACGTAGACACAATGGTCGCCGAGCTGCGTAGCTACGGCGAGACGTGTGCTGTCGGGTGAAAAGTACAGTTTTCGCGATATGATGGCCGACTGGCGCATCTGTTCCTCGGCGGCTTCTTTGGAGCTGAGGCCTTTCTGCTGAACGCCGAACCAGCATGCTTCGGTGCTATCCGGCTCCGTCACGGAGTCCTGGCTTGTCGTTCTGCCCATTGGGATGGTGCGGCGGTGGGAGATTCCTCCTCTCATCTCGTAGACGTGGATCTGGTGATGGAATGGAACAACTTTGATGCCGTCATCTTCTAGACGGAATATCTCGATATGGTCGTTTATCGAAACAGCTGCGTATCTATCGTTGCGAGACACGGCAAGGCAGATATTTTTCGCGTGTCCCTGGAACTCGATATCAATTTTATACGCCGAAGATAGTTTCATGCCGTCATAGACGGTCAAGTGGTGACTCATGTGTTCCCTTCCACTGGCTGTCATTATAGCGCATTTATGGTTCCCAGCTGCGACAGCTTCGATGTCGGATATGTCATACCTACAGCCCTGGATGGCGGAAGTATCGTTACTAGGTATATCAAAGCGGACGATGTAGCTTCCATCTCTCCCCCAGAGCAGCAAGGAATGTCCCGAGGATGAGAAGACAAATGCTGGATCCTTGGGTAACGGGTATGTCTCCTTCTCTTTCGTAGTAGTCCTTCGTCGAATCGAGTTCGCGAATCTGAGCGCAGTGCGACTGGGCGGTTTTTGCTTTGTTGCGCTGGGCCCGCTCCTTATAGAATCAGAGGAGGGCGTGTCCAGTCTGATGCTTGACATCTCCGATGGGGCGGATGCGGGTATATTGCTAGGAAGGCTGTCGGATATGGACGGGGTCCGGACTGGTATAGGGAGATCTACCGATAGCCGCGAGGCTAGGGGGATGGGTACGTCCAGAGACTCGCTAAGGGGGCTTACCGGGCCTTCGAATAAAGACGAGCCCTGCGAGTGAGCTCGATGAATCATACTGGGCGAGGCCGGACTAATGGGGGACTCGGTGTAGCCCGGCGGGGAAACATGTGTAGGTATATCTGCTTCGGCACTGGGACGGGAACTGTGTGACGGAAGACTCATCGCAGCTGCGGACCGCGAAGGCAAGCTTATAGCCGCGCTGTCGGATTCTGATGGAGCAGAATTGAAAGAAGCAGATGCGGCGTCGTACGAACAGGACTCTCCTATGGAGTATTGACTGACACTCTGTGCGTCAGAATGGAGATTTTCCAGAGCAGCGGCCAGATTCTGGAACGGCTCTATCAATCGAGCAAATCTGATTTTCTCGCCAGATATACAGCTGGGGCAATGTACGCCTAGCCGAAGTTAATATGGCTTTCATTACGAAAATTCCACCGCCTTCTACAGGGGTTAAATCATACTGGACAGTGCATACAGTGCATACGAGCAAAGAGAGGAGTGTTGTGAGGTAACACAGTTCGAGCGGCTTATGTATCCGGAGGTTATAGTGCAGTAGAGCAAAAGGAATCTGAGCTCACCTTCTTTCCAGTTGACTATGGGAGAATTCTCTTGGATGCTCTTCCTATTGTTAGCTTACAGCGCGTAGTATGGGCAAAGGTCATTACCTCGTAAGCCCACTTGTCACACCATCTCAGTTTGTACTCGAGATGTTTCTTAGGAACCACATGCAGTTTCGGGCAGTCCACAATATAGGCCGGCAGGATTGGGCCGTCCAGCTCCCTACTAAGTGTTTCGCCGCTCGTAGCCGTCATCCGAGTGATCCAGTCCTTTACTAATTCTTCAACGTCATCTGGTAAGATTCCTGGTTTTCGAATAGTGAATTGCTCATGGCTAGGTTTGCGAGAGCACAGCCAGACTGCAAAAGTTGTTAGGGCGGCTTCATAGTAAGGTCTAAGTCCTGCGAGCTGTTTGCCGTAACTAGGTAACCGAGCCGCTGTTGGCCGGTTGGATGATCGTTGTTGCTTGAAGCATGTTAACTACAGTCAACATCATTTACAAGTCATGCTCACCATAAGAGAGTCCTGTCTTGATAAGAAGCTGTCAATATCCTCGTTCCAATCCAGGAGTGTGAGCGCAAGGGATTCTAGCAATGCCGGGAGTGGGGTCATAGGCCCTGTAATGTGGAAAATCGAAATGATGAGACTTGTACGGGTGTGATACAGATGCTCCAAGGCATCATCTGTATCCGCGTCTTGCTGAGTGAGCATGCCACGATGCCGATGAAGATCTACCAGCCGCTGTACCACTGCACATTCAACTGCCCAAAGACAGTCAAACAAGACCCAGTACGCATCGATCCAGTCTTCCTCCATAGTACCATGGATGAGAGGCGTCACGAATGTCTCAGGTCTGATATCCAGTGGATACTTTTTCTGTCAGTGATGGCTGCAATACCGTGGGTGCATACATACGAGCCCTGCCGCGAATGTAGGCAGTCTAGCATTCCTCCATTCATTTATGTACGGGTTCTCAGGGACAGTATGCGCTGGGTCTTGAGCTCCCGTCGCTAACGAGTCGAGAATCTGTGCAAACAGATCCGAGACGATGAAACGCTCAACGCCGTGCAGTCGGTCGTTCTGCCAGGCCGAGTTGATCGACTTTTGCAATCTTCGCTTGCCATGAGGCGCCACATGCTCTTTCTTCAACAGCAGGAGCCGCAAACCTGATAGGATTGTCTGGGCAAGGATCTGCCTTGGTCGTGTAAATTCCTTGGTGATGAGGGTCGTTTGACTTGGGAAGAGACGAGTTTTGAGATTGACAAGGTATAGGATTGAAGATAGGAGAAGCTCGGGCGGAAGCAGATATGAGAAGACATAGGGCGGGCATTCGGCAGCACCGTTGGCGATTCCACTTAGGTAGCAGCGTTGCAAGTCGAATATCGTCTTGATCCAGATGACGGCCTCTATGGAAGATTCCGAATCAGCAGCATCATTGTCGTTGAGGGCTGAATCAATAGACTGTTGACCGATAATCTCACGCAAAATGCCTGCAATGTCGTGTCGTCCCTGGAGCGATATCCAAACTTGAGCGAGCTTGTTGTGGTGGAGGGACATCACCGCGGGGCAGCCCTCGGGATCGGAACAGAGCGACTGATACGACGAGACCTGGGACCCTGATAAACGGCGTGGCTTCGTTAAGGTGAAGGGGATATGGAGCGAGATGCACGGCGGCTTTCCCACAGTTTACGACGGACGGCAGGACAAGCCGTTGCCTGAGGGCGTGCGCAAAGCAGGCGTAATGTTGGGCATCCCCAGGCGGACGGACAACTTGGTCTTGGCTGCAACGCAGCAACATCAGCAACACCAGCTCCAAAAGAGGAGGGTAGGACAAGGCGACGCATGCAGTTCACCGTGGTTGGTCTGAAAATTCCCGGCCTCACCTCAGTAGGCCAACAAGCGATTCGCCCTTGTTCACAGAGACTGTCTTGACCCTCTGCCGTTCCCCCGGCCCAGATCGCGACCAGACAGGCGCCCCGGCACTGCCGAAACCCAAACGTATATTTAGCGCAAACCGGTCAACAGTTGCAGCAGTGTCTGGCAGGAATGAACAGAGTGTAGGGGTATCACGTGTCAGTGCTGTATTGCGTTCCAGCGGCTGGGAAGGCTACAGGGTGGTGATAGATTACATTCGACTTTTGGACCCCACCGGAATGGGTCTATTTGAGTCCTCCCCTTGTGTTCCCCGAAATTAATCAGGAGCTTTTCCGCATACGATCGTCCAATGCGGTTAACGTCCGTGGACGACGCTAACAAGTACGGTTTCCGATTTTCGAGATCGATAGATGAAGACTTTTGGAATTAATGAGGCTTCGCTGGAAGTGGTCGCAACAAGCCCAGTCGTTTGCTGTCAAGTCGAGCGTAGCAAGCTAATAGAATTGCGCCGCTGGAACATTAAGGGTATATCAATATAAGAAAGCGTTATTTGCGGCTCGATCCGCCTATTTCATCCAGCCCCATATGAAAGCCACCAGGGCTCTGAGATTCTCCTCATTCCAAACTGGCTCCTTAGGATTGGGGTACACCAGGTGGCCACGACGCCGTCCAGGAACAACGACCTTGGGTGGAGGCCGCTGGATTTGCATCGATGCATTTCTTCTCCATTTGAGCGGGTTCCACCCATCCGACCTCACATGGTAGGCTGCGACAAGGGCAAAGAACGCCGGAATCTGTACGTCTATCAGCAAGGCAACCACCGGAGGGTGTCGTTCACTTACACCAACATACGAGGAGACGAAATCGGCAGTCGAAAAGGGCGATACGCAAGCCCTCCAATTATTGAAAACGATGAGCAGCAGACAGAAAAGAAATCCGTAGTATGCTCGGAACAATTGTCCATGGGTCCGATAAGGATACTGTTTGTCGTCACGGTTGAAGGCCGATCGATTTTCGAGCGTATGGTCCTCAGCTGCTGCTTTGATCCGATGGTAAAACTGAATGTAAGAAAGACAGATGACAGCATATGCAATCAACTCCGACACCACGGCATTATTTGTAATCCGGCCGAGCACCAACGAGGGGAACGGCTTCACAGCCAGAAAAGCGATGAGGCCAACAGCCCAGCTAGCCGTCACGGTGCCGAGGGGTACGCCTCGTGAGGTCGTTCGCTCCAAGCGTCTCCTAAAGTTCTGCGCCCACAGAGGCCATGCTTCCGGAATACTGGCCAACGCATGAAGTAAGCGGCTCGAATTATATAAGCTGTTGATGCCTGATGTGGTCGCGGAGAAAATGAAAAAGGCGTTGAACAAGCTTGGCCAAGTCCTCAAGTGATTCCGTACAGCTGCGAGCACAAAGATACTGTTTTGACCGGCGCGGATACTGCTGATCTGGATGTTGATAAGGTTGGGATCGTTGTAAGGAACGTTCAGGCCTCCCACAAAGGTCCCCAGCACATAAAGAATGGTGATGCGTAGCGTCAACTTTTTGGTAGCCAGCTTGATGGTCTCGTGCTTTTCGAGATCCTTGTTCTCGGCTGCCGTGATAGCGATTGTTTCGAAGCCGACGAAAGAGAATAGTGCGGCAACAATGGCAGTCCATAGAGCCAGGAATCGGCCTTGCTCGCCCCTTAGTACCACTCCTGTATCGACATCGTGAGAAGGGTGGACGACCAGGCTCTCCGACGAAAAACCGTACGGTTTGTTCCAGGTCCAGAAGTGATTCCCATGGGGTACCAGCTGGATCGCACTGATTATGACATTGAACACGATGAGCCCGGAAATAAAGGTCATCTTCAAGACGCCGAATATGTACTCAATCTGGCCGTATTGTCGCACGGGAAGCAGATTGACGAGCCCGATAAGGATCAGGAAGAGGAACACCCAAACTGCTGGGCTGCATAGAGGTCAGAAAATCGCGAAATCCAACGTAAACCCCGATGACGTTTGCATCGTTACAATGAGGGTTTCACGTACCTGTACCCATCTGTGCTCCAGCCCAACTCTTTCTCGGGATAACCCACGTCCCTCAGGTACTGCTCGTCGAACCGAAACTTCCATAGCTGGGCAACGGCCAGAACCTCTGCCGCTAAGATGGCCACCCACGCAAACCAAGATATCCATCCCGTGGCATATCCTACTGCTTCATCGATGAATCGACCGGGAAATTCGAAAAGCGGTCCCTGAACCGGAAACAGAGCCGTCATTTCCCCTAGACAGGCGACTACGGACCACATAACGGAGGATGCCAGAACAACAGCAACAATGGCCAGCCCAGGACCAGCAATGTAGATGATTTTCCCGCTTTGCAAGAACTGGGCCTCGTTAACTGGTGTTCAGCCCTACACATCGATGGAAATCTGGAGCTCCATACCAGACCAAACCCTATACAGGCAGAGAATGCCATCATGTTGACATGGCGTTCCTTGAGGTCCGCGCTATGGCTCGATGTCAGTACACCCTGGCGTAGGAGGCATCCTACTCGTTCATCTCGTACCTGAGCACGGTTCGTCTCGTCATGGTTGACCGCTTTTGCGCTGCGCTTCTGTTTTCAGCGTGTTCGGCTTTGGAGCAGCCTCGTTTTGAGGCATCGGTTTCTCCAACAAGAATGGGAAATCTGATGAGGCTTGCAGGACTAGAGAGAGACCGCGACTGCTATAGCATAATAGAAGGTGGAGGCCACGACCCCACCTCGTATTCAATTAGAAGCAGCGAATGAAGATGTTTTGAGCGAGTATGCAGTGCTACGTCCGGCCCCTGTTCAGCTGGAACTTTTTCTTGCAGCTTGTCTTCGTGGCAAGGTTGCACAGAGGGAGGAAACCAATGATAAGGGCCCAACAAGAGGGTGATGGTCTCTACCCTTCGCCGAACCCATTTCCGTTGAGGTGGTACAGGGGGCCGGGCCAATGCGTCTACCGATTTGCTGTGCGCGCCGAGAGAGTGGACGAGCCATCGAGGAGCAGGGAGGAGATGTGAGAGAAGGGGTTGATCTGCGATGTGGTTGGGCGGGGACGGAGGTGTGGGAGTTGCCGAACGGAGTGGCTGCTGGCCGTTGTCTAAAATCGTAAATTCGGGAGGGAAAACACCCAGCCGCCTTGGCCTGGAATTTGGGTCCAACACAACCTCCTGCCCCTCAAGGGAATCTCAACCCGTGCAGCCAACACTGTATTGTATTTTCTGCTGCCAGACCTCCCTATTAATGCGGGCGCTAGTAGTTGTGGGACGAGGGTCTCCCACGCATCCGCCCCCATGCGGTGAAGCGAGACGAGATGGGACGAACATGTGCTTGGGTCTGCACTATGTATTATCATTGCCCCTGTGCGTGGACTTGTCGGACCCGACCATGTCTTTGGTGCAAAGGATTTGATCTTGTTGAGCAGATCGAAGCAATCTCTCGAATGGCCTCCTTCACCATGCAGCCGCCAACAAATGATGTCCGAACGAGCAATTGCGACAAAAACCCGGATTATCGTGTACCTAAACGTTGAGGACAATATCAACTTTGGAATGCTAGGGCGGATTTTCACGGCTTGACCCGGAAGAAAAGAGAAGACTGATAATTGACCTACACAGCAGTTCTAAGTTGCGCTGAACCTGGAACGCCAACCATGCACCTCTGCCCTAAGGATATCTCCAGCAATCTGATGTGAATGGACCGAGCCGACCTTGCCCCAGTGCCTAACTCCGAACCTCGACAAATGTGCGCCCTTTTTCCCCAGCGATACACGCAGTACACCCGACGAAGGGTCCTGGGGCTTTTACCGCCCGCCTCGACCTGTGCGCGCCTTCATTCGTTTGAGAATATCCTCTCCGCCAGCGTAGGACCGTCTCCCCGTCTCATTATTAGCGATAAAGTTACTCTTGGGAACGACCGTGTAGGTGGTCGGTCCGCCCTCCATGCGAGCACGTTGATATGCACGAGGAGCCTCGAGAGCTTTAGCACGTGCGGCCGCAGCCTGGCTATCCGCAGGTCTCGTGTTCCGGGTCACGGAGGATTTACTGTATGAGAAGTCAGTAAACAGATTAGCTCTCAGGTAGCGGCGCTGAAACATACGTTGGATCATAGTCGACTGTCTTGAACTGCTTCTTGCGGTAATCATCCGACCGCCGAAGAATTGGGCGAGTCCAATCCGTGAACAAACGCTCGGCTTGACGCTTGATGGCGGGCTCCGGTCGCTTGCTCTTGATGTAGAATATGATGACCTTGCCAATCCCAGAAGCAATCAGGCTGTCCTTGTTGATAGGCAGCTTCGCTAGAGCACCAAAAAGCTCCTTTTGTATGTCGTACGCCGGTAGACTGCCGTCGTTTAGAGGCTCAAGGAAGAACTTGATCGCTTGGAGAAGATTAGTGTCCGGATCGACAATGTTCTCTCTGAGGTTTTGCTTGTTCAGAAGAGTCATGACCCGTGGCAGAAGTTGTAGTTTGTGACGTGCTGGTTCACCACGCTCACGGCCCTGATTGTCGGCCTGGGCAGCTTTGACCATCTCCGTATACATTTGTGCAATCTCTTCGTCGGCCATGCCTTCTAAGTCAACACCGGCCATCTTACGTCGACGAGTGGTCGTCCTCACGGCCTCATCCATGGCGCGATCAAGCGCGCGCTTCCGGACTGTTCATCTCATCAGTACGACGACTCTGGTGATGTAAAGGAGAAGCCGCCTACTTTCTTCAGGACTAAGCTGCTCCTCGGCGACTTCATCTGGACTGGCTCCCCTGACTCTACCTTCTCTCCGGGACTTTCTAGTTTTCCGGGCACCAGTCTCATCGCCGGCGGCACCTTCATTGTCCTTGGCCTTCTTTCTTCGCGGCTTGTCCGCTCTCTTCTTCTTCTTTTTGGGTGCCTCCCCTTCTCCTTCCGCACGCTTTCTCTTATGGACTCCAATCAAGTTGAGGTTGGTGTCATCGATGATTTGCGCCGGGCGCTCTTGCACGGCAATATCACCAATATCGAAGTCCTCAAACTGCGCCTCATCGACCTCGGAGAGTGCGGATTCATTATCAGAGAGGCCAGCTTCTTCGATGTCCTGTTGATCAGGTAGAATTCCTTTCTCGTCGTCTTCCTGAACTTCCATATCTAGCTGTGGGTCGGTGATAGGAGGGTTTGGGGTGGAGTTCTCCTCGTCAATCTCGGGGCGCAGAGGGTCGCCAGGATCATGACCGGCTTCGGGGAGAGGAGAATTCGAGTGAGAGCGCGTGAATTCGACGTCCTCCATGGCTCAAGAATTCCGTGTGCTGGGCGCAGGATGGATGGATGTCAAGCAGAGTAAGTAGTTGATTGAGAGGGAGAGCTTGTCGCGGCCGCCAAAGAAAGCACGGCCCGCGACCACAGGTCTTGGCATTTGGCTTCAATGCGGACACCACGGAAGTTACCTTTGGCTTAGTCATCATCTCTCCAGCCGCTTTAACTTCGTCTCCGGCTTCTGACGACTGGAACATCCTCACTCCCCTTCACATCACGGCCACGACAGCCTGCCATTACTCTACTTCGTCCCTGCGCTTGTTTAGGCGACTAGCCTCACCCGAAAACCTCTCTGTTTCCCGACAAACCTTTCGTCTGCGCAGCTGGGCGACCTTGAAGTCCCACTTACCCTGGCTTTGTTCGCCTCTATAACCTTCTGTACTTCTTTCGCGGGTCATCTCGGTCAGCCGCCCGCCGTCCACGGTCGCGTGTTCTTCTCCTCAGGGTGGTGTGAAGGCTGGGGGCGAACATCTGGGCTATAGAATACAGCAGGAGGGGGAGCGCAAGCTTCTCTGTTTCGGACGTTGCAGGCGCATACGGCTCGCTGCTCTTGCAAGCGAGATCTAGCTAGTTACGAAGAACTACCGCATTTCTTCTCTGTGCCAGAAAGAGGAAGCAGTTGATATTGTTCCTTGCTCTTGGGAATCATACTCTGCGCGCTTGGTCTCATCTTCTAGCACAAAGCGCACATTTCACCGTCCTCTAACAATAACATCGCTGCCCCTTTGCCCCGATTGAAGCGAACATACTTGCCCACTATGTCAAATGCCTCCGCCGAAGTTGCTGCAGACTTCAGGGACGCGTTGCAAGATCTGAAAATCAATAGCAGGCCCGAGATCAGCAACCTAACCATCATCGCCAAAGAGAATACAGAGCACGCACAAGCCATATCACACGAATTGGAGAATCACATTCGAACAGTAAGTCGGCCTCCCGCAGTCATTTGGCGGAGAGGTCTGGACACTCGCTGACGGTAACAGACTCGGCCGGAATGGAAACTCCCTGCGCTCTATGTGCTCGATTCTATCGTCAAGAATGTAGGGACGCCGTACACTGTGTTTCTTGGCCGCAACCTTTATCGTACCTTCATGGATGCATACATGGTCATGGATCCGGCCAACCGAAGAGCGATGGATGGCCTCTTGAAGACCTGGAAACAGCCTGTACCTGAATCTATGGATACGAACCCTGTCTTCTCCCCGGAAGTCACTCGCGATATCGAGAACGCCCTTATCAAGATTCGCACTGTGACTGTTCAGCAGCAAGCAATGGCTCAAAGAACACCCCATGGTCTACCTCCTCGGCCAGCTTCCAACCCTATGGCCAGTGGTGCGTGGAGGAACACTCCAACTCCTCCCCAGGGCGGGCCCCGGCATGCAGCTCCGAATGATCCTCGAGTCAGACACGTAAGTTCGCGCACCCATGCCGCTACATATCACTGACCGTACTCTACAGAACTTCCCAACACCCAACAATTATGGGCAGCTGCCAGTTGCTACGCCCCCTTCTCAAGTTCCAACACCGCAGCCGCCAGTCACATCGATTGATCTCGAGAGCCTGAAGGCTGACTTGGCGAAACTGATTGCAAGCACGAGGGGTGCATGGGAAGCAACACCAACTGACCTTGCATTAGCACAAAAGTTGAAAGCTCTTATGGATTTGCAGACGGTTTTAAATACTCAGACCATTCCCCCTCAGCAACTTCAGGCCATACGGACTCAAATCCAGGCACTTTCCCCGCCGCCTCCACCAGTGCAAACTTATGTTCCCCCTATTGCAACGACTCCTCAACCATTTATACCTTCGCCGCAGCAGGCGGCGCCACCCTCACTCCCTCCAGCAAGCGGCGGGTTTAACCTTGCACAATTGCTGGCCCAAGCTCGACCACCAGTTGCTCAGACACCCACTCCAACCCAGCCCACCTTGTCTCTCGCGGATCTCCTGCGCCGTGTATCATCACCGGGGCAGATGTCCTCCACCCCAGTAGCTGCCGCACCCTTTCCGCCTCCGCCGCATTTTCCACCCGTGCCTCAACCTGTCGCCACTCCCACACCAGCTCCTGCTCCTACTCTAACTCCCACAACTAACCTTGCACAATTGCTCGCGCAAATGACCAAATCTGGATCGGCGCCGCCTCCTCAGGTACCTCAACTGCCTCAGTTGCCCACGCAGCCACCAGCTGGAAGCTCTGCTCCGGGGGCAACGGACTGGCTATTGAATGCTCTCAAAGGAGTACCTCAGATGGCCACAACAGGCGTTCTGCCACAATCAACGCCGACCGCATCAACACCCATGACACGGCAAGCTTCCGGCATGACAGCCGTACCAAACTCAGTCGAGTTGACCACGGCGTCGATGAAGCAGTAAGTTGTGCCTCTGGCAACGGTTAAGTGATTGCTTACGCATATAGACCACGATTCCACTTGATAGCCAGACTGTATGGCGCAAAGCCCAACATATGCGCCACTTGTGGGCGCCGCTTTGAGAACAGCGCTGAGGGAAAGGAAAAGAAGGCGCGTCACATGGACTGGCACTTCCGGGTAAAGGATCCTGATGCGACTAAGCGCGGTATTCACCGTAGCTGGTATATCAGCGAGAAGGCAAGTTTTCCGTGGCTCCCTTCTCTCGTGCACTGCTCACAAACTATAGGAATGGATCGAATATCGTGAAGTCGACGAGAGCGCACCCGATACCGCAAACTCGGCCAAAGCGGCTGCAGTTACTTTGAAGAAAGACCCGAAAGAGCAGTATGTGCATGTGCCCGCTGACGCCGCTCGTGATGCGCCCTGTCCCATTTGCCTGGAGAAGTTTGACTCCAATCTCAAGTGGCACACGGATGCGAATGATTTTGTATGGATGGATGCAGTCAATGTCAACGGCAAGGTCTATCATGCAACTTGCTGGGATGAGTACAGTAAGGGTGCTGGTATACCTGCGCCGAGCACCCCAGATCCGGTGTTGGGGAAGCGCAAAGCCGATATTGGGACGCCAGTCTCAGGCAAGAAAGTCCGCGCCTATTAAGTTGAGCTCGGAGGTTGAGATGAGATGGAGAGATGCTGATTACAGCCTCTCCTCGCTCGCATTGATTGCTGCATGGAGTTGGGTCTGTAGTATTAAATGCCTGAAGGAGCAGCATCTTCGATCGGAATATATCATGATTGTATCTTCAGTCCACCTGCTCCACTTTTAGGGTGATAGTATTAGACGGCTAACCGGGACCTGTGTGTTTGCGAAATCTTTTTTAGTTTCTGATGCTATCACACTCATAAAGCGCTTCGGCAATGATGGTGTGTAGGACTCCCATGACTATGCTCCCAAGGTACCTAGCCTACCTACATTGGGACCTAACCTAGGTAGGTAGATAGCTTGAGGTGCCATTAGACTATACGGCTGAAACCGTTCATTGGTCCGTATGGTCCGCACCAGAAACGGAAGTGGTCCCGTCGCCCCGAGTGGGCATACTGTGTAGTTGTGATGTTGAAAAGAAGGTGTTTGAAGTCTGTGTTCTATGCTGTCAGACAGATTATTTTCCCGTCGGCCCATCACTGCCACTCGCTCTTGCTTCGCGCAAATCCATGGATTACTATGAAATGGGCGAAGAGCACGGAGTACGGGAGTGGGATGATGGGGCATCTGATTGCGACCTCGGCCACCGTAATGCCAAGGCCTTCCAACCGAACCATGAGCATGGATTGATGGTTTCCCTGCGCAACTTCAAGTTGGCCTCTCATCTCTGCACCGCGCCGGAGAGTCAATTGCGCCTTCGGGAAGCCTCCCTCACCTCCACCGTCTCTCCATCAGATCCTCCATCTCCTTTCTCCACTCCTAGCTCGGCACAATGGCTCCTCTGGCGGAACAGGTCGTAGACGACCTTAAGCAGCACATTGCTCGGCTCGAAGGTCGCATCGCAGAGCTCGAGGGCAAGCTGGCACCAGGTCATGCCGGCGCGCCTGCTCCGACCACACCAGAGGGCGTTCGCATGATTCTAATAGGCCCTCCTGGTGCAGGTAAGCTGCTTGAGTCTTTCCTGAGAGGCAGTTGCTGACATGCGCTACAGGCAAGGGAACTCAGGCCCCCAAGATCAAGGAGAAGTTCTGCGTCTGCCATCTCGTACGTACCCGGCCGCCCCATAATGCTGAACAGCGAAATTCGACTGTGCGCGCATGTACTGACGAACGTAGGCCACTGGCGACATGCTGCGCGCTCAAGTCGCGAAGAAGACTCCTCTTGGACGCGAAGCAAAGAAGATCATGGATGCCGGGGGCCTCGTCAGCGACGAGATCGTGGTGAACATGATTAAAAGCGAGTTGGATAACAACACCGAGTGCAGAAACGGGTAGGCGGCGCTGGTTCGCAGCCTGGTAGGAGAGTGCTAATGATATCCAGTTTCATCCTCGACGGTTTCCCCAGAACCGTTACTCAGGCCGAGAAGCTCGACGAGATGTTGGCTGCAAGCCGCAAGCCTCTCCAGCACGCCATTGAGCTCAAGATCGACGATGCCCTGCTCGTCTCACGTATTACTGGCCGTTTGATCCACCCCGCTTCAGGTCGCTCTTATCACAGCATCTTCAATCCGCCCAAGGAGCCTATGAAGGATGATATCACGGGCGAACCCTTGATCCAGCGATCCGACGACAATGCTGACTCTCTGAAGAAGCGGTTGGTGACCTACCACACTCAGACCGCCCCTGTTGTCGAATACTACCGGAAGACGGGCATCTGGAAGGGCGTTGATGCCAGCCAAGAGCCGGGACAGGTGTGGAAGAGTTTGTTGAAAATATTCGATGAAAACAAGGCCTCCAGCCCCAGTGGAAGCCTCCTCAACAAGATTACCCTCAAGAACTAGAGAAATGGAGCCCCTCATACACGGCCCCACCGTGTGGTCAATGGAGCATTTGCCCTCGAAAGGGTAGGCTCGAAGATCCTAGTAATGCCTCACGTTCAAAAACAACACGACATCTAAAAGTTGGCCTTTGATCTTTTGTTCGGCACCGCGTGGAAAGAGAAGAAGGACCATGATTGCACATAGGAGGCATATGGGCGTGCACTCTTGCGCTTTGTACTTGTAAAAGGACCTCATGATTCAGGATTTGGATGGGTACTGTTCACATATGTAGTGTACGTTTTGCGGATCCTGCGCCCTGCGAGCAAACGGGGCTGCGCATAGCGGATCGTCTTGCTCATGGTATAGACAAGAACAGAAGTATTATGACTGCGTATGCGCAGCAGTAGTGTACTGTCAATTTGTTTATAAGCTTGCCTGACAAATGTGGAAAATAGCTAGTTTACCTAGTTTCTGGGATATTTTCGACTCTCCAGCTCTTTAAGTGGGTAGGCCCTATGATTTCGTCTATGAGAGATCCGATAAGCAAATCATCTCAAGTAACATCTTTAACATCTATCTACTCACTCTACTCGTAAGAGACCTTGTCTTACCTTCTGCTGAGGCCTGCAAACGATGCACTTTCCGCGCTAATCCTCAAACAGGAAGGCCTTATGGGAACATCTTGGCAGACTACTTGGACCACGTGCATCTCAGTTCACATCCAACATTGCATTCACGGTTCAAGGTCGCACAGGCAAGGAAATCTGTCTTCTTGTTTGCTTTATCTTCGCGCTCGTGTTTGATGAGCGGAGCTGGAAATGGTGCGGCAGGCTCCGAAGCCACAGAGAATGCCTCTAGACCAAAGACTTCTGAACCCCCTGTGATGGATGGTTCATCGAGCTCGAAAGTCACGGGTGTGTCGAAGCGTCTTTCGCATACCAGAACTAAGCTAACCCTTTTTCCAGTGGAGTACCATGACCCTTCTGGCCTCTTTCCCTTGGTCCAAGAACAGCTGGCATCAAGATTTCCGCTGCGGAATCTACATTGGAAATCGCCGACCCGCCCCTTAAGGTCTATTGATTCGCTCCATGTAGACCTTGTTCCAAGCCAGGACTCTGTGCACATTGCTGGTGTGACTAGTGGACTGACTGCTCAAGATGGATCTCAAACTGCTCCTGCCAATCGCTCCGCATCAAGTGGTGAAATCCTTAGACCGCCTTCGAAAGAGAGACGGCATCAGATCCCGGGACTGAGACAGACACCTTATTTGAAAGTGTATCTCCTTAGATGCGATGATTCAGACACATACAAGGCCACTGCTCGGAAACAATTGAGAGAATGGGTGAAGGCCCACACACCTCCATCTCAGAGCAGCTCCTCCTCCAGTACCCAGGAGAACCATGACGCCTTCGAGTGGATGATTCTCCATGTGGTAGTACCCGACACCCCTGCTGCGAGTCAGCCTCGTGGCTCAGCTTCTTCTACTACTAGCACTGGAGAAAAAGAGAAATCGAGCGCTACTTCGCGCTGGACGCGGGGTACGACAACTATCCTCGAGAAGATAAGGGCTGATTTCAACATCTCTTCCAAATCTGCCCCTGATAGAGTCGCTCAAGTCCGCTTGCGCAAAGATGCAGTTCCTCCCCATATGCTTCCAACAACAACTGCTACGGCAACTCCTCCGATCACGGAGAGTCCACAGGAGGAGCAGCGAGCTTGGGCCGATGTTATAGCCAAGTTCAAGTCTTTGATTCTACTGTCGTTTGATCTTCGCGTTCGCCAGTATGAAGAGGATATCAGAGAAAAGGAAGCGCAGCGCGTCCTGCCTGGCTGGAATTTCTGTACTTTCTTCATGCTCAAGGAAGGCCTAGCCAGAGGATTCGAGAGCGCAGGTCTGGTCGAGGATGCTCTTCTTGGGTACGATGAACTCAGCGTGGGACTGGATTCTGTCATCCGTGACCAAGCGAATGATGGAAGCGGAGGACCAGGCGGTGAGATACTTGCTTACACGGAAGAATTGTTCGAGAAAGCACAAGAGATCTACAAGCGGTCGCAGAAGGATGACGGCGGACGCAAGGAGCCCATGGGCCATATCCACGACGCCCGGCCAATCGATTCGAGAAAGAAAAACTACCGAGACCTAATTCTCTCGAACAAGATCTCTATATTCGACTTCCGGTGCTACATCTTCGCGCGTCAGATGTCATTGTTGCTGCGCTTAGGAAATGCACACTCCGCGCGATCCGATCTGGCCGCAAAGCTGCACCCTAGGCCTACCAGTATCCACCGCTCAATATCTGAAAATGACGTCCCGCAGGGAAGTAAGATCGCCAATTCGAAGGAAGACTCTGAAGATCTCCTTGCTCTGGCGGAGTTATGCTCACGTGCGCTGAACTTCATCACGTTCGCTGGGCGGCTGTTGCGAGAGGATCTGATCAACGGGTAAGGTGTCCGACTCATTGAAAAGACATTTGCTGACTTGGCAAAGAGCAAAGGCACACGACACTGAGTTCCCCCAGCACCTGATTGATAATCTGGTGCATTCGTGGACGTATGCCGCATTACAGCAACTGATAGAAGAGACTGCGACTTCCTCGTTACCCATCTCACGATTCTCACAAGACATCTCGACAAGTTCTTCAGGAAAGATGCAGCCTTTTGGAGACCACAGCAGGGAGCAGAAACTGAGTTTCGCGGAACCGAAAACAATGATCCATCCTACTCGCTCTTCATCTCTACACTTTGGCCGTTCGTCTTCAGCAGATCCCCCATATGCTCAGACCCCTCCAAGCGCACATGTCATCTATGAGAATGGACAGCACCGTGATCGCCCAGTTCCACCAGTGCACGAAGTTCCAGCAGGCGGAATCAGAACAGGGTCACAGGAACTGGCTGCCACAAGGGCGCAATTGTATATTGTGCAACGACGCATTTTAGAGAATATTGGAAAGTCATTGGGATGGATGGTCGGGTGGGCTGCCATATTGCCACCAGAGAATGAGAAGGAGGAGCTCAGTGACGTCGACCTGAGCGAGGCAGGCGATCCCCAAGAAGTGGATGGTGCCAGAGTTAAGCCAAGTGGTGTCGCCTTCACCAGCGTTGGGCTCTCTGCGGCCGCTCTTGTCGATGCCATTTCATCCGAAGAACATTTTCGGCAGTGCTATGAGGTATTCCCACTGGCTGGTAAAGATTTCCCTGAGCTAATGTGGGAATAGACCTTAAGCGACACGATCGTAAAGCATTACATGGCGGCCGGTCAAGTAAAAGCTGCAGAAAGCGTCCTTGGCGATTTAGCTGCGCTGCGATAGTAAGTCAATGCATCTCTTCCCAGTTCCAAACTAACAACAATAGTGATGTCGGCGACTATGCTGCTGCTGCCATGTATTTTGGGCGCATGGCCTCTTCCTTCGCTGAGAGCAGGTGGAACCTCGTGGAAGCAACGATGTTAAGGCTGTATGCACAGTGCCTCAAGAAACTCAACCGCAAAGATGAATATGTCCGCACTCTGCTGGACTTGCTCACCAAGTCAGCTGCGCATAAGAGGAGGGTCAAATCCGGAAAGGACCACGAGGCTGGACTTCCTAACAATTGGCTTGATGACGACAAGCTAGAGACTGCAGGTGTCCTTGCTGAATTGATCGAGTATTCGGAACAACTCCCCTACGACAAAACAGTGGCCATGAACTACTACTTCGAGGATATCTCTGTGGAGCCATTTGTGCGGCATTACGAAGACAAGGATGGGTTCCAGCTTCGTCTCACCTTCAGGCATGTGCTCGAGGATGGAATCGTAATTGATCGAGCCAAAGTGCATTTAGTCGGCACAACTCCAGCTCAGACCAAAGATATCTGGTTGGACAGCACGGGTTCTATCGAAGTGAAGAGGGGAATATGCCGTGTATGGCTCAATTCTAATGTCAGTTCAAATACCTATTCCTCAGCCAGACTAAGCTAACACATCCAGGTCAATACCACGGGTCCCTACGTTGTCGACAAGATCCTTCTCAGCGCGAAGAGAATACTCTTTTCCCACGAGCCCTTTTCCAAAGCAGAAGCAACCACGCCGCTGGGCATCATCACCTCCGTCTCCGCGACTTCGTTGAAGGTCGCGAGGAAGAATCGGATCCTGTGCTATCCCCGCCCCGAATCCCTAGGTGCCAAAGTTGGCTCATCGAATTTCATTCACATGGACCAACCGCGCTCGATCGAGATTCAATGCTCTAGCGGTTGGAACGCCATTCAGAAAGCAGAGATTCGACTGAAGTCTGCATCAGCGGGGCTTCGGTTACGCACGGCCAATACAACCGTGACGGAGGGGGACATAGAGATTATGGAGAAGGGTCAGAAGCCTGGTGTATTTACCATCGCAAGCATGTCCAGCGACACTACGGCGAGGTACAGCATCCCGTACGAGCTGGAGACCATGTTGCCCGAACTGTCCATCAAGCTGGAGATTGACTATACTACGGACCGGGGCCAGTTTCAGTACCATTCCTCCTTCACGATACCCATTGAGCTCCCGCTGGACGTAAACGTGCACGACCATTTCAAGAATGAGGCCCTGTTCTCCAAATTCAACATCAAGACTGCAAATCAAACCCCTTTGGAGATTCTCAAAGTGGGTCTCGAGGGCTCGGAGGAGTACGATGTCATTGCGCCGAAGATGAATACTGTGGACGGGGCTGGCGCAATGGTGTTTCCTAAACAGCCGTTAGCAGTGACCTATCGGATCGTCAAGAAGCCGCAAGATAAGAGCGCAAAATCCAAAGCCGGGGTGAAAGCGTCGGCGAGCAATACCGGGAGTCTAGCTCTGTCAGTGACATATCGCTGTCTCGACGAGGATGTCCTCGACCGTCTGTGCGCGCTATTCACATCCGCCATGAAGGACAGCCCGGTCGCGAACGTGTCGAGGCTACTAGCTGTAACGTTTGCACAACGCGTGAAACAGCGCGTCCTTCCACACCAGATGGAACGCATAGCCTTGCTAGAGAAAGTGAACCTTGGGTCCTTTGAGGATATGAACTGGGGAGATTGCTTGGACGGTCTGCCGCCAACGGTGAGGAAAGAAGTGTCCAACTGGTTAAAAGACTGGTGTCAGGTACGATTCCCTTCTCTCTCGAGGGTCCATCCCATCCTTCTCTCCGAGATAACAAACACTAATCCCCATCCTAGAAACACAGAACCATCCTTCTCCCTTCATCCAACGCCTCCCCCTGCGACCCAGGATCGCAAAATCTACCTTCGGCACCTCCCTCGCCGAATCCCCCAAGACACATCATCATCACAGTCTCCATCCCGCATCCAGACATCCTCTTCACCGCCTCCCTTTCCCTCTCCCTCCCAACATCCTCTTCACCGCCTACTTCGCAGATGCACATGCCCATAGCCATATCCGGCAAACCGCTGCACACGACGCTGAGGATCAAGCACACGCGGCTGTGGGCGCGGGCTCCCACGCATCCCGCGAAGAAGAGAGCCGGGCAAAAGCAACACGTGCTGGAGGGAGAGGACAAGAAGGAGAAGAAGGCAGAGTTCGTGTACACGATGCTCGCGGACCCGGAGACGTGGCTCGTCGCCGGGCAGCGGAGGGGCCATTTCTCGCTCCCGCTTCGCACGGCCGTCGATGATGAACAGCAGGAAGGTGGGGCCGAGGAGAAGGAGAAGGAGGGATCGCAGCTCTCCATCCCTCTGATCCTGATTCCCCTCGTCCACGCGGGCGTCGCTCTTCTGCCGACCATTGATATTCGCCCTGTTGTCCCCGAACGCAGGGGCGATGGTGAAACTGCTGTTGCTGCAGGGACGACGGGCGCAGCAGGACAAGGATATGAGGAGGAGAGGATGCATGTAGAGACGGACTGGTTGAGTGCGGGGGAGAGCGTGGTCGTGGTCCCCGATGTGCGGAGTGCGACTGTTGGGGTTGCGATTGGGGAGAACGTCGGGGCCGGGGAGAAGGGAGGGATGGGAGGAGGAGTGAGAAGTGTGTGGGTTGATGGCGTGGGGCTGTAGATAGATAGGGTAGATAGTCATCCATCAAGGAGTGAATGGACGAGTTGGAGATGCTAGATACATCCATTAATCTGATCGGCGGACGATTGCTAACACTTATTCCTTCCTGTTTCTTGTTGAGAAGAACGTCGTGGTATGTATAGATCGTTGAATCTATCATCTCATGCATAAATGCAACATCTCAACTCTTCTCTCTCATCTGTCCGTCCCCCCGTCTACCTGTACTGTATGTACACTTACAAAGTCGTACCTTAAGCGTCAGATGGATCACCTCAGTACAGCGTGATATATAGTATACAAACACCCACCCCCAAGTGCAGAAGAATCTCTCTCGCGTTACGCCATGAACACCTTCCCATGCATCCTGTTGAAATCAATCATCAGATCATACCCCTCCATCATTCCAGTAGAAGCCCATCTCCTCCAAATAACCCTTCTAGATCCCTCTAAATCAACCCGGCAAGCCCATTACTCGCATACGCCATGGGCTTGACATCGGGATGCGGCACCGCGTTGAACTTTGTAAACTCCATCTTGTTCTCCTTTCCAATCTTGATGAATGCCCCTTTATTCCCCGTGCTATCGCAATAGTGCGGCGCCGAGAAGACGGTGATGCATTTCCCGTCGTGCTCCACCTCGTAACCTTCCATGCGCACCTCGTGCGAGCGGATAATAGCCTCCAAACCGTTCCTCTCGCAGAAGCGCTTCGTGACGTCCGGTCCGAACTGCAAGCCGACGCCGCGTTTCGAGGGACCCCGACCGGGCGCCGTCTGCGGGTCGGTCCAGAGCATTTCCATCATGAGGCCCGACTGGCCCGGTTGGCGTTGCTTGAAGCGGTTCAGCTTGCGGATGTCGTCGAGGGTGATATTGTCATCAGAAAAGAGGCCGCCGTGCAGGACGAGGAATTTGGAGTTGACGAGGGTGGCGAGGGGTAGGGCGGAGAAGGATTCGGAGAAGAGCTTGAAGACGCGCTCCGTGTACTTTGCGCGGCATTCGCCCTCGAAGCCGTACATGCGGTTCATGTCGTCTGTTTCGTGGTTGCCGCGGTTGAGGAAGAAGGAGGTCGGGTACAGCCATTTGTAGGCGTAGAGGGTGAGGGCAACTTCGGTGGACCAGGAGCCGCGGTCGACGAAGTCGCCGTTGAAGAGGTACGAGTTTGTAGGCGAGGGCGGGCCCGCGAGCTTGAAGATGTTGAGGAGGTCGAAGAATTGGCCGTGGGTGTCGCCGCATATGGTGATGGTGTGCGAGGGTTCGGTGATGGAGGTCTCGACCATGGTGGGTTCCTTTTTGACAATGTCCATGACGGCTAATATGATCTGGAAGACGTATTTCCGGGCGATCTTCTTGCCGTTCTTGAAGCGCTCAATCATGTCGTCGATGAACTCTTGGGTCATCTCTTTCTCCAGCTTTACACCATCGTATGACGGATCGACAACCATGGAGTCCAGGTCCAGCCCCTCAGCGGCAGAGGGGGCGTCTTCGACCTCGATAGCTTTGAGGAAGGCATCGCGCTTGACGATCTTTTCGCATTCGGTCATGCGCAGCCTCGCCTGGGCATCAGAGGGCGCCTTCTTGACGACAATTTTCCAGTCCCTGAGCGCATCTTTGTGATTCAGGATTGCGGTATTTGCAGAGGCGCGGCGGTAGTATGCCTACAAGAATGAGTATAAATATCAGCGGGGCACGCGACCAGCATGGGAGGGATAGGGAGGAAGCATACCTTGACATTGTTGGGATCGAGCTCGATGGCCTTGTTCGCATCCTGCAGAGCAAAGCCGTATGCCTCTAATTTGATGTTTGCCTGCAATCGCCGTTAGCCAGAGCATGGGGAAGAAGGCCGACGGATAAGCACCTGTGCGCGGTTTGTGTAAAAGGCCGGGTCCTTGTCGTACTTCTCAATGGCCTGGGTATAGAAGTCGACGGCGGCGGGCCAGTCCTGGGCCTTGAAGGCCTCATTCCCCTTGAGCTTGAGGGCGGTAGCCTGGGCGAGGGCGTCGTCGCCCATGGTAGAAAGTGTTGCGGGGAGTCGGGGTGTGTGTGGCGGGAGGTGGAAGACGGAGTGAAAGGGCAGACGCAGCCAGAGAGAAGCAGCGAAACGTAGCTGCCTGTGGCGGGGGTTGCGGCCAGAAAAAAAATATCAAGGACAAACGGAGAGGGAGAAAAACACAACCTCAACCCAACTTTTTCTCTTTCTTCTTTCCACACGCGAGACGAGACAACCGGAGAGGATCGAAAAGTTGCAAAGTAACACAGCAAGAGAAGAAGAGCAGAGAGAAATTGACCGAAGGCTGTCGCGACGGTCCAAGGATCTAGACCCAGCCAGTCAGCGTCCGTCGCCGCCATCTGGGCATCCCGCGTTCCCCGGTCGGCATCCCGCGCGCGCACATCCCACCCGGCCCCAAGGAGATGGCGCCGTCGCCGAAGAAGCGAGGGGTTGCACGTGCAATTCCCAAGAAGTCAAAGTACCTGAGCAGCGACAGCGACCTCGAGGAGGAAGAGAGCAACAGAGACGACAGCTTCGTCGACGACAGCGACGGCTCCTACGTGCGCGGCAACACCCCAAACAAGGACAGGACCACCTACAAAGCGAAGAAGAGCAGAGGCTTGTTGTACGATCGGTACACCCTGTCTCCCGAGAAAGAGGCGCCAAGCATCCGTCATAAAGAGACAACGGTTCCCAGCGACACCTCGCCTGCTCCCACCTCTCCTGCTCCTTCACCTGAACTACCACCACAGCTTCCGGCCGCCAGCAAGAATCCCGACCTCAAAAGCCTCTTGGGCTTCTACGACGATCGTTCTGAATCCTCGGACAACACTCTCCTCCCCGAACCGACCCCGCCCGCCAGTCCTCAGCATTCGCGTCGGCCTGTCCCCGCCGCTGCTCACAAGGTTGGGAATCGCCGCCGAGTCCGCAAAGCAGTTCCCCATTCCCGCAAGCGCGACAAGTCCACCGACATTGGTAGCGTTACCTTCAATACCAACACCAACTCCCCTGACCACACCGTCCACCAAGCCCGAGGAAACAACAGCGTGGTCGATACCCTCCACGAAGACCAGAACCATCCAAGCACTCCCGAAGATCCGGAGATGTCTGGCACCTCGCACCTCGCCCCGGCCAACCTGCGCAACCTACGCGCCTGCATGGTCTGCGGCATCATTCGCACCGATGGCCAGTTCAAGGCTTCAGGCTGCCCCAATTGCGATTCCTTCCTCGAGCTGGCCGGGAATCCAGACGCCGTCCAGGAATGCACTTCGCAAGTCTTTGAGGGCATGATCACCGTCAGCGATACCTCCAAAAGCTGGGCCGCAAGATATCTGAGATTGGAGGGTTACGTGCCTGGATTGTATGCTATCCAGGTCGAGGGCGTGTTGCCCGAAGATGCCGCAGTCGCTGCCGAGAATGCCGGCGTCGTCTATATCCCTCGAGACGGAAGTGTGAGCGAAGCTTTGCCAACGGATGCTTAGAAGGCCTCTGATGAGAACGGATACGGATAATGGAAAATGGCATGTGGAACGGGAACAGGTGAAGGACATTAGGAGGGCAGAATCTCGATTGTTTCCTTTTTCGACTCTTGTTTCTTGGGAAATACCCGACGCTGCTGTTCTTGCATATTGCGGCGGCGTCACGGGCCTGCTATTGTTGGAGTTCCGGTGGTTTGAGTATTACGCGACACAGGAACCCACGTGTATCAACATGAGGGTTAAAACTGGAGGCTGTACTATAGGAGATGCCTGCTCCCGGCACCTGCGCGAATAAACAACATGACTTATTACCTTCTGCTTTGCATTTGTGATGTCAATAATGGGTTTGCATACTACTCATTAAGTAAACTGGTGTCGGTCAAGCGCTGTTTGCTTGAACGTCACTGTCTCGGATATCCCTCCTTTCTCCATTCATGGCTTGGCAAGCCCCCGTCATCAATGGGACACCTCGAATCCTAGATACAACACACCACAGCTCTCTCACAACGTTCGTCCACATATCGCTCGCTTTCAATCGCCCATGATTTATCTCACATACTTGGGACAGCCCTGATCTTTGGCGCAGTCGTGCGCGCAAGCGCCTGCGCCAGTCCCGCGGCGCTCCCCTCTAACCCGACCTCGATGCCCCTCACGAAACGTCCACCTCTGCAATTGAGGCGCTGGACCTCTGTTCTTCCGGCGTGTCTACTTCTTATCGCTTGGATACCCTACCCATCCGGGACCTATGTTCACGCCGCCGAACAATCGTTTACCGCCGCCCATGTCGACTCCGGTCGGCGCAGCCAGGTGCTGCCACCGACCTTGGATATAGGGGTTGCTGGGATCGCAGTCGATGAGGAAAAGAAGGGAAGATATGTGGGCGAATTCGCATATTTTGAGCCTAGTCTGATTGGGAGGGCGCCAGAGGGCGTGGAAGAGCTAAAGGATGGCGAGAAGAAGAATATGGAGTCAAACCCAGGGGTAACGAAGCACTTTGTCTTGGGAAGATCAGAGCTGCGGCGGAGAGCAAGTATCATTCGAGAGGATGACTTTACAGACGAATCCGCACATCCAGACAATACGACTTCCGGGACAGATGCTGCGAGGGATAAGAGACAATCCGGGACTACAGTGTACATCTCCATAAATACTTGCCGACAGCCCATTCCCGACGTACCCATCATGATAGATCCGCCGCCGCAGCTCCGAATGTACATCTCCACCTCCACAGACAACCAGCAGCCCGGGCCTAACAAGGACTCGAGCCTGGCTACTGATCCAATCGATCTCCAAGGCGGCGCTGCAACCTTCAGTCTCCAGACCGACTCCGATGTTTACATTGGCGTCTTTGCCCCAAACCTCACCAAGGGCTGGACGGGTAGCTATGGCTACGAGGTCGCTGCTAGCACGGAGCGCTTCTACCACAGCTACAACGGCACAGACCCGTTCCTCTATATGATTGACACGGACAGCGAATCTGCGCTGTTCATCACGCACAACATAACCACCAAGGAGGACGACACCGAAGCTATCGAGAAATGGCTCCGGGTCTCAGACATCCCATTTTCCATGTATATGTTTCCCAAAGCATCTTGGGGCGCAACAGGATTCGAGCGCTCCTTCTGCGGCATCAAGGAGTCTTTTGAAGCGAACAGTAGCAGCACCGTCAAGGTAGACCGAGCCATGACGGATCGGTATGGGGGCGTGTTACCAAAGGCCCAGTTCCATGTGCAGGGTCTGCAGAAGAATGAGACGTACGTGGGATTCCTGGTCATGGATGGCAATGTATCCACCGACGGTCTTGACCTCTCCAACAACCTAACCGTGGGACGTGGAGGCAAGGTCTGGAAGCAATTTACTTGGAAGACCAAGGCTGGTAAGACCCCCTTTTCCCCTTTACCTGATCGCCTACTGATCGCATATATAGACGACAGCTGCCAAGTCATCTTCAACCTCCCATTCTGCTCCACAATCGCCTACGCCGTTCCCTCGTCCCCCCAGTTCCGAGGCAACTCCACCGCCCTTGCCCTCCTCTACGACTCGCAAGCCCAATCCTACTACCAAAACTTCACCCGCAGCCTCGCCCAAATCCCGTGCGACACCACCGCCACCGCTCAGTACAGCCTCGCCCGCACCTGCACCGACTGCGCAGGAGACTACAAGGAGTGGATGTGCTCCGTGCTCATGCCGCGATGCGAAGACTGGACGGCCACGGACCCCTGGCTCATGCCCCGCAACGTGAACGCGCGGTTCCCCAACGGCGATCCCGCGCCCGGTCCCAGCTTGTTCCCGAATGCATCCGATGTGAGGAAGGGGGATGAGTGGGAAGAGGATGACAAGGAGGACGGTGAGAGGGAGTATCCGAAAGATGCGCGGCGCGCTGCGTACGCCAAGTCGCGCAATCCGTTGATCGACGAGGCCATCAAACCGGGGCCGTACAAGGAGCTGCTGCCGTGCGAGGATCTGTGCTACGATATCGTGAGGAGCTGTCCTGCGCAATTGGGGTTTGCGTGTCCGGTCGGCCCGGCGCAGAAGGTGCAGTATGGGAGTAGGGATAGGGATGGCGGGAGGCAGTTACGGTGCAATTTCCCCGGGGCTGTGGTGGATTTGAATACGGTTAGGGGAGAGGGGAGTAGGCGATGGGGAGGAAGGGATGTATGGGTATTGGTTGGCTGGGTGGTGGGTATTGCTGTGGTGGGGAGTTGGTGATGGGAGCGTTTTCCTGTGCTTTCGACTGGGGAGCGCATGGCGTGTGGCGTTTTTGGCAAATATCGTCCTTCTTTTTCTGTGAATATAGTGGCGGTGGTTAATTCATAACGCGACGACATCCACCGAGGTATGGAGTAAAGAAAGTCATAATTCATGATATAAACATATACCACCTCTATCTAAATACCAGCAAAATCTCCAGCATCACTCACCCCTCCGGCACCTCCCCCCAAATAATCTCCCTCTCATACTTCCTCATCAACTCACCCGTCGGATCCTCACCTTCCACATGGGCCCAAGCCCCAGCGAAATGCACAAGTAACATTCCGCGCGCCCACCCCACGCCGCTCCCATCATAGCACTTGATCTCCTCGGGGAACGCATTAATCTTCCACTGCGGGATGCGCAGCGTGTGCTTGACGAGGGGGTCGTCGGTGCGGAGGAAGTCGCGCATGGCGTCTTGGTCGTTGAGGTCGTTGCCTTTGGACTTTTCGCGATCGTGCAGGGCGCGGATGGCGTCGAGGGTGGCGACGGTGCGCGGGGAGGAGCGCGCGATGAAGGAGCCGTCGTTGAGGTTGTTGCTATTATACTTCGTTAGCAGCATGTACATCTGGTACAGTACTGAAGGGGCTGGGGTTCCTGTCCCTCTTCTCCCTATCTCTATATACATGTGGATATATAGATCTATCAAATAACAATAGATATATAAAACAAACATACCAATCATCCGTCACCAAGAAATCCACCTCCCCCGGATCCATCCCCGTCGCCGTCGCATCCCCCAACGCCTCCTCAATCACATCCGCAACCGCCATCGTCGTGTTCGTAATCAGCGTGTCGAAATCGAGCCACCAGACCCAGTCGTGCGTGCCGGCGCGGACGACGTCCTCGATCATGTCGAACTTTTTCCACGTCGTGCCCCGGCTGGCGTGGGACTCGTAGTCGACGATGAGGGTGTAGTTGTGGGCGCGGGCGTAGTCTATTGTACGCATGCGTAGAGACTGTTAACTCGAATCTATATATGGTATATTGTAGATATGGTGAGGAGTAGGTAGTGTACTGGTGGTGCTAGCTACTGATACACTTACGCGCTTTATTCCTCAAGGAGAGATGGATGTACGATTTTTGACTCGTGATGAATGTCACGATGGCGATGCGCGGGCCCCGTTTTGCATTCTTGTCGTCGGTGCTCAAGCGCTGGGTGCTGAGGAAGGGTGCTGCGGGTCGTTGCGAGCTGGCCTCCCACCGGTAGCCGTCGTCGCGACGCGATGCCAACCAGATCAAGCATGTTATTAACAGTAACAGGGTTACCACGGCGAGTCTTTTGGTCCGGTGGGAGACTTGGTGTCCGTACATTCCACGCTCTTTTCTTTGTGCAGGTGGTGTTGCTGACGGTGAGAAGGAGGAATACATAGTAAGCTGGCCTCTGAAGGCTACCAGCTGTGCACTTCGAAGGTTAGCGCTGTCGTGCAGAGCGAAGGGGATTCTTCAGCGCGGCATCGTTTTCCAGTGGGAGAACCCGCACTGAGAAGACGGTATTGCCATCATGACAATGAAGGCCCTCCACGGAGTATACGCCGTTCGCCTACCCAAGTCGCTGGAAGCGGATACGGAATAATCCAGGTTCTGGCTCGCCCAATCGCCTACATAGGTATCCAATTGATCGGAATTGGAATTACGGCTGCCAGGGGTTAAGGTCCAGCTTTCCAGCCACGCGAGTTCCAGCCTGGCCCGCCCGTCGCAGCCACGTACGTCCTGCAGATTCAATTGCAGATGCGGTTACTAGTTAGAATGCACGCCTTCTCGGACATCCAAGGCGGCATTCTAAGACCGTAGTCTTCAAGTTTGCAACCTTGTAGGACTATTAGGTCCTTATACGAGAGATAAAATAGAATTCGAGGAAGCACATACTCCTTATGCTAGTCCTGGATCCAACTCATTATTTAGATGACAAAAATCACTATTTCTTGCACGGAATGTTTGTCTTGGTTACAGGTAAAACTCGTCTAATTGAAGATTACGCTGCTGGGGACTCGTCGATGGTTCTTATGTATTATCGAAGACTTCTACTGATGGGTGTGGCATGGTTTGTTTCGCATAAACAGAGTTTTGTTCTGCGTTGCAGATAGGTTCACCTTTTGCACGTAGTTCAGATGTCAACGTTTCACATGGTTTGATTGGCCTAAAAGTGTGTGATTGGCCTCCCCAGAAACTATACTTACTGCCATGGTTTTCCCATGTTGCTAGCAAAACTGATCATACTGTACAGAGAGTGTACTTTTCGCTTTACAGGCCTCCGTCTAACTAGACACTAGGAGATAGTGCTCGAATGTCGTCGCCCTCCTTTTGTACCGTTCGAATTGAGCTTTCTCCAGGTAAGATGAATACCCGGCACTGCTCGTAGGGTTTCCGCAGCACAAGCACATGGAATTTCACGGGAAAACGTCTTGAGAGATGAAGTCGGACAAAGGCAAGTTGCTGGCCCAGAGAAGCTCGGGGGTGCTCTAAAACTATCATCCATACCGTAGTCATCACATGCAGCCGTCACCGCCACCACTGATGCAACTTCAACAACTACTCAGACGGCCAAGGCCAGAGCGACAAATCATACGTCTGTACAGTGATCAGAACGACGAGCACTAGCACCGCATTGGCATACTGAGCGATGGCAGAAATCAAGACCAACACGGTCAGTCAGGCCTACGCAGTTACAGTGACGTAAGGTTGGAGTCTTTCCTGCCAGCTACTCCGCTCTAACATCCTGTTTTGGTAGGTCCTCCATGGTGGTTGCGACGCTACGGGAACAGAAGGGTTGAAATCGCTAGTTGTTGGACACTTAAGGGGTCATAGTGACTTCTTCCCAAGGGGGTGATGGAATAGGCTGGGCTTTCTGCGCTCCGTCTGACTCTCTCGTCTGCAATGTTTCATTGTTTGAACCATGAATTCAAGTGACTAATTGCAAATTTAAGAGACTCCTTTTGATCTATCAAACATGTGAGCCTAAGTGAAGTTCTAGGTCTTAAGTGTAAAACTTCCCGCCCAGCTCTGGAGTATTCCCTCTTAAGGGAGAACAACGATGCAATCGAGCATCTGAAGCCTGAAGAAGACGGTCTAGCATTCTCGTGCTGCGATTCTAGCGTGGCCCGAAGAAACGGCATCGTCCGCCTGCAATAATGCCTGAGTCTGGACCTTTGATCGCTCAGCTGAAATGTACAAAGATAGAGCAAAATGGTGCTGCCACCAATTACTTGTTAAGAGAGGCTCCAGAGTTAAGCTTTTCCATATTGTGAGGCTAGGACGGCCTGCGCAAGCGGTATAGTCCGCGTACTGTGCGGGGATGTAGTTCTATGATCCTGTGGCTGGGAGGAAGTAGCCGAAGTGGCGATTTCACGCATCATACTCGGTAGATCGTCGCGACAGTTCAACTACAACACAACCACAAGCGGAGTCGTCGAAAGCACCAGCCCTTTGATAAAGGAATGGTAGAAATGGTATGTTGCCAATGTGGCGGATCTGGGCATGGTTTTCGTGATCGATTGACGCCATGTCCTGATATCAGATGGTGTTGTACTACCTTGGAATGGGATTTGGACGGCGACTTCAACGTTCACACTCAATGGAATCCGTTGTGTTGCGTATGAGAGATTCGGCATGTAGCGTCTTTTGAAGCCATTCATGAATATATTAGAGTGCTCGTCTTGACGATCGTCATGTCAACTCGAATCGCACCCATCACTTGCTCTTTATAAAATCAGTCAAAACCTTCTGCCTCAAATCGAAATGTTTCTCTCATCCCTCCGTTTTGTGCTCGTTACAGCCGCCTTGGCCATCACCTCCACTCAGGCATCGCCTCATCTCGACTTTGGCGCTGGACCCTTCAATGCTCTCCAGACTCGAGATCTGGCTGGTTCATCATGCGTTGACTTCGTCTATGGCGCCAAAGACACAAAGCTTGGTCAAGTGTGCGTCTCCATCTCCGGTGGCACGCTGACCATCACCTACCCGACCCTGCCGTCCGGCGGATCGTACACCGACCTCCATGCCATCGTCCAGACTACTCCAATCACAGAGAGCGTCCAAGGACACTGGCCATATAGCTTGGACAAGGGCACTTGCCAAATCTCTGGAGGTGGTACATCGGCCACTTGCACTATTCCCGTCCTGGATGAAGGAGAGTGTGCAATCTCAATCTCTATATCGGTGTGCATGCTTCGTTCAAACTCCCCTCTGGAGACGAAACTGGCTGGGGAGCCGGAACATGCATCAGGGACAGACCCAATTGTCCAAAATACTTCGTCTTCAAGACTGAATGCAGATGCCCCGTGGTCACCACCTACGATCCAATTACTACTTCGGTACGTATGCCCCAGCATCCAGTCTTCTTTATTGAATGCGTCTTTATTGATGACCTTCATAGCTCGTGTACACGAAGACGATTTATGAAACACACACCACGACCTGCTCTACTACCCCGCCTCCAGTCACGGTTTCTGACGCCCCTTGTACTAATCCAAAGCCTGACACTATAACAATTACTACAAAGACATCGGTCGCTGGTTTTACCTGCACAAGTCCAGTCACCTAGGAGATAAAACGGTAGGTCATTCCTGAGCTGTATCCGCTACTATCAAATTGTATGATTGAGAGCTGGAGATACTGACCGGATATGGGAATTTGTAATGGACTGGACTTTGTTAATTAGAACTGATTTTCGCTGCTGGAAGCGGACCATTCTTTCTCTTTGACGTCTTCGAAGGTTTCCAGAATTGTATTCTGTATATCACCGGCTACTTTATGGACAGCAAAAGTTTAATGACATTTAATCCTTTAGCAAGCCTAATATATTGTTGCTTTTGGATCTTCTTCACAGTGATTTTCTCCCGCATCTCATGGATGATCTTAACGACTCTGCGCATTCGCGGTTCTTTCACCAACCATGACCGTAGCGAGCAATTTCTGTTGGTTTCCTTCTCTGGCAGCTTCCATTCCGTGTACAATCAGATTTTTACAGCTTGCTAACCTTGCCAAGCTGTTTTCTTGTTTGTGTTTGTCCCACGCAGCCGTCTATATGTAGATAGCCTCCTGCATTGCAGAGAGATTCAGATCAATTCATCTCATCCTCATCTCTGCTCATTCAAGCTCGATTCAACAATTTCTACATGACAGCATCCGCGAGCCTCAATCTTGAAAACGCGGGGAGCCGGGTCGACGTGCCTCACCTCCGCACTTGATTATCGCTTCAAGCTGTATCTTCGTCAACCAGCCCGCCCATAGGGCCCCGATCCGGACCAACTGGTTTCGCCCCATGGTTGAGGGCCGTCGCCTTATCCTCCTCCCTCCTCTCATCTACGCTCTTGCTACAAAACATTCAGGTGACGTGCATTTGCATATAACGCAAGTGTTATGGGAACGAATATCTCGGTTAGTGCGGGCCGGCTATACTACTATCCCTCAACCTTGGACTACTCGGATAGCGAAAACGGCAAATATATAAACCACCCAACCGCCCGATCCCCAGTCTTCCCCAGGTTTTCTAGAAACCCTCGCTGCATTCCATGTCTGCATTTATACAAGTGGTCCGCCTGTCGCCATCTTTTTTGTATGATGTTGATTAATTTTCCGTCCACGAGAAGATGACTGGTTCCAAGGCGGCGGATTCACTACCAGGAATCGGGGTAGTCTCCTAGGGTTTGGTGGAGGGAGAGGGAGATATTCGATCTCGGAGCCCTGCTTTGCGCAGCATGGACGAGGAATCCATCGGTTCCAAGCGGATAGAGCCTCATATGTATAAAGTGCACTCCACCAGAGCAAATAACTAGACTTGATATTTCTCCGTCATGGACGTCGCCTCTACGACAGTATATAAACAAGTAACCGAAACCATGAACTCCCAACCGAGTCCCTTTCACAGCCTGTATTGGGTAGCATATAATACCTCTTCGATATCATTACTCCCCATCACTCCACCATGAAGTTCCTCACAGCCTTAAGCGTCTGCCTCCTCCCCTTCGCATTCGCAACCCCTATTTCCCCCAGTAAGCCAGCCACTCCCACCCTCCCTGAACCATCTTTCTCACAAACCCCCTTTCTCACAAAACCCCAGACTCCGACGCCATCGCCGACCCCATCCAACAACGCGGCACCCCAACCACCAACCCCTCAACCCTCACCCGCCGCCAACAAGTCACCCTCTGCAGCCAATACGCCTACCATGCCGTCAATGGCTACGAGATCCTCAACAACCTGTGGGGCAAGGACAGCGCCTCGTCGGGCTCGCAATGCACCTACTTTGAAGGCACGACCAGCAACGGCGGCATCCGGTGGAGCTCGACGTGGACCTGGCGCGGCGCCGACAACAACGTCAAGAGCTACGTGTATTCGGGCCGCCAGCTGCAGAAGGGCATCACGGTCGAGCGGGTCAAGAGCATGCAGACGCAGATGAACTGGAGTTACAATACGACGAATGGGGTCCGGGCGAACGTCGCGTATGACATCTTCACTGCCCAGGATCCGAATCATGTGAATAGCAGCGGGGATTACGAACTCATGATCTGGTGCGTTTTTTCCTTCCCCCCCGAGTCTCTTCTATTTTGGAGGAAGCAGCCCGTTGACATTGACATTTCCCCAGGCTCGGCCGCTTGGGCGGCGTATGGCCCATCTCGCAGTCCGGCTCCCCCATCGCCACCGTCACCATCTCGGGATACACCTTCGACTTGTACTTTGGCTACAACGGGTCCATGAAGGTGTACAGCTTCGTGCGCGCCGGCAACAACGACATCACGAACTTCAACTCGGACGTCAAGCTCTTCTTCAATTATCTCGTCAGCAATCAGGGATTCCCGGCCAGTACGCAGAACCTTATCGGTGAGTGATCCCCGCTTTGTTATTGTCGTGCATGAAGTTGTCCCGCGTAGGAAGGAGAGGAGAAGGGGAATTTAAAGGGTGAAGCTGATATGTGGTAGTGTATCAAACAGGCACCGAGGCTTTCACGGGCGGCCCAGCCAAGTTTTCCGTCTCGAATTTCGTGGCGAATTATCAGGCTTAGAAAGGCGGTGAGGGCTTAGACGGGACGTTATCCTCTTGGGATTTTCCTCGAGCAGTTCAAAGATTTGGCGCAGGAGCAGTTCAGGATTTGGCACGGGAGCAGGTCTGGTGCGAAGTCGAGTCATCATCTCTTCGCATACACTCTGTCCGCATCTCGTACACTGCCTCGCTATATCCTTGGTTTCATTCCAATAGACCCCATTTTTACCCCAACGTACATATACACCCAAACGACCTTCTCCCACCCAAATTCCTATCACCGTAATGAAGCCATTCTTCCGGCTTGCTGATATGTGGTATGTAGAAAAGAGACGTCAGCGCTAGCGAGACATTCCCTCATCCATGATCGAAAATGTAATTTCCCTGTAATTTCCCCAGGGCCCGGACAGATAGGAGTACCGGCTTCACACAGAAAAAAAAAAAAAGCCCCGCGCAAGGTAGGATTTGAGCCGCTTTCCTGCATCGTCGACGACCACCGTGCAGATGGTAGTTGGGGGGTGACAGGAGGGCGGAGTGACTGACTCGGCGTTCTTCGGTGAGTACAGTTCCACGAGTCTATCAAAACGATCGATAAACGTGTTTCACAAATCACAAATGCGAGAACGGAGTGAGATGTTTCAATGTTTCTATTACACTGTTGTTATGGTGTACCATTCTCCTTGACCACCCCATTCATTGATCGTCATCATCTCCGTTCAATACACCAGATTGAGAGGGAAATCATCATGAAGGTAAACTGAAAATAAGGAAAATCCGAACTGTCTTCCAAACTCCCATCGGCGCCATCATGTCCGCCTTTCCCGTTCGGATCGAGATGCCAAAACCGAATCGAATCTGGGCATGAGGGCAATCCTGCAATATCCAGATGAATCCGACGGACTCCACCTCGCCCTCAAAAGAAAGAGAAAATAAGAAGTAAATATCGTACATCCGTCACATTTGGCACGGCCACTGAGTCAATACTCAAAATCCAGTCGGACCTCCCCCTCCAAAGCGCTATGGCGCCCACCTAATCGTACGGAAGGTCGAAGCACTCCGACTCTCACATCCTCTTCTTGAAAAGCTGGCCCTCATACCCCTTCAAGCCGTCGGGCCCCGACTCAAACCCCAGCTCAGGATGCGGCGCGATATTTACGAAGAATCGCCTATCCTTCTGAAGATCAACGGGCGCCTTTGTCTCTAAAACCAACTGCCAAAGTTGGCGCCCAACACATGAATTGTGCAGTGCACATGGATCGCGATTTCTCAAGATATGCCCGTAAATTTTCTTCAGTTTCTCCACCTCCTCCCTCTGCTTACAAAGCTGATATCCATAGTCGCGGCGCAGCACAGGAGGAGGTTCCGTTAAGGCGCTGGCGCGTATGAATGCGATATGGCGGAACACTGATGGCCGTTTATTTGGCGGGAATACGAAATAGCGGACAGGCCCCGAGATGCAATCAAGCGCCGTTCTATGAAATCCGTTTTGTTCGAAAAAGGAGACCATGGTGTTAGATTTGAGGGCCATCCAGAGGGCCTGGAACATTTCCACCTTGTCGACGCATTGGATCAAGAGCTTGTGATACAGGCCATTCAAGTGGCTTATTTCCACGTCGTTGCTGCAGGCTGCGTAGCCGAAGGCGAGGTAGGTGTCTTCATTGGGCGCTGGGCTCCAGTGTTGGAGGAGAGCTGAGATCAGGCTTAATGCCTGGCTTTTTTCGGGAGGCTGGAGGCGGTGAATTCCTGTGCTTTGGTCTTCTGGCTTGAGATAGTGGACTGCTTCTTTCTGAACGTCGTTAAAAGGTCGAACTGGTGACTTCGCCAGCGAGAGCTTATATATTCCAAAGATATCCTCATCTTGGAAAACACCAGGAAGAATTTCTTTCACCTTAAGTCCTGCCTGCCAGCACTCGACAAGTTTCTTCGCTGCCTTGGAGGCGTTTTTAATCGTATCATCGTCAATGGTCGACCCGCAGTTCCATACCCGCTCTCTAAGTAAGAGCAGCGAGTCGCCTACTTCGAAATCGTAGTAGGATTCGCCTGGTTCGCACAATCCCGTTGTTCTGTCGAGCAAGCGGTCGAATTCGTCTAAGTGCTTGTGGAACAGAATGCGCAGATTCTTGATCAACTGTTCCGCCGGCAAGTCAATCGGGGTGGCTGGCGCTCTCTCATTTCTCACTGCTGGTAGACAAAATCAGTAAGCCGCCAGACTCTTCAGCAGACAGCACAAAAAGCACATACCAGCATCTCTCCCCGTAGCGTCGCCGGTACCAGAACTGACGATATCAACGTCCATCTCTCGTCCGGACTCCCGCGCCATCGCCACGGCGGTGTCCCCGTTGATTAGCAAGCGGGCGAGATCGTGGGGAGAGTTGATTTCGGGTCCGTTGCCAATCCAAATAGAAAACTCCCAAACTCCCAAACTCCCAGACTCCCCAAACCCCAGTAAAAGAAACCCCAACCACACCGGCGCCTTTCCCGTGAAAGAAAAAGAGTAAACCCGAAAGACTTTTGAGTAAGAACTTTTACCCCCGTTGCACCGGTGCCACGCAAAGAAATAAAGGAAAGGTTGAGAGAGAAGGAGAGAAGGAGAGAAGCAGCAAGAGGGACGATTTATATACCCCTCCGATGTACCTTCCCCCCTCTCCCCATCCGCCTATCGGGGGTTGGAAGGCGCGGTGTACCACTTCCTCCACCGCTCCCCCGCCCACACCGCCAAACAAGCAGCAGGTGGGGAATTTCGAGAGGTGAGGGGGCGTGCAAACGTACATCGCGGTACTAGGTGAGATAAGAGGGGTCCGGGAGTTGGAATGTCGGAGATGCGGTGACGCCGTTGCCGGCATCAGCCTACCAATCTCGAGCAACTAGGCAATGGACTGGACAGAAATGCAGAAGTGAGACTGAGAGTGCACAAGAGTCGAGCGGTACATGCCGTCCCGCCGTGCACACCCTCAGTCCGAAGTCCCCTCATTCGCCACACGGGAAGAGTGCAAATGAGCGATTGTTTGTCTGGGGATCTGTCTAGGGCCTATCTGGGGCAGGAGGGAGTCTGGATAATGCAATCGAGCGCCGTCCATCGAAATGCAGCCTGAGTTGAAGTGAGGGTAACCTTTGCTACAGAGCCTCCTACGCCCTTGTTACTAGAACAGATCTTGCAAGACATTAGTGTCCAACCCCTCAGTGCCGTGCGTTTGCAGTAATGTATTACATAGTTCGAAAGGAAATGCCTGGCGACACGCACTGACGGAGGCATATCCACAATGTGGAGGCGTAAATAGGGCACCATGGAGTGTTACTGGACGTTTTTGAACCGTAAGAGTTAGCTCAAGGGTCAACGGACAAGGAGCTCAACCATCAAGGCAGTATGTACTAAACATCAACAACGCCATCCATTTTCTTTGACAAAAGAATCTATATCCTACACAATCAAGGGCTGCTAAGATTAAGGACGTATGCATGACAACATAGATCCACCATTTCCCAGAAATCTATATGCAACCATGCTACCAACAACAAGTGAGAAAAAAGTCAAAACCCCATCCAATCAAACAACCACACCCTCAAGCCTCAATGATGCGCCGGCCTCTCCCTCCTCGCCTCCCGCTCGAGCGCCCAACTCTCCCACCCAAACACCTCCCCCACACTCAGAAAACTCGTCCGCGCGCCCACGAGCGCCACAAACACAACCACGACATCGACGACCAGCAACGCGACCGCGCCCGTCATGAACCGCGGGCTGAAGATGCGGTACAGCATGAGATGCCGCCTGAGGTGGCCCGCCCACAGGGTCGTCGCGAGGTTGACGACGGCGTAGAAGAGCATGTGCGTGGCGAGCGCTTTTGCCACGTCGCCTACGAGGCCCTTCTTCTTGGGGGGCTGCTTCCAGAGCACGACGGCGGGGACGGCTACGGCGCAGAGGATCTGGGCGCCGAAGGCGTTGAGCACGACGAGGAGCGGGGACCACGGGTAGCGGATGGTGCGGAGCGGGATAAAGGCCGTCTCCCACTGGATGCTGGATAGCGTTGCCTGGTGGCCCGTCTTGAAGAAGTGGAATGAGCCCAGGAGGCCCAGGACGACGGGTCCAACCGGCGTGTCGGCGAGCTTGTTGGTATCGACGATTTCGAACAGGGAGAAGATTTGCCAGGCGGCGATTCCAATGGCGCCGGCGCCCATGGGTTTCTGCACCAAGGAGATGATGAGGAGCCACACGGTGATGACGAAAGCGTACCGCGAGCCGTGCACATTTGCGTAGCCAAGGACCGTGATGGATGAAGTACCGCCTTCGGATATGACTTGCGCGGAGGATCCTTCAAAACCTCGGTCTTCCGCTCCCTTGAAACGGGTCTCTATGTTCAAGAACGGTTTTGCCCACGCAAAGGTGCAGTATCCGAAGGCCACGGCTATGGCGAGTGTGATTTGCGCAACAATGACCTTGGTGGACTTGAGTACATCACTGTACCCTTCAAACCACTCTCCGTCATCTGCGGCGTCCAGAGTCCAGTAGGCGGCACTTAGGAGAAGGCCGAAGCGAAGAGCAAAGTCGATCCAGGTGACTGCTGAACCCTGGAGGTTGCGTGTGTTGGTGTAGTAGGCTCGAATGAACGAAGGCAGAAGCAGGGCTACAATATATGGAATAGCAAGTTGCCATGTCGCCGAAGTAGACGAGTTGGCAGATGCGTAGTAGGTCGATACACAAAACGGCATCTGCTCCTCGCGGCAGAGTCGGGAGAGCGACGCCAGTCGGGTGAGTATGATGAAGAGGACGGAATGGTAGCAGCCAAGCGCCCTATCAAGAGGCTTGCCTTGTCGGAAGGAGGATATGGCCATCAGGAAGCCGAATGTATTCAGGAAAAACAGCAGGATCTCGTCTTCCCAAATCGTGAATGAGTTAGCAGCGAATCCTGCTGATAGCGCGAGCGTGAAGACAACCGAAGCCCAACCCCAAATGGAGGCGGGAAAGGGAGAGACTACCCTTCGCCTTAAGTACCACAGTGCATGCGCTATCCCAGCTATGCAACCCATAGCTGCGGAGTAGATCATGACATGGTCGCGGGGAAACGAGGGAACTGCAAAGCTGCCTCCTAGGCCCATGACTCCCGCCGCGACTGTTGCCAAGCCACCTGACTTCAGCAGAACTGGTGTTAACTCTGAAGAATCTCCTTCTAGGCCGCGAGCGTAGAGGGACAATAACACCAAGGCGCCGAAGAGGATTGTGACGCCGTTGTACATTCTCGGAACGTCGAACCGCGCCCAGAGTGCGTGACAGACGCGAAGAGTCTCGGCCTGATAAGCAGCGAACGCGTTGTACGCCTTGTGTACTGCATCATTTTCAGCTCTTTTTAGATCAATGGATGGCCATGCATCGTTTGCCTCCTGCCACAAGGACAGCGAGCGAGCCCGCACGCTGTTGTCCATTCCTCGTGCTAATGCATAGTCTTCCTGGTAACGATGAATCTGAGCCGCAGCAAGGCGATTTACTGTTGCAAGATTCATCAAGTCAGATCCGCTAGGTCCAATGAAGGCTTCTTTGATAGGAGCTCCAAGGTTATTAAAGGGTATTGGCATTCCAAGTAGTAGAGACAATGTGGGAACCAGGTCGATCTGCGACACAGGCCTCTCCTTTGCGGTAGCTGGCGGCAGCACCTGTTCTGGCGAGCTCCGTCCGAAGACACCCCTTTTTGAATACATCCATAAAGCGGCCTGAACCTCGTCATCCGACTCCCCTCCGTGATCACCCTTTGCATCCATGCCATGGTCGCCCATTACAACCAGTAGGGTACTGTCGTCGAGCTGCTCAATCATTTTAGTGAAGACCTCGTTCATCTGGTTCAATTTTGCAGTCATGGCAGGGTGATGGGGTCCATAACGGTGGCCCGCGTGGTCCACGCCCAGGTAATGGCCGAAGATGACGTCCCATTTGCTCGTGTTTGACGGATGAAGCAAGGGGAAAATGTGTTCGGTGACTCCATTATCCACGGTGTGGAGGTCCCAAACATTGAAAGAATCGTACGCGCGTGTTAGGTTCGGTTCGAAGTAGCCCGGGAACAACGAGTGCCAGGTATCATCCCCAAGATGTACAATTCTCTTGCTCGCGTTCCTCAGTTGCGCTACCAGGTTGTCTTCTTCTATAGCAGTCCCGGCGAAGTTGGATCCTGCATCCACGAAAGTTGGCAGTGTTCCCGTCGTCAGTCCTTTCAATCTTTGTAGGGTGGTCGTTGGCGGATCGGCAATGAATGGGAGGAGGAACGCGTTCGTCGGATTCTGTACGGCGGTTTCGTAGAGTATGGGCAGCGCGTTGTGAAAGTAATGAGGTTTCTGGGGACCGTCGGGGGAGACTGGGATGGTGAAGTCGTATCGGAGGGCATCCACGATGATGACTACGGCCTTATCGAAGGTCTTTGGGTGCCAGCATCCTGCCTCTGCAGAACCCGGATTCCACTTTTGCGAGGTGTGTGAGGAGGGAATCTCTATCGGGAGCACTCCGCATTCCGATTTCTGCTCCAACACGAGCCGTGTTAGGAGGAAGCCGCTTGTGAAGAGGTATATTCCTAGGGCATGAAGAGCACTGACATATGTTAGATTGGGTTGTCAATTTGCTTCCGCAAACAGGCAACGAACAGAACCAAGCCGAAAAAAGCGACCAAGATGCCATGGAGGGCTTTGAATTGCACTTCTCCTTGCTTGTTTGCTACCTCTGCATCCCCGGAAGTAGGCTTCAGGCCCTGGGCCTCTTGCTTCTCACGCTCCGCCTTTGCTTTTGCAAACGCAGCGGCCAGGCCCTCATACGCGGGCAGAGGCTCACCCTTATCCATTGGGAAGTGTGTAACGCATTTACTCCGGGTTTCTGGATGTCCAGTTGCGGAACGCTTTCCGAAGCATATCTGAAGGGACCGGAAAAAAGCTCAGCCGAAACCCGAAAGTCCGCAAGGGGCGCGTTCATCATTCAGAGGGTAGAGAGCGCGGTTTAAGCTTCGATTACTATCTCTAAGCAGGACGTCGACAGAGCATTCTGGCCTCAGACGCTTTTCAGGGTCACCCAGCCGTAGCACTTCAGCTCACATCATTTACGCGCGGTAATCAAAACGTTGTATTTACTCTCCTGCGGCGGGTCGACATTGGCCCGGGAGAAGGTATCATACATTAGAAAATAAAAACTATGTAAGCGGCCATAAGCCCAGGGGAGACTGGTACATATACCAACATCTCCCAGAATGTACAACGGTCTGGAGGACCTGGACCCACATCATACCAACGAAGGCCGCGCATTATCGGCAGCGGGGGATGAAGATAAACGTGGAAATAGACAAGCAGCGCGGAAAAGCCGTCATCAGGGATATAAGGTCATAGCCAAGGGGCGTGAGATATGTATGGAGCGTAGAAAAGGCATCTTGCTCGAGCCAGGGGTAGAGGAGGTATGTTGGCGATGGTCGCGGACAAGTGTGGGTCGGCAGCGCTTATGCGTAGTACTTGTCATCCTTCTCTTTCAGGCCGCCGATACGGTCGAGATCCAGCGAGTCGAAGCGATCCGATGCATCGCGCTGATAAGGGGGAAGGTCCTCGTGCAGGGGCTCGAGACCCACGCTGTGGTCTCCGACTCTGACAACGACAACGCGACCAGATTGGCGCTTCCCAGTGCCGTCTACTTCGTCGGGAAAGGTAATGCGGATCTCGGGAACGGGGCTCTGTGGGGGGCTCGAGGAGTTGGCCATGAGGTCTTGCTTCTCTTGGTAGACGAGGACGGAGTCCCGCCCTTTGCCACCGGGCGATGCAGTGATGGTTAGGCGGCGGTGGCCTGATTGCCGCTTCTCGTACAAGGGAAGCTCGGCTTGTCGCTTCGCATTGCGCATTCTCCTCAGGAAGAAGAGAGAGCCCAAGAGGGCGACTCCGAGGAGTACGAGCACCAAAAGAGATACCACCAGGCTGAGCATGGTGGTATCAACCCCTTGCTTCTGCTCCTCTCCACGTGCGATAAGAATCTTGAGCGAGTTCATGCTGACGATTAAGGTAAGGCCGGTGCAGGGGTGCAGGTAACCGTGTCGCGTACAACAAGTCGAAAGGTTCGTCGAAAGCGGGTATTAGGGAGCGAAAAGGATATGTCTGCGTCAGAGAGACAGGTCCAGCGATTGTTGATGTCGTAGTGGATGGGGTGGGCTGGCAAGCAGCGAGGCCGTGCAAACACAAGGGAGGGTGGAGGCGGACGGAGCCGAAAAGAACGGATGCAGGCACGCAGCTGAAAGAGTGAAGCTGCGGTCGCAATGGTAGGAATGAGCGGCTGTGAGGGTGGAGAGGGAGGGCTCGGAGGTCGGACGGCGAGGAGGAGGAGAGCAAGGAGAGGAGAGGAGAGGAGTGAGGAGCGGGTGCCGGTAGTTTTCTCCCTGCGAGCAAACGCCGCGCTCGGGCCAGGCGTGATACCACAACCGTCGAACCGCCTGGGTAAGCGATTGCGGAAATGAGGGCTCCTAGCCAATGGCGAGGCCGGAGTGGATGGAGCTATGCCCGATGAGGGTGGCCATAATAAGGACAGGATGAAGAGGGAAGGCCAGGGTCAGGAGGGATTGGGGCCATGAAGACCAGTAAAAATAAGAAGATGGATGATATCTGTTGTAGGCGCCGAGTGTGCCAAAGACGGAGTGAGGAGTGGAGCAGAAAAGGCAAGAGAGGAGGGCATCGATGGCATCGACTTGTATAAGCGTTCGCCAGGGGAGAATGCGGATCATGCTATCGAGGGCGGACGCATACATAGGTAGTTCGATGCACTGAGGGAATCCGCGTTGACGGTCAAGAGACAGCGAAACGGGGCACGTCTGGGACTCGGCAGAGCATGAACTTGGGTGCATTATTGTACACCGGGAGAGGTAGGTACTGTAAGATGGGCGCTTCTGAGATTGTCGTGCGCACAGCAGAGACGTCAAAAACTGATGTTGTCTGCTGCGGAGCGAGAGGGGCGGTGTGTCTTGGCTGTTGTTGGACGCTAGGTAGATACATATCCAACAAATTATTGTTCTCCTCTGTCGAATACCATATGTCTGTACTCCGTAGTGCCATCAGGCAGGACTACTGTGTATGCGACTGCCGGCTTGTGCAGCTGTCCGTCTCGACACAAACCCTCCAAGGTTCGACGCCAACGACACGTGAGCCCTCAGTCCGAACAGTGTATTCCTCCCGTGCTGATGCAGGTGTCGTGATGTCGTGATTGATGCGTGCAGCAGCGAGTTCGAAAGAGGTGGAGAGGTGGAGAGTGTTGTGAAAGGCCCCCAAACTACCTAGGTAGAGGCTCGTATGTAGCCCACACAACACATGAATAATAATATCCGTAGTAACTAAGCGTCTTGTCTCACCCTCTCCATCTCAGGCATTTGCAGGCCCTCGATCGGCTTGCAGCAATCGTTTCCCCCTTTCCTTCTATCTACTGCTGCGATGGCGGTAGAGTAGGGGAGTCTACCCACCATTTATCCCATCACCACCAGCACCCAAAAATCCCCGACAGCCCTACTGTGATTCCATACGCGGCGCTAGCTCCTTTGTTATTATTTTAGAGCCTCCACCTCTCCACCTCCCAGCTGGGCCCCAACGGCGCTAGTTGCAGATCCGTGAGCTTGCCCTGGGGCGGCGGCCTGGGGTAGACAACCCGTCAACCGTCAACGCCAGAGAATCATCATCCATCTCGTTGCACCCCTCGCCCTCTCTTCACCCTCACTCTCTCACTCACTCCTGGGCACTCTCCTCCTCTCTCACTCCCGCACGCAATCGCTTGTCCTTCCTCGGCCACGTCGCCTATCCCTTTCGCTCGACACACCTGCTGGCTGGCTGGCACCTCCAGCAACCTCGAACCAGAACCATCCCTCCTCGGCCCCCTCGCACCACGTCCGCGCTCCTCTCTCGCCCTGAATTCCATCCTCCCGCGCCGCCTGCCCCCTTGCATACCTTCGAACTCTCTCCTGCCGACCATTGTCGACCAACCTGCTGCACACCCTGATGCGTTCCCCGCCCGCCGCCGCACCGCACCATCGCTTCGAGTTTAGCATGCACAGTGGTTAGTAGCGTCGTGCCTGTCGACATTACACAGAAGGGGTGCGCCTGCCTCCCCCATATCAACCGCCGCTCCCTCCCTCCTGGGCTCCTCTCCCTCCACCTCGAAACCTCCTCTCCGTATCCATTCATACATTCCTCGTCACCCTCGCGCTCCCGGCGCTCGCATACCGTCGTTCTGTCCGTCAGTCTCCCCGTTTCCGCTTGTTACGCCCAACCGACCTTCTTCTTTAGTCTCGAGCCTCCTCAACCCACGTCCATCTATAATTCCGGCACATCACTCTGTCTCTGCGATTCTTCGCACCCCATTCGCCTCACACGACACATGGTCAATACGTCGAGCATGGATCCTGGTGGCCTAGCTTCACTAGTTGTAAGCCCTTGTCTGCCCTCCCCTCAGTACATCATCTAATTTTACATCTGATTCAGACTCGCCATCTCGATCCTAGTCGCCCACGGCTCGCTCTCGACGACGACCGCCCAATGCAGACCTCTTCGGCCCAGCCGCTTGGCATTCTGCACGCCTGGACGAGTCCATGGAATACATCAGTAGGGTCTGGTCACGGCTCCGTCGCCCGTGATGGCTCTCGCCAGCGAGGTACATTTGCTTTCCTTCAAGTCCCATCTCTACCATCTGGCTGACACACTCACAGAGCGCAGTACCCTCTCAGGTACCGCGTCAGGCCCCGCTGATGCCAAAACAGGCTCTGCTGCTCTTATAGGCTCCTCGGACACGGATGGGTGGTCAGTCGGCAACCGCTCCGTATGGGGTGACAATCCTGCTCGCACTTTGCAGAACCGAAGCGTAGGAAGCTCGCCCCCTCGAAAACGCTCCATAGTACAGGCACACGCACAGCCTGCACGCGCTCTGGACCTTTCCTCCGGCTCCTATGCCCAAACACCCAGGAACCAAGTCTCCAGCCACGGGATTCAGTCGAAACCAGCACACCCACCGCTGGATGCGACATCTCTGAATTTCACATCATCTCGACACAATGATAATCTTACAAATGGTTTCTCCAATTTTACCTTCAGCCAGGCGGATGGTTCAGGTCCTCGTCCTGAGCCTTCCGTAGGCCAGTGGTCCGATGCAGCGTCCGTCCATTCTCCGGGCGATGACCGGCGAAGTATGGCCGCATCCGATTACTTTGGTGTATCGAGCGCGGCTTCCTCTCGACACGGAAGTCTACCGCCTTCAAGACATGGCGAACCCGCACCATACATGGCAGGAACCGACCTCCAGACTCGATATGCGCAGCCCAATCCTCGTCAGCATTCGTCATTCTCCCATCCCAACGGGCGATTGCAAGAGCGTAGTCCCTCGATGCAGGCTGATTCTCTACAGATGCTGGCCGGCCTTCGTCTGGATCAGGAACTCTCCGCTGGGGTACAGTCGCATAGGCCGTCCATCAGCGCAAACGGCTTCTCTCGCTCCTTGACGCCTGCCGGGGCCGATGTCGGCTACTTCACAGACTATGATACGGAGGCGCAGAACACTACCCTCTACCGGCCAGTCAATAATGGTTATTTCCAGCAGGGGTCGTATACACCCGATAGTCATGGCCAGCTAGCCTCGCAAGAGCCCACTGCACATCTTCGTCCGTCCCGTCTGGACAGCCTCAGTGCGCTGAATGGAGCAGCCGCTCGACAGAGTCCATTCTACTCGAATACGCACACTCCTCCCATCTATGAGAATGCCCGTTTCTCACGCCCTGATCAGACTCTGGAGAACGGGCAAGGTCTGGTGCTTGTGCAAGAAAAGCTGGTGGGTGTTCAGCAGCAGCAGCAGCAACAACATCAACATCGGCGGCAACAACGACAGCAACAGCAACAGCTGCAATCGCAGCTACAAGGACGGCGGCATGTGAATCAAAATGCTAGTCATTTGTCGCCACATGATTTTCAGCAGTTCTTTTCCACTCAAGCGCTGGCGAACCCATATCTTCGACCGCAGCAGAGTTACGCTCCGTCAGTCTTCAGCAACATGCCTATGAATGGAGTGCCCATGGGTGGCATGCCTTTCAACGCTTTTCTACCCAACGTCCCTCTGCAATCCGTGCCAACGCTGCCAGGCGGAATGCTGGTTGCCCCAAAGGGTCCGCGCGATCGCAGCCCTCAGGGGGATTTGATGAGCCAGGCATTGCTTGACTTCAGGAACCACCGAGCAAACCGAGTCTATCAATTAAGAGACATTTACGGTCACCTTGTTGAGTTCTGCGGCGACCAACATGGGTCTCGCTTCATCCAAGAGAAGCTCATGAGCGCGAGTACTGAAGAAAAGAATAGGGTCTTTGCGGAGATACAGGGGAATTCGCTGCAACTGATGCAGGACGTGTTTGGCAACTACGTCATTCAAAAATTCTTCGAGCTCGGTGATCAGTATCAGAAAAAGTATCTCGCCAACTGTATGAAAGGCCAAGTCATCAAACTGTCGACGCAGATGTATGCCTGCAGGGTAGTCCAGACGGTGAGATATCCGGTCTCGCACTCTTTCCCTCTCAGAAAACTGACTCCGGTTAGGCCTTGCAGCATGTCTTGACTGACCAGCAAGCCGACATCGTCAAGGAACTCGAGAAAGACGTGCTCAACTGCGTCAAGGACCAAAACGGTAATCATGTGATTCAAAAGGCCATTGAACTGGTCCCAGCGGAGCATATGCAGACCATCATCGACTCATTCAGAGGGCATGTCGGGAGCCTTTCCTTGCACAGCTACGGATGTCGCGTCATACAACGTCTCCTTGAGTATTGTGAGCCATCGGCGAAACGATTCATTCTGGAGGAGCTCCATGCCGAAGGCAGAAAAATCATCACCGACAATTACGGGAATTACGTCGCACAACATGTTCTCGAGCATGGCAACGCAGAGGATCGCATCAAGATCATCGAACTTGTGAAGAAGGATCTGTTCTTCTTCTCGAAACACAAGTTTGCCAGCAATGTGGTCGAAAAGTGCCTGACGTATGGTGACTATCAACAACGCAAAGACATCGTTGAGAGGATTATGAAGCAGAATGAACGTGGCGAGAGCAACGTGTTGCCATTGATCAAGGACCAATTCGGCAACTATGTGATCCGTAAGGACTTCAAATTCAGTCATGACTGTCATCTTACTAATCCATTCTCAGAGAAGCTTCTTGACGATGGCATCCTGTCCCCTCAAGATCTGCTCGAGTTTCTCACTTGCGTCAAACCCGCGTTACAGCAAGCAAAGGAAACGACCGGGGGCAATGCAAAACAGATCGTCGCGGTATGTTCTCCTTCAATTTCTCCTCCATTTCATGCGCTGATGGCAATGATAGTTGGAAAACAAATTGCTCCAAATCGGCGATTGTCGTAATCCTGTACAGCGCAATTCCCTGAGCTCGACGGCGGGAAGTATGCCGGAGGCGCCCTCTCTAGTCGCCGACGCGCAAAGTCCGCATAGTAGCGACTTTCCCAGCGGCAACGCCAGTACTATAGAAGAACCTGTACATGCTCGTTCCACGGCGAACAAACCACTAGCGGCTCCCGGAAGCGTCAACGTCGCGGATGCAGAGTAAACTTACCGAAACCGCGCAATACCTTGCACTTAATCCCGATCCGGGCCATGTTCTTTGAATCGAGCGTCTTCACTCGGCACGCATGTTTATCCTTGGAGTTTATGTTGTTGCTATGGATGGAATATGTTATATACCATGTATCGGTTTTTCTGAGTCTTTGCTCGTTTGTTCTCTGTTTTTATTGCTCACATAGGTTCGTCCACTGTTGCTGGGGGGCAGCACAGGTCGCATGCGGTATGCGGGAGTCGCCTTGATGCTTTCTTTCAGTTCACGCAGCGGCTTGTTCAACGATATATGGTATGTTGGCCCGGTGTCGGCCATTCATTCTAAGGGTTACATATTAGACGAGAGTGACGATGAAAAAAGAAATACAATGGTCCGAATGTTGCGGACAGTCTCGGTTGTACTTGTCATGATAGATGGGCGTCAATATAGGCGGCATTGCTACCAGTAAAATACAAGCAAACTCATCTGATTGCAGGTGGTCTTGGGATAAATTCTAATGTGTCGCTGTCACGCTAGCAGCAATGACCAGTCGTGAGGCAGACAAGATGGATGGTACTTCTACCTCTCACTCACTCAGTCACTCACTCTCCTCCAACAACTCCGCCAACTCCCTCTCCTCCTCCTCGGTCAACAGACTCGCCTTCCCAGTCTCCGTCCCCATCTCCTCGTCCCTGTCTTTTTCTCTCCCGTCCTCGACGGCCCTCGCCTCCTCCACCGCCCTCGCCAAATCCCTCGCCTTCAAACTCCACCGCCTAATCGTCCCATCAATCGACACACTCAGCACCAAGCGCCTCCTTTCCAACAACAACAGCCCCGTAACCTCCTCCCAATGTCCACCCGCAAACACGACCCTCAACTCCCCCGTCCCCCGATCCCACACGCGCACCTCCTCGTCCCGACAAGCCGTCACGACAAATCCACCTTCCTCATCGACGACGACGTCGCGGACGAAATCCGGGTGCGGGAGAGAGAGTTCAGGACTCCAGTTGTGGGCGCGCGAGAGGCATTTTGCGGTTTTGTCGGCCGAGGCGGTCCAGAGGTCCGCGTCGGTGTCGAAGGTGATGGCGTCGATGGAGGTTTCGTGGGCGAGGATGATACCCTCGTTGTTGTTGTTGTTGGCATCGTTGTTGGCGCCGTTGGTGGTGGTGGAGGGTTGGATAGCGATGGGGTGGCCGGTGGTCGGGGTTATGCACCACTGCCGGATGGTGCGGTCGGTGCCTGCGCTGAAGACCACCACCGCACCTTTACTCCCATTATTATCGATATCGGTGCCGTTTCCCTCCTCCTCCTCCGGCGTGGAAGAAGCGGGATCCAAAGCCAACGATAAGACGGCCCGCGTGTGCCCCGTTAGCGAATACAACTTCCGCCCGGACTCGACGTCCCAGACGGAAATGGTGCCGTCGGCGCAGCCCGAGACGAGCAGTTCTTTTCCCTTCTCTCCCGGGCTGGAATTGACGAGCAGGAGGCATTTGACGAAGTCGGCGTGGCCTTGGAGGCGGCGTTTCGCTGGCTGCGTAGGTGATCGCGATGTGGAATTGGAAGTGGAAGCGGAAGTGTTCGAGGAGGAGGACGGAGGAGGAGGAGGAGGAGGAGGAGAGGGAACGTCCCAGCACCAGATACTCTTATCCCAGCAACCCGCGAAGATCTGCCTCGAGCGCGTCGACACGGCCAGCGAGGTCAGCGGCGCCGCGGGGCCAGTGAAGGTCGTCGTTATTGTTTTACTCTGTTTTCCACCCATTGTCAGTCAAAATTGACATGCAAGAGGAGGACGCAGACGAAGAAGCAGAGTACAAAGCCCTAACCGACATCAAGCGCAACCCTCTTCACCGTGCCCGCCGCCTCGGCCACGAACACGCTGCCCTCGTCCCCGTCCTCGCCATCCTCGCCATCCTCGCCATATCCCCAGGGATCCGCGGCAATGGCGAGGATCTTCGAGGGTAGCGTTATCGGATCCCCTTTTGTGTTGCTCTTCGCCCGCTTCGCAGCTTTGCGCGCGGATTCGTGGAGTGCGTTGCTGGATGCGAGGGGAGCGTGTCAGAAATTGGGCTTTTTCATGAAAAAGAGTATTTTGAAAGGCTTACTCGGTCTGGAAGAAATGGCCGGGGTCGCTGGATTGTGCCATTCTTTGGGATCGGCAACTGGAACGAGGTGCGATGGGAAGGGGAGTATGGATATAAAATGTTGAAGTCGGATAGGGAGCTTAACAACCCGCCTCGGCTTCTTGATTGGACCGTGCTGCTGTGTCCAGGGGTTACACAGGAACCCTGCTGAGCACCGCCACATCTCTGGTACCGCCTCATTCCAAGCTGAACGACATGACCATGCAATCCAGGCTATTCTTGCAGTGTGTATTATTATTATTACTTTGTATGTACATCCGCTACCCTTTTCATAGCAAGACATCAAGCAAAAAGTCGTTGATTCTATGCACCCCCCAATCCCCAAAAGGAAAAACCAAAAAACTCATCATAATAAGGCCGTCTCTATACAAGCGCGACATGGCCTCGTAGCATTTTCCAGTCATAAAGTCGTAACCAGGGAAAAAATATGTGTCGTCATGTCGTAAAATCGTAGCCTGCTGCGGAAGAGGCTTCAGTCCCATATGCTTACAATATGCAGGCACGGGATATCTCGGGTACGCCGAACCAAAACACCCCCTGCCGTGCGTTTCTTGAGATCGTTGCATGCCCTACAGAGCAGGAGAGAACGGGTGGCTTCAGATAACGATCCTGTAAGGTGGTGTCGCACTGAGTTGGAGAACGTTTCGAGTGGTTCGTATCGCCTTCCGATCGATGGTAGAACCACCCCACAGGTCTTATCGCCTTGGATCTCCCAATGCAAGCGTTCGTAACTCCCATCTCCAGCCCTCGTATCTTTTTTGACCATTGTCGCGATGTGCCCCGACCCAAGCTTCTGTTCTCCTTCTCCACACGTTCTCCTCGTCGCGCTGTCGCCGGATGAAGCTGGGCCCAACATCAAACTCCTCGCCCACGAATGCGCTGTCATCTGGATTGGAGCTCATGGCTCCAACACCTGCATTGAAAGCAGCAGTACTGTCGCTGACCTTCAGGTCCTCAATTCCCTCAAAGGGATCAACGTCGTCATCATCGTTTGGTCCATCAACAGGAGGTATTACGCGGTCGGCTGGCCCGCGGGGCGCTCGTTCTTTGAACCATTTCATCTTCACAGGATCGAAGCGCATTCCATTATCATATTGGACGCTGCGTGGCCGATTCCTCTGCGCAATGAGCGCTGGGCGTGGAGGCGATGGTACAGGTGCAGCGGAAACTCTCACCGCACGTGACGAGACTGTCTTCTGTGATGCGTGGATTGTTGACAATGCTGTGTGCGAAAGAGATTGCGACCTGTCGTGAGAACGGAATGATTGGTTTGGAGGAGCAAAAGTGGGCGTGCTTGCGGTTGTAAGGGCCAGGGTGGTCGTCGACGTATTGGGGTGAGAGAAGGGAATCAAGGCTTCTTCGTTACCCTCCCATCGTTGCAAGATGGCATTGTAAGTCATGCCCTTTTCATCTAGCCAAGCAGGTCAGTATTTTCTCAGGGTGCGTTAAGGAGTGACATACTCTTCTGCACTGGGGTAGACAATGGCTTGATTAACATCGGCTGCTTGCCAGATCCCCGCTTCCTATGTGCCGTCGGGCTCGAATGAGGACTGCGGGCGGCGACATGGGCTTTCCAGTTGATGGGCGTGGAGGGAATTGGTCCTTCACCACGTGATCTGGTCCCAGCTAGACGTTGCTCGCGCGCATTGCGACTGGCAGCAGTATCACGGGCGAACCGCGGCGTACTATCCACCCGAGGTGGACTTCTTGGGGTCTGGGGAAGTGGAGTTGCCATTCGATCGGGCATGGGCAAGCGAGAGGTGCTGGCCGGATGGCGAAGGGTCTTTGCTGGGGCATTCTTCGGGTGTTTCTCGAATTGTTTCTCTTTCGACGCAGAAATAGGCAGGTCGTCAAAGATCTCGAGCTCGGTCCCATCTCCATAGATCGTTTTAGGAGGCCTCTTGAGAGGTCGCGAGGTAGCGGTGGTTTGTTGTCCTTCTTTGCGGAGCCCTGCACGGCCGGTACCCTCGGGAGGATTGGTCGTCGACATACGGGAGTAGGACCTCATTGAGGGCGAAGTTGGGCGGCGAGGGTCAGAGTCGCGTCGAAGGTGACCTTGGGAGCTTCTAGTCATCACGTGATGGGACTGTGCATTCGAATTGCCAGCAGGTAAGAATGGCACCGGCGCTCTCGGAACAGTAGGGTAGTTGTTGCGAAGAGCAGGGGCGGAGCGTTTTGCACGCAGAAGTTGGGCGCTGGTGGTAGTGGGCATTTGTCGGGTAGGACCCAGAACCGGCGCACCCGACTCATAGACGGGCGTAAGTCTGGTGCGGGTAGATGGAAGAGGCCTTGGTATCCTAGAGGTAGACGGCTTGTCAGAGAAGGTGATGGTGGCGGTTGCCCGAGCAGCGACCGGCACAGAAGGCTTTTGAGCAGAATTCTTGACCACGATTTTGGGGTTCAAGGTAAGTTTCTTCACATCTAGGGCATCCGCTGCTCCAATCTCGAGACCGTCCAAGAAGTCATCTTCCGTTTCTCTCCCACGCTGCGGCCCAAGGCTGGGTGCAGGTTCGCTTTCAGGGGGCAAAGGAAGAGGAGAGGGTGCGAGCTGAGGAGGCGGTACCGAGGTAGGTGGAAGATCTCTCTGGTGGGTATTGGGTAGAGGGGAGACATCGGGAGTGGAACGGTCAATTCTGGTTAGTTTCTCAAGTCGAGAAGTGAAGTCTAGTGGCTCGCTCGGCAGCACAAGGCCAGCCAGGTCGTCCTCCTCGCTCTCAGCGGTAATGCAACTGCCCAAGCTAGGGCTCATGGCGGACACGGACGAGCTACGGCCGCCTCGAGCTTCACGGCGGGTGCCGGCAAAGCGGATTCCTAAACTGCCCTCGCCCCAGTCGTCGAATTCGTCCTGGTCTTCGGCCGGAGTGCGCGGGGCGGGAGGTTTGAGCTCCAGCTTCCCATTGGAAGCGGGGGGTAGCTCGAGGTCCTGACCCCAATCATCATCAACAACAATCTTGCGGTTCGACTTCTTCGTGCCCAGTCGTTTGATGGAGCCGCCAAGCAGGGCAGAGGGGGGAACGCTGGTGGGGATGGGGATGCCGGCTTGCTTCGCGGAGGAAATTGCGTGCATGGTGGAGAGGGCGTCATTGGGAGCGAGCAGCATTTGCCAGTCGTCGTCGCCGGCATTGGACTCGGAGCGGATAGAAAGGCGTGAGGACATGGACTTGACAGTGCTGGTGGAGTTGGCGAAGATATCACCACGGAGGTCGCCTTGAAAATCGGCATCGTCGTCCCAATTCTCGATGGCGGACGAGGCGGCCGAGGCCATGCGTTGGGCAAAGCTGCCCTTCTTGGAGGCCTGCATCGCAGCTGCAACGCGGCGGAGGCGAGCAGAGCGCAGCAGGAGTCGTCGTCTTGTTCCGGGCAGTCGTCGGGGCGAGCATGCAGGTGCGTCGGAGCGAGCGTGGGTTCTGGTGTGGAGTGTGCGTGTGTGCGGAGGGAGAGAGAGGAGGTTGGGAAAGCGGTCTGACCCTTCTGGGAAAATAGCGACCGGGTCTTTGCCTTTTATTGTGGGGGGCGGGTGAGTAGGCCAAGCCGGCCACGAATATGGCCAGGGGCTTTTCGCTTCATACGATTTTGTACAGTAACCACCAAAACCACGCATTTCGCCCGCCAACGTACGAAATAACGCGATCTATTGCTTGAGGCTGCAGATTTCTATGAGATTTCCTATCTGGGACAATTGTATAGGGTCGCAGTTACGAAATCCGCCGCAAATTCGCCACCCACGATGCCCGTACGATCGAATATTCCCGAGGTCAGTTTCCCTCACTTGTTCGGCGCCGCGCACTCGAGCTTTTCAACAGTGGACTTTCTGATCGCGATATATATAAGGTTCTTGGTGTTGCAGAGCGTACACTACGCAGATGGAGATACAATCTATCTCACTACGGCTCAGTAGGTCTTCCTACGCGCCGCGGTGGGCAGCCAAAGATGGCACCCTGGATGGAAGATGTGACTTTCTCCAGCACTATTTTGGATGCCCTTACTTACAGGCGTTTGCAGGCCCTATTTCTATGGTTAGCCGCTGAGGCCTGGTTGGCTGTTCCCACCAACCGGCTGAGTGCGTGAATGCGTGAATGCGTCACGGAGGAGGTAAGGAGAGGAAATATCATTTAATTGAAGGTGACAGCACCGAAAACCCCTTCTTGTCATCCTTGTAGATGCCTGGCACACCCTACCAGCGCCACCTGGGCACATTCCCGACGCTACTAAGGCGTTACATAACCATTACACCCTTACCAACTACTAGCCTCAAGGTTGACTATTCCATCATCATCCGCCATCTCGTCGTCAGTAGAAACCCAGTCCATATAAGCCTCATCATCGGTAATCTCCTCATCAGTAGTGACCCATTCGCTGTCTTCGCAAACCCTCGTGCCATCAGCAGTGACCCACCCCTTGGTTTTACGTGTCACCTTGCCGCTATCATCGCCCATCTCAACGTCTTCAGAATCCTCCTGTCCTACTGCAGCTAGCCCCCGAGCGAGCTGGAGCCAGATTGACATATTAGCAGGTACTGAGGCGTATCGATTGACAATGCCATCTAGAAGTGGTTTAGCATACTCCCTAAGCGTAGGGTAGTACTCAAATCCGCCACATGTCATAATGTTCTGGCGAAGCTGGCCCCAGATGCCTGGGAGAGGGAGGAGAACTGGGCAGTAGGAAGCACCAGATAGCGCGGTTACGTCCCATTGAGCGTTCCCTGGCTTTGCGGTCTGGATTCTTGCGTCCTTAAAGAACCCCTCAGCTTTGTAGACGGTCACCCATTCAGTTTTACTCGGCGTCGCAGTTTTGCTTTTCTGGGTCCTCAACAAATTGCTGCGCTTGGCAGAGAGTGATAAGGGTAATCATAGTACGCTCATTCCTGTTGAAGAAGATATTGAAGGGAAGGACTGGGATAGGTTTTGGACCCCAGGACGGGAGAGCTGGCAGTGGTGGCGAAACAGTAGCATCAGCGCGGGCGAGCCTCGCAAGATACACGACAGAGAGTACATAGGGCTACAACAATGTTAGAACATAAAAGGACCGTTACCTGACCGTTACATTAACTTACCCTGAGATGTTTGTAACGGTTGCTAAACACCTGCCAATACTTGACTTGGAGAGGGTTCTTAACAGCAGACAAGGATTTCCAAGAGGTTTTACGAGATTTTTGGCCAGTCATACTAGCTATCGTGAGGATAATTGACTACAATAGGTTAGTAAATAAGCGCTGTGTATAAACATAAGAGGAGTAACTTACTAGCCACCTCTTCTTTGGCAGGCGCATTAGGAACAGATCGTAATCCTTAGGGGTAAGGTGGTGCATTGCACGGAACATCCGGGCAGCGCTAGTCAAGGCGGACCCCCAAACAGATTGGATATGACGCCAGGTTGCCCGTCGAGCGTGATCTGCGTTCAGCACCCGCAGAGCCAGAACTTCAGATGCAAATTTGTCCCAAAAGGTTGAATTAGTACTAGATCGTTTATGCCCCGTACTGTCTTTTAGCTCAGCATTGGCGATAATTTCCTCGCGAGTAAGAGGCTTGTAGGTAGGGTCGCGACGCGCCCGCTTCTGCTCGTAGTGGTCGCCTTTGGTTATGCTAAGGAGCATTAGCGGACCGTTAACTAACCGTTACTTTAATTCTGACACATACAGTTGATCAAGTCCAGCGATCCTTGCTTCCTTGCATATCCGCTCGAATACAGCATTGTATTCTTCAGTGCCCTCTTTTAAGGTTGCTAGCCGCGACGCGTTGTTCTTCAAATACTGTTTCCGGTACCTGCAGAGAAAGGCACGGGTCGCTGTTTGGTCTCGTTCTTGTTGGAGCTGCTCCTCAGACAGCTCCTTAGCCTTTTCACGCTTCCGCTTTGAATGGGGATTGGTCGAGTACTCCCCAGCTTTCTTCCGCGCTGTGCGAGGTTGGATAGGGCTGCTTGGGGAGGCATTGCTGTTTGCGCTCGCAGGCGCGGAATTACCACCTTTTCGACGGGGCATATTGGAAAGTAACGCCAGTGTAACGCTTGATGAAACCTTAGAAGGCTCAAAAGCGCAGCAGAGTGGAGAGGCAATTAGCCTGAAAGAGTAGCTCAGTAAGTAAGTTGTGGATAGTGCATGGAAGATTGGCGGTGCGTAGGCAAAGTAAAAGAGAAAGAGGCCCGTGCACCGCGCTAACGTCTTGGCATCCATCGCTCTTACCGCCTAGTGGCTTTTACTATTACTTTGCTCTATCCTACATACTCACACCCCTACATCCCCACTTTTCACAAATATCCAATCGAAGTTCACGCCTTATTCCCGCACGCATTCACTTACTCGCTCAACATGGCACGCGGAAAACGAAATACACGAGTTGCCCCATCCAAGGCTCGAAAGAGCGTTGCCGGGAAAACACCGCGCAAAACACTCTCTAACACCCCAGCTAACGGTAAGTGAAGTAACGGTTCTGTAACGGTCGTTATCTAATATTACCAGCAATGGGGGTTTCTAAGAAGAACAAGAAGAAGCGGCGTTTCAAGGCTGGAACAAGGGCATTGATGGAAATCCGCCGTTTGCAGCAAAGCTGGGAACCTCTAATTAAAAGAACTCCCCTCGTCAGAATTTTGAAAGAAGTCTTAAAGGACATGGACAAATCAGATATCCGCATGCAGGCCGGAGCTGTAGGGGCAATACAGGAAGCTGCTGAGGCCTACTTAGTCGCCTGGTTTACTGGTATGTGCATCTTCTGTGTAACGGTCGCGTAACGGTGTCTAATGCGTTTAAATAGCGGTCAACTATGCCTGCATCCATGCAGGACGTGTTACTATACAACAGAAGGACTTCGCCGTTGTAGGCAACATTACTGCTGCAGTTGGATCATGGGCCAATCATGTCGAGCACTATGCAGTCACGAAGGGACGTAGTACTGGTAACTCGGTTGTAAAAAACCCAGATTCCTATACATACTTTTTCCCGAGACACCAGGTCGATGACGGCCCTCCAACGCAAGAGAGGGAAAAGAGTACAAAAAGCAAGGCAGCAGCAAACAAGCCTAATGATGGTAACAAAAGAGGTCCAAGGTTGACAGCCCTAGTTCGTGGGGTTAAATGCAAGCGAAAGTAAGCTTCCCCTAAAAGTAACGGTTGGGTAACGGTTTATTAACGTTATTCGCAGGGACGCGCAAGAGGAAGAGGGTAATGAGGAGGAGGGCAATGAGGAGGAGGGTAATGGGGAAGAGGGTAATGGGGAAGAGGGTAATGGGGAAGAGGGGGAAGAGGGGGAAGAGGGCAATGAGTAGGCTTACCCTCTGCTTCAAAACAACGGTTAGGTAACGGTTCATTAATATAACTACAGGTCGACGACTATCCCAGAAGGAGATGACTTTCATACTCAGTCCTACGGTCTTCTCGGTGAACAGAGCCAACGCAAGGACGGCGGAGATGAGGAAACCAACGGGGAGACCAGTCCCCAGGGGCTTACTAAGAAGGCAGGGAAGAAGAAGATGTAAGTTAAATAGAAGTAACGGTCTAGTAACGGTCTTGCTAACCTTTTGCAGGTCTAAGCCTCCTCTGAGTTCTTTTAAGGCATTGCAAAGCAAAACTAACCGGCAAGACATCTCGTCAGACAGTGAGTCCGATGAGTCCGAGTTAGATTTTAACTGGGCAGCCCACTTTGATGCCGAGGTAAGTTGTTTAGCTACTAAGCTGCTTCTGTTTTGTTTTATGCTTACAGCTGTATAGAGGAAGGACGACATCCTTTTTGTACCAGGCACGAGTACTCCATGTCTCCCCTGCAGGGAGATGCAGCCACACGAAGATCACGAGTCCATATATAAATTCACAGTAGAGGGGGTGTGGTGCGTTGTTAACCCTCGAGCTGCTAGCTTGATTGCTTGGATGCTAGATCTTAAAGGTGGATCTGGAGCTTGCACAGAGTGCAAGGCCTGGGTAGCGAGCAAGAAGCCAGTGCTCCTAGATCGGAAGAGCGCCTATGAGCTTATGAAGAGTGAGTCTATGCGTCTATGTTAGGACACAGTGCTAACAGAATACAGAGGGCGACCCCTGCGTATTAATTAGCCCTAATTGCCAAGTTATAACTAGCATTGGCTTTACTGATCTGATTTTCGAAAGCAAGCCAGGACAGCATTTTATTCGTGATTTAGACAAGCAGTCATAGTACGTCCTGTCTTTATGTAACGGTCATGTAACAGTTACTAATTAGTAGTAGGGCAGAAATAGCTACTATTCCTACCTAGTCCATGCTGCCCAAGGAACGAAGGAGAGGGTAGACGGAGTCAACAGTGCTGCTAAGGATGGGATAGGAAGGGAAAGAGATACTCCGTGGACAGACAGTTATGTTCTGTATACAATGTATACAGCAGCCTGCACAATAGGAACTTCAACCAATCAATCACATTTTATTATGCATCAGTCCATACTATACCACTAACATCCTCCTAGTCCGCCTCTCTAACTTCTGTCGATTCGCTTCTAAGCAGAGCCCGTGATGGTGACGGTGACACGTCTCTTAAAGCTACGTATTGTGTATCGACTTATGTAACGGTTATGTAATGGTAGCAGAGACTAAATAACATATATGTCACGTTCCTTCTCTTGCATTGCCAACATGCACTATTGAAGCCAAGGGGGCGTTGGCCCCGGCAACCCATTGCGGTTTTGATTTTTCCACTGATCTGATCCTTGGAGACCTCTGCCATTATATGCCGTTTGAAGCATTGTTTTCATAGCGGCAATGTTTGGTGCTGGGTTCGGGTTATTGTAGAGCGTTTCATCAAAAGGGGGCAGGTGAGAAACACCAACGTGGTCTGTACGAAGGTACTGTTGGACAGGCTGAAGGCGATCGATACCATGAAACTGGATGTGATGGAATGTAATGTCATGTTGCGGCCACCGTTCCCACAAGGCGTCGTGGCCCTGTGGATGGGTTGTGAGCCCATCCAGGCCAAGCACCCATACTTCAATCCTGCCTGTTGGATACTGCGCAGAAAACCGGGATATTTTGTCGAGAAATGTGTAAAATACTGGGCGTAGCTGTCCAAACATATGCCCATGAATATCAGGGGCTGGGATTTGGTTGTATGGGTGACCTATGTGGGACAGGCAGATGCTGTCGATGATTGGAACTTGGTCTACCAAGCGCCGATAATCAGCGTATGCGCTCAGCCGACTTAACGTATACTGGGCGGCCGTCTGTCCTGTTGAATGCATTCTTACTGAGGCTTGCTTATTGCTGTAGCGGCAGAAATAAAAGCGTAAAACAGGGCGAGTAGCTGGAGTAACGGTCTAGTAACGCACATTAGCAATAGTTCTGCAAATTAGGGATAAGAGGGTATACACACCGAAGGGTTAGGGGTAGGCAAAACAGGGCAAGTAGCTGGAGTAACGGTCTTGTAACGCACATTAGCAATAGTTCTGCAGATAAGAGAGTGTACACATCGAAGGATTGGGAGTAGGTACAACTGTTCTTGGGCTTCCTTCTTCGTTTCCTTCCCCTTCTCCTCCTCCTGCTGCATCTTCATTCTCTTGGACCTCTTCTTCTACGTCTTGCACCCTATTCTCCGTCTCCTCAGCATCTCCTACTACTGGTGCTTGCTCTGCTGTTGCGGCTTGCTCTGCTGCTGCCAATGCCTCTGCCGCTTGTTGCCGACGCCTCTCTCGTTTCTTCTTGCTTGGGCGCTTCGAGGGTCCACGCTTTTTGACGCCCATTTTACTGGGACAAGACACAAATGAGAAGGTATTGGGTATTAGGACTTAGTTATTTCAGCCCGATGAGAGATGCAAGATTTTTAATGTTCGTAGAGTTCGCAGAGTTCATAGATGCACATAGTTGCTCCTTCCATCCCAACACTGCTCCTTCCTTCCTTCCTCTACAGAACACTGAACCATAAAAGCCTCACCCCGCACCTTGCTTTCTTCCTCTTTCCTCCTCCTCCTCTCATCCCATCCTCCAATGTGGTTTCCACTGAAAGTGATGCCACTCTTGGGCTTCTGGCTAGTACACTTGACCATGCCACCTCTCTTGGGCTGTCTGGTCCTTGAGGTGAAGAAGTTTAAGTTGCTGGACAGCGGTCCTTGAGGCTGACCTGACGTTGCGAACCATGATGGAGAATAGGATGCGAGGATGCAGGAAGGAGAGAGGAGGGAAGGAGAGAGGAGGGAAGGAGAGAGGAGGGAAGGAGAGAGGAGGGAAGAGGAGGAGGCGGGATGGGGTTGGGGTGGAGTTTTATGGGCATTCTTCTTGGTAGGGGCTGCATCTTCTTTTCCGTTTCCACTTTCCAAGGACCGAATGGATGGATGGCCACATTTCCTTTTCTCTTTCCACTTTCCAAGGACCGAATGGGGATGGCCACATTTCCTTTTCTCTTTCCACATGGATGGCCACATTTCCTTTTTTTCCCACTTTCCAAGGACCGGACCGGACCGGACGGACAAACTAACCTCTTGCTGCTAATTACAGCTAGTTACCGACGTCGAATACAAGCAGTGGTGGTGGTGGCAGTCGTGGTGGTGGTTTGTGGATTGATTGCTGTAAGTAAATCCGCTGTCCTGCCCTGCCCTTGCCTGTCCCCTGTACCGTTACCGTTACCGACCGTTACATGCTGCGACTAACTTGATTAGGCGCAACGCTTATTAACTAATTGCTGTCAGTAAGTCTACTATCTCCCCTCTCCCCTATCTAACTCTCTTTTACTGGCCTATTGGGGGCTGCCTTCGGGCATTTCTGTGGGTTTGCTGGGGGTCTGTTCGATCGCGAAAGCGTGAGAATGGGGTTGACGCCGTTGGATCCTCCGCATAAACTTCTTAAGGAAGTCCCTTTCGTTGTGAGGTGAAGCCTGGACTTTGTCTGGAGATGGGACTGTCAGAGTCGCTGTTGCTGAATCTGGGTCTCTGAAGGCGTTGGCCCATTGGACGTGGCAGCTTTATGCACCTGTCCGAGGGGCCGCAAGCATATTTGGTGACTTTCATGCATACTGTGGTAGAGCTTCACAGGCAGCAGTTGGCTATGCGGGCATGGCTTGCTCGGAGAATTCGGAGCACTTCTACCCACACGCTAAAAAGCTTGGCTCTGGCCCCCCTTCATCCGTCCTATACCCGGGGTCTCTCTATAGCTGAGCGCCTTTGCTCCAGCAGCTATTCTGTTGTCCTGTCGAGCCGTCTCTCTGTACTGGAGGCAGCAGTTGTATCGAGTAGGTGATTGCAGGCAGCAACCCGCGCCGCAAAAGCTAGTTGATCACCAGCTGGAGCTCAAAGCACACAGCTCGAGCTCAGAGCTCACATCTCCACCCACTTCTTTCCCCTACAGAAGCTGGCCTTTTTACTTACAAAACCCACCACCCCTTCAATCTTCATCTGAAACGTCACGCCAATCTCCCGTCGCGTGACGAGGCACCGCGTCCTCTCCCCTCCTCAGCAGGCACAGGCCCTCTTCCTGACCCAAGGGCGTGTATTACGTCCGCCAGGTCTGCCCCAAGCCTCCTTCAAGTGCTTCTCCATCATTGGCTACATCCAAGTTGTACTATCAGGACGTTAACATTGCTATTCATCTGCAAGGGATCATCATGGCTGGTGGAGACACGCATATCATCTCTATCCCAGCCGCCACCCAAGGCCAGCCCGGCTTCGTCATCGAAGTGAAGCAAACAGGCGAAGACCCCCTGGACGTGCGACTGGTAGGGAGCGAGGGCGAGTACTGCTACGTGACCAAGCGTAAGAAAGTGTCAATATGGACCTGAACAACCGATTTTGACGCGTAAATCCAGTGAAGAAGCGAAACATCGGAGCTCTCAAACACAAAGCTAGCACCGACGAGTGGGAGGCCATCGTTTCTCATTTCCTGCTTCAGAAACCGCTTGGGAAGAAACAGGAAGACCTCTTGCAGAATGTGCGCATCGAATATACCCTCACAAAGGACCAAGTACATGTCACCCTGCGAAGAGACGTACAGGGTATTAAGGTACTTCATCCGAAGACGCGATTATGTAACCAGACTAAACAGAGCAGGTCACGCTGGGAGAAATCGTGCTAGCCAGGACAGAAGAGGAGGAAATCGACCCTATTGCCTGGGCCTATGCATCAAGCAAGGCCCACAACGAAGCCCTCAAGGAGATAGAGCGTCTAAAATCCATGCTAGAGGACAAGAGCGCCGCAATGGAGAAGCTCAATGCCCAGCTAGATGATTTTATCAAGACCAAACAAGAGACTGAGACGGCCATGTTACAGCAATTCATGGTGCTCTTAAACGAGAAGAAGAGGAAAATAAGGGACCAAGCTCGGCTTCTGGCAGGGGCCAAAGTGGACAAAGCAACCGGTGAGCCCAAGAATGGCTCCATACCACTTCCTATATGTACTAACGCCAGCTTCAGCTGCGGCTGTCAAATCCGCTCGGGAAACTACTAAACCTCGCAGAGCTGGACAATCACGTGCATCTAAAAGAAAAGCGACCGCTCCCGAAGAAGACGTCAGCGTCGAGTCCGACAGTGCTCAGATGGAGATCGACGAAAGCAAAGCAGAGGAGCAGGACGATGCATCAGGCCCGGAGGCGGAAACGCCAGATCGAAGCACCGACGATGAGACGGAGGACGAAGAAGACACTGCTGTTGCTGCGGCAAAGCCAGAAGTGAAGACAGTCAGATCGGAGAGCGCAAGCACGTCGGCAACACCGTCGTCGAAAACCGAGCCACCTCCAAGACGCGAGCTGCCTTTTCTTAGGAACAAGGCGACCCGGAAACAACCCTCACCGCCGGCTCCAGATGATGACGAGACGGAGGACGACGAACTCTGAAGCCGAAGCTCTGAAACTGAGATTCTGAAACTTCCATCAGGATGGGTATTGCGCTGGGATGTGTATCACTGGGTGGAGCCGATTTGGACGACGGGAGGTCCTGGATGAATCTGCTCTTGTCGTCAAATGTTTGAACAATCAGCAGGCTATAAAAATTCACTTCAGTAATGTTTGGCTTGTCTACGAAGGTACCGGTGTATTTCTTGCTCGTCTATCGTCACAGACAGCCAATATCCATCAATTCACTCCATGCTGTGTGCCGGACCACCAGTTCGTAAACCCCCAGATCGCTACCCTCACCACAGTGGTGACATCGGTAGTATCCATAGCTTGGCGCTAGCCCTCCCGCACGGCCCCGGGGATGCGTGACCAATCAGCTGCACGTCCTTCGGAGTATCATCAATCCGCCAAGACCATATCCACACTTGCCTATGTACTACTCCATCACGTCTTCGATGTGCTTGCTCTTCAACCCCAGCTCTACTCTCTTTGTATGGGACATCACCGTGCTAGCCTGTCGCCCGGACCTCAAGTTCAAACGTCCGCCTGTCCGCGGACCAAGGCCTGGCCGGAATGATCAAACGGTCTGCTGGCAGCTCACGCGCAATCCAAAGGCTGAGGGTCGCTGCTACTCTCTGCCAGGTGAGTTGGCGAAGCGCTTTCACTCACCAACTCTCCTCTATTGTGCGCATTGACTGATATTGTTTCTATTCAGCCGGCGATTGTGCGCCCCACCTATTGGAGTGGCTTCTCCACGAATTCGTATACACATTAGTCCTTCCATGACCCTCTCCACCTCGACTATTCTCCCTCGAGTTCGCAGCTTCTGCCCTTCCTCTCCACGAGCGGAGGCTCCACACCGTCCCAATTGTATGCCCCCGCGAAGAGGCGCCCGTCATGTCCACCTCTGAACCTCCTCCGGGCCGTCGCCCTAGCATTGGCGCGAGCGCGCCGCAGGCTCGCGCAGTACTCTCGGCCGAAGACGAAAGAGAGCTTGCTCTCCTTGAAGCTTCCTTCAGTCGGATTCGGCGCTCTGTGCGGCCTACTCCATACATCTTGTCGACCCCGTCCTTATATCCATATCGTCATCGCTCAAGGCAGGAGGAAAGAGCCTGGATGATGGGACAGCGCATGTGGGAGCCAACAGAGGAGCACTTGCAGTACAGGACATTTCTCTTTCATGACCCGTTACATATCGACTGCTTCGTCTCGCACCCAGGAGAGGATTACGGAACTGAACCCAGGCGACCCAGCTCGCAAGCGTCGAATGCGACACACTCAACCCCTAAGCAGAAGTTGAGCTTGAGTGAATGGAAGGCTAAGCAGGCCAACGGCGCAATTTCCTCTGGCTCAAAGAACGAACCCCGGAAGGTGGAACCCTCAAAGGCCGACGGTGCATCGTCGCAAAAAGAGCCGGGGAGCAATCCTCCGTTGTTAGCGACCGCTAGGCCCGAGACGAGCCTCCCTCAGAAACGGTAAGTTGAGGCCTGAGCGATTCCCAACGCTTTTCTGACATCGTCCAGGCCTGCTACAGAAACTCTGACTCCAGAGGTACCCGAAAAACGTATCAAGGAGGATCCTCCTTCGATCCCACCGCCTCCGAAAACAGCCCTTCCCAGCGATAGTCCGAAGGCGAGTCCTGAGAAGACCGTGCCATCCGATGGAACTCCACATGGTCTTCCCCCGCTCCTGTCCCCTGTGGATCAGACATTCAACAACCCCTACGGTCTTCCGCCGATCTTATCTCCTACCCTGCCTTCTAACGTGCAAGCGGAGCTGGATAAAATGGCCGAGAAGAGTCAACACGGAGACTCCGACGTCTCTGCCTCGTCATCCGACGTGAAAAACCAGGTTCTTAGTACAAATGAACAAGGTCCGCAAAGACAAAAATCTCCCGGCGCCCGCGATTCTCGGGTGAGATCAGCTTCTATAAACGGGAAACCATCTACCAGCGTCTTATCAGATCACGAAAAGTCCTCGGAGCGATCTCTCATTGTGAAACTCAGATACGGCAAGTATGGGAAAAGGCTTTCGGCCACGATCGCGCAGCTTCTCAAGCTGCCTGCCTCCCGTAAAGCTCAATCTGTGGCTCAAAAGAACGGGTTGTTACCGGGTGGTTCCCACGAAACATCTGCAAGCTCTCAGCCTATTTCTACGGAAGAACCCACCAGCAAAAGGAGCGTCTTGCCGAAGAAAGCGGTGCGCCCTGCGGACTCTGCTACGCCAGAGGTCGCATCCAGCGGCGTTGCAACAAAGGTAGCGGAAAAGCGGCCTCGCGGTGAGGATGAGGCCTCCATTGGCCATTCCTCAAAAAAGACGAAGCCGTCTCAGGATTCCTCGCGTACGCCAACCCGTCAGACATTGTCATCTCCTCCAAAGTCCAACAAGTCCAGCGCGCAAAAGAGCCAAAATACATACTCCACCCCGCTTAAGGAGCACAAAGCTGTCAACATGCTACGGACTGCGTCAGTGGAGAGTACCGATTCGACTCCTGGACGCTCCGGAATCACTCCATCAAATACGAGACCGATGGATCCGAAGGTACCGTTGTCGGCTTCCTTGAGTGGGAGGAAGCAGGCCGACTCCCATCTCCTCTCCCAGATATCTCAGAATTTCAATAACATGGGCCGATCCCTAAAACATAAAGCGCAGAATGTCCTTACCGAGAAAGGAAAACAACTGACGAAAGGCGACTCTAAAGTTACTTCAGTAATCAATTTGGAGTGCATAATATCATATATGGTTGCGTATGCGGCGCAAGACCAGTGGAACAGCCTCCGGGGTCGCCCAGGCGACGTGAAGACCACCTGGAAGACCCTCTTACCGCTCACTATCTCTTATGCTAGCCGCACTCAAGACTTTCCACACCTCGACGGCCTCCGACACTATCTCTGCGCTGTGCAATGCTCGGTCGTTTGTAACCATATGGCTCCACGTGGGTCACAGTACAAGACAAACGATGCTCCCGAAGACATGGCGCACGTCGACCTTGCCAACAAGTATACTCGCGTGACGGAATACTTCAAGCTCCTCTCAGAGAAGTACATGCAGCTGTCGCGCGAGATGCTCGATGCGCGAATCAAGCTTCCCATCGAAGTCATCGAAAACGACTACCCGAAAACGTGGCAAGGCAGGGAGACGAATGCGCGCTTGGCCAAATCCCCCGAGAAGTTCGAATCCGGGAATCTTTCCGGGCCTTACTTTCTCCCCATCCAGCCCGACACGACTCCCTTGCAAGCCGTGCGATTTGGCCTCGCCTTCCTCAAGGAGTATTGCGAGAGGGAAAAGCTGGATTACACGTTCCAGTTCAATCTGGAGAGTGTACTTGATTGATTAAGAGGCTGGATTACATATTCCTCTCCAATCTCGACATCATACTCGGTTGAATGGTGTCTCTTTTCTGTATTTCTATTAGCGGCATACCACTGCATCTATTCTTCTTCCTCTTACAACAGTACATGCGATTTCTTCGGACTGGCATATCGTATATGCTTTCTCCCCCGTCCCATTCACATGGAATGATTCACGAATGAACCTGGCGTTTAGGCAAGCGGGAATGGATGGATGGATAGATGGATGAATGCCATGGCGCGTGTGGTTCTTCTGGATGGGGACATACATGATTTGCTTAACTACCTGGTTTGGGCGATAGATACCCTTGAGGTCACGACTCCCCGCTTTATTCGTTGGAGCGGGGGTTTTGCTAATGTGACGGCCTCTGTCTCTCTCTTTCCTTTTTCTCTCCAAGGCATTCGTGGGGTTTCTCACCGGCAGGGGTGTCTTGTCTATGGTGGTTTCCGTCGGGGATGCCGGTACTAAGCACACTACGTACACTGGCGCGTTCGGCGTCGGGAGGAAGGGGTATATATAAGGTATGAAGGGAAATGGAAAAGTATATACCATTTATTATATTCAGTCTTCTCGATGGAGATTGTGAGGGGTGGGGTAGGAGTAGGGTCAATGAACTGAGGATGTGGTGTAGGTATCTTGTGTGGGGTGATGTAGCCTAATGCTTTTGACTGATGGGATGATGTTTGGGAGGTTTTTGGGGTGCGAGTTGTGTGTAGTGCGGGAGTGGGCGGAAACAAGCACTGCAGGAGATAAATGAGGGTGTTTGGATGCGGGATAGATAGGTAGTACGGGTAGTATGCTATGCGGTCTCCACTATTACAGCCCGTCGTCGTATAATGTCGGATTCCCCGCGACGGCTCTATCAGGACTCTTCTGCGTAGACGTAGGGTGAGACACATCAAAACCATTAGACTATATACGCGATGTAGTTATCCGCATAAGCACGGTAGCAACTGAAGTCTGCCTCTTCGGGGTGTTGCCATTCGAGGAATGGATGGTTTGAACCTTGGAGGATAGCTCCGCTACAAGGAAACACAGTCTTAGTGTTCACTGCAGTGGTCGATATTGGAGACATCACTGTGGTTGCTACCATATATTTTGTGAATTGGGTTGTCAGCTTTGGTGGCTGTGCTGAGACCACCATCGGGATTCTGGGAGCGGACATAAGGAAGTGGGAAAATGGCCAGCCACCACTCTCCCGTCTTCTGACCCGGTTTTCCACGGATTCGCAAAACATATGGCAGCAACCATAGTACGGAGTAGTGCTCCGGGGACAAGTGCTATTTGAGGTGGCAATATTTTAAGGTTCCGAGGAGCTGTTGAGATTTGACAAATCTCGTCGAACGCCTCTTCACTGCGCCGCGCTTTGCCATTTTGACGGACACAAGTGATGAAAGCTCCTAATATCTTTACTTAGGATTTTCAAGCCCCCTTTCCCCTTGGTTAGCTGCAGATAATCTGCCGCGGCTTCTACAACCTCTTACCGCGTCCGATGGGAAAAAACAGTGGATCGGAGAGGATCGTAAGGGTCATTTTACATAGTTCTACTTACCTGTAGCTTAAATTGCTTCAACGAAACTGCCTTCCGACCGCGGTTGATTATGTATGCTCCACGATGCAACAGGTAAGCGTTGTCTAGCGCTGTAGTCGGACAGATTCTGCAAAATAGGCAGATTTGGCGGTTACCCTACGGTACCTAGTAGTTGCTCTTCCCATTATTACCTCCTCTTTTCACGTCCGATGGAAAACCCAAGGGGGGCAAAGGGTCGCAGGGCACAGTGACAACCTTGAAGGAAGTGATTGGCTGTGTGAAGGTTAGAGCCCGCCCTTAAGCCACGTTCATGGATCGACTCAGGGTATCTGGCCTGAGAGACTGCCGCTGGTTTGATACCTAGGTTGAGGGGCCTTCCCTGACTTCAGTGGTCCACTTTCTAGCAGCAGTGGGAAAAGGCAGTCAGTACCCTACATGCCAACTCAAGGTACATTTACCGGCTCCGTGGAGTGGGGAGAACTTGCTTTCCAATTGTCAGCAAACCCTAGTAGCGTAACGGCTCCTTACAATTGCCAACCTTCATTCAGTTTTGAGGCAAACCCATCCATTTTGACAAGTCCGCAACAAACTCCCGTACTCTGTGGATCGGTCGGAATGGGATTACTAAGAACCAGGAGGCAAAGGCCAGGCCACTTCCAATAGTGCGCCCGCCACTCCCCGGCGCTAGCGACACTCCGATCTGATGATTTGTTGGTGAACTTTAACGTTCCGGCATTACCGAAGTCTCCAATTCACACGAATACACGACCAAGACATCCCTATTCGTCGACGTTTCCACGTGAGGCGGACTTTTGGATCCGAACATCCAAACCCGTGTTCTAGCACACGTTACAGAACCTTTTGAGAGTGTTGTGCCTGGCTGGCCCCGCATCCTCGAGACCAGCTGTCTCCGGGAGTGACTTGCATAATAAGTGGGGTGATCTATCGATCACCAGTCGTGGGTCCCTTGTTCGACGGGCGTTCCTTCAGTGATTTCGGCACGCCCTGAAACGAACAGACGTAGATACTATCAGGCACATCGCAACTCTGGCTCCTGACCCATTGTCTGGCCATCCATGAAACCTGCGAGTCCCTGAAATCGGACTTCTCAGCGACCCTCGGGAAGTGGCAATTTTATAGGGACTGGATACTCCGCATGTACTGGAGATATGGGAGTCTCCGGGCTACATAGGTACACAGAGTACGCGGCACTCTGCACCAATTCTTCCACTGTGGGACCTATCGCCTCCTGACGTTTTCTGCCATGCATGCCTTGCTCAACCATAATGTCGAAGCTGCCTCGTCATTCCCTCCTCGGCAATTCGAATTCCAGACTCAGTTTGATTGCATGCTTGAGTACTCCGCACTCGGCACTGTAATCGCTCTCTCCTGACCGTCTAGGCTGGGGACTGGAACAGGAGATGCACGTAAAGAAAGAAGGAATGGAATCAGGGTCTAACCACAGTAGGGAGTATGTAATAAGTTTACAGTTTGAACTTCCTCTAACCCTAGTACGGAGTATGTCGGGGATTAACTCGGGAAGCATTCCCCGACGTCCGTGTCGCTTGAACCTCCACCGCCAAGTCTTCTCCTTTGCCAGTCCCCGTCGCCTCGGTGGCCTTAGTCGCTGCGACTTCCCTTAATCGTGTGAGCGCCTGGGGGTGTCATTGGGAGGAACGGACTTGATTCCAGGTGACTGACAGAGCTCATACATATTCGCATGATGGTCTGACGATACTAGGTACAGATGCGACTGCGAAGCACTCACGAAGCACAGAGTCACGATCGGCAACCGTCCTCAAAATGCGGGAGGGTCTGACTGTCAGTCTCCGTCTAGTCCGAATCACTGCCCCATCGGGTCTAGTATAACGCCTTTATTCGAGATGACACGCGAAGAATTTTCCAAGGGTAGAACTCTATTAACAAGCCCAAGACCAGTCCTGCGGTCCACCCCTCTCACTACTACCTAGGTATACCCGACGCACAAGATGTGGGGTATTGCTTCGGTGCATTTGCGCCATTCAATGCAGGTAGGTACTCGTTAGACTGAAGTTAAGGACTAGTAGGCACCCTGAGGTGGTATTCCTCAGCATGGCAATCGTAGGGTATCCATGCCCCGTCTGCGTAGTTCCCACAGTCCGGTGTGGGCTCAGGAGGAGCGAAGCCAGTCTATCTCCTGAATTTCATCGTACCTCCGCCGCGCCCAGGCATGCTGAGAGGGAGTTCCCGCATCGGTGGCGATTATGGTGCCCGCGGATGCGCTCCCTCGATTTAGAGTTGAGATTAAGGTTTTGCCAGGAGACCGGGAACCCGGCTTATGGGTATGTATACCAGCGCAGTTTCCATTCCTTCGGGACGTTTCTTCTGAATCCGTTTCTTTCTACCGTATTACGTGCATACGGCCATCCCGATCTTTCTTTTGTTCTTGTTGGTTTTGCTTGTATACGCTTTTCAGTCGTTTTGGTTGGACTGCCACTACCTTGAATCGTTACCAAACCCCGTGGACGCGGACGTGGACGTGGACAACAGTCACCGATGGCAACGATTGCGGCCGGCTCTCCAGCTGCAGGACTTCCGAATCCAGCCCTAATACCTGCCACGATTTCACAGGATGCAGTAGATACAGCGCGGAAGTTCGTAGCGGTTACTATCGCCCTTAATATTATAGCAGCTCTGTTATTTGGAGGTCGGATATGGACTAGGACGTTCCCAGTGTTCCGGATGGGTCCGGACGATTATCTGATCCTACTTGCATATGTAAGTGAGGACAGATTCCTTACCTTTTCTGGCAGAACGTGGCGATCTGCCAGAACTATACCAACTATACTAACAAATATCAGCCCCTCGTCCTCGTCGATTCAATCTTGCTGCTCGTTTCAGTCCCATATGGGTTCGGCGCCGACCTAGCGAACATGACAATGGTGGATATCGAGGAACAGCTCAAATATGTCACTGTGTCTCAGCCAATATGGGCGTGGTCCATGTGTGTGATCAAATGCTCCGTGACCGCCATGCTCCTGAGGCTCGAGAACGACAAATTCTGGCGCCGGTTTCTGTGGGGCATGATAGGGGTTCATATCCTCTTGGCTGTCTACTGTACCATTGCCTTGACGACGCAATGCATTCCCTTGAGCGGATCCTGGGATCTCCTCAAGCTCAAACCAGCAAAGTGTTGGAGCGCCGAGGCCGTCCGCGCCAGCAGTATTGCCTCATCGGCAGTCAACATCGCATCGGACATCATACTGGCTCTCATGCCCATCAACTTCCTCCGAAAGGTGAGTGCTATAGTCCCTTCGCGAAGCCGTCCTTACTGGACTGCTAACGGAATGACAGGTGCAACGGCCGATGCGCGAGCGCGTCATTATTGGAATGCTAATGGGACTGGGCGTTTTCGCGGCAACCGCCTCTATCGTGAAGGTCAGGGTAGCGGCAAACTGGGGGATCGCAAAAGACATGACCAACGAGGGGATAAAGTTGTCCATGTGGACCATTCTCGAAGAGGTGGTCGGCTTGATTGCAGCCTGCATCCCGTGTCTCCGCTCGCTGTTCCAAAAGGTCCTCGTCAATTTCGGCCTTGTTACCGATTCGAATAAGCCTTCCGGTCGCGGATACGGACAGATGTATGGCGACATGGGAACGTCGAGGACAAAGGGTACGAGGAGTGATGTGATGCAGGGGACCAAGTTGAAGACCCTGAGGAGTGAGGACGCGCACAGTGAGGAGAATATCCTTCAGCCAGGTACTGATGCCGGCAAGAGTGGGGAGATTTGGTGCACAACGGAGGTGAGGATGCAGGAAGAGGTGGCGAGCTCGAGATTGGACTTGCAGGCGGTGAAGGATCAGGGGAACGCTCGCAGTTGGAGCGCTGCGAGTGAACATTCGCACGAGGATGGCGGATGGCCCAGCAGTAAGCCGAGCAGGAATGATATCGTGTAGCGGTTATCGTGTAATAGTCTCTCTCTACCCTTTAAAAATATCATGTATGTAATGTTTTCAATCAAAAGAATACAGTATCTCAAGAAATCGAACCTCAGAGCCTTACAGCATGCTGCTTTTGATGGCAACACCAGGTTTCTTGAGTAGGCTTCAATGTGGGCGTCCTTTGTCGCGAGAGCATCAGTACAAGCGGATTCCGCTCTTGGAGTTTCGACTTGCATCGAAACATTTTCCTGGACAAAGTCTCGTGTGACTGGTTGTCCCCGTTTCCGATGGACGCACCTGCACTGATATTAAGGGTTGTAGCCCCCTTCAAAGGCGTCGAGTGAACATTTCCCTGGGATTCCTGCCGATGTGCGCTCTCCATTGTTACAGTACATTTACACACAACGCCTCCCTTGACGACGCAGAGGAGTTAGAGAAGGCAATCCCTTGCAAACAGAGCGATTCCAAGTGCGGTTATTGGGTCGCGAAGGGCAAGGGAGCTCAAATACCCATGCGGCCTTGGCAGTAGCGGAACGGAGTAGGGCTGAAAGAGTTATTCTCGGCAGACGTTAGGGAGCACGCACATAAGTAATCCGGCGCACCCACATAAGCCCGCCAGAGGCACCTAAAAATCCACGAACAGCAGTGCAACAGCGGCTTTTAAGGGCATCTTTTTAGAGATTTTCTTGCAAAGAAAATAAACTCTATATAATACAGGCACGCGCAGTCTAAATCTGTAAAAATATTGCAGATTTTCTATGTAAAAACAAGCAGTGTAGGCTTTCTCTTCTCTCTTCCCTTCCGCCATTGTAAAACCTTAAGATTCAGCTAATACGCGCCTGTTCTAGGCCTCTGGCGGGCTTATGTGGGTGCTCCGGATTACTTATGTGGGTGCTCCCTAATGCCTGCCGTTATTCTCCAGCTGGCAGCCAATACGAGATTCAACCTTCAGCAGCTCCTAGATCGATTTCAGCTTTAATCAAGCATGCAGGCTTGCATGAGATGTTATTCGCCATGTCCGGCCACATACAAATTACGAAGAGCAAATGCGCCCCCAAATAAACGTGATCCAACAATGTAGCTGTCGGATCAACCAATGATAGGCCATGATTGGTCCTCAAAAGCGGGAAAAGTAGGAGTCAGCGTCCTACAAAATTGCATGCGTGAAATCCTCTGGTGTAAGAATGCACTAAAATGGCAGTTAGCCGTTGGGGCCATTACCACATCCCTGTCGTTCTGGATAGGAGGGTGCTGTATTAGTGAATGCAATGGCCGCAAAGACAAGCCACTCAAGATTACGAAGGAGGTTTGAGACTTTCCCTTGCGTCGCGAGCAGGCTCACACTCGTTATTTCTCCACAGCGATTAACTTCGCCTTGTTCCTCCATCAGATGTTTCTCTTCTTTCGCCGCCCGTTATGTTGCTACGGCAAACTCATCTGACAACGTTGGGTACATGGGTAGCCACATTGCTTCTCGGATGTGCATTTACGGCGGTCGTCTTTGGTGGCTTTCGAGGGCATTCCTTGGATATTTTGACTAACCGACTGAATCTTCAATCCTCTAGAGCGTATGACCCTCAGCTTGTTTCATTCTGGAAGGACCTGGCCACTGCTCTTGAGGCAGCGCGACCGCAGTGTGCTCCCATCAATGTCACCGCTGGGGAGATGTCCGACCACGACAAGAACTGGGAACCACTGTTGGAAAAACAGAGGCCCAAGAAGCTAAATCTTCCCGAGGAAGACGAGATTGAGCTGACGAGAGCCCATCGCCAGATGAGGCTTGCAGCGCGCCGCCTCGCCCCCGCTTTCCCCGTCGGTGAGGGCAAAGGTATCGTTACCACGGGGGGCCTCAAGCTCTTCACTGTCTTACTGGTATCTCTTCGAATGCTTCGCCGCACAGGCTGTTCGCTTCCTGTCGAGGTATTTCTGGGTGACCGAGCGGAATATGAGACGGTGGTGGATACCTGCGAGAAGATACTCCCACGGCTGAACGCTCGCTGTCGCGTCATCTCCGACATATACTTTGAGGCGGACGTTGCCCCTCCAGACCACTTCCAGTTCAAAGTCCTCGCCATCTTGTTTTCGTCTTTTGAGCATGTTCTCTTCCTGGACGCCGACTCCTTTCCCGTGCATGATCCGACGCCACTCTTGAGTGTACGTACTCTTGCTGTAGCAGTGTTCCACCGTTTACTGACCTATCATCGCATAGTCTCCCCCTTATACCACCCACGGGCTCGTAACATGGCCGGGATTCTATGCGAATGCAGCATCATCGCACTTCTATCACATAGCCGGTATCGAAGAGCCTCCCGTAAACCGCGGCACCGAGTCAGGGCAGCTGTTGTTGAACAAACACCACCACCGCGAGAGCTTGCTGATGATGGTATACTACAATTATTACGGCCCAGAATACTATTATCCGCTCCAAGCCCAAGGAGGGCCAGGACAAGGCGACAAGGAGACCTTCGCAGCTGGAGCCCTGGCGGTCAATGCTCCGGGACCCTTCTACAAAGTGAAGACACCCGTGATAGCACTCGGACAGACCGTCAATGGCCAATATGTGTTCGCAGGCGCCGCGCAGGCCGACCCTATACAGGACGTCGCATATGAGCCGCCACCTCCGAACCACATACTCAAGGACTATCAATGGAGCGAAGACGATGCCATTGCTGCACGTGAGCCTCATAAGGCGAAGGCGAGAGCTTTCTTCGTGCATACGGTCTCTGAGGGTACCAAGCTGGATCCATCGAAGCTTCTGCGCGAAGGGGGCCTGGCATGGGACCCGAATGGGAATTTCCACCGCATATGGGGGGATGAAAAGTGGGTGGTGGAGAAATTCGGATTCGATGTGGAGAAGAGAATGTGGGAGTGCGTGCAGGAGGAGGCCTGCAGGATGGACTCTAAGCTGTGCAGTGAAGTAAAACGGTATCGGAAGAAGGTCTTTAGTATGACGGGGTCGTAAGGGTAGTCTATGAAGAGGAGAATTGGCTGCATCTATAAGGAGTTAGGGCGAAATAGGGTAGATCGGCAGAGTGCTAACATGTTATTAAGCCCAACCGCCGGACTTGGCACTCTGGAGTGGTGGGACGTCAGAATAATGACCTGCTGTCACACTGAGACACCCATCTCTGGATTTGCAATAACAAAGGACCCGGACTGCATTATTTCCCATAAGATCTAAGGAGAAGGGATTCACTCTGATTTTCTGAGTGGAACTCGGCTATCTGCCTTCGGTCCACGGCTCTGTTGGCGAGCCCCTTCTGCACTCGAGGCCAATTCCAGAGTCCCTTCCTCCAAAACCCTGATTTCATCTCAGGAAAGTAACCAGCGCTACCTATCTCTTTTCTAAACCCGATTTCGAGTTTAATTTTTGAGCTGCGTAAGGTTCTTATCAGCTGCACACGGGTTTGCCGTTCCTTACAGGGAACAGTTGACAGCTTATCAACCCCTTCTTTATTCAAGGCCCTTTGACACATTACGTGAAAAGTACAGGATCGATACGGCCTTGGTTCGACTCTACCATTCTAGGCTGGACCAAGATGGACGACTACGAACAGGCCTTACTGGAGTCCATGCCCGCACACATGCGGCCGTCCTGGTGTCCCTCGCCCAGCGAAGTCCGCCAAAAGGCTCGCGAGTACACAACACGCCTCTTCCAAGATCGCGACACCCTGCAACAAATCCTAGAACGGCATGAAACTACGATCCGCAAGCGCTGGACCAAGAAAACGAATTCGCAGAAAAAGAAGATACTCCTGCAGGCATGGCCCAACATGTCAACCCAGCATCGACCCGACGTAGAGGCCTGGCGTCGCCAGTCAACGAACAGAGACGCTTATTTATGGCCGTACATTAACCTGGAGGATCTCTTCAAGACGAAGTCGCTTCTGCTCCTCCTGCATTCTCGTGGGAGACACCAGCCCCACGAATTCGTGCACTCTGATCTCGAGCAGGCCCGCCTGGGCGAAATCACGAGAGTCATTCAACCGGGATTCCTTAACGGATTTACGATGCTTTTCCACGGTCGGACCACGCCCGACACGTACGGGGACCTGGTTGATTGGGACGACGGGGAGATGATTTTCGAATTCCTCAACAATGGCCTGGGTATGCATCCTGGCCATGGTCTGGTGGCACTCGAGATCCAGCAGCGCCTGTCGTCCAGTGCTGTCGTTTTCTCCTGCAGGATCTTGAGCCCTTAATTGCATCCGAAGTCGTGCCTAACCCTGGGCCGCCGCATGGCCAGCAGGAGAATGTTACCTCCCTTGAGATCATGGCAGCAGAGGCTCCGTATCGGGTGCCTGCGCGTCTCGATATCAAACGTTTGCTAGCCATGACAGTGGCTGAGTGTGATGCGAGAGAAGAGCATATATGGGCTCTGCGCGAGGATCCAAGCTACTTTGCGGAGGTCATGGAAGACTGGGCAGCTCATCGGCCAGAGGTATTGCTAGATGCGTATGGCCGGAAACATCCGTCGCAGACGAAACCCGGGCGACCGGTCTTCTGGAACATAGTAGTTGACAAAGTTGTGGTTGAATCGTACTTGGGATTCGCCACATTTGACCACATCGTCAAGCAGGTCAAAGACTTGGAGAGTCTATTGTCACGACATGCAAGCAAGATCAAGCCGGAAGACGACCTACCCGCCGATCTCATGGAAGCATTCCAGAACTTGAGATTCACATTGGATGCTGCCAAGAAAGGTCTCATAGAAATACTCCAACAGGGCCTTTTCTCCTCGCCGCCCATCCGGCAATTCTGCCACCGTCAACAGAATGGCCTGTCTTCCTTGAAAATGGGCCTGGTGTACAGACCCGCACCTCCGGATCACGGCATTCACCGCATCATGCCGTTATTCCAGATGCTCTTCGACGACGAGCAACTCTTCCTGTTCGGCCTCCACACAATCACCGACGAAATCGGCCATTCACTTGAGCACGACCGCGCCGTGAAAGCGGCCATCTCGCCTTGGGTAGCCAGCCATCTCTCTTCCCTTTCTACCGTCTCGGAATGCCTGCACCAACTCCACTTCTTCCAGCCCTGGGCGCGCAAAATCGAAGATGGCGTCGATCAAAACGAGGACAAGCTGTTGTCCACTTATGCGCAAACGTTCGGCGTCTGGCGGCCCATCCTGCACCTAAATCTAGAGAGGTCATCGCTGTATCAATACGCGGATCCTACGGACGGTAAATTCCAATACCCAATACACTGACGCCGCAACAAGAAGACCGTTGAGGCCGCTCGGGCCGCCGAATCGAATCTGGATACGGTATGGAAGGAGTTGGATCAGCACTACAGGGCCAGCGGCAGCCGCAAGTCGCCACACGATTTGGTTTTGAATTCGCTCGACAGTGCGCGGACGATCCAGCGGACCGCTCCCTGGGTGGAGAAGGAGAAACAGGATACAGTGTCCGAAGGGATCTACGATCGCCACGCTTTCTCTGGAATCCGTTGGAGTTATCTAGCAGCTTCCATCTCATGTACAATTAATAGAGCAAGCATGTGTAGCAAGCACTTATTCACTATAAGTACTTGCTCCTTTTTATCTTATCTAGAGATTATAGCCTAGGTCTAACAGGTTATAAGCCCTCGTTTTCCAACGCTGCGCAGTTTAGCTTCTAGGTCATCTACCTTAGCAGGGGTGTAAACTCTAGTTACGTTTTAGGGGGGCTATCGCGTTAGTCCTCCTCCGTCCCGCAAGCCTCTTCCGTAGAGCACCGTTTTAAGCCTCCTCCGTAGAGCACCGTTTTAAGCCTCCTCCGTAGAGCACCGTTTTAAGCCTCCTTAATTAGGAGCACCGTTTTAAGCCTCCTTAATTAGGAGTACTGTTTCAAGCCTCCTCGATTAGGAGCACCGTTTTAAGTCTCCTCGAATAGGAGCACCGTTTTTTCAAGCCTCCTCCGTAGAGCTGCGTTTCGACCTAATAGATAGTCATCGTTTTAAGGGGGTTATCCTATTATCCTAGGGTAGTCCGCCTGCGTTCATGCCTCCTACGCAGGAGTGCCCTTTCGACATTTATCGTTTCAACGCTCCATTAATTCTCTAGAAGCTCTCGCTGCAGGGGGGCTGTTAGAGTTATCTAGCAGCTTCTATCTTATGTACAATTAATAGAGCAAGCATGTGTAGCATGCACTTATTTACTATAAGTACTTGCTCCTTTTCATCTCATCTGGAGATCATGGCCTAGGTCCAACAGAATCGACCATGACGAATCGAAACAAATCACGGGTGTCTTTGCTCGCCTCTCCACGGCGGAGAAGCCCGACAAGCTGAAAACACGCGGAGAATCGTCATCCGCACGTGATGAGGATATAGGCGCCTCTATCATACCACACGAAACGGTCGACACCAAACCTGTATTTCGTGTCGACAGGCGAGCTTACAAAGTATTCAAGTCACTCTTCTATTCCGCCGATCACGACCTACCGGGCGAAATCTCCTGGTTCGATTTCCTGCACGCAATGGTCACTGTGGGCTTCTCGGCAGAAAGGTTGCATGGGTCGGCTTGGAACTTTGCGGTCAATGGTTCGGATATAGGCGTGGAAAGGAGCATTCAGTTTCACGAACCGCACCCGAGTAGCAAGGTCCCTTTTCACGTGGGGAGGCGTTATGGGCGGCGTTTGGCGAGGGCTTATGGGTGGTCGGGAGACGCTTTCCGATTGGAATAGGGCGGTGGATACTGTCTCCCGTACACTTCCATATGGTATTTTGCACGGTGACACGAAAGGAGTCGGAATGGCATGATGATATTTGGATGTCTGTAAATTAGAGGGGCCTTTGGATGAGCCCGTGAAATACTCGTACATGTACCTGGACAGAGACCCAAACCTTACGATTCCACCGCACCACCCGACGTACCCTTCGCTTCCGCTTCCGCTGCGGCAACGTTACGCTTCACCGCAAGGAAGCTGCCAGGACTCACAGAGATGGAATTGATGCCGCACTCCACGAGGAAGGACGCAAATGAGGGATCATTGCTAGGAGCCTGTCCGCAGAGTCCTATCTTGCGTCCAGCCTCGCGAGCCCTCTTAATGGCCTGTGCTATCAACCACTTGACCGCTTCATCGCGTTCGGAGAACAGACTTGCGAGTGTTCCCGAGTCACGGTCGATGCCGAGAGTGAGCTGTGTAAGATCGTTGGAGCCAATGGAGAAGCCGTCGAAATGTTTGGCGAATTCGTGCGCCAATATCACGTTCGAAGGGATCTCGCACATGACGTATACTTTCAGCCCATGCTCGCCGCGGTTCAGCCCATGGTTTCCCATTTCGTTCTGGACCCTGATGGCCTCCTGGACGGTACGGCAGAATGGAACCATGACCACGGCGTTCTCGAACCCCAATTCCTCTCGCAGTTTCTTGATAGCCTTGCATTCCAAAGAAAACCCGTCCTTGTAACCTGGAGAATAGTATCGGGAAGCTCCACGCCAGCCAATCATTGGGTTCTCTTCCTGTGGCTCGTATTGAGCACCGCCAATGAGATTTGCATACTCATTGGTTTTGAAATCGGACAGTCGAATGATGGCCGGCTTTGGATATGCCACGGCGCATAGACGTGCGAGACCGAGTGCGAGTTTGTCCACAAAGTACTGTGACTTGTCTTTGTACCCTGTGGTAATCTTTTCAATCTCTGCCTTGACCGCGTCGTCTCTCACCTGATCAAAGTGGACCAGCGCCATGGGATGGATGCGAATATGATTGCTCACGACGAACTCCATTCGCGCCAGACCGATGCCATCGCATGGCAATTGCCACCAACGATTCGCGGCGCTCGGGTCCGCTAGGTTGATCATGACCTCTGTCTTTGTGCGCGGGAATTTGGAAACGTCCACTGTCTTGGAGCTAATCTTGGCTATGCCTTCGTAGACGAAACCGGTCTCGCCTTCTGCGCAGGATACGGTAATGTCCTGGCCAGTATGGAGGATATACGTGGCGTTGCCGGTGCCAACCACCGCAGTGATGCCCAGTTCTCGACTAACGATGGCAGCATGCGACGTGCGACCTCCTTGGTCAGTGACAATGGCCTTTGCCTTTCTCATGATAGGAACCCAATCAGGATCTGTGGTTTCGGTTACCAGAATCGATCCGTCAAGGAATGAATCAATATCCGTAGGAGATTCAATGACGCATACGCGTCCTGCCACCGCTGCATCGCCGATGGAGCAGCCAGTGGTCAGTGTCTGGCCTTTGTCGGCCACCGAATACTCGTGGAAGGTTCCCACTTTCCGAGCAGATTGCACCGTCTCCGGTCGAGCTTGGACGATGTAAACTTCATTGGTGATACCATCTTTGGCCCATTCCATATCCATGGGTCCGCCATAGTGGTTTTCGATCGTGCAAGCCCATCTGGCGAGCTGCAGGATGTCCTCGTCATTGAGCACCAGACTCGATCGTTCCGCTTTCGATGTAGGGACGTTCCTCGTGGTCTGTTCACCCTCACTATAGATCATCTTCCTTTCCTTGTCGCCCAGCCTCTTCTCAATAATGGGTACCACTCCAGGACGGTCGAGAAAGGGTTTGAAGACCTGGTACTCGTCTGGATTGACAGTACCTTGGACAACATTCTCCCCCAGACCCCATGCCGCGTTGATGAGAATTATCTTGTCGCAACCGCTCTCTGTGTCAATGGAAAACATGACGCCAGAACCGCTACGATCCGATCGGACCATCTGCTGGACGCCAACCGACAATGCGACTTTCATGTGGTCGAACCCTCTCGTCTGTCGGTAGTAGATTGCTCTGTCAGTGAACAATGAGGCATAGCATTTTCGGCAAGCGGTGAGCAAGGCCTGCTCGCCCGAGATGTTCAGAAACGTCTCAAGCTGGCCAGCAAAGCTTGCGCCTGGGAGATCCTCAGCTGTGGCACTGGAACGTACGGCAACGGCAATGTTTTCGAGTCCGGTTTTCTTTGACAACCGACGGTAGCCCGATATGATGGCATCCTTGGCCTCAACAGGCCAGTCCCCCTTGAGGAACAGGTCGCGAGCTTGTTTGCCAGTGTCTGCAAGAGTGGCCTTGCCTGATTGCCATACTTGGATCAGATTTCCGAGTTTATCTTTGATGTTGTTGAAGTTTACGAAGTTCCAGTAGCACTCTGATGTTGTGGCGAACCCTGGGGGAACGACTACTCCCTTGCTCTTCAAACCACCGATCATTTCGCCTAGGGAGGCATTCTTACCCCCAACAATAGCTATGTCCTCCCGGTTGATGGTCTCGAAGTCCCGGACCAACGCAGAGCCGTCCGAATCGCCTGGCATGATGGGGAAGACGCTGTGATAGTAAGTGAATCAACTGAATCGAGATTCTTTCAAATGTTTGAAATAGGATGTGTTGTTCATCTTTTAAGACGTAAATGGAGACACTCAAAGAGTTGGGCAGGGCTTATATCATCTAGTGGACTCTGGGTGGTGGTCTCATTATCTCGTGTCCTGACCCCGCGCGCGACCTCACATGCACCCTCAGGTGAGGTTGCTTTGTAGCGTTAGTACGGCGTCTAACCTAACACGTTACACCGACGTCACGATTGGACTAGCTGTGATTGGCCGTTCTGGCGGAGCTACCTAGGTACTCCAGAGCTGTGGACTACACTATTACTCACAGCTGTCGGGCAATTGCAACTTTCTCACCGTACCCACCTCAGCCATCACAGCGATCTCCATCACAGTACTACAGCACTGTGTGTAGCGTCTTATTCAATACACATCGGACTTTTGCGTTTTCCCTTGGATTCAGGAGCAAGCTTCTTCAGAAGACGACTAGAACCGTAACGCCACCGAGAACCAAGCGTTTAGGAACCGAGCTGGAGGAACCAGGAACATGAAACACCTCATGGCGAAGTACTCACGGGGCAAGTAAACGAAAAGGTGAACTGTCCAGACTTTTCACTGCACACTTGACAACTCGGCGAGGAGATTTCCGTCGAGAGTAATCACTATCTGCCATTGCGCTGACTGACCAGATTGTCTTCCCTCCTCACCGTTTTTGCAAGCGCTGTTCAATGTAGAGCGACGACGACTAATAATCTCGGCGAATGTCATGCGAGGAGCGTAGCACAGCTCCAAGCACTTTCGTGTGGTTCCTTTCCACGCCACTACCCGGACGCGGCATTGAAATCTGATTCCGTATCTGTGGTTGAGAAGTTCTTGATTAGTATCAACGGCCTGACAGAACTAGGAGAGGCTAGCATGCGCTGCTGGAACATAAATGGGATCTGGGATCCCATTCTAGACAGGCATGGTCCAACCCTGAGGAAGCTGCATTTGATCCTCTGTTCTCCAAGATCTACAGGATGGGATGTGGAGAGTGTGCGCAACGTCGTCGAACACTGCACCTTGTGTTAAAGAGTAAATATCAAGGTCGCCATGGAAGACTACAAGGGAGGAGCATATAGTTGGGTAAGTTTCAGCCTGCCCCCTGGAATTCATCAATCCGTGCACCTCGATGCTAACGAGTTCGTACATGTATAGCCAGATTCTACCATGGAAGAGTTGGTTAAGCTTTCGCTACTCCGACATCTCGAAGTGGAGGTCATTCGCCCTGCAGATCAAAGCCGCGAATCCCCTGAGTACATCCTTTCCCACCAAAATGTAGAGTCCTTAGAGGATACGGCAAGGACGTGCGCAATCAACCTGTTCAAATCAATCCGGTCAAATCGACGGTCAAGAATTGAACTCGTGAACGACAGGCTTAAGCTCTCGGAACCCCACGCCGGTCGGGAATCCAAGGTACGGCGAAATTACAATGGCGAACCAGGATTCGTCGTCGAAAGGACTTCCTTTCGTCGCGAGCCATGTGCGATGCGTAGATTTCGGGGTGGACCTTTCCTCACACTGGGCCGTTGGATGTAGTGGTCACTGACGATTTCAGCTTGATCGTTTTGGATGAATCCAAGTCCCCAGCTATGCTCTTGGTTGTATTGCTCGTAGGGTCGCATGTAAGTATTCAACATCTTGTGGCGGAGGATTTTACAAGTTGCATGTTTGATGGATATCGAACTAGAAGATCTTAAATCCTCCCTGTACCGGAATTCAAATTCAAAGAAACACGGCCCAAGGATGACCGCCCAGCTCATGCCAGCACCATCCATGTCTGGTACAGCCCATTTTGGCGGGCGGGCAGTACCCTCCAGGGAAATATTCGGCAGCATCCTAGCCAGTACTCCATGGGATTGCTTGAATCGCAGCGGCTGTGTAGTACAGACCCAAGTGGTTCTCAGCGGCCACGCGCCCAGGAGCTTGTGTAGAAAGCCAAAACGGATCAAAGATTGGACTACCTGGACAAGGGTCACTTCACCTCACTGATGACATCAATCACAACGGACTCAGGGGTTGATACAAGAGCATAATCCATATCTCATAATACTATAACCCGCGTGGCTTTGGAATGGTCCAAAGTTGGCTCCAGCGACATTCCAATTCTCTCCAATTACCCGCACCGTCGCCGGCCAACTGAGCCGTGAATACTACTAGTTCAGCCTATTCCTTGGAAATCACAGTCTCAGCCATAACCTTCTCATTCTTCACAACCTCAATATCCTTCTCATGCTCGATGCTCTTGCGAGCACTCTCATCCACGGTAGCCAAGACGCCAACACACTTGTATGCGGCAAACTTCCTGGCCGGCAGCCTAGCCTCAAACATCTCGTCGATCTCTTCCAGGGTTCGGTTCTTGACTTCGGGGAGGAAGAAGAACACCCAAGCGGCGGCAATGCAGCATGACGGGGCCCAGATATATCCGTATCTTGCGCCCCATCCCATAGAAGCGGGGTTGATGAAGTACGGTGCAGTGAATGTAGTGAGCCATGCGCCCGCGAAGCCCACAGCCGCAGCAAGACCAAACGTATGCGAGCGGAGTCGCTGAGTAGGGATTTCGCCGCCCGCGAGCCAGGCATATGTCGCAATCATGCCGTTGTAGCTGAACATGTAGAGACATGAGAGGGCGACGATGACCATACCTGTCGACTTGGTGCCGGGTTGGCGGTGATATACGCTCGCGATGATGAGTTGAAGACAGCCGCAAACGAGGAGACCGGTCATGAGGAGCACGCGACGACGGCCGAACCTCACGATGATAAGAGAGTTGGCGATGATGGCGATGATGCCGATACAGCTGAGGACGTTACTCATACCAAAGGGATTGGTGACCTTCGCCATCGTAAGGAAGTATTGCTTGTACGCTATCCTCGATGATTAGATCGGTTGCATTCCTGTGGAGCGGGTCGAATATACTTACCAATGAGGAACATAGCACCGGAGGCAGCCTGGAGAGACACGGCACCCACAGCAAGGCAAGTCCTTCGTCTATCCACGGGGTTCTTGAACATGTCAATCACACCCACACCTGAACTTGTCTCCTTTTCCCGTTCGATGGCAGCGTGGATGTCACTCGCTTCGGCATCAACGTCATAACCTTCGGGTCTCAGCCATGCAAGAGCCTTCTTGCCTTCATCATATCTTCCTTGCAAAATGAGCCATCGCGGCGACTCGGGAATGAACAGCATAGCAATGCTCAAGATGAGCGGAACGGCATAGATGAGGCCGAGAGGGATGAGGTAGGCTGACTTGTCTGGCCTTCGGGCTGTGGCCCAGTCGACGATAGTGCCAATCAAGGTACCCTAATCTGGTCAGAAAGAGTAACTCTGAATACCGTATCCAGGACTTACAAATGCAGTGAAGAATTGGAATCCCGTCAAGAACAGACCACGATACTCTGCCGTGCTGCTCTCCTGAATGTAGAGTTGGGAAAACGTCATGAAGTATCCATTGGCAAACCCGATGATCAGGCGGCCCACATAAAGGGGCGCAATGGACGTAGTGGTCATCATGATGATGTTCGCGACAGCGCAGGTGAGACAGGCCACCCAGAGACATTGTCGCCGACCCAGCTTGTGGGCTGCTAAACCGGCACAAGCAGAGCTGATGAAAGCACCCAAGGTCATAAGAGACGAGATAAGTTGCTGTCGTTCAGTCTGGATATTCCATCCTGTTGGGCACTTCGCTCGTGGACATTGGTAACCGTATATCTGCGCCACTGTCAGATGGCAAATCTGCCATTCAGATGTCAATTTGACGCACCTTGAGGAAAGGCACCATGGCCTGAAGGCCACCAATCATTCCAAAGTCGATTCCGTACTGAAAAGGCGACAGAATCATGACTCCAATGGCCAGGAACAGTCGCCAATGGCTTCGCCATGAGTAAACGGTAGGAGCCATGCTTTCGATAACCACGCAGTGGGAGCGAGGACAGGCGTTGGGTGGAGCATTGTTACCTGCTTCCACGGACCCTTATAGGGATCGAAGTCCAGTTGCCCAGCCCGTTAGAGTGAGGTGCATTTATCCAAGTGCCGAACCCGTTGTCAAGGGCCCAGCCTTCTCACGTGTGGGGACCCCACAAAACGCCAACGTCGATCCGGCCTAGGGCGGGTATAAACTTGGCGTGTATCCAATCTGGATGTGGGGAAGATCTTGAGGAGGAAGGGAGCCGTATACGTCGAGATTGCCCTTGTTGGTTGCAGTCTGACCGGGTACATGACCCATATTGATTCTATGCATAGCTTCCTGGCTCCTGGATGCAGAATTGATGGAGCAGCCAGCTGAGTACGGAGTGGGATAACTCTGGTCAATGTCGAAGAAAGGCCGGTCGGAGGACATTTGCGCTCAGCTGTGATGTGGAGGAGTTGGAGGAATGGCGACGCTATCCAATTGCCATCATGAGGGGTAGTCAACCACGACAGCCACCTAGTCATGAACTCAGTCATAAGCGTCGGTATCATCGAAGCGGTACACAGCCCATCTTTCGAGCGAACCTTGGAAGGTGGAGGCGGAGACTTTGTTTCGCACTAGCCAGGGCCGGAAAAGCTTATTTGCATCTCCAGTGAATGTATCGCAGCAGTATACGGAGTACATGACACCACAGTGGCTGCAAGCGTCTGTAGTGTACATCGGCAGTATGCATATGTACTGTAGACAGGAGAATCAACCAGAGACACCAGAATCTCGACGTCAAGGAGCCTTCTCCATCATTGACAGCTGGGACGGGGAAGCTTGAATGGACGCTTGTTCGTTGCCCCAGGTCTGTTTACACCCCCCCCCGCACACGGTCCTCATGGATTTTTATGCGATAGCCGGCCATCGTCCATTGGGTCCGAGGCTTTTATTAGCTCTTAAGGTGTGGAGCAAACCGAACGAAAAGTTGACGGTGCCGGAAGATTGGTACCCCTCTCGCATCCAAGGAATCCCGCATGCCGCTTGGAGCAAAGAGCAAAAATCACATCAAAAGCGATCTCCGTCCATAGGTTTGAATCAATGATGGTGGGATAGAACGTGCAATCGAAAGCTCAGTGAACTCTCACCACCATAGATCTGCGACCGCCAAGACAACTTAGAGCTTTTCCCGGGCAGGGAGAACTTGATGACCATCATCTCAACATGCCAACCATGACGCCGCAATTGATATGCCCCGGCTGCCCACATCGCTCATACGCGCAGCTAGGCTGATAGATCCTCTATTGCCTCTACTGCTGCGACCATGCCGCGATCTCCGCTCCGCCCAAAACGAGCTGCGATGGCTTTGTGAACACATCCAAAATCATGCCGGAGCGCGGAATATCACGGAGAGGACCGCCCTCTTGAAGAAGCTCGTCCAAGAGAGATCCACCGGGAAGCCTCTGCAGTACATACTAGGCACCGAGTTTTTTGGAGACTTTGAGATTGAATGCCGTCCAGGGGTATTGATTCCCAGGTGTGCTATGTACGACAACTCAATGTTCGGTTCTGCGGCTGACATAGGAGGGTAGACAAGAAACCGCAGCTTCCATAACGCAACTCGTGCACCTCCTGCGAAAGTCCAAATCTCTCCCTCCCGAGTTACGCATCTTGGACTTGTGTACTGGAACCGGTTGCATACCGCTTCTTTTCCAAGACGAGCTCTCGAAGCATCAAGATATACGGCTGGAACTCCTTGGGGTAGATATATCAAAGAAGGCAATTCAACTGGCTCGATCGAATCTCGCAAAACTGCGGAGTCAAGGGAAGCCGACCGCTGGGAACAAGATCAGTTTTATGCGAGCCGACGTCTTAGACGATGCACGCGAAGGCTATGATCATGAGATTCCGAAGCTCATGTCAGCACTGGAGAGCCAGCACAAGTCTTCAACATGGGACATCCTCATCTCCAATCCGCCTTACGTTTCGCCATCGGAGTACTGGAAGACAACTACGCGCTCCGTTCGCTGCTTCGAACCACAGCTTGCACTGGTACCACCTCCCAGCCATGGACTCAAGGACCTCGACCAAGGTGACAGGTTCTACCCTCGACTACTCCACATCGCTCGAGATGTGGCAGCGAAGATTGTTCTTTTCGAAGTTGCCGACCTGGACCAGGCCTTACGTGTGACAGGTATGGCTCGCCAGGCGGGCATATTTTCGGGTATTGAGATCTGGCGTGACGACCCGGGTGGGTCTGCGGAGCTCGAATCAACGTATGCCTCTGGAGATTTTCCCATTGTCGGTTCTGGGAATGGACGTTCAGTGCTCTGCTGGCGTGGTGAAGGCGCAGTATGGCTCGGGAAACACGTTTGATCCACATTCAATACGCCATCTATTTTTGACACGAAAATCCCTGATTCATTGTCGGAAGGGTGCCATTCTCAAACTACTACGGGTTGTCATGGACGCTCCGTATGGCCCGATGGTCGAGACGTACCAGTCAAGACAGAGTGAATTACCTACAGCACGTATGAGCTCTGGAAGCACGGCTGAGCCAAGAAAGTATAACAACCCAGTTCTCTGCTCACCTGGTTGCCTTAATGCATTCCGATCGCGTTTGCGCGCATTGAAACCATCGAGGTCAAGTGCTCACTGTTGCTGAAGTCCGAATTTTAAATTCCAGGATGGCCTTCGGAAGTCAGGAAATTGGCCTCCCTTGATGGGAAATTTCTCGAGCGAAACACGAGGCTGAGTATTCCGAAAAGAGAAGGTCTTATGTCACCGACCAGGGTACTAGTCCTGGTTATAAAGTCAGAGTCTCATCCTAGAGCACGATGCGAAGACGTCGAACTTGGATGCACTACCAACATTTTTTTGGCGTTACAGTGGATTGGATTCTCTAATCCCATAAGCCAAAGCCAAAGGGCTTACTTTTGGTCGCACAGGGCCATACACCCGTCTGACAAGCACCTTCAACGTCGGTCTTGCTGTAAGAAGTACATCATCCACCACAAAAAATGAGACCCCTCACGCTATCCACACTGGCGACCCTCGCCCTCCCAACGCTCTCCCAACTCCTCCCCCTCCACGTATCCTCCCGCTGGATCCTCGACTCGACCAACAAACGCTTCAAACTCAAATGCATCAACTGGGCCGGGCACATGGAATCCCACATTCCCGAAGGCCTGCAGCACGCCTCGGCCGACTCCCTCGCGAGCATCATCTCCTCGTCGGGCTTCAACTGCGTCCGCCTGACCTTCTCCATCGACATGGCGCTGTCCCCGGACCTCAAAGTCAGCGACTCCTTCTCCACGCTCGCATCCCGCGCCAACGTCGCCGACCCTTCGCAAGTCGCGCAACTCTGGACGAAGATCCAAGAGAACAACCCCTGGATCCGCACCGCAACCGTGCAGGACGCATTCGCCACCGTCATCGACGCCCTCGGCTCCAAGGGCATCCGCGTCTTCCTGGACAACCACGTCTCCCGCGCCTCCTGGTGCTGCAACCTCACCGACGGCAACGGCTGGTGGGACGAGGGACAGCCGTACTTCGAGGCCAACCAGCGAAACTTCAACACGCAGAACTGGCTCAAGGGATTGGCCGCCATGGCCAAATTCAGCGCCTCGCACCCGGCCGTCGCAGGTATAGGCCTGCGCAACGAGATTCGCGAGACGCCCGTGCTGCAGAATCGGGACGACTGGTACCGGTTCGTGGGACAAGGCGCCCAGGCTGTGCATGGCGCGAATCCGGATCTGTTGATCGTTGTCGGTGGCGCGCTGTCGTCGACGGATGCCACTTTCTTGCGTAGTCGACCGCTCGATCGGTCGGGCTTTGCGGATAAGTTGGTCTGGGAATGGCATCAGTATGTCTTTTCCCCGCCGTGGATCGCTTCTGCGCGCAACTGCTGGGCGTGGAGGAACATTGTTGTGGGCGCGTTCACGGGCTTTCTTTTGGAGCAGGAGAAAGCGTATACGGGTCCGTTGTGGTTGTCCGAGTTTGGTACGCAGCTATCTGGAGGGCCGGCGGAGCAGAATGGGATCGGGGCAAATAAGGAGGACTATGATTATCTGAAATGCATCGTTGAGTATGCTCAGGGGAATGATGGGGATTGGGCGCTTTGGGCACTGCAGGGGAGTTATTATGTTAGGGACGGGGTGGTGGATGCGGAGGAGTCTTGGGGTTTATTGGATAGAGAGTGGAAGGGTTGGAGGAACGAAGCGTTGAGGGAAGTTCTGAAGCCGTTGTTCCAGACCACACAGGGGCCATAAGTCCTTCGATAAGTAGCCATGCATAATGTTGCCGAAGAAGGAAATCCTGTCTAGCACTGAATAGGATATAAATCAAAGAATGAGAGTCCCGAGACCCCTTACCGGGTTTGTCCATAACATGGACTAAGTGCGAATCCGAACACGCCCAACACCAAACCCCAAATACCCAAGCCCTGTATATGCGCCAGTAAAATTCAGGTCGACATTGAGGGAGAATCTCCGCCAGCCCGCAAGATTCTGTTATGAAATCGCACTTTTGTCTAGCTTTTCCACCTTTTTGCTTAGTAACGACCGAAGTTCAGGGCTGATAACCCGGGTCTCGTTCTCAAACTCGGCCGCGGTTTGCTTGCCCCTGTCGGTTCCTGTGGTAATGGCCTGGGGACTAGAGGAGGATGGCCCGGGTGACGTCGGCGGCGACTTAGTAGAATTACGCTGCCGTGCTCGAGGAGGGGCGGGGAAATTGTGCTTTTTATCGATTGCCTCAACTGTTCGTTGAAATCGTTTGAACAAGGATTCAGCACGGATCAATGTAGACTCTAGATCGATTGTTCCAGAGAGTTCGTTGACTGGAGTGGATGTCAGTGTCCTAGTTCCGCATGTTTACAACAGGAACGACTCACCATATTTGAGGACTTCGTCAAAGTGCTTGAGATGCGTCATGATAACATCCCTGTGTCTCTCCAAAATCGCCAAGGCAATGAAGATGTGAAAGTTGCTGCTGTAGAAGTCGGTCCATAGAGACTCCCAAAGCCTCAAAACGTCAACCCATTCAAACTCCCTCTTGAACCATACCAACAACATGCGGAAGAAGAAGAAAAAGTTTGTTGAGTCGGCTTGTTGGAGATGGAGGTAGAGTTTCGGATCCATTAGCTGGACGAGGTGGTCAAGAGTGAGAAGCTGTTTACGCATCCCAGATTGATCGCGAAGAAAGTTACGTTCCTGATTCATGTTAGACAAAGCTCTGACAGGTGACCAACATCGCTCACCATTCGTTCCATGAAGTTGACGAAGGCCCAGAAAGCTACGGCGTCGTCTTGCATAACAGCATAGATGGGAGCGAGAAGGTCGCTCATGCCTTGTACATAGCCAAGGTCCTTGTTATATTCGTTGTAGGTTAGGAGCATGTCTTTCATTTGCTCAAGATGCACGTTCGTCCCAACATCGGCGAAAGGCGAATCCGGATCGGGATGCGGAATGTCTTCCCCCATGAAAATGGGCACGGTTCGATCTGTTCGATGCACATCCTTTTCTATGGTCCGGACCCCATAGAATGGGGAAGAGTCAGTCGGGCGCTCTGAAGAAGGATCAAACCATGGATGCGATAGAGCATACCTATTCTGTTCTTCTGTTCCCTCCACCACTCTTCCTGCTCAAGAGGTCGGTTCCCTTCGACCATTCTCTCCCACCAAGCACCTTTGAGACGTATATACTCGTCCCTACGACTGTTCATGTTGGCTTGCCTTTCTTCCTCTGAGCTATCCCAATCGTAGACACCTAGCAAGAACAGCCACGCCTCCTTGCGGACACCGTCGTCAGGGTCGAGGCCGCCATGGAATATTCTGTTCTTGACCTCCTCAGGCGTAATACAAGGCCTTCCTTTTTTATCGAAGAACCCCTTCCACTCTTTCATGGTCACTGGCTTTCGTCGTTCCTCCAGGGACAGTTTATCCGCCTCCATGTCCAGGATCTCAAAATCTCCCACATCGCTGGACTCCATGGCGAGCACATCCTTGGCTGTCCATATTCTTTGATTTCGCTCTCGTTCACTCTGCTCGGCGATACCCATGGCCCATCGTGCCAAGTACACCCTTGCACTGTCGAACTCCTCCTGCAGTGTCTGCACCTCTGGGTTCTTCATCAAGCGTCGAACCTGAGGTGGTATTTTCGGATTGTCTGCAACAGCCTGGGCAGTCCTTCTCGTGAATGCAGTCACTTGGCTAAACTTCTCGAGGAAGTTCCACCGAGCTTCTTTGAGTGCTTTCGTAACCGGATCCATCCCTCCATCTCTCCTCGCTGATGGCTGGGTCGTAGACGCCTCGCCAACTCTGCCTGAATCAAAGCCAGTGATCTTTGGCGCATTCTTTCCAAAGGATCGCTTGTCCTCCTCGGTCGGGTTGATCAGATAGATACTGGTGTCTGCGCCGGACCGCTCCACTGTGACATATCTTTTGAGCCATCGCAGAACCTCATCACCGCCCCAGAACATGCCTCCACTATCCCCGAAAGGATCAAAACTCTCACGTGCCAGCTTCTTGCGCTGCAATATGGTGGACTGGCATTCGCTGTCGTGAAAGAAAAGAGGAGGGAAACTATCGCCAGCTCGTGTATTGATCACGATGCTACCAAACCACCAACCCAGGCTCGGAGGACGCACCAGTATCGAGAAGACCTCACTCAAAGGGACAGCAAAAGCATAAGAACCAGCAGAGCTTCCATGAGACGTAGTGATGGGTGGCGGCGGAACGAGATAAGTCTGCTTGGGCGGAGATGAGGAGTCGGACAAATCCACTTTGACATATGTGTCAAAAGCATCTCCTAACGAAGCCTCTGGGACCCAGGCAAGCAACAGCGATGAAGCGTCGATGGTTTTGGTCGACGCAGACGACGTGGGCCGTTCTCCGCCGGAGCTCACTCCAGGTTTCTGTTCGATTAATGCTATGAAACCAGGAATGTTGTCCCTTGCGGAAGGCGTGGGATGTATGTAGACCTGTGCTGGCTTGGTTAACTCTGTCTAAGCAGGACAGCTGCTTCACTCGCCTTGCTCTTTGAGTATAGCAACTTCACGCCACGGCCACTGCTAGAATGCCGTATAGTGTTATAATCGCCCTCCTCATCGTCACTGAGAGCATAGAAGGAAGCGGACGGGGAGGGACTTCGGGGGTTTGTTGGAGACGCCATAGGGTTGCGGGGTCAAAGGTGTGCGGACAGAGCTCCGAAACAGTGTTGTCCTCGAAGGGGGTGAGTATCGCTACTTTGCGCCCAGGAGCTGGAATGACACCAAACGAGGCAGAGCAGTCATGAGTGCGGTTAGCAATACGAGAGGAGTGCTTGAGGAGTGCTAGATGTAGTCGATGCGGAGGCAGCTGCGGACAATCCGGGGGATGACGACTGAGGTGTGGCGGGGCAAGGCGCTTGCAGGGATGAGGACCATCTATACAATGGTGGCGCGTCACTCGAATGAGCATGTGAAGTTTAGAAGGGACATCGAGAAGGTTGTAGATACTCTGCATATTACTAGAAGGATATTCTGTGTCTATCACACGCCGAATGGAAAGAAAAGGAGATACGTGCCGTTTCGTTGCTTGCAATACCCGCTTACCCACGTAACCCAATAACTCCGAGCTCGAGATCATGCCAACCCAGCGGATGCGGGAATACACATCAACCAGGGAACTTCTTAAACATAGTTATCAGCTACGGACGCATGCGCGGCCCGCTGGGTAGGCCAATGCGACCCCCTCCTGGCGTCCCTCTCCCGGGGGGTGGACGTTGTGATCCTCCACCGTAACCACCACCAGGCGCATAGGGGTCCTCATTCCCGGCCCATGGCGAGTTCGCCGCCATGCCGTATTGATTCTGTTGTGCTCCACCGCCTGACTGGTACCCGCCGCTGCGGTCTTCCGGGTAAGGTGGTCGGCCTCCTCCTTGTGGCCCAGGTCGATCAAAGGGGCCTCGTCTCGCGCCCGAACTAGGAGGCGGTGCAGGACTGCTACTTGTAGACGACGAGCTTGGAGCGGGACTGGTGGACCTTCCCCATAGCCTGGCCTTCAATCGTTCTTGTGCTGTAGACCCAGAGCCGGAGCTCGGAGGCGGTGACGGCTCTGCATTGCTCCCCGCAAGTGAGTTTTGATAGCTTCCCGCTCTTTGACTTGGGAGCGGTCTACCCTGAGCCTGCGACTCGGGCGCGAATGTATTTCCTACGCCTGGCCGCCCCTGGAATGCTCGTGGGCCTCCACCACCCCGTGCCTGGCCTCGTCTCAGTGACATAGGGTCCTGCTGCTGCGACTGCTGGGGCGCATCCCAAAGGTCACTCAGGCCGCCGCCGCGACCCATAGTGCCACCCTGTTGCCGTCCTGCTGAGCTCGCATACTGTGCGGGGGCGGCTTGAGGTGCTTTGGGGTCCGGAGGAAGCCATGGTGGAAACGGACGGCCTTTTTCGGTGTAATACGCGCGCAGCACGCGCGAAATGTGCGAATCATCTTCGGTGTCGCCGTCAGTCTCGTCGGAGAGAAGCTGTCGCCGTAGCGAATTGTAGCGGGAGGTGGTGTTGGTGAGGAGGTTGGAGATATAGGACGACATGGCGTGTTATAGCTGGTAAACAGCGTCCCGTCCGGGGGAAGGAAAAGGAATGGCTATAATCGTGTTCTTGCTTCGTCTGTATTTGGAATGCGTCGGTTTACAGTCTGCGGTATGGGGTGTATGCGGGGGTTGTTGCGGGTTTTAAAGATGGAGTGTCAACTTCCCGCCTGGTGTTGAGAAGCGAAGGCTGGAGCTTGGACCCAGGTGGGGCAATCCAAGAGATTGTACATAAAAATACCACGGTCTCATCATTGACGCCGGATGCTGTTCGTGCTAAAAATGGGCTGAGTTATTCAGACTGCTGCGTCGCTAAATCGTTTTCCCAACAGGAACGGAAGGTAAAGATAGCCACTTTACATTTCGAAATTCGCTGAACATAATGCACTACACGACTATACACGGACTCCTTATTATGCATGTCGCTCCCTTTCATCCTTCAGTACCTTGGTATCAATGAAATCCGTTCCACACGTCCGAACTTCCTCCTTTTACCCAAAACTTCGTTTTTTTCGCGAAAGGCAGTTCATAAGCTCCATCTCTTATCCATCTAGCCGGACCCAAATCCAGCACAGATTGTCGAAAAGATTCCAGCGAGGCCTCGTCAACCATGTAGCCGGACAACGAGCCACCACCTAGCCAAATGTGCTCCAGCCGTCGGCGCCCTACTGAGTTTCCTTCCTTACCCCTCACCGGCTCACCTCAGATACTCCGTCAATGCAGCCTTAACGTCCGGGTTGAGCCTCTCCTCCACCAGCATGTGAATCCTTCCCCCATGCCTCGTGTCGGCCTCCTTCAGATACGTCCCGACCCAAGACTTCACATCCGTGACCTCCGGGAACGGGTCTCTAGGCGGCCTCTTGCAAGTATTGAGCGGGGTGAAGCCGACACCGAAACCGAGTTCGTCAACATCAGCATCCGGGATGATGTCGTCCTGGGTAGGCGGCACAGGAGGGTTGACCATAAGCTCCAGGAGCCGCTGTGTGGTGAGGCCCCAGCCTTTGGGGTAGCGGGAGACGAACGCCTCCGAGTCGGTGAGGGTCTTTGTGTAAGAGACGACAGCTATTTTGCGGTCGATGGGACGAGAGAGCTTCTGAGTCTCGGGAAGGATGATGCTTAAATAGACGCCTTTGAATACACTGGAACGGGTGTTAACTGTCGTTTCATGCTAAACGTAGCATGGAACTTACTCATGTTGTACCTCATCCGTTAACTGGATGAAGAAGTCTGCTCCCATGCCCTTATCTTGTCTCGCCGATATGAAATGGTAGAAGACGATGAATCGCTGTTGGAATGTCTCCGTCTTCGACCCGGACAGACGGGTCAACGTTAGGTTGATGATGGTCACGAAGTACGGTTGGAGAACTTCGAGAGGGATATATGTAATGATATGCTCGATCAGATCGAAAGCGAGGACCTCATGCGCGCGAGTAGAAATTAACTTCTGGAAGATACCCAATATGGGCTCAACCAGCTTCTTCTCAACGATTCGTTGCACATCCCGGGGAATCATAGCCGTGAGGAGACGGACTAGGGCCGGAATGTTTCCCTTCGATTCCCATACCTGAGGCAGGATAATGGCGGAGAGCAGTTCTTGATAATACGGCGCAAGTTGGCCGGAGGGGTTCGCTTCGAGTAGAGCAGCGAAGAGCTGAAATACATATGGCATGAACTCGTCTACACCATCCTTGAGGACGGCAGAAAAGGGATCGGATAGCTTATTCTCAAGCAGGGAGCTTTGCGAAGGGCCCGCGAAGCGAATCAACGCACCTATAGCTTCAAACATATAATACTGGAATCTTGGGTTGCTGGGATTGTGCCGGATGACCTTGATGATATTGATGAGATTGTTCAACACAATCTCTGTGATCGGCAACACCCCCTCGCGAATGAATATGAGAACTCGCATCACACATCTCATCAAGAACTCGTTCTCCTGAATCTTCTCTGGAGCCGTATTCTTGGTGATCAGAGCGAAAAGATGTGTCGCCAGATCCTTCGCGTGTGGCAGAACGTCGTCACGAGGAATGATAGGCTGTCGGTCTTTGTCGGTCATGAAGAGGGCACGCTCTACAGCTATGGCAGCGTACGTGTGGATAACATAATTGGGGTTGCCGAGCTGCTGTACGAGCAAGGGAAAGGCAGCCCGCCATAAAGGTGGAGACAGCTGGCTGCGGTAGTTGTAAATGTACTTGATTGCGTCCACTCTCAGTATTTCGGGAACGTCGCTCGATGACAGATCTGTGGCAATGTTCTCTTGGAAGAAAACGAGAATGTCCACTTTCGGGTTGACTGACAAGACACCCTGAGCGGCAGTGGCGGTTCCTTTCGACGCAATCGCGGAGTACAGGTAAACGGCAGTGTCCTTGGCTTTCCAATCGTTCTTGTTGCTAGCATATTGCTTCAGGAACCCATCAATGTACGTCTTGGATGTCGTTGTGACGAGATCCTCGAAGCGAGACATGAGTTGGCGCAGGAAATTCGTTGCCGCACGTCGTCTTGTGTCATTATCGGCGCCTTCTAGATCTCTTCGAATGAACTCAATCGGCTCGTCTTCGAAAAGTTCTATGTCGGATTCACGAAGTGTGATATTTGGAAGAATGACCTTTTCGATGATCTGAACAAGTACATCTTGGCGATTGAACGACTCGGCGTGAGGAGTGCCAGCCACTGTCGTTAGAAACTGCAGGGCCTTGCTGACGAGAATGTCATATTTAGTCTCCAGTCCGACCGACATGAGGAAATTCCACGTTGTTTCGATGAACTGGGGAAGGTGTGCGGCAAACACATCCTCATATTTCTGCAGGTAGAGCATCAAGGCTTCGAAGATGGCTGCCCTGACGTACTCCAAAATTCCCGATTCGGACTCATCATCTGTATGTAGCGCCGGATTATCGTAAACGAGATACTTGTGAAGCAAGGTGAAGATAGGACCGAGGTTGTCCTCGAAAACTGGAGGAAGGTCCTGGCATGACAGGTCGTAGAAGAGCTTCACGATCAGGTCCAGCGTTGTGAAATAGTCTTTGAGGGCTTGTGCATTGCCTTCAGACTTGGCGATGGCTGTATCGGTATGCTCCAGTAGTATCAGAAAGGGAGCGCCAATCTTGGAGAGGACGTGGTTGATCTCAGTAAACAAATCGTCGGAGCGGAACAGCGGTCGCCAGCGTCGGAAGATGGAGTGGGCAACTCGGAGAACACCGTTGTTCACAGTCGCATTATCTGGAGTGAGGCGCGAGACGAGGTCATCGACCAGTGTATCCCAGCGCTGCCAAAAGTCGCTGTCCGCTATGACACTGATGGCCTCGCCCAGTTGCGCCTGCAAATTGGCGGGTACCGAGACCATGAGACCAATAAGCTCACTCTTGATGGCGCTGACCTCACTCTCGGGGAGCTGGTGGTTGCCATCCGCGTCCACCCAATGCCGCTTTATGAAGTTCTTGAAGTAAAGTGCGCTCGATAGTCGTATGGTATTCGGGAAGCTGGATTCGGCGACGATGTTCAACAAAGCGAGAGAGAAACCTGGTTTGACCTGTTCCTGGGCAATAGCGGCCTCAGCTGCGAAGAGTCAGCCTTCTATTTCCCAAAGAAGATGTGGTGGCAGTTGCATTGTCCAACCTAGAGATTTCCGAGCGGGGAGTAAACAGAGAAGACTGCAACCTACCCTGCTTGTTCTGCTGCGGATCCAAGCTGGCCTGCAGCAGCTGCGCAATCTGCGAAGCATTGGCAGCCATGGTGAAAGAAAGACGCGGGCGCCGGCAAGTCGGGAAAAGGTGAAGGGTCTGCGCGGATGTCTGAGGGAGAGAAGGAGAGAGGTGGGCAGGCGGGCTGGTGGAGGAGGAGATGGATTGCTCCGCTTGTTTGGATGGGTCGAGCAAGCTCGAAAATCATCGAGCACCAGCCACAGGCGCCACAATCACCAAACGCCAATTACCCCATCTTTTCATGCTTGGCGCGCCAACTTCACCTGTTCAAGACTTGCAACAACCCTCCTCCGCCTTTCCTTCTCCGTCTCCATCGCAAACGAGCCCACTACCGTTTTTCCCTCTCACCGCAATGGCTTTCTTCTACTAGCTGTTGCCCGCTTCGCCCGCTACTCCGATCTGATGGCGGAATCGTCTTCCACTCTGCCCATGCCACAGCCCTACCACCGCCGTCTTCCTCGTCACCGCGCCTGCTGCTCCAGGAGATACCGTAGACGGCTAGGCGAGACATATGTCGTCGTCGGGAGATGATCCTCGCACGCCCGACCGTCGTACCTCGTCCTCGACTCTGTTCAACGCCTTCAGGAACTTGACGAGAGGCAGCTTCAGAAGCCCAACTCCACCACCTGCACTCTCCTCCACCACTGCTTTTCCCGCCCGCAAGTCGGTCCCCGGCGCCCTCTTACCCTCCGATGCTGTTCAAAGCGCCCCCGCCGGCCCCACAGCTGGAGTCCCTGCCCAGGGCGGCCTCAAACCGGGCCAGGGGCCTCAGGGAGGCCCAAAGGAGCTGGATCATCTTGTTGCCCAGCTGCACTCTAGCCGTCCTTTGCAGCTGAGAATAGCAGCGGTGGAGCAGATTGTCAAGATATTAAAAGAGTATCCTGTGCGCCAGGTCTTGGCGCTATGGGCCCAGGCTAGCGATCTGGTGCTGACTGAACAAGCGGGCGAGACAAGGGCGGCGGGTTACAAGCTGCTACGCGGGTGCGCGGCGCTGCCGGATTTGTCTGTCGTGGAGCGCAATGTTTTCTTCGCTGCTGCTTGTTTACGCCAGGGCACCAAATATCTCGACTCACGGCTAGACATCATCTCCACCCTCACCAATGGCGGCCGTAATATCGATGGTTGCGAGGCCCTCATTGTCGCTTTTGTTCTGGAATCACTCGAAGATTGCTCCAAAGACAGCTTTGGCGTACCGCGCAAGGCGCAGGATGGCAAAAAGATTGCACAAGACTCCGCCGGGGATGGCGACAATATGAGCATGCTATTCCAGTATATCATTGACGTTTGCAGGTTCAATTCGAAGTTGTTGAACGACAGTGACCTGTATCAGCTGCTTAACAAGACCATGGACATCTGCGAGAGGACGTATACGCATGAAGATATCGCCAATGCCATCCGTCTTTTTGACACAATCATTGTCTATGTTCACATTCCTTTGAGCGCACTGAACCGCTGTCTGGATGTCCTATGCTCCATCTATTACAAGCTTGCCGACCTCCGGGAAATCACGTGGAACGCGCTCTGCAATCTCTTCAGGTCCCATTTTGGGCAGGCTGCTGTTGCTGCACTTCTACGCACCGTGGCGAGTGGATCAAACGTGAAGATTCGTGACTCCACGCATTTTCGAGGAGCAATCCGGGTGTTGCAGATTCTCCTACTTGAAGACCCGAGGAACGATCTCCCGAAAGTTCCCTTGTCCCTTCTTATTCCAGCGTTGAGGTCAACAATAAAAGAACGCCATGAGAATCACGAAAAAGCAGTCATTGGGTTGCTCCGTGCTTTACTGGAAGACGAAAGGATCAGGCACACACTTTTGGACGAGGCCAATTGGATTGATCTGATTGAAATCATTCGCACATGCGCCGGGCACGAAGGGACAACTGAAAGAGCAGTTGAGTCAGCAGTCTCTGCGGTTAGCGCAGGAGGAATCGGCGCTTCCGTAACTCCGACAGGCGAAGTTGACAATGATACCAAACCAAACTCTGAAATGACAACCGCTCCACCGAGGTCTGACAGCATCACAAGGGACCCTGACGACGACCTCTATAATGTTCTCAGAAACCTACTTGGGCTCAGCCGCAAGATGGAATCAATTCAAAGAGCTGAGATCATGCAGTTGCTAATGCAACTGTCACGTCGCCTGGACGACTCTATGGCGGAAGACGTGGTCCGCTTCTATATTGAGGAACGTTTGTTCTACCCATCGAACGAGTCCTGGCTTGAGGCGTGTCGTACTCTCGTATCTGGCATTCTGACAGACCGGAGTAGGCCGCGCTCTCTTCGGATCCTTTGCATCCATACCCTGCGGGACACGCACGGAGTAGTGGAGAGCATCTGCCCGAGCGACACAGTATTGCAATGCGCGGCCCTTCTTTTAGACAACATTGAAGCCGAAGAGGATGGTGAGGTTCTCAAGGAGCTGGTGGATTTTGCCGTCGAGGTGATTGAGCATGCTTCCGACGCCAGTTTTGGTGGTCCTGTCGAGGTCCTACGGAGACGTTTGGAGCATCACAAATATAGGATGCAAAATTCGAATACGGGTCCAAATCCAGTCATGGTTTCTTCTCCCTTCAATCCTCGGCCTGTCGAGCATCCTCTTGGTTCGCCCTGTAATGTCATCGCAACCGCTTTTGTCCGACTCTTCATCCGTTGTGTCGTTAAATCTGCTCGGAAAACTCATGTTCTCTACGAGGATCTACGCCACATCGTTGGGTGTGATTACTACGACAGTGACGCACGATTGACCGCTCTCAAACTCCTCTTTCGTTTGCGCGCAGAGTCGGACCACGCCCTGCTCGTTAGCTCCTCGTCCGAAGGAGAGAGTATAGCTGCTGTACTGTGCCGAACAGCTGAGACCGCACTTGCGGCTGAGAAGTCTGAGGACGCAATACAAAGTGACGGTACGAAGTTTGAAGAAGTCTCGTGGAGGGAGCAGCGCAAGGTCTCCGGCAGCAGTCCCCATTCTTCCTTGAACCGAAACATCGGCCGGCAAGCAAATGTCTCCGGGCGCGTTGCAAAGCCGGTGCCACCGTTGTGGATGTATCCGGGACCAAAGGGTCTTCCCGAGGAGCCTTCATCCCGAGCGAGTCGGGTAGTCTTCTCCCATGTCGACCCCGAGGAGTACCCCCTGCCTGATGACATTCTCGATCTTGAAGTGACATTATGGCTGGAGCTGGTGATATCCCTGCTGCAAAAGGCTCCGGATTGGGAAATATACAGTTATGTTCTCGTCCATCTTGGGCCACAGCTGTCCAACCAAGCTCTGGTGCGCAGCTGCGTGGCCCAGTTGAGAATGTTACGGAACGTAGTCTGTGAGCAAATTCGCAACTCCTCATTTCACGAACCGCCCAGTTACACCCTGCTGAAAAAAGCGGATGTGGCTGTGTGTCTCTTCCACATCCTAACCGTGCTGCTCAGCTACCATGACTACTTTGAGAAGAGTGAAGAGGACGATGTCGTGAAAACTTTTCTCCATGGCATTGGCTCTTGGGACAGAACATCCGTATGGTGCATCCATGCCCTTACCGTCTGCTGCCACGAGATTCCACTCTCCGTCTCCAAGTCCCTGGATAACATCATACAGAAGATGTCCCAGATCATTACAAAACCCTCAACCGCTATCCACATCCTAGAGTTCCTTACTTTTGTTGCACGCATGCCAGAGCTGTACAAGAATTTTCGTGAAGAAGAGTTCAAGATGGTTTTTGGCGTCAGTTTCCGCTACATACAGCATGTACGGGACCAGCGTGACCGAGCCTCAAGTACGAGCACCTCACAGGGAACTCAACGGGCTCTGCGACACAGTGGCCCATCGAGAGATTTTACATCCTCGCCTGACCGCCACACTCAATCTAGATCGAAAGCTGCTGCCGATGATCTGCCGCAGTACGTTTATTCACTGGCATACCATGTTATCACCTTCTGGTTCATCAGTTTGAAGATGGAAGACCGGCCCAAACAGATACCATGGATTACTCAGAGGCTTCTATACACGGACGCTTCAGGCAAGCAAGTTATGGAGGAACAGGGCCACGTAATAGTCGATATGATGCACAATCTGGCCTATAACGACAGTGGCGAGACTGTACGCGACGACAATTTCGCGAAGCCCAGTGACGGGGAAATTTGGAGCAAGACTTGGATCCTCGGCCATAGCCTGATCACCATTGAAACGGCATCTAGGACAGGCGTCTCCATGATTACCAGTCGAAGGCCTTGTGGCACGCGGTATATGTACACCCGCCCCGTGCTCGCTCCTCTACCTCGCCATCAAGTTCCTCTCGTGCTTCAGCTCGAATCGAAAGATTTTCATTCCACCTCAGATGTGGCTATTCTGCCTGACGACATCTTCCAAACTTTCTTTGCGCCCCTCAACCTGACCGACCCGCCCATACCACTGCCAGATGACCCAATGACGAAACGTTCTATCGAAACTTTTGATCGCAATGCCACCGTGGATGGCCATAAGGTCGGGGTAATATACATTGGCGAAGGGCAAATGGGCCAAGCTTGTGAGCGGGCCATCTTCCTCAACAATATCGGCTCCGCAGCATATACATCCTTCTTGGACGATCTAGGCACGCTGGTTCGTCTAAAGGGCGCTCAGTTCAATACTGGAGGCCTCGACAGGAGTAACGATATGGACGGTGAATTCACGTACTGCTGGAGAGACCGTGTTATCGAGCTCGTCTTCCACATCACGACTATGATGCCTAAGGCTTCTGATATCGACATGACCTATGCGAACAAAAAACGGCACGTAGGAAACGACTACGTGAACATTATCTTTAATGACTCCGGCCTCCCTTACGACTACGAAACCTTTCCTTCACAGTTCAACTACGTTGCCATCGTCATCACGCCGGAGTCGCGGGCGTCGTTCGTTGACCGACGCCTTGATTCTGACCCTGAAGGCAAAAGTCGCTACTACAAAGTCCAGGTGATGTCGAAGCCTGGGTTTCCCGATATCTCCCCTGCTGTGGAGCCTAAAATCCTCTGCGGAAAGCACCTTGCCGCCTATTGCCGTCTTCTCGCCATCAATGCGAGTGTATTCTCGCAGGTGTGGGCTAGACGTGACGGCGGTGAGTCTATATCTTCATGGCGCAACCGGCTGCGAGAAATTAAGCGGCTGCGCGAGCGATATGGTGCGGGCGATCTGTCTCTTGTATCTGGCCCATTCAGCCCGACTTACGACCTTGGTGTCTCGAGTCCTCCACCAAGGGAAAACACCGCGTCGGCGCAGAGTTTCAAGCGTACCAGCGTCGCCACCTTCATCAGTGAAGGTACAAATCGCAGCAGCATCACCAGTCCCTCACATGACGCGTCTAACTGAGCAGCAAGTTTCGTTTTACCCTATGATTCAAAAGTATAGCATGTGTGCGGTACATCGGAGTTTCCTAGAACAGGAAGGATGATACCCCTTGGCCGTTCTTACGTCTCTTTGCTTTGCTTTTTTTTTATTTCTGACAATGATTGTCTCCAAAAAGTTATTTACGCGTCGACTTCAGTCCGAAGATCCCATTGCTTCCTATCCCCCCTCAGCTTCCGCCGGCGCATTTCCTTCGTTTACATAGTTAGACGAACGCGGTATTCGGTCACAAGACCTAAAAAGCTACTTCCCATTTTCTTCTGGACTAGGACTACATACCACCTCTAATTCTGCGGTTGGTTAATCTGTACACAAAAAAGGTCTGTCCGAAGAAGAGGCAAGGGAAGAGGCGTGTCTTGTTTATCGTAGGGCCCAGCAGGAAGAAGTCATGTGAACATGGATGGCTTCTTGCCTAAAAGGTTTGGGCATTAATATGAATTCTGTACACCTACACGAAGCTTTCACGCCTAGTCCCGTGAAAGATGTATTTAGTGTGATACCTTCTCTTTCAGTGAAAGAGGTCCGGAATTGCATCAGTCTCAGGTTATGATATCGATTCCAAAGGGCACTCCCAACTTGAGACTCAGCTCCATCCGCCGCTTGCTAATAGTCCTGCATTCTGCTCCCAGTGCCCCCCACTCGTGTTCCCAGCCCATCCATTACTCTGCCCATACCCCATCTGCCCCGTCATGTCTCCTCCCGCTCCTCTGCCCGGATATCTTCCCATCCCAGACATCCCGCCTGCTTGCGCTTGACCGCCCTCTGCCAGCCCCAAGCACCACGTCCACATTCCTCCCTTCAATGCCTTAATCACAAACGCAATCTTCTCCTCCACTCCCCGTGGCAATTTCCCTTTACACTCCTCCAAAGCCCAGCAACACGTCTTCGCGACCTCACGCCACACCTCGCCATCCTCCTTACTCAGCGTCGGCGTCCCTGCAGTCCCCTTCCCCTGCCTGACAAGCTCCAGCACCGCAACCATAACCCCTCGAATCCTCTCCGTAACGCGCTCAATCTCCTCATCGGACGAAGACGAAGCAGAAGACGACGGCGAAGACGGCGTAGGCAAATACAGCCGAAACGGCCCGGGATATCCGCTCTTCATCCTCACCTTCTCCCCCGTCTCGTCAACCTCCAGTACCATAGGCACACACGCATAATGTCCCGCTATGCCATCTGCAGCAGGCCCCATGGTAAGTCTGGAGAAAGCCTTCAGGCCGGTCGCTCCCGTGGTGTGATTCGAGGGCGAGAAGGTCTTGTATGGCGCGTCGGCCAGCTGGACGGCGGTGTATATCTCGTCGTCCCGCGCCATGTCCTGGCATTGCTTCTTGTCTGCGTAGCTTGTTTCTTGGATACAGCGCTTTGCCCAGGCTCTCGCTTTGGAGGCCGGAAGACGTTGTTGGACGTCTCTGACGACGTCTTTTGCCGTGTTGGAGCCGAATTTGCGGGTCACGGCCGCGTTGTGTAGGCGGAAGCTGTATGTCGCTAGGTGGTCTAGTGCGAGATGGTAGTGCGGGGTGAGGAGCGAGGCTGGGAGGAATGTGTGGATGTAGTAGGGGTAGAAGTACATGTATGTTGCTAGATGCGGGTGGACGATTCTCTGGGAGCGAATGTCGAGCAAGACGGCGGGGATGTCGAGCTTGGTGCAATAGTTCTGTAGGCGGAGGAGATCCTGTTTTTGGTTGTGGACACCGTGATTCTTTCCATTGCTCATATTCTGAGAAGGACAGCCGGAGAGTGTGATTGATGAGGCGGATACTTGCAGGACTGAATGGACTGTTATCCCTGCAAGCTTGGAACGCAAATCATGGCTTGTATTGTTGATCCAGAAGTTCAGAAAATGGAGAGCTGGGCCGTGATGCCAGATGAGCTTCTTGGTGTCCGTCGAGTATGCACCTGAATCCAGAATGCGCGTAATAGCCTTGTTAATCCTCTCAACCGCTTTTCGCGCGTTAGTCTCAGCCTCTTGCGAACCATACGTGTGACTTGACGATTGTTGCAAACTGGGAGTCTGGCTGTTATCGACGCCTCGCACGACTTTGATCCCACCGAAAGACATCACTCCGCCGTTAAGGTGGGCGCGTCCCTCTTGCTCAGTAAGGTGCTTAACAAGTTCGCAAACGCGGCCAAAGTTGTCGCGACTGGGGACATGTTCGACCAGTATCAGCATACCAGCGGGAACACTTTTCGGCGGCCCAGTCGGCTGAGGCACGTAAGTGCTCATGTTCCGGATCTTGACGATCACTTGCGTCAGCTGGAGAAGGCTGTCGATGTCTGAATCCGTCTCCCATATATGCAAGTATGACTTGTTGCAGATGATCGCGCGCGATGTGTCTGATATATCGCTGAATGCAGCATGATGCTGTGCGGGCATCTGGCCCAGTGACTTGATGAAGTCGTCCAAGCCTCTGGCCCAAGGGCCGCTGAAACTGGCGCAAGGCATCGGAGCGGTTGGTGGGATGAGGATATGGGCGGCGGATGGGGGACCGGAAGTGTACGAGAAGAAGGAGCATGCTAGCGAGAGGTGGTGAAGAAATAATCGCACTGCTGTTCTTCGCCGGGGTTTTGTGAATGACGTTGTCGGTGACAGCAGAAGGGTGACATGTTCGAGCAGCGAAACTCGGTCAACGTAGGAAGACAAACGCGGTGAGGATCGGGCAACGCACCTTCTCTAAACTTCAAGCGAGAGTGACGAGGATGCCTTCGAGCTACTGTGTACTGTGCATAACGACCTCGGAAGTCATACGCAAAGTCACATTGAACGGCGAAGATACAGTTGCAATGGGAAATGTAAATCGTTGTTGGTACTCAGACGATGCAGCTAATGCATGATAGGAATTCCACATATGCAGCCTAGCGGCAGGTTACCAACGAATTATTATCAGAAGATATGTGATCTGAGCTGAGAATAATGAACTTGCAGGATTTGTTTAGCGAAATAAAGAGACATCTTGAGTGCCTTTACTTACTTTCAGAAGATATATGGGTCGGACAGTGATGGAAGTTTAGCGTACCGCCTGCATCCATTTCGAAATACGTCTTTCGAACAGCAATTCCAACGGCGTTTTCCAAAGGCGCGATGCGAGGTGCGTGAAATATGGAGCCTTGTACCGTTGATGTTCGAGTGTACATACTCCAACCGAAGCCTATGTCTTAACGGACACCATGATAGCGTTAAAGCCCTCTTCCTTTAGGGATAGATGATTGAGAACTTGCATCAAGAACGTTTCGTCTTCGTATAACCGCGTCCATACCCATATCGTACTGGCCCAGAACAATATCGGCATAGAGTTTCTGGGACATAATGGGTATATAAGGCCTGCTTCACTTTTCTCCCGCCTGGATCTTGCGCATCGGGGCATTCTAGGGTGTTGAACGCCCTTTGAACGCCCTTTACTCGTTCTCGAGAAATGACAATTGCTGGAAGACCCACGCCATTACTCGCACAAGCTCCTCTGATTTTATGCACCAGTATGTATGTTGGCGGCTGGGTGGCTGTCGCGCGTTTCATGGGGAAAGTAGGGAAAACTCAAGGACTAGCATCCTTGGTTTGCTTCGGTTCCTCTGTCACTGCTGTGGCGTCACTTTCGGTCACTTTCTTAGCCTTATCGCGAGCCTTTCTCTTGAGTTTCTTTTCCCTGTTTTTCCGTGTTCTCTTCTCCCTCTCCATTTCTTCTTTCTCCCTCTGGATCCTTTCTTCCTCCGCCTTCTTACTCTCTTTCGCCCTTATCAGCTTCCTAATCGCGATCCTAGCTTTCTTCCCTTTCCTACTACGCTTACGCCTCGTCTCCTCCACGGTAATCGGGATCTTTGGATGCCCTACGAGCACGCACTTCTTGATACCCGTAGAAGATATAGTCTTTACTTTCCAAGGCATTGCACAACCCGGCCAAGGCATTCTAGCCAGTTCCATCACTGTATCCCCATCGATAGCCGACTGTCGGAATTCTGAATACTTGTTCCGGCTCTCTTCGTCTGCAAAGTAATAGCTTCTAGGCCGTTTCACAACAAAACCGCCATCTCCCGTCGCTGCGTCTGGCGACTGGAGACGAATCTTGTGCGACTTTGACGCGGCGGATGGCCCACCAAAGAGAACCAGCTCAGCTTCATCTTCCTCGTCCTCCTCTCTAGCTCCATCTATGCCATCAAAGTTCTCCGTGTCCGGGGTCGTGAATGTGAATTCGGCGAGTGCGCGCGAGCGGAGCCGTTCGGTGACATCGGGGTCGGGTGTCGAGCGAGGAGAAGAAGCGGGGGACTGAAGATCGGTGCGGCTCACCGTCTGGTAAGTGGCCATGGCTGGCAAGACTCCGACTTGTCGGCTTGTACGCTGCCCTGAATGTTTCGTGTGAGGTGCTTTTGAGTTTATGTACGAGAGCGGGAGATCGACATGCCAAGAAACGCATCACAGTTTGGTACCGAGAGTGTGCACGTGGGAGTCCTATCGTGAGGTCGAAAATTGACACCATCATTCAGAGCTGCAACAGATCTTCTTCTCTCATGGGGCAGGTAGTGGTCGGTTCGTTTTACCATAAGGAGGGTGGCGTAGCCATATAGAAGTCCGCCTTTATGTCCTGTGTCCTGTTATAGAGCAAGTAAGGAGAGTGCCCTTTCTGATGCACTAATTAACAAACAAGATTTTGTTGGGCTTTTATATACATTTGGGAATGATAACTGTCCCAGGCGACCGCATTCTGCCTCTATTCACTGACTGGAAACCTCACAGGCAAGGGTCAATCGCGCATCACTCAAAGGTATTACAACTTGAAGGCACGCTCAGCCGAGGAGTCCATCTTGGAAGATCAACCCAGTGCTCTTTAGGAAGTATTAGAAAACTCTGTTAATACGCGAAACAAGAAAGAACAAACGAAAGAAAAGATTTCCATGCCCTATCCAAGCTTGTACAACTACCTGCCCGTAATACCGAAGCTTCGGTAACAGAGAAGAGTAATGGACTCTGTCAACCGTGGCTCATCGATCCTGCTTTCGCTTGCCCCTAGCTTCTCCAACCTCGTGCAAACCCTTGTACGGATATTGCCTTCGGTTGAACCCAAGCTTCACCCTCGGTACCCGGAACATCTGATCGATGATTGGTGTTGGGAACCTGAGTACAGTCTCCCTATAGAGAGTCCCTGTCGTCCAGTCATATGAACAGCCAAGTGCTCGTTGCATGCCGCCCTCGGTGCCAGCGAGGATGAAGCAGATCGGCGGGCGAGCGGCTTGAAAGAGCGTTGCTGTCATGGTACCTAGAAAGCTTCAGGTGATATTCATCAAAAGGACACCGAGTAATTGTGAACATGGACAACACCGGACAGGATAGAAATGAATCGCGCAACATACCTGTGTCCACCAGCGTAAAGATCCTCTGGTCTCCCGGCTGCGCATACTTTGCCCTTTCTACCAGCTTCCGGACATTCTCATCTGTTGTCGGATCAAGCGGTACGCACTCATTATGCTCGTTCCTGTAATGCCTGGACAAGGGGCTCATGTACGCCGACCAGCTCATTCTCCCTAAGCGGGCGCCAAAGATCTGGCGCTCAATGGTGTCGATGTCCATGTAGCCTTCGAATCCGAAGAACCAGCCTTGGCTACCCCAGAATTTGCCCAAGTAGATGACACGTAGTAAATACGGGCTCAAGGCGATCATGACAAGCGAGTAGATGAACAAAGGTATGGCAACCGCTGGGAAAATTGCCAGCAACGCAACGGAAGTCCAGAATATGTACCCGCTAATGCGCAACATGAACTTCGCAAACTCACGTTTCCAGCTCATGATACGTGATGTAGCGACGGGTGCGAAGGATTTCCAGCGAACGTTGGCCGCGTGGCAGCCGTCAAGGATGATGGTGTCGTCTTCCCCGATCCCAGCAATTGTTCGATCAGTTGGAAGGATATCCCACAATTTGGCGTTATATGCATCGTCCATAGAGTGCCATGGCTGATTGGGTTCCTTGGGTAGGACACAGATGAGTCTTTCCAAAAGCTGTTCGTTACCATTGCCCCCATTGGCAAGAGAGAGACTGTATCCGTCAGTAACTGCTGACTGGGTCCAGGAGGTAAGCAGAGAAGACCTTACCGTGCAAAGGCCTGGAAAGCGGAATCAGTAGGGTCGATCTTTGGCCTGATGCGAAGAAGGCCCATCAACGCATAACTGTGATCACCTCGGAAGTACTGCGTCGTTTCCCGTCTATGTAAGCATTCGACGGCCAACGTGACAAGTTCCAGCTGACTTAGTATAAGGTTACCCTCGTAGTGGTCAATCAACTGAGAGAATTAGCAAGCGCGAGTCGATTTCGTCTGTAACCTACCTGGCGAGCAATGTGAGCATCCTCCCTCCAGACTCTAGCAGGAAATTGGCCCTTAGGCACAATGATGGGCGCTAACCAATCGCCAGTACGGCAGTAGACTTTGATATCTTTTCCGGATGGTGAAAGTAGCACTTCAGGAAAGGTCCAGATCCGTTTTCCCCATTGCTGGAGGAAGTGATCAGGCGTTGCAAGCCCATAAGGGTTGGAGGGCGGTCGGCCTACAGCGATAGCCAAAGAATGGGCGCCTCGAATCACATCGCAAATTCGATAGACCTGTGCGTATTAGTGCATTCTTGCAATTTCATCCAACCAACATACATCTTCTTGAAGCTGTGCAGGGACGGAACCCAAGCACGAACAGCCAATCCAATAAGCTTGAACACCAGCATTGCGTGCCGCTGCATCGGCAATTTGATGCAGGACAATCATGTCTTCCGCGCTGTCATGGTTGAACTGCTCCGTAGTATATGCTACGAAAACATAAGACAGGTTGTCTTCAGTCTTGTATTGTTCAATGTAATCGTCGACGGCCATCAGGTTGGCGGGCTTGCCTTCAGCGCGAAGGAAGCACAAGTATCTGGGTCGAAGCAAACGCTCTGCGATAGGATTTGCCTCGTTGCCCCTAACACCTCGAGCCACGTCCGCTTCCATCTCGTTTCGCGCCACCTTGGGATAACCGATGTACCCGTATGGGAAGGGGGCGTATTTGCCCTCATTTCTCATCGAGGCCTCTCCAGAAACAGGGGTGCCAATCTGAATAATGTCAGCAAATCTTGCAATCTTGTTGCAGCATAATCGTTCTGGAGTGCACTTACGACGAAACTGATGGCAATACAGGCAAAGAACCACTTTACGTAGATCATCGGCCAGTCTGAACGTTCTTAGTCGTAGGTAGGCAGAGCAGGATGAATCAACTATACCTTCACTTGTGGGACCTCCATTACGAGCATAATCCACATGGCTCACTGGCCAATTAGCCAGTCTTAAATAGAACGGCGATACGTTCCGAACAAAGGTTCGTCGCCACGTAGAATTTGTCGTGTTGTCGTAGATGTCATCAACAGCTTGCACAACAAGCTTGCTGACCTTCCCGTCATACGCTATTCAACCTGTCAGCGTTTTGCGTCCATCGTGTGCACTTGGAATACCTACAGGAAATGTATCTATCATCGTAATCTCCAGTCCAGATGCGGTCGAGCACGTCCCTGTTTCGATACTGGCCTAGCTTCTCGTATCCATAACCGGGCTTGCCTTCAACATATCAGTGGTGGCGTTTCGGGCTAGGTACAGGGAGACCCACGGTAGAAGTGCGGAAATCCCCATTTCAAACTTGAATGAGCGTCAAACATATGCCAATAACCTTTGAGTTTCACCGGCCCGCCTTGCTGTGTATCTGTCAGCAGGTACAGTATAGTCAGTCGGTTCTCTTCTCGTACAGGTCGAGGGGCCGCAGCATATGTTTGGGGCTCATGGTTTGGCGCAGCATGACCCCCCCTGGGCTGCTTAGGAACCTCATAATGGGTTTCCGGAGTGGCCATGGTAGAAGCCCTAGCCACACAAGCAAGCGCCTATTCGACCTATGATCCCCGGCCCTTTTGTCCTGTGTGGAGTGGGCGTGGCGTGCTGATAATTCGGTCCTACCGGGACTGATTGAGCGCCCTGTAGGGATTCATGAGCATTGTTCAGAAGGGAAGGTATATCTTGTAGCGCCTACCTGGTCGATGTGCTGGTTGTTGTACAAGGGCGGTCCAACTCGTGTTGGCTGACTGTTGACTACAGTAGATCCCGGACCTATCGCTCCTCCGTGTGTGTTGAGTTGATGCTGCTGTTCAAGTTACAAACATGTCCTAGTGGATGTTCCTACTCCGGAACCTACCTGTTGTGAAGCAAGAGCAGCAAAGTGCTGCGTAGAGTTGCTGGGATTATAGCCACCACCATGAGATGGACGCTGGAGAAATGAGCATTGAAGTACTGCGGTCGAACTTGGGAACTGACGTACAATGCGAACCTGCGAAGCAGAGGCTGTGATGGTAGCACCCGGATTGCTTGGGTTGTAGGCTCCGCCGTGACTTATAAACGATCTAGGAGGATACGCCTGTAGAGTTAAATCGGCTACGTTCGACAGATATCATGGAATTACCATGCGGTTTCTGGCATTTGAGCGAAGTTCAGACGGGCACAAGACAGGAAATGTTCAACTCTCCGTGGCTCTCCTTCATATATGCCACGAGCCCCTATATTGTATCAGGCTGAGGCTCAAAAGAAGTTCTGCTTTTCTTGCCGCCGCACAGTATTGAATTTGGCATTGTGAGCATTTTGGTGTGACGCTTTTGATGAAGTTATTGGCGGAAAGCACGGAGGATGCCGTCCTCCATGATCCAGAGTGTCAGACCACTTTCCAGCCTTCTCCGCTGATGTCGAATTTTTGGAGAATGAGTGCAAGGCTGCAAAGCTGAAGACATAGAAAGCAGTTCGAGTTCCCGTATTGGAAAATAATGCCGAGTAGACAGGGATCCGGTTACATTAATGCTTGGGACACCACAGATATGGCGTTCCGTAGGACACTCTGGATGTTTCTAATTTGATACGTTCGCGCCTCGGATCCGTGGTACCGTGTATGTTGTTTGCACGACCCGTTGCAGGGCTGCTTGTTCCAGGGGTCTGGGGTTCTACGATATCACATTGCTATTGGGGAGGGTTGAGTACTGAGATAGAGCAACGGATTAACCGTATAACCAGCTGTTTTCAGCACGTCAACTGCTTATGCTCCATAACTTCCCGGCTACGATAGTCAAACCGGCAGTCAGACTATCAGTACGGAACCTGGAAGTAAGCAGTCTCCAAGGTCTCTTCACTGTTGCCTTCAGTTTTCATGGTAGGCTGCATGGGAACGATATGCTCCACATGGGCTGACTGGATTCTGCCCGTAAGAATCTGAGTGGACGTTTGGGTAACGAACTGTGCGGTAACAGTCTCAACAACATGTCCCAATCAGTCAATGCCCAGTAATCGACCCGCCGACCCCTATGCTCGAGTTTCCTGGCGTAGCCTTGGACGGGCGTGAAGGAGCCTCAGCCTTACGCCACCAAGTCCTTCATTCCATTTGTGTAACCGCAAAGTAAGCCACGAATACCCTCAGAGCTGACTGGTTATCTCCTTTTCTTTTGACGCCTTGGCTTGCTTAAGGCCATTCTGGATAACCACAATAGGCCTAATCCGGCCAACGGATCCTCGATATTCTACTCTATCAGACCATGATTACGCCTTCGGCAAGCGCCGTTCAGCTCATGGAGCATATTCTTCGGGCCAACCGAAGTTCCCGTTTGTGGAAGAAGGTTTGTCAGCCTTTTAAATCGGACATAGAAATAGAGGCGAACTGTAAGGCAGACTGGAGTTTATTGGGCAACCGGAATACTGCCTCTTTTCACGTCCGATGGGCAAACCAGGGGTCGCAAGGGGGCAAATTAAAGACAGGGAAGTGATCGTACGCGAAATTCAGCTCCAGGATTGAGCAACCTCTGACAGACAACATACTCGTTAACACTCCAACCTGTAGTTTCTTGAGGATCGCAAACTGCAGTTCCCGCAGCGAACCATGTTCCGGATTCTTACCAACGACCACCCGATCTTGACGCAGTTTCAAGTGGAGGCTGCACGCATAGCGAACGAGCAAGGCTCCAATCCTGCACTGTTCAGGAGTCGTTTACCGTTGGATATCTTCGAGTGGCCAAATGCGGGAAATCGCCATGGGACATACCGGAGAGGCATCTTCTCGTTGGCAGACCTAGACAGTACTGGCGAGCCCCAAGTTCGCGTGATGTGAGCGGATTCTTATGCGAAATAATGGTCCCTTCATTGATAATTGCAGACTGGCCCCGCGCGATTTACCGCTTCCAGAATTCGCAAATGGCCTAGGTGACCTCTTCACGAGATTCGAGATCCCGAGCGCGTTCTTGCAAGAAAGTCTGCAAGCCGCTTCTCAGTCATTTGGGGTCTGGAAAAAGGATAATTATACGCAGTATGTTTGGATGCACTTATTGTCCAAAGACGTCGCGATCGTGGCAGCCCCAGTGCCAGAGATGGACACGGACGGACCGGCCGGGCTTGCACAAGCGGCTGCTGCAAGCCAGAGAGACCGACAATTTTTACGTAGACCTCGAGAGCCACGTAGGTCTCTCAACCATGCCACAGGTAGTGGACAGGCTTTCGCCCAAGACGACTATACTTGGGTAAAACCGGGACTTGTACTCAAAATCGAACACGATAAGCCGACGTCCGACAGTAGCAAAAGTGTCGCAACGTTAACCAGTAGGCCTGGGCGTATCACTCTTCTTGGATTTGGAGCGAGCACCTTCCAGGCCGGCTTCCAGGAATTGATCGGCACAGTTCCAGTCGATAGTCTCTTAGAAGATCCGTTCATTCTTATGCAAGTGGCATTCGCTGAAATGCACAGAGTGATTGATAACGTTGGTTGGCATGTAGCCGACATCTTCCGGGGAATTGAATATGTACGTAGACCCAGGTACAGATGCCGAAATTATTACTTTCACTGACACGTGGGGAAGGACGCGCTTGCGATTGCGACGACACCTGTGAAAGCAGGACGACTTATCAGCTTCGCTAGGTTGCACAACCTTATGAAGCATGGTATTTTCTTACAGGAGAATTGCGAAGGTGCGATAAACACCCTCGACAGCCTTTGCTCCTACCACGATGAGTACATTGGGAAGACTCCCACGTCAACGCAATTGCGCACGCGGGCAGAGCTGAAGTACAGGCGCACGATATTTCGTTCAACACAAGGACGGTTGCTCGCTCTTGATAGGCGGATGACAAATATCCTTCAGCTTTCGTTCAATCTGGTCACTCAAGGGGACAGTCGAATCGCTCGTCATGAGGCTCTAAGCATGAGGGTGATCGCGTTCGTCTCGCTCTGGTTCTTACCTCTGGGCACCGTTGCCACGGTTTTTGGCACTCAGTTGATCCGAATGCAAGAAGATAAACCTTTCCGCTTGCAAGTCTCCCAGGAATTTTGGCTTCTTTGGGTCATTGCGACTATTTTGACACTCGGAGTCGTAGGTATATCGCGTATGTGGTATCGTGAAGTTCGTGATGAGGAAGAACTCCGGCAGGGGAACGAACGAGGCTGGATGGCATGGAAACTGTTGAAGACAAAGTTAACCATTGGTGTCGGGAATTGGACATGGAGTCAGAACAGGCGAAGTGCCATGGCCAGTTCGGATCAACATGAGTTGGTGTAGCACATCTTATCGTAGTTACGGGTTGAATATCATGCGTATCTTGAATTCATTGATTGTAAAAAGATTGCGAGAAGAACTTTGGTGAGGTATGGCACGAACCTTTTTACGGGCTTATGTAAGCAATGACCTCGCCCATCGGTTCTCGAAGAGGAAATCAGCTCTAACCACTCAAAAGCTATCAACGCTGCGACATTGCCCCATCCTCTCGAACTCGCCCAGAGGGATGTCGTTTCTCTTCCGCCGTCCGGGCGCCCTTATTGTTCTGGGTTCGTCAGCCATTGGAGGGGCTGCATACCGCTACACAGCACCACCGTCGTCTTCGTCCTCGTCTCTCAACCCTCACGATTTCACCCCATACACCTTAGTCGACAAGAAACCTGTTTCATCATCGAACTCGATATTTACACTAAGGAATCGCGAGGGCGCCGCTGACCCCGAAAGCGTTAAAGAGGCCTGGAGACATGGCGTTTGGAGTATTCAGATCAAGCAACCCCAGCTGCAGATTGCCCGCGACTACACACCTCTCCCTCCAACGCCCGATGTCGCTGATGACAATGACACGGAACTGCATGATATTCGCCTCCTGATCAAGAAGGAGGAGGGAGGGGAAGTCTCCAACTATCTACATCGTTTACCGGAGCAATCGACCATCGAGATAAGGGGACCCAAACTCGAATGGGAGCTTCCAGATGATATCAAGGAAGTCATCTTTCTGGCAGGAGGGACAGGCATTGCACCTGCGCTTCAAGTCGCGCAGGCAATGGGTCACAGACCAGGGACCAGGCTGCATATACTATGGGCAAACAGAAAGAGAGAGGAATGCGTAGGAGGCAAGAGTGATGGTACGGACGCTCATAAGGTTCTAAGGAGCCCTCTAGGCTCATGGAAGCGTTACCTTGCATTTGGGACTGCACCGAGCCCTGGGCAAAAGCCTCTCGCCCGTCAAGGAAAAGGCGCCATTGTGCAAGAACTCGAGGCTTTGAAGAAGCACAATGCCTCACAGTCGAGCGGGCTCGAGGTGCAATACTTTGTGGACGAGGAGAAGACCTTTATAGCACCCCAAGATGTTGCGCGCCGCTTAAACCCACAACAACCTTGCTCCAGGGTCATCCTCATCGCAGGTCCAGACGGATTCATCGACTACTGGGCCGGCAAGAAGATCTGGATCGGTGGGAGAGAAGCACAAGGGCCGCTTGGAGGAGTGTTGGGTAAAATGGATCTCAGAGGGTGGTCGGTATTCAAGTTGTGATCCATTGCGCCTGTAAGTACTCGGCCCTTAGTAAGCTAGTTCCGGCTGACCATTCCAAAGAAGAGCATCTGTGCAGCAAATTGACTATGACATAATCAAACGGTTGAGTCCATCCTTCAAGCATATCCGGACTGGCTTCGTTTTTCCCGTCTGGGTTAGCGATCCTTCGCGACAATAATTCCGCGCTGATAAATTCTGCTTTTAAACACCAGATGACAATTGTCGCGGAATATACCATTATCATACCAATCGATTAATCGTCCCGGATTCGGCCCTTTTATAACTGTAGCGCCGCGCTCCATTGCGTGGTACTGCACGCTTCAGCCTCGTTAACCTCGTAGTCGCTATGTCCGACGAACTGGAGATGGGTGGTGCAGCCTCACCACCCGTCAAAGACCCCGAGTCGCGTCCGGCATGCTTCAAGTCAACTTCTCAAGAATGTCTTTTTGTAATGTCGGTTACTATGGCAGTGGCCATGACATCTTTCTTGACAGGTTCCATCACAGTCATATCGTCGTTTGCTGGTAGAGAATTGAACATGACGACAGCGGAGATAACCTGGATGGGCTCTGCGTCACAGTAGGTGGTCCGCTATGCCTGAGAAACCTGGACATGCGTTAACAATATTTAGGCTGTCCTCAGGAGCACTACTCTTATTCTTTGGGAGTATTGCTGATCTGTTCGGCCGCAAGTCGTTGTTCATTGGCAGCATGTTTCTCTTCAGCGTGGTCTGTCTCGGCGCCGGCTTCGCAAAGTCAGGACTCACCCTCGATATCCTCAATGGCGTTCTGGGAATATTTTCTGCTGCCTCGGTTCCCCCAGCTCAGGGTATGCTAGGCGTCATCTATGAACGACCAAGCCGCAGGAAGAATAAAGCCTTCGGAGCGTTCTCAGCCGGTAATCCACTTGGGTACGTATGCGGCACGATCTTCAGTGGTGTGGCAACGCAAATATTCAATTGGAGGGCTAGCTTCTGGCTTCTTGCGATTGTTTATCTCGTTGTATCGGTTGTTGCAGTGTTTACCGTCCCAACCGACTCGACGCCGAAGGTGTCATTCAACGACGAAACTCTGAAGAGGTTAGATTTACCTGGCACTGTCATGACCATTTTTGGCATAGGCATGTTCTGTGCTGCACTGAGGTATGATTATCCTCGTACTATGAGAAATGCATCACTAATATGTCCAAAGTCTCGGAAGCGATGCGTCTGATGGCTGGAAGACGCCCTATGTGCTCATCTTGCTTATCCTAGGAGTCCTGCTCATTACTTCCTTCATCATATGGGAGATCAAATACCCCTATTCAATGATTGACATGAACATCTGGAAGGACAGGGACTTCTCGCTGGTGAGAGCAGCACTACTGCCTTACATATTGCGTAGTTAACACTCTCAAGCTTCTTACTATCATGTGTTTCGGCTTCATCGGATTTCCCATCCTGGCGTTCTGGATCGCACTGTATTTCCAAAAAGTTCAGGGCTACTCAGCGCTTAACACGGGCGTGCACATGTTACCCATGGTTATAACCGGGCTCATGGCCAACGTAAGTACTAACCATGCTGGCTTCGCAGTGCCAAACCTGATGCTCGTCAGGCTGTCGCTGCTCTCATTCAACACAAAGTGTCCAACAAACTTCTCATGGCCATCGGTGCAGTCGCTTACCTTGTGTCCTTCATCCTCGCCGCCGTCCAAAGATACGGCGACTCCTACTGGGCTTTCTCCTTCCCTGCCCTCTGTCTCTGCGTCATCGGTGCCGATTTTCAGTTCATAGTCTCCAATGTATGACAGCAAGTCCCTATCCACAGCCCATTCAAACTACTAAACGATACATAGATGTATGTCCTCTCTTCCATGCCATCCAATCGTCAATCCATCGCCGGCTCCCTCTTCCAAACACTCTCCCGCCTTTGCTCCGCCGTCGGTTTCGGTGTCGCTACTGCAATCTTCAACGCTGTGAGCCGTAATCCTTCTTCGTCGGGGTACTACGCGAACAACCCTTTTGAGCCTTTTGCGGCGTGCTTTTGGTTCTCGGCGGGAATGGCTGCTGTGGGAATTTGCTTCGTGCCGTGGCTGAGGATAGGCACGCAAGGAGGAGGGGAAAATGCGACCAAGGAGGAGGAGTGAATGTACAGCGCAATGGTATTGCAGTTTACGGGTGGAGGTGAGGCCGCGGAGATTGGAAAGTTTTCGAGCTAGTGGTAAGTGTTCTCAAGCATCGCACATATGGGTACTGCATACGGAGCATGGCGTCGCATTAGATGCATTAGATTCATTGGCTCTATATTGTACATACTCAAGGATAATACAGAACTTCTCATTTACGTCCGCTTCGGCATAATGCATGCAAAAGATTCCAACGTCAATCCAGTCAATCCAGCCAAACTCCACGGGCAACGTCTGGAACCTCTTCGCAGCCGCACCCCGGCATTGCAAAACTTAACTGCACACTGAGTACGACCACCTGATTCTCTCTGCCTAGGGTGACCAGTGGCGCTTCCCCATTGTCATACCTTCTCCGCCACCACCCTCTCCACACCGACATGCGCTACATCCTCGTACCGGTGGAACGTCGCCGTGTCCTCAACACTCGACTCTTCGAAGACATCGATTCTCGTACTGGCGAACTTTCGCGCGCTGACGCCTTTCTCGAACAGCATGTCCAGTTCTGCAAAGGTGCGGCCTCTGGGCTCGGGAAGTCTGTGTACGTGTATTAGCAACGGTCGATGTTCTTGCATGAAGAGAGAGACGACTCACCGAAAATACGTATAAATGATACACAAGAAGCAGATGCCGCCCCAGAAGAATCCGGTGTAATTACTCCAGTTCCATGCACCAGGGTTGAGCATATACGGCGAAAGCACCGCACATATGATGCCGACGACGTTGTAGAGATTCCTCCCCAGCACGACGGTCTTGATCTGCAATCTCCGGGTCGACAGTTCCGCCACGAGCGAATAGCACACGGTGCCGACGGTGAGCTGGTATATGAGCGCCCAAACCATCATGATGGAGCCTGTGGCAAGGGCCGCCTTGTCGCGATTCTCGGACGGTACAAGGCCCAGAAACCCCATGATGAGCAGCATGACGCAGAGGCCGCAGAGCCCGCCGACATAGAGAGTGCGGCGTCCTAGGCCGAGACTCATGAGGAACCACGCGCCAATCACACCGCCCATGTTGATACCGTACTGGCCGAGGGCGAAATCGTACGACCGGGAGGGGTCCAACCCAGCCTGCTGGAGGAAGTAGGTCGAATATCCCGAGAAGGCATTACCGGAGAGATTCTGGATGGCCCAAGCCGCGCAGACGATTTCGGTGCGGCGCAGGTCGGTGCCGCGGAAACAGTCGAGGTAGCTGGCGCCGGCGGTGATTTTCTCCTCCAGCGCCGTCGTGTGCACCATCATGGCGACGGTCTCGTCGGCGTCGAAGTCGGTCTCGCGGTCCAGGCTAGTCAGTCGAAGGAGGGCCTTCTTCGCCTCGTCGATGCGGCCTTTGCGCACAAGCCACCATGGAGATTCGGGAGCGAGGAAAATGCCTATCAGAAGGGGTACGGGCCACATCCATTGGAGCGCGTAGGGAATGCGGTAGGACCATTCGTCGTCCCTGGACAGCATGGCTTTGATGACGCCGATACCGATTACCTGGCCCAGGCCCCAGCAAAAGTTGACATATGTGGTGACTTATAATATAACAATTAGCCATCATGCTCTGTTGCAGGAAACGGAAAAGTCAAACTCACGATATCCACGCAGGGCGACGGGACATACTTCGGAGGCGTAGGTGATAGTCAACGTCTGGAAGACACCCCAGGGGATCCCGCACAGGATCTCAGCCACCAGCAAATGGACCACAGTCTGCGCCGTGAAGAAAATGGCCGTGAACCCAATAATGGCAATCAGGCACGCCATGACGGTATATCTATAACCGAAACGCTCGCTGGCCCAGCCGTTGATGAACAGCCCAATGATCTCCCCGACAATCATGCCGTTGCTCAGCCCAGCCTGCCACGGCGCGGGAATCTGCCAACTGCCATCCGGAAGCTGCTCGCCGTACTTTCTTTGGAACTGGGGGAAGCCGTAGAAGTTGCCCAGGAGACACACGTCGTAGCCTTCCATGGCGATGCACGTGCTGATTAGGACCGACCACCCCACGGCCTTGGGATACAGCTTGATGCCCTGCCACAGGGTCATTGTGTGCTCTTTCTCCGTCGCGGCCTTGGCGTTGACAATGATCTTGTCCACGGTGCTGATGGAGGCTTTCCTGGACTGCTGGGTCCGGGGTTCGCCAGCCGTGTGGACCGCCTCCTTCTCGTCGTCGGCCATTGCTGCTGAGGGAACCTCGAAAGTGAACTGGGTGGTCACACAGGCGTCCAGGACTCACGAGGCCTCAGGGGAGGACGTCGGAGTCCTTTTATCTAAGCGTCCGAGGTTTTGCGGGGATCGCGATGCCCCCACTAGCAACCCGCGCGGTGATCGATTTGAACTTTAGCAGCGATCGTGTGAGTGGTGGAAATGCTTAGTAACCTTCCATTTTGGGGATGGCCGGATGAATGGGGTAGAAATGCGACGACTACCGAGGATGGGCGACCATGGAAACCGAGTTTTGTTGATCCGACATAGTAAAAGTGGTGATGCTGTGATAGAACTGAAGTGCGGTCCTGGTCTGCCTGCTATAGAAAGAGGAAGGGTTGCTGCAGACTCATATGGAAACTACCTACTTGATGTTGATACAAGTAAAAAAAAAATCCACAAGATACATTCGCTTAAAGCAAAATGCCGGCGCCTCACCCGCACCACATGGGCTAATACACAGTAAATTCTCCAACCGATGCACCCCGGATCCGAGACCATCTTCCAGAACCATCCAGGATATTTACACAGTAATAGTTGCTGAGGGTCAGTGGTTGTGGTACACCGGCGCTCCTCTTACCCACCCCTTCAGCCGACAGCAATGCCACTAGACCTACGTTAGATGCACCGTTCGAAATTCTGCCTTGTTCAGAACTCACAGTATCAGTCTCGGTTTGTTTGTCTCCACCATTCTTTTGATCAACACTCGCATACACGGTCCAGCCCTCTGTTTCCAGAACCTCGAGGAAGACAAGGAGCAGTTCGCGGGCTTTCATGGTTTCTGTGCCTTCTGCGATCCAAGGCCGGCCTACGATTTTGGCCTCGTACACACCAGGAGAGTGCTGATAGTGGTCACTGACACGGTTCCCCAGTCTTGAGATCAGGCCATTGTAGACCTCTGACGGAACTGACATCGCAGTTAGCATTTGTCAACAGGAGCCTCAAATCCTACAATGGGAAGTTACACCCAACGAGATCAAGAGCAACCTACCATCAATAAACTCGATCCGATCCCACATGGAGAAACCAATACAACACCAATCGCACGGCGCAGGCGTCGGAATCTGATGCCGGAAGAGCAGCGTATCCTTATCCGCCGTCTTCTTGCTCACATCCGTGCTCATCATCAACACCCAGCCATGCCCGTGCAGCGCGCCGAGCACGCCACAGATCAACCTGCGCGCCTCTATCGCCGAGTGTCCAGAGCCTCGCCATGGGTACCCGTTGACCTTGATCTCGTGGGATCCTGCATACTCGCGCTCGGCCTGGATGCCTCGCGTCCAGACGCTCTGGATGGTCATTCGGCAGCTGTCGATCACGGGGGTCGGGAAGTGCAGGAAGCGCTGTCGATCTTCCATGTGCATGGATAGAGAGGCGAAATGCGTCCGGAAGGGTGCAGAGGAGCTTTCTGCTGCAGGCACGTACTCTGGAAGGGAGCCCTTTGCCAGCGGGTCGCCGGATGCCTTGGTTGGATCTGGGAGACCTCTCTTCTCCGAGGGCCACATGGTGCGAATGGGCGTGCACCCTAGGGTACTGGAATTCCGATGGATGTTGCTACCTTTTGGCACCAAATGCGAGGAGGAAAAACGGGAGGGAAGAGAGCTGTTGGGGGTGGTGCTGTCTAGTATGACATGTGAGCCTTAGGTTTCCTTGCGATGAGAACGGTTTCCTAAGCGCCTAGAATCAACTGGTTTTTGTGAGCCGTTACTAGGCTTGCGCTGGGAAGGTGAGCAGAGTAGCGCTTACGCCCGTGGGCTAGGCGTTGCAGATATACAGGAGCGGCCTTCGAAGGGGTTTCCCGGCTACACTTGTGTAATAAGAGTTGACAGGACGACAATATCTTGCAGCATGGTTTCGCTGGAAGGCCTGACTGGTTGCTCCTTAGCGCCAAGCGATCCTCTGGGTATGTTCACACCCCGTATACCATACTGTTACGAGGGTTGCTAGCTTGGAAGTCCGTCGGGCGTTCATAGTCACTCTACTGACAATCTCCGACTATCTCTTCTATTTAGATTTGCGCATAAATACAGGCATATTTGCATATTTTAGATAATCTGTAGGTAGGGTAAAATAAAATAGCTTTCTTTTGGGCAGACTTGAAAGAATATAGCGGGGAGAATGAGAGACATCTCAACCTTACTACCATTTTCGGTAACCAGACAAAAGCCTTGCCCAAAAATAATCGCGCAGCCGGGTAACACCTCTGATGATTGTGGCTGAGCGCCGTATAGTCGCCGTACAGCCTCGTCATCAAGCAGGTTTCCGTCAGCTAAACAGCCTCACGTCCTCTTGTTTCTGGACAAATACCTTACATTGGCAATGTTAAAACTATTGGCCGATTTTATATCAATTCTTGCTGCCAGCGGGTGCCATGGCAATCATCATCCATGTTGTGACAAAATCTATCTACCCTAGGGTAGCATCTCAGTGACCCGAGAGACCGCTGAAAGCCGACATTACCCTTCACAGCCGTGTCGCAATTGACCGCCTTATGGGGATCGATGGCGAGCTCCGAGAACCCTGGGGAAGTATGACCAACGACCTAGATGAAGACCCCACATCACCAAGTCGTCATGGACCTTGACGTATTGCAAAGTGCTGTCAGCTCCTCAGGAGTAGGTTTGGAATGCTCATATTCCAGGCAGAGACAGTGGCCCCGGAAATATGGTGTTTTCCTCCTGGCATAACCACTTGTATGAGAAGTGATGTACATCCATTCATCAGTGGGCAGATGCCGTCACATTTTCTTCAATCTTCTCCCGCTCTACTCTAACGGTCATTCACGTTGGATATTAGGACGACTTATGCGGAAGCACGGCTAACGGCTGATACCGCGGCTCCCCACTCAACGACCCAACAGCCACAGCAATTCTTCTCCCTTCCCCATCGACTACCCACTTGATAGGGCCGGGCGGCAGCATACCTGGTGGTTGCGATGGCCACTCCAGCTGTTCACAAATACCTGAATCCAACTTCGGCACCGTACCATGTTGAAATGGGAACTCTCCACCGTGCCCTTTCGGGATATTTGCGAGGTCGATGGAGGCAGTCAGGCGTGGTAGAACCTCGTTCTTGGTTGATATAACAAGTTTCTCTGCTGTTCGCAGATCCACCCATTTTTTCAGTAAGTTCCAAATTGTGCCGAAGTAGGAGGGGGCGTTGAGGACCTTGGTTCTGAGTGTCAGAATGGATGGCAATGGGATTTTGAGGGTTTACAGTAGCACTTACATAAACTGTGTCAACAACTTCGGGAAAGCTGGTTGCTAACAGCTTGCTAATGTCCTGAGCGTAGTTTCTCAGCTCTAACGCCTGCTTGAGCCCGAACGAGGAAACATCCACGAGGTACACTGCGCTTGACACGGGGATATGTGGATCGGGTCGGTCACGCATCGAGGTACATAGCGGTAAGACGAAGCGTGTTAGCGTCTCGTGAAATGCTATGGCTCGTTGCACTGAATTTGGTTTTGCTGGCGTCTTCAACGGGGCCCCTGTCGAAAGTGGCATATCGCGCGTCTTCTTGTAATCTGCCATCGTCTCGCGATTGAGACAAGCGACGTCGAACATGCAGATAGGCTGGCCGCGTTTGTCTCGGCAGCCGCTCCAGTGAGGGTACTATTCCTTTTGTATAAGTATTCATTTCCTTAGATCTTTTGCACAGGTCTTGCTTCACTGACAAGTTTCCGTGTTGCTTCATAGTCTGACACGTCGATGTTGTTGTATACTGAGATGTGGCTTGCTGAGTTACGTATTTCGACGGCTTCTTTGAACTGTTCAAACGCCGCTTGCGCGTCTCCTCTGCGCGCGGTGAAGAACCGTCTGGCAGGCAGATGTTAGTGGGCTGTAGAAAATAATCGCTAAAGAACCTGTACCTCAGTGTGACTTCATCATTCAATCCGTCGCATACATCTTCTGTGGCAAGCTCATTTGGCCGCTGTAAGAGACCACTGGCCTCGCACAGGTGCACGAATTCGGTAAATCTTGTGGCCTCGCACTCAGTTGGCGCAACGGACATTTTTGGTTGGTATGGAGAGAATGACGTTCGAAAAAAATGGTTTCAATCAAGTATATCCACGGGGAAGATAGGAATCCTGGGGAAGTGTTTTTCGGCCTCTCGACATACGTGACGGATCTGCTGTAGGAATTTTTGAGTTTTCGGGTCATCCAGCAGATGCGCGCCTTGTGTAGATCATGCACGATCTGCGTGAGCATCTTGAATTTATAAATGATGCTTAAGGTGCACTCAACGCCAAAGTTTTCGTGTTCACAGCTCGGCGTTCAAGGAAAAACTCTAGCGATCTGCGGAGCGCGGCGCTTAGTCGAGCCACGCTTCTCCAAATTCGCTCTAAAATGCCGAAACGAACATAGCTATTCTCTACTGGGACGACTTATGATCTCATATCTACGACAGTGCAGAATCTAGATACCTGAATCGTCGAATGCCTTGTTGTGTTGCCCATTTCTTTGGGCGAACATGGGAAAGTTGATCGCCATGTGTCCATTTTGGTATTTGCGCCACCAAAATATCTGGGATAAACCGGGTTGCAGGTTCATCGCGATCAGAGGAGAGACATCTGGAGTCAAAGGGGCCGGGGTAGAGCATATGGCCTCTGTGAGTGTTTTCGAGAGCGGGCAAACGGCTCTTCGGTCTTCGTCTTCAGAAATTGAATGTGATGATTTGATCTAGTTAAAGATGGAAAGCATCAGGTAGCACATCTATGCGCTCTTGTTTGGTAAATCGCGACTTAGTTCACACTTTCGTTGGATTTTCCGACCTTGAGCTGTGTTCGGGTATGGGAATTCCAAGTCCAAAGTTCGATTCGACCCACTGTGCGAGCCAGTGGATTCTCAGATCAAATCATCTGCTTATCCGGACTAGCTCTATTGTCGATATTGAAGCTTGCGCGTAACGATGGAGGTTATGACTTCATCCTCCTGTCCAGTCGATAGGATGGCCTATCATGCCATTGCAAAGAAAGTTATAAGAACAGTGAAGATAGATATGAACAGTGCTGGAATTACGCACAATTTTCATCCTCATAGAAGCGCATACCGATTACCTCGGGTACAAATATACAATTTTGAATGGGAACTTCAGACTTCTCCACCAAAATGGATGCACAGAGCCGTTCAAGTCAGTGGGATGACGTCACATCCTATCCAGTGGACCTTTCTCAGTACGACACACATGGGCTCTGCAAAAACTACACGTTAAGGAGACACAAGTTCGAGGGCGAAGCCAATGTAGGATGCCAGGAAGCAAGGCGAGACTGGATCGAATACATCGGACCAGTTGAACAATTCGGCAACTGCAACCCCATCAATGGCAACTTTACTGCAGTGGTTTTTCCGCTATGCTTACCGGAACGAATACGCATGGTCGCATATGTTGTTGAGTGTGAGTGAGCTTTGGAAATATCACGGTATCGAGTTTGCTGACATGCCCAGATGCGTTTCTCTATGATAACATAGTAGAAACAATACGTCCAGTATGTGCCATCCTCACTTCTTTTCACTCCATCCTCCGGCTAATAATATGCAGTCAAATGGCAAAGATCATGAGCCAACTTGGAAGAACGGACCTCACAAAACGAACCCGGCCTTGGGCAAAAAGCAAATCGAGGCAAAAATGATGCTGAAACTTGCATCGACCGACGCAGCATGCACCGAACGTCTCATGCGTGTGTGGAAAGAAATGTTGTCAACCACTGTACGGGACCAAAACAAGCATTTCGCTTCGCTGGAGGAATATGTTGACTTCCGTATCATAGATACTGGAGCTCTGTAAGTATACCAAGCTGCATATTTTGGCCTATTGTTTAACTTCCCACTAGTTGGACTGAAGCCATAATGTTGTGGGGCATGGGCATGCAACTGACCCCGGAAGAAGATCAGCAGCTTGCACCCGTAGTTCAACCCTGCTATGCAGCCCTCGGTCTGGCCAATGACTACTTCTCTTTCGACCGGGAATATGCAGAATTCAAAGAGTCTGGAGCAGACACTCTGACAAACTCGGTGTGGCTGCACATGCGGTGGCATGGAGTGGACGTGGAGACTGCAAAAGATATGGTGAAGAAAGCGACAAGTTCCTACGAGCAAAAGTTTCTTCAACGTATTGAAGAGCTCAAGCGTACCCACGGGCCCATATCCGAAAAGCTGGATCGATATCTTCGGGCTCTCTCGTACAAGGTCAGTGGCAATATAGTGTGGAGCCTCAATTGTCCCCGGTACCACCCAGAATTCCGATACGATGCCAATGCTGGTCTGGAAAATCTCTTGACGGCGAAACATTTACCTGCCGCTGGGAATGTGGAGCGCAGTGTTGAAGTGCCTCATAACGGTGGACTGTCCGAAAGAAGGGATTCATCAGATACAGTGTCGACTTTTTCCGACGGGTCAGACACATCAGCAGGGGATGCTGCATCGACTGCATCCTCGTTTTCTTCGCATATTTCACATACTGAGCGCAAACCGTCTGAATCATTCGAGCTGTCGAAAGAGATATATCTTAGTTCAAAGGTAAGGAAGAATAAACTGTTCAGGATGTATCACTAACCAAATAATAGCACGTCGAAGCGCCTTACGAATACATCACCTCGCTTCCTTCGAAAGGCGTTCGAGACGCGTTTATCGACGCTTTGAATATTTGGTTAGATGTGCCAGAACCAGCAGTCGCCAAAATCAAGAAAGTCGCCAACAAGCTGCATTCAGCATCTTTGATGTGAGTCGCACGTTTACAAGTTCCGCTAGAGTACTCATGCTTACGGTTCTCATTCAGGCTCGATGACATAGAAGACAGTTCCGAATTGCGCCGCGGCAAGCCTTCTACACATACTGTCTTCGGTGTCGCGCAAACTATCAATTCCGCAAACTATGCAATTATCGAAGCTGCAAAAGATGCAGGGGAAATATGTCCAGATGGTACGAACATAGTTCTTGGTATGTTTCAGCTAAATCGATCTACTGATTAACAGGCTCACTCACTTCTCGTAGGGGACCTGCTTGACCTTCATGTTGGGCAGAGCTATGACCTTTGCTGGACGAGACATGGAAGTTGTCCATCGGAGGATGAGTACGTTGAGATGGTCACAAAGAGTACGTCTTTGTCCTGACTAAGAGAACTTGGACTGATGAAACTAGAAACTGGCGGCTTGTTCCGGCTAATCACGCGACTCATGTTGAGCAGTGGTTCTGGAAGGAAGTAGGTCGTCAACACCTTCAGAAAGCCCATGGTCTCTAACGTAAACCAGAACCGGAGTAGATATTGAAAAATTTGTGGAGCTAATAGGAATCCATTTCCAAATCCGCGACGACTACCAGAACCTTCAATCCGCAGAGGCAAGTCCAAGCCTCTCTCCTCTATCTCACTCTACGACTAACTCTCCCTTCACACAGTACTCCAGCCGAAAGGGATTCTGCGAAGATCTAGACGAAGGCAAATTCTCCTTCCCTCTGGTCCATTTGTGGAATTCGAATCCGGATGACTTGCAGATACGTGAGATTTTCCAGCAAAGGAGAGATCGGGGTGGATTATCGAAGCCTCATAAAGAGATTGTTTTGGAGCGGTTGAAAGCTTCTGGGAGCTTGGAATATACGCGGAAAACGCTGGAACGGCTGCAAGGACAGACTGAGGTGGATGTTGGAAGATTGGAAGCGGAGATGGGGAGGGAGAATTGGGTGATTAGATTGCTGCTGAATAAGTTATGGATTTAGCTGGATACGTATCCGTTGGTTGTACTCGATCTACCAAGTCTTGTTTTCAATCTTATTACTATAGTTCTAGTTCAACATATCGAGATCAACTACTACGACCTGGCCTACGATTCGCCTAAACTAGATGACAGCTGTAGAGCTAGTCTGCAGACCCAACGTCCATCCCCGAAATTGTAATAAAGTCGGCTTTTCAGGGTATCATGGCGCTTAGTGAGGTGCACATAAATGCGTTTCTATCACCAGGCTAGAAAAATTATAACGGCATCTATCGATGGGCTAAGCATTAGAGAAGCCGATATATCATAGTTTATCGTCGCCGCACCTAACGTTATACTATTGTGCCCACATAAGCAGGACAAATGGACGTAGTCATAGTGCACGCGACTTTTTCATTTACTCTTTGTGGTACGATGGGACAAAACCTTGGAAACAGGATGAATATTCAGAGGTGTTGGACCTCCGTAAGTTATACGGAAAGGTCCTAACTAAGCAGCTAATCACGTGCTATGTACAGTGCTAAATAATCTATGGGAATCACCACAACCGGGGACGCAATTTGTCACGCAAACGCGGAAAGTACGAGGGCGTGCCCCCACAGCCACCACACGTGGCCATGTTCCCCAGTAACTGCATGCCAAGGTCAGATTGCACATCTATTTTCCGGATCCGCTGATATGTAGGTGTCTCTCTACCTTTGCAACCTCCACATCTCGATAACTTTTCCCCATGAATATTTCTCTGACAAAATGCCAGTTACCTTCGGCTCTGTCGGCGACATAATCGCCGTATGTCTCCTCGTCAAAGACCTCATCTCCGCACTCGAAAAGTCCCAAGGCTCTAAGGCCGAATACCAAGGCCTCGTGCAAGAGTTATCAATTCTCGAGAGATGCTTTTTAGAAGTGGAGTCATTCACGCGACGCCAATCGAACAATGCGACGCTAGAGCTCCAGGCGCTGTGCGAGACGACGAAGATAGCACTCGAAAGGTGTAGAGAGATAGTGAACGAGTTTCGAGGGCATCTTCAGAAGTACGAACGAGGGTTCTCTGGTCAGGGAACCGGGTCGGGGAAGCTGGAGTCGATGAAAGCGACGTGTAAAGACACGGTGCTCAAGATGCGATGGCGTATCAACGAGGGCGACGTCGTTGAGAGATTTCGGGCAGAGGTTGTGGCAATGAGTTCCAGTTTGCAGATCCTCCTAACCAGCGCGAGCGTGTGAGTGCATTCATCGGATTAGCAATGCTCGGCGACTGATGTTTCAATCCAGCAAACTATTGGATGTTAAAGAGCGGAATGTCAAGGAGCATATAACCGATACCATGCGGGCGCATGACGCCAAACAGGACACCACTCTCCTCGCCATCGACCAAAAAGTCTCTCAGAACAACCGAATTGTCCAACAAAATCTTTCCATGACTAGCAGCATTGCACAAGCCCTTAGATTAAGTTGGCTCCGCCACCTTCCAGCTGAACTAAAAACTCTCATGAGCCGCATCGTCACGATGCATATGGAAACATACCAAGCAATCCTCAGAATCCATTCTTTGCTTCTGTCGGGTGCTCCGGAAAAATCACTCATCGAAGAACCCTTCATTCTGGAAGATGCAATTGGCCGCGTAGCGCCGGTGCATCTGCAATTCATCACCTCTTGGGACGCATTCGAAGCTGTGCTCGAGTCAAGGTTCAAGAATATGCCGGGTTCCAACAAGGTATGCAGCAAACTGTATCAGTTACAAGAAGCTGGCACTGGCCGGGAGATTGATAAGAGGCGTCCCTGGCAGCGAGCATTCCGACCGGGTCAGAGAGTGAATATGAGCTTACTCTTTGAAAGCGCGCTTAATGAACAAGATTGGATGAGTACTTGCCCTGGATGTCGTGCAACTTCTGCCAATGCCCTCGATGCAGAGGTTCATTGCAACAGTTGCGGCATGTGGTTCCGGCGCATCGCTGAGCTGGAATGTGGCCACCGAGGAGGAGTCCAAGGTTCCTCACCAGGGAAAGGAACTGCCAACCCGAAGATCGGCACGAAGCGACCATTGGAGCCAACGAGTGAAGAAGATGATATCCGAAATTTCAAACGCGTCAGGCTCCTGGACTGTAAAGTCGCCATATTGCGCAAGGCGCTGGCAACGGCAAACTTTGCCGTCGCCGAGGATAGAAAATCAAATTTTCATGGTGCTATCGAAGCTTATGGCGAGGTGTGCAACCTGCTGGGCAGCATTCACCTCTCTGCATCCGCAGGTGACAGCGGCGACCTACGTACCATAGTAAGTGTTGAAACTCAGCACCTCATGCCCCCGATGTGCCACCGGTTAAGAGTGATACTCTTACTTACCTCCGACTGAAACACTAATATTAAGCAGGTAAACGGATACTCCAATCGTATCAAGGAACTTAAGTCTCTTTAGCTACCCTGCTACATCTGTAGAAGTCACGAGACTAGACCTCAATATGAAAAAAAAAAAAAGAATTTATAGACGCAGTAGCACTTGAACCAACGCCGTCTAAATGGCAAAAAGGTCGAGCAACCGAATCAATGCAATTCCTGCGCGACTCTGCCTTATAAGCTACTAGACCTTTCTCGCTATCCTGTACTCAGGGCGATGATTATAGAAATAACTCTAATTTATATAGTAAATACATTAAATGCAGTTTTAAAATAACAGACACGAGGCTTTTTTTCTTCATATTTAAGGTTGTCCCGTGGCTACTGAGACATAGCTTGTAGTAATTCCCGTAGATTACTTAGCACTGTACATAGCACGTAACTAGATGCTTTGTTAGGACCTTTCTATATAACTTGCAGAGGTCCAACACCTCTGAATATTCATGCTGTTTTTGTCCTATCGTACTACAAGCTAAAGGCATCTGAGTTCCCCGATACGATTAGAATATTCTCTTACTTGCTTAATATTACAATTGCAGTCGGAGGTGAGAGTATCACTCTCAACGCTACGCTGTGTTCGGCACATGAAGATTCCAAAAAATGAAAATCATAGGCCACAGTAGGACTCGAACCAGGGCCCCCCAAATGGCAATAAAAAGGTCGACCGCGCCGAATCGGGTGCAGTACTGCGTGACTCTGTGCTTTTTGGAAGCCGATAGACCTTTTTCGCTATCCTGTACTCAGGGCGAAAGTAAGGGAAATAATTATAACTTATATACGAGAAATATGATGAAGTGTAATTGCGGAGATCACGGACATGAGGGATTTGCACGTGCCGAAGACAAACGCAGGAAAGTGGCAGCGGCGTTTAGGGCGAATGGCAGATGTTGGAGCAGATATGGATTCTGATTGTCAGAAGTTGGTACACCTCACTGTATCTACGGTCGGGACATGAGGGAGAACTCCGCCAGAATATATAGCTTCTTCCCCGCTGCCTTCCACTACAGTACTCAAGATGATGCTTCCTAGCTAGCTACGGTAGTCTGGAGTGGGCTGTCCCTAATAGCTTAAGTGAAAGTCTTCTCTTGTCGAGAGGCAGTAGAGCTAGCTATATTGAAACGCAGCAGGACGCCCAGCAGTGCGACCATTAAGGCAATCTCTAGTGACCAACCATCACTGTGGTGCCGATTCATCTGACAGACGACTGAATGCCTAGATGCGATTCATATCCTGAAAATTTAAACATATGATCACATGCCTGCAGCGCTGTGTGCTATACACCACAACTTCCACACACGCACACGACATCACCAAACAATCAAACATCTCCAACAGCAAAACAAACCCTCTCAACAACACCATTGATTCAATATTGATTTGGTTTCTCCCCCGCAGCCCCATTATTCCAAGGGACCGGGTCCAGACAGATACGTAGATAGACAGGAAGGCTAATGGAGAGTACATGGCGGGGGCAGGGCATGATCGTAATATGTAAACGTGGGGCGAAGAAAGCAAGGAAACGAGAACAGCTACAGCTACCAGCTGAGCGGTGAAATAGGTACGGGGTAGTGTCCGGCCAACGGTATCCTTATCGACACTCATGGACCGAAGATGAGAACGTGGTATAAGGTGGTATGGTGTAGGGCAGTGCAGCGGATGTGTAATGCTCGAACGAAGAGAGAAATGGGGAAACGCCGCCCAAAAAATCCCCAGCCCAAATTCGCAGTCCTAACCGCGCCGGAATACTAATACAGTGGCTCTCGCCGGGTGAGTCTATGAAGGAAAATCTCTCGCACCTGGACCTGCGCCAACACAGACGCAAGCCTATATCCAGCCATTCGGCGGCGGACTGCTCGCCATTGTTCCCGCTATTCGCCCGCCTGTCGGGGAACGTGCGAGGGGTGATCGTGTTGCAGACTGCGGCGTAGCTGCTGGAGATCTATGCGAATTCGCCTGCGCTGGAGGGGGCGAGATGGGATTCATTCGCAGACCGCTTATGCCCTGGGAGGGTTTGGTGGGAAGCCCTCGCGCCGCGGGAGGAGAGTTGGGCCGTGCTGAGCGAGGTGTGGGAGGGAGAACCTTTGACCGCCGCGCTGCGGAATATGTGGCGCTGGTCAATATTGGGAGGGTCGGTGCCTGGCTAGACGGTACGGTCGGTGGAGGCGGCTGTGGAAAAGCTAAGCCGTTAAGCTCGTCGGCAGGTGTTGCGGAGGACGAATTGGACGTGGACGACGGAGCCTGAATGGGTAGACCTAGAGTTTCTACGCTGGAATCCGACTCCTCTCGTCGTAAAGGCGACGTCCGCTTTTCTGTGGCGTCAACTTGCCGGTTCATCGCTGTGCACTTGGCTGCTGCGAGGGTCGCGGGTGCCACGGAGAACCGGAGTCCGATTTGAACTGTCGCGCTGCTGTCAGTGCTCATGTCACGGCGATGGCGACCGGAAAAGAGTGAAGGGGGCTTGGTGAAGAAGTTGAACGAGTTGTTGAACACCTCGCTAATGTCAGTCACAGACTTCGTGTCTCCTAGAGAACTGCGGCGGGTCTGGCGACGGAGTGCGAGCTTGGAGGCGCGGTTCGCTGCTCCAGGCTTGGGTGGGGTGTAGACAGTCGCCGGCAGTCGCGGGATGTCCTCCGCTCTGGTTGGGAAAAGAGAGTAGGAGGATTTGGTCCGCTTGTGCGGACCGGACATGGAGTCGTGCGCGCCCTGCAGTTCGTTGACTGGTGCGGGGTCAGGTGGAAGTGGCCATTTGGTAGGATCCACTGAACCGAAAGACTTCATCGAACCCGGGCTGAGAGGTTTCTCCGGCCTCTCAAAGTATGCAGGATCAAACTCGTACCGATTTTTTTCGGGACCCACGTCGATGAGGCCTTGCCGGCTATCGGGACGTCCACCTTGCAGGGCGAGCGGGCCGCTGATGTTCATTTCCAGGTCGCTTGGACCAAAGAGCCGGATTCTGGGACGCTTTTTCTTTGTGGAGGGATACGAGGGTCCGTTGTTGATTGGGTTAATGACCATGCGAGTCGCGTTTGCGCGAAGGAGGAGGTGGAAGAAACCGATAAGTATCCCGTATGTGAAGAGAGCCACTTCTGCGATTCTCGACGTCGTGAGGGTATTGTTGAAGTCTTTACGATGAGCCTGGACCTCTACCGGGATGACGAGCGACTGGTTTTGACGTTAGCATGCTTCTCGCGCTACGCTAAATAAACTCACATAGACAACCGCGGCCATGACAAGGTAGTAGCACATCCTCGATGCGGCAATCCGCTCGTTTGGATCCACATTCGAGGTTCGCATTAGCTGAGTGCTAATCAAAGCCGCTAAAACGAGCAAGCAGAAGACCAAGATGCTGAGAATGGCGATAGCAATGGTCTCATAACGAACTGAAAACCAAATCAGGCTTCCAAGGCATCTGTTGTACATTGGCCAGGCCACCGTCGGTATCCAAGTTATGAGGGTCAGAAACGCCACTACGGCTATGCAGCTCGAGGTCGCCCACTTTCCTCGGGGCGCGAATCGCTCACGCTTGAAAGCCCGCAACGCGATTTCGAAACCAAAGGCCAAATTAATGTATCCGGTGAGGAAGATTGCTACGAGTGTTAGTTCAATCCTGCAAGAGGGCTGGTCAAGCATACCTGGAAAGGTAACCATGGCGATTCCTCGACACCGGTTGGAGAGTATTTTATGGAGGGATGTGGCCTGCACTGATACAAAGATTATTTGTTGTATAGCCGCACCGCAAGCCAGTACGAGCGGGAAGATCTCGGCGGGATGGACGCTTTGGAGGAACTTGAGGCGGCTGAGCGCGGGTCAGTACGGAATCGCTCAATGTGGCCGAATGCTTACGTCTTTCGCAGAGGGACATGCAGTTTGGCCACTCTCCGAGCATCTTGGATGATGAGTTTGATGGTCAACAACGCGACGGCCAGACTGAAGCAGCCCACTGTCAGGTGCATCGTCCGCAAAGTCTGCACCTGTTGCAGCTTGAGCTCAAATATGAGATTCTGTCTTGTAGTCCAGGGCTCCTCTCGAACGGCCGATGCGTTGAGCGTCATATTGAAGTGTGCCCGAGCCTCGAGCTGGAGGAATTGAGGCACCCATCCTCCCATCGTGGTAGATACCGTGAAGAACTATAAAGAAGAGACGAGTCTCGCTGGTGACCAGCACGGCTAAAAGAATGAGTCTAGGAATTCATGGAGACGAAAGAACGACTGAGGATGAACAAGAGAGCGTCGCCTGTCCAGCTCCAGTCAAATGTTGCCTGAACCTGCCAGCAGTGAGAAAGTATGGGGAAAAAGAGCGTGGGCATGAAGCGATGTGCCAGGAGACCGGTATGAGACGTCAAATCGTATATGAGGAGGTCATGTTTAGCAATGAGAAGCGCACGGTTTCGAGACAGCGGTCCTGAGGCGCCAGTTATTCCCTTCAGCGAAGGGTCCGCAGCGGCAGGGACCATAATCGGTCATACTGGAGGCCGTTACGAAATACGCTAGGACGATATGAGGTTTCAACATCATGCAGGCCGTAGTCTAGGCAGCGGAAAGAGCATACCCGTTCAACCACCACGGCGCCGAGGCCCTCTCAACCGCAACGAAAACGTGAGATTGGCCGTGCTTAGCGACGCGAACTACTATTAGCAACAAGCCGGCCTTCCACGACGAAAGAAAAACTCGACAGAAGATGGCTCTAGACACGGCACAGGTATTCCACTTCACCTTTACACATAGCTCATGACCAGATCGATTCCTCAAAAACGAAAGGTTTCGTTTCCTGTGCTGGGCAAGACAGGATCCCCCTACCATTCTCCTTGGACTCCGTGGCGGAGCTTCATGGTACGAGGAGAACTGCTCGTAGTGGTGAGGTGGGGGGCTGGATGGGGGTTGAGATCAGACGGTTGATGGATGAGGTGTGCCGCAGATCCTCGCTTCGGGGGTCTCTGAGACACGACCACCTCCAGATTCCCACCTCGGGGTTTTCCGAGTCGCCGTGACGAACGGGGATGCCTGAGGGGCGACCTTGGGACCTTAGGATAGCCACGCATAAGAGAGGTGAGGGACGGATCTAGGGAGGGAGAGGGAAGGTTGTCGACCGCATGGCATGAGGTTGAAATAGACACTGAGCTAACTCGGAAGAGGGAAGCGCTAAGCCCTTTTGGTCTAAGCAAGCGAGGAGAATGAATCACTGAAAGATGTCTCCAGGGCTCTGTTGATCGATTGGCGTCGTCTTTTTATGAACAGTGGTTAGTAGATACATGGCTGGCATGCCTGGAGGCGTTTTGAGGGCAGATTGAATCCATACAAAAGGCTTTTGCCTGTTTGGCTCGGCCCCCTTTCGAACACCTACGCATAGAACGCCACACAAGAGAGGACGGAGTGTCAATGCATTCAAAGGCGCCTACGAAAAGGCGGGTAGGTGTGCCACTTGCCTTCTCAACCTCCGTTCTAGTAGACACCCTGAGCATACTCAAGGCGTCTTTGGGGGCGTCATGGGCACAGTTGAGCAGATGGAAGTGAACGTACAAAACCAAGAGTCACTAACCCGATGGCTGCTGGGGTGAAGCCACTTGCGCACACTGGTTGCTTTTAACGCCCCTCTTCTAACTTGTCGCGTCTCACGTTGCTTCCGTCATGGTTCCGGAACCTGAGCCGGACCCTCTTGACCCCGCGTGGCGCCTGGGTAGTAGGACTTGATCGCCCCAAGGATACGGTGAGAGCAGTTCAAGCCACACGAAGTAGTGTGACCGGAGCGCTTTTCCAGAACGCTCGCCTGCGCCGGTCCAGTCAACCCGGACGTTCCAGCCTTTGGTCGAGCGGTTGATCAGTGCTGTACCAATTTCGGACCTTTTCGAAGGACCTCGTCAAGTTTGTCGTCTGCACACATGTGGGCAAATGGGAGATGGAAAATCTGATAAGACAGGTGTATTTGGTCGAATAAGGTCGACTAGAGCGTCTGGCTCAATGCCGGAGGGTATCATGTTGAATGAGGCTTCAGAGAAGCAGGGTGCGCCATAGCGTAGGACAATGAGCGGATGTGACGAGAAGCTTTTGAATTTGTGAACGCATGTTCCTAGGAACTGCAGACCGCCACCTATCATGCCATTATGCTGTGGCATACTCCTCCAGGTAAGCAACCAGCCGCTTTGCACCCTCAAGGGAGACCGCATTATCTGTAGCACAAAAATAAGTTAGCGAGGTGTGTTCAGAGTGGTCAGTATGTTCGAGCATGATCCCGTTCGGATCGGATGAGATGCGTCCAAGAAGCTTGCATGGAGTGGGGGGTACAGGACCCTTTCCGAGCGGCCTGCACATATAACATGCAGAGGTACCTGTACAATGCATCGGCGCGCATCTTGTCCTACGTCCGCCGCATTATCAGAGCAGATTATAGGGTACTTACAATTACTTGCCCGTATACCACCCACGCTGCGATGCCCCTTCAAGCCTAATAGGCCCTTCTTCTCAGCTCCCGCAAGGAAAGCCTTCTCCTTGTCAGCATCACCACCATGCACCCTAAAGCAAATGTTCATCCTGCTACGGACGCTCTTGTCCGGAACCACCCGGTACACGTCCGGATACTTGTCAAGGGCACCATAGATGAGGCGAGCCTTCTCATTAGAGATCTCCTCCTGACCGCCAATCCTCTTGATACCATAGGTATTCACTAGGCCAGCCATGACCTGGCCAGCCACCCACACGTCGAATATGGGCAGGGTGTTGTAGAGCGAGTTGTTCTTCGCGATTGTCGGATAGTCCAAGACGATGGGGCCCACCGGGAGGTTGAGCTCCCTCAACAGCTCGGGCGAGGCATGCTGAGACTGCGGTGGGAGTAGTGACTTGCGAATTATGACGATTGCGATGCCGGTATTGCCAATATTCTTCTGGGCGCCGCCAAAGATGATGGCATACTTTCGCACGTCCACTTTGCGGGAAATGAAGTTGGACGACATGTCGGCGCAAACGAGAGGGGCATCCTCTCCCTCCAGGCTCTTGGGGAAGGCTGGGAACTCGACGCCGTCCACGGTCTCGTTGTCGCAAAAGTACACAAAGGCAGGCCCTCCATTCTTTCGAGGAGTGAGATTCCATTCGCTCTCGGGAGGGATTTTGCCAAACTTTCCGTCATTGGCCTTGCGAGCATCCAGCGCGACATTGACGTGCTTGGAGCCGACCAGACGGGCAGCTTCCTCCGAGGCCTTCTTCGACCAGGAGCCGGTGACGAGATAGTCGAGCTTCAACTCCTCGTCGACCACCTTGCGCAGGCGCTTCAAGACCTCGTCCTTGTTGTCTCCCACCTCGTTTGCAATCTCTGCCCGCTTCTTCTCAACCCATACAGAGACCAGGTTGTATACCGTGGCACTGAACTCGCCGCTTCCACCGCTCTGGAGGAAGAGGATGTCGTAGTCATCGGGAATGTCGAGGAGTGTCGAGAGGGCTTGTTTGGTGTCGGCGAGGATTTCGTTAGCCTCAGGCGATCTATGGGAGATTTCGCAGAGGCCAATTCCTTTGTCCTTGTAGTTGAGGAGTACCTGGGAGGCCTTCTCTAAGACTGCGGTGGGGAGGGGTGCGGGGCCAGCTCCAAAGTAATGGACATCTGAACGGTTAACCATCTTGACTGGACAGCTCGGAAAAAGTGCCAATTCAAGCAGCTTGATGTGCAAGTGGATGGGGTTTTTTTTGTTCTTGAATTTATCAAGGGTCTTGTTCGGAGAGAGTTTGCAAAACCGCCGTGACTACGCCTTTGAATGACTCCTCTACTATAATCCTGGAGGGGCCGACATTTCACCAGCAACCCGCCCCTCCCGATTTCGGATCGAAGCCCATATTCCAGTCCGATGCGACATGTCGTAAAAAGCAATGTATAGGCGCGTGCACATTTCCTGTCGCTGCACATGATCTCTCTCCAAGCTGAAGTGAATTGCAAACAGACCGGAGTACTCTTTGCGAGTTGTCCCATCTCGTCCAATCGCAGCCCCTGCATTCTGATGACCGCCCGAAGTCGGCACAGAGCTTAGTCAGCAGGAAACTTTCAGACCTCAACACCATTTACTGAGTCGAATGGGTGCATCACCAGTTGCCTGTTCCGACAATCATGGCCATGTCACTGCGAGCCGCGAGGCTTCTGGGCCGGAGACAAATCTTGGTAAGTTGCCAATTCCCCTACGGCCTCCAAATTGCCTTGTCGTTCGGTTCTAATATCTGGGTTTTGTGCAGGCGCCACTCAGTCGACCTCTATGCGCCTCGGCCCAATTCCCGCGCAGCAGTGCTGTGCACCGGGCCTTCAGCACCTCCACGCCCTGGAGAAAGGAGGCTGCTGCCGCCGCTGATGTTTTCCCGTCCATGAAAGAGGGCCCCGCGGCCAATTTCCTCTCCGCTCTTCAGCAAAAATCGGCCAAGACCCCCCAGACACTCACTGAGAAGATTGTACAACGGTATGCTGTTGGCGTCCCCGAAGGCAAGGTCCTGCGATCCGGCGACTATGTCACACTGCAACCCCACAAGTGCATGACGCATGATAATTCATGGCCCGTCGCCCTCAAGTTCATGTCCATTGGCGCCACCAAGATCAACGACCCTTCGCAGATTGTCATGACGCTTGACCACGATGTGCAGAACAAGTCTGAGAAGAATCTGAAGAAGTACAACCAAATCGAGGAGTTTGCCAAGAGCCAGGGAGTCGTCTTCTATCCTGCTGGGCGCGGTATTGGACATCAGATCATGGTGGAAGAAGGCTACGCATGGCCAGGTACTCTTGCCGTGGCTTCGGACAGTCACTCGAACATGTATGGTGGTATTGGATGCTTGGGAACTCCGGTTGTGCGGACGGATGCCGCAAGCATCTGGGCCACTGGCAAGACTTGGTGGCAGATTCCTCCGGTCGCAAAGGTCAATCTCAGAGGAACACTGCCCAAAGGTGTGACTGGAAAAGACGTCATTGTAGCATTGGCCGGCTTGTTCAATAAGGACGAGGTATTGAACCACGCCATTGAGTTCACTGGAAGCGACGAAACACTCCGTAGCATCTCCGTTGATGACCGTCTGGCCATTGCGAACATGACGACCGAGTGGGGTGCTTTGACTGGACTGTTTCCCATCGACTCCGTTCTCCACGGCTGGTTGAGGATGAAGGCCACTGATGCAGCCATGTTTGGCGGCAAGAGCGATTACAAGGACTTGCATGAGAAGCAGTTTCTGCACAAGCGCATCGACGAGCTCTTTGTGGACACTGGAATCTCGGGGCGCCAGACGGGACCCATTTTCCAGCCTGCCCTGTCCGCTGACAAGGGAGCTGTTTATGCAAAGGAGCTGTTCCTCGACTTGTCCACGCTCTCACCCTACGTCTCTGGTCCCAACTCGGTCAAGGTCGCAACTCCACTCCCCGAGCTCGAAAGCCAGGACATCAAGATCAACAAGGCGTACCTCGTCTCTTGCACAAACTCGCGCGCGTCGGACATTGCAGCTGCTGCCAAAGTCTTCAAGGATGCCGCTGCAGCAAATGGAGGAAAGATTCCCCAAATTGCGGACAACGTCAAGTTCTACATTGCTGCTGCGTCCATTCCTGAGCAACGCGTCGCCGAAGAACAAGGCGACTGGCAGACACTCCTCGATGCGGGTGCGCAACCCCTTCCTTCTGGATGCGGTCCGTGTATCGGTCTAGGCACTGGTCTGTTGGAACCTGGAGAGGTCGGTATCAGTGCCAGCAACCGCAACTTCAAGGGCCGTATGGGCTCTCCCGATGCAAAGGCCTATCTGGCGAGCCCTGAAGTCGTAGCCGCAAGCGCCCTGTCCGGGAAGATCTCCGGACCAGGATGGTACGAGGCGCCCGCCAACTACGCTGGCGTTCGCCGCGGCGAGGGCGACGGCATCCCCGAGGAAGACCGCATGATGACCATTGAAGGACTGCTAGAGAAGGTGATTAGCCAGGCCGAGTCTATGATTGAATCGGCTGAGAAGGAGTCGTCCTCAACACCCCAGTCGGCCAATCCTTCAAACACAGATTCCGAGACTCTCACCGAAGTCCTCCCCGGCTTCCCCGAGAAGATCAGCGGCGAAATCGTCTTCTGCGACGCCGACAACATCAACACCGACGGCATCTACCCGGGCAAGTACACGTACCAGGACGACGTCTCGCGCGACAAAATGGCCGAAGTCTGCATGGAGAACTACGATCCGAGTTTCGGCTCCGTCGCCAAAGCGGGCGATATCCTCGTGTCTGGATTCAACTTTGGCTGCGGCAGCAGTCGCGAGCAGGCTGCTACGGCGATCCTGGCCAAGGGCATCCCGCTCGTGGTGGCGGGCAGCTTCGGCAACATTTTCAGCAGGAATAGCATTAACAATGCTTTGATGGGGGTGGAGGTGCCCAAGCTGGCGAAGAGGCTGCGCGAGGTGTTCGCCCCGACGCCGGCGCAGGCGAAGCAGCTTACGAGGAGGACAGGGTGGACGCTCGAGTGGGATGTGCGGCGTAGCACGGTTTCGGTGCAGGAGGGACCGGATGGGGAGAAGTGGAGTGTCAAGGTGGGAGAGCTGCCGCCGAATGTGCAGGAGATTATTGCGCTGGGTGGGTTGGAGAGCTGGGTCAAGAAGGAGATTGGTAAGGGCAAGACGTTGTAGGCGGGGAGGTGACATTTGATGGGTGGAAGAGGAAAATGTGTACATTTGCATGGGCATGGCGTTTATATGTCACGCTTTTTGGGATCGGTGGTTTGGTTTGAATCTTGTATTATACCTTGCTTTTGGCGAAATGCGTGGCGAAGCGCTGCATTGGTATACTGTAGATTGCTCATGGGGAAAGCCAGCATGGCTATAGGTATCTGCGCTCTGTTCCGTTAGAGCGAGGAGTGAGTTGTGTAGAGAGCGGGAGATGAGAAGAAATATATGATGAACTATTAAAGGAATAGGGCTTTAGAGGTGTTAAAATGCTGGTTGAATATGGCTTGGAAAAGGTATATACGTGGGATATGTTACTACTATGAACCTTTTTGCAGAAGTACGATCGGCATTACATGTCTGATACGCAAGCCGCGAAACTGGATTGTTGACAGGAAATGAAACACCTACAACTATTGAACGAAGAACTATCTCCTATATCACTGTCTATTTGTTCATCTCTGGTTATATGATCCCCGTTCACGACCGCAACCGTGCCTCTAGTCGAAAATGCCCCTGCGAGGAGAAGTTGCTGGGTAGCTACACATACCCAACAAACCCATTTCTAGACAACGAGCACTGGGAGCACAACACTCTAAAGAGCCACAAAAAGTAACACTCAATCATGACTTCGACAAACAGCTGTGGCTCTATACAACACATCAACCCTTGGAATTACTAAACAAATACCCTTCAAGGCAAACAATCTTACTCCCTTCATCACCCCCTCCACCTCTTCCAAAACCTCCACCCGACCTTCTCACTCCCCCCATCCGCCTCGGCGCCCACCCTCCTAAACCTCGCCTTCTCCACGCCCCTCCTCCTCCCCACCCACGCAAACCACACCACCAACCCCACCGCCATGAACCCCAGCACAGCGAGCGTCTGCACGGGCTCGGCAAACACGGCCCGACTCAACAAAAACAGGCTGACGCAGCAGAAAATAATGGGCGTGGTGATCCACGTCCTGTACGGCCTCTCCAACTGCGGTTCCTTGACGCGCAAGACGATGAGGCCGAGGACGGCGAGGAAATAAAACGAATAGCCCGCTACGCCGTAGAAGGTGACTAAGGTGTCGAAGCTGCCGATGGCGATGTAGATGGCGGTGAGGAGGGCGTTGAGCAGCATGGCGGAGATGGGGGTGAAGAAGAAGCCTGCGTCCGGGTCGGCGAACCAGTTTATCATTTTCTTGGAGAATGCGGATTTGGGCGCCGTCGAGGCGTTGAGCGTGTGCAGCCGGATGGCGCGGTGGGATTTGCCGAAGCCAATGTTGCCGAAGAGGGAGGGGAGGTAGCCTTCTTTGCCCGCGGCGTAGACGAGACGGCCAGAGGTGAAGGTGGTGGCGTTGAGGGCGCCGAAGCAGGATCCCGAGACGAAGAGGGCGAGGATGAGGGAGCCTATGGGGCCGAAGACTTGGGATCCAAAAGCCACGGCGACAGTGTTGGAGGACTCGATGACGGAGGCCGGGAGGACGAGAAAGTAGGATATGTTGGCAAGGAGGTAGCACATGATTACCAGCGGGAGCGACGTGTGGATCACGCGTGGGAGGTCGCGGCTGGGATTCTTGAACTCGGCCGTCACGTAGTTCACATTGTCCCAGCCATCAAACGCCCAGAGACCAGCGTAGAGGGCAACGGCCCAATTGCTGATGTTGGTGTTGGTGCCCTCGAACCAGCCCTGTTTCTTCCAGTCGTCGCTTGCGGGGCCCTTGTAGGAGAAGCCCGTTACTGCTACGACGATGCCGACGACGGTGACGCCGAGAAGGGCGATGAATTTCATGAACATGAAAACGTCGGCACTCCGGGTGCCGAGCTTGGTGGAAACGCAGTTGAGGAGGGTGACGATGACCAGGCCGACTATTGCAACGCCCTTGTCCAGCCAGACGGTGGATACTGCGGCGTCCGCTCCAACGAAGGCGCGAACAATGTATTCTCCAAAGATGATGGCAATGATGGCGGCGGATCCTGGCTTCAGGACGCACACGGCACACCAGGTGAAGAGGAAACCGGCCCATTCCCCAAAGATCTTGGACAGGTAGACCTGCGCTCCGCCATTCAGGGGAATGGCTCCTCCGAGCTCCGCGTAGCTTGCTGCACCCGTCCAAGCCAGAATGCCAGCAACCACCCATACGATGAGCGCTGCCCCTGGGGACCCAGCATTCCTGTTCACCTGCGACGGGGAGGAGAAGATTCCACTCCCTATTATCAGTCCCACTACGAGGGACAATCCATTCAGATATGTCAAGCTCTTATTCTTCTCCAACGAAGCCCCATTGAGCACATTCGAGGGGTCTAGAGCGGGATTTGACGGTGCGCCCAGCGCAGTATATCCTTGTGCCGTACTTGAGAGCGGAAACAGATTGGGCGCAAAATCAAAGGCGGACGATACGCTATAGGAGCGGTTATGCCGCGGGCGGTTGTCGTCGGCGCCATGGGCGGCCGGATTGAGCGCGGAGAGGGGGTCTTCGTCGTCAAAGGAAAGTCCTCTGGAAGACGCGGCGGCGGAGCCGGAGGATATGGAGCTTCGCCGCGAGTGAGGCGTGGAGGAGGCCAGAGAGGCTAGCTCCAGAGAGTCGCGTGCCGCTGGGGGTGGGAGGTTGGAATAGCGGCCGGCCATGAGGTTGCGGAGGTGTTGGAGGTTGAAGCTACCTGATTTTCCGTGAAGAGTGCGCCATGGGCAGCCGCGATAGCAGGGCGCTGTCCAGATTTGGTGTGCAGAACTGAGGAGTGGGTAATTGCCCCTATGTCGACTGTTTGCTGAAGGAGGGTTGCAAGAATCTGGGGTAGATAGCTACTTGGGTAATAAGAATAAGGCGGACCCCGTAACTGCGTGGTGATGTTTACAGACGGACTTGGAAGATTGTGATTGGTTTTCAGATAGCGCTAACCAGTTTCGACGATAATTACAAAATTCTATACACTGGCATGATGTAGATCCGCAAGGAAAAGTCGCTTCGCAGGACGCAAATTGAAGTGAATGATCAATCATGCAGGTGGTTTTCTGATATAGGATGTGAAGCGGATCTCAAAAGGTATTTATTTATTCAAGGTCGAGTTTTCTTTGTGCTTAGAGCCCTGGACAACATTCTTCCCCTATCGATACCAGGCTCGGTTAGCGTTCGAAGCTGCGACTCTGAAAACGTGACTTGGAAAAAGACATCAATTGTAGAACTATTCACCATTCACTCGTTAACTTTTAAGGGTTGTGTACCGTCCTGCAAAAACGCATGGGCATCATCCGGTGATGCGACGCTTCCACTTGGCCCGCGTCGGATGGCATCACGCCCTCTGTCGGCCGCCTCCACAGCGCTGCTTCTCCCACCATGCCAGGCTGCGGAAGAAGAATGTAACGGTCGATTTTCCGGCACTGGATGCAAAATGGAGGGGAAACAGTGCCTTTCAGAATGACCTTCCTGCGTCAGGAGCGCCCAAGCCGGGGGGAAAAACAGCATATATTCTTCCCATGTTTCCCTATCCCTCGGGCACCCTCCATCTCGGCCACCTCCGAGTGTACACCATCTCCGATGTCCTGGCGCGGTTCCATCAGATGCAAGGTCGCCATGTTATCCATCCCATCGGATGGGATGCTTTCGGCCTTCCCGCAGAGAATGCAGCGCTGGAGCGTGGAATCCATCCCGAGACTTGGACCCGCCAGAACATTAGCACCATGAAGAAGCAGATGGAGGCCATGGGGGGTCGGTGGGATTGGGATAGGGTAGGCTGGGTTTCCGTTGGGGTTGGCTGTGATGATTGACGTCTCGTAGGAAATCGCAACCTGTGACCCGGAATTCTACAAGCATACCCAGGTCATTTTCCTCCGGTTCTTCAAACGTGGGCTCGCCTACCAGGCAGAATCGCTGGTGAACTACGATCCCGTCGACCGTACCGTACTTGCAAATGAGCAGGTCGATGCGAACGGCTGCTCGTGGAGATCGGGCGCAAAGGTTGAGAAGAAGATGCTCAAGCAGTGGTTCCTCAAGATCAAGGAGTTTCAAGAGCCATTGCTAAAAGACCTGGATGCCCTGGCCAAGGACGGAAACTGGCCGGAAAGAGTGGTTGCCATGCAGAGGAACTGGATTGGGCGCTCTGAGGGTACGAAGCTTCGCTTTGATGTCACATCAAACGATCAAACGCAATCCATTGAGGTCTTTACGACTCGAGCCGATACACTCTTTGGCGTCCAGTACATTGCCCTGTCACTCACTCATCCCATTGTTCAAGCGGCGGCTAGGCAGGACAGTTCATTACGTGAGTTCCTCGCTGGCGCCGAACACCTTGCTCCCGACTCGAAAGCTGGCTACCTACTTCGTGGTATAACAGCACGCAATCCATTGGCCAAGGTTGCGCAAGGATTTGATGAAGAAATTCCAATTTATGTCGCTCCCTATGTTCTGGCGGACTACGGATCTGGTGCAGTCATGGGAGTACCGGGACACGACAACCGCGACCACGCGTTTTGGAGAGTGAATGCTCCCGACTCTCCTGTCCGTCATGTGGTATTCCCAGAGAAGGGCTCACCGGTAACACTCCCTGCCCCTGGAAGTGTTTCCGACAAGCCATTGCTGGAGAAGGGCTATGTCGCAGACGATATACCAGGCTTTGGCGGCCTCACGTCCGAAGAAGCCGTCGAAGCCATTCTAAGCAAGCCTGACATGGCGGCCGAGAAGAAGGAAAACTGGCGCCTGCGAGACTGGCTAATCAGTCGGCAACGATATTGGGGCACCCCTATCCCAATCATTCATTGCGGCTCGTGCGGACCTGTCCCAGTTCCCGCACAGGACCTACCGGTGCGTCTCCCAGAGCTGGATGATGCCTATTTCTTAGGAAAGACAGGCAATCCGCTCGCCGAACATCCAACCTGGAAGAAGACGACCTGTCCTAGCTGCGGATCGGCTGCCGAACGAGAAACGGACACGATGGATACCTTCATGGATTCGTCTTGGTACTTTTTCCGGTTCCTGAGCCCTCGACTTGAATCCAAACCCGTGGATCCCAAGCAAGCAGAAAAACACATGCCGGTCGACGTCTACATTGGCGGCGTCGAACACGCTATCCTACACCTTCTCTACGCCCGCTTCATCTCCAAATTCCTAGCGACTACTGAGCTGTGGCCTGCAGGCAAGAAGGTCCTGGGAGAACCCTTCAAACGCCTGGTAACCCAGGGAATGGTCCACGGCAAGACGTACTCGGACCCGGCAACGGGCCGCTTCCTCAAGCCGGACGAAGTCGACCTCAGCAAGCCCGCCAATCCCATCATCCGGGCCACCAGAGAGCCTGCCCGCGTCAGTTTTGAGAAGATGTCAAAGAGCAAGCACAACGGTGTGGACCCGGGCCAAACCATTGCAACCTACGGCGCGGACGTCACCCGCGCGCACATGCTCTTCCAAGCCCCCGTCGGCGATGTGCTCGAGTGGGACGAGACGAAAATCACCGGAGTCGAGCGCTGGCTTACGCGCGTGCTCCGGCTATCCACGGCCTTTTGGATGCCCGTGACTATTCTCGAAAGGTTCACCTCCCCCAACGACCTCGATGCTCCCCTAAACAAAATCCTCCTCCACCTTCAACAAAGCGACCTTCTCCGCATCCAACACCGCGACCTTGTCCGCATTAAGGCGGATCCGACGCTCCCCGGCGCCGAATTCATCCACACCCTTGCCCACACGGAAAGGCTGCTCTGGCACAAAACCCAGGAAACGATTGCCTCGGTTACCAAGTCCTACGCCGAAACCATCTCCCTCAATACCATTATCAGCGACCTCATGACCCTCACCAACACCATCTGGGACACGCCGCACACGTCTCGCACCGTATCGTACCTGCAGTGGTACGCCGTGTGCCACTTGCTGCGGATGTTGGCGCCGATTGCGCCCGCCACCGCCGAAGAAGCGTGGAATGTTTTGCATACCACAACGGGGAAGAAGGTGGCGGGTTCTCCTAGGCATCCGCTGAGGCACTTCGGCAGCACTGTCCGATCGATTTTCGCGTTCGGGTTCCCCAAGGCCGATCTCGAGGGTGCGAGTCGTCTCAGGTTGAAGGTACAGTGCGTGTTCGCCGTCAATGGGAAGAAGAAATTCGTAACTGGGATTCCGCCCGTGTCGGATAGGATGAGGTACTATAAGAAGGATGAGATTACGGACTTTGTGCTGCAGAAAATTGGGGAGACGGAGGAGGGGAGGGAGTGGTTGGAGGAGGGGAAAGGGAAGCTGTGGAAGTTGGCTGGGGAGACGGAGGGGGTGGTGGTGGGGAGGTCCGGGGTGGTTTTGCCAAAGGGGTGGTCGGTGGTGGTGCCGGAGAAGGGGAGGCTGATTAATGTCGTGGGCCCGGAGTGGAAGAGGTCCCGTTGGGGGGATGAGTTTGCCGATTGAATGTCTCTGTAATTGTAGCATATGTACAGTAGTCCTTGCTCATGCTGGGTTGAATCTATAGACTTGAATTCCGATTCTACGACCAGATTCCATCCTCTTACGCCCTAGCCCTTGGCCTCAACCTCAACCCCCCATCCTCCCCTTTTTCTATCCGTATCTGCTCCTCGAGGATCCTCCCCAAACTCCCCCCATCCCTCGTAATCCCTCCCCGGAACAACTCCTCAATCACCCTCCCCCTTTTCACCGTCTCCTCGACAATCCCCTCCACACTCGCCGGCTCCACCCTCCCATACCATATCCCCAAGCCCGCCAACGCATTCCCCGTCAACGACGGCGGAACATACAAAATCACGTTTCCCGCATACTTGTGGCCTCCGATATGCGATATCAATCCTACTTGTGCATCGACACCGCGCCTGTCCAGCTCCTTCTCAAACTGGGAGCGCAAAATGGGACCGAGCGTTCCACATCGCTTATCCCTGGCTGCGTGCCCGCAGATGAGGACCGTGAGGTTTTCGATTGGGATTGCGGGGGGTAAGTCTTTGGCTAGAGAGTCGTCTCGGAGGAGGGGTTTGCGTTGGGCGGGCGAGAGGGCGGAGTGGGCTGGGTGGAGGTGTCTGGCTTTTAGGTAGGCGGAGGCGAAGGCGTTGTACGAGGGTGGTGTATTGGGGATGGAGGAGATGCGCAGGAAGGAGGGGAAGAGGAGGGCTGAGGTGGTGGGGGGGATGGGGGAGGCGGGGAGGGAGGAGAGGGTCGTGAGGATGTTGTTGAAGGGCTGGGGTGGAGGTGGTGGTTAGCAAGGGATGCTCATGAGGGAGGATTGCATGGAAGGGAGTAGATTGTTTCCTATATTACGGGGGAATTTATTTTATCATTTGAAGAGAACTGCAGACATACATCGAATGCCTGCCCGCCCCTTCCGATTATCCCCTTGATTCCTCGAAGAAAATCGCCCGAATCGCTCTGCTCGTCCTCGATGCGACTGCTCCAGTCATCTTTGCCTGTACATATGACCACTTGCTCTGTATACGGCGCCATGGTATGTAGGAGTGGGGATTTTCGGTCTATATCCAGGTCTGGAGGCATGCGGGCGCAGGCGCATGTCGGGGACGGACATGAAGGGACGTGCGGTATGGATGGTGAATGGGATGTCCGGCGGAGGGCAGAGGCGGAGAAGGGACGGGAATAGTGGAAGAGGGAAGGGAGGAATCTCCGTGAGGTACACAGAGGAAAGGACATGATTTCGGCGGGAAAGGTCGTGGAGGGAGTCGTAATCGTACTTCGAGAATTATTTCTGTCCTATGAAGAGGAAAGCTTAGGCCGATGAGATGTGACGAAATCTCGGAACTCGTTCCGGGAGCTCGGACTCCTGTCCTCAGCAACATTGAATGAAGTGGCTGTCATCAAGCCCGCATCTACTGCGATTTAGAACTTGTACCATATCAGCAACTGCATGTGCCAGAACTCCGATTGGGAATGAGCTTCTGCGACAAGAATTCTGGTTAACTGGAATCGAGCGGCCCAATATATCGAGAGCACATGTGAAGAACCCCCCTCGCCCAAAACCACAGATTACATAATCCGCATCACCCATCTCAACTAGCTCGGTGACGGGAAACTCGGTCCCCCTCCATCAAACACCAACATGGCTGCACCCCGCCTCCAGTTCCTCTGGCCGATGCTATTCAGACCCCTGAAACCAAACGAAGCCATTCCTCATTTCAGACTTGACAAAGGCCATTCCCCACGTCACTTCTCCTCGTGTCCCCCTCATACCCATCCAGTTCGACAACGCTATGGACCCGCCCGGGAGCCAGAACCCCATCTCCGCGAGCAGGCCGCCCAAAACGTACAAGATACCGCAAAAGCAAATACCGACACTCAAAAGCCCCCGGTGAAAGGACCCCTAGAAGAGGAAGAGGAGGAGGAACCACCCCCAATCATCTACTCTACCCCCGATCGCCCGACGACCACCACCTCCGAAACTCTAGACGAAGCCATGCCCGTCTCCGCAGCCCCAGATCCGCCTCTCACAGGCGACTCAAAGCCCCTGGATACCGTACTGCACATGCCGAGCCCAGCCGAAGAGGAGTCGCGGAGACCGCCGCACCTGAAGACCCCGCCCTACGTCCACCACTTTGATAGTTACAGTCTGGTGAAGCAATTGACCAAAGGGGGATACGCGCCCGAGCAAGCCGTCACCATCATGAAGGCCGTGCGAGGCATACTCACCGAGAACATTGAGCTCGCACGGCAAAGCCTCGTGTCCAAGTCGAATGTCGAGAACGAGACGTATCTCTTCCGCGCCGCGTGCAGCGAGTTGCGCATCGAGGTGCAGAATAGTCGCAAGAGCGAGATGGAGAAGATGCGCACCGAGAGGAACCAGTTGCAGCACGAGGTGGATATTTTGAATCAGCGGCTGGGGCAGGAGACGGGCGCGTTGAAGGATGAGTTGAAGGGGTTGTTTGACGATAGGAAGATGGCGGTGAGGAATGAGCAGAGGGCCATGGATTCGAAGGTGGGCTTCTCACTTTTTACAAGACGATGCTGTCGTGCTAATGATGCTTCAGATTCAAGAACTAAACTACAAGATTACCGTCGCATTGAACTCGGATGCCCGCAGCGAGGTCGAGGCTCTGCGCTGGGTTCTTACGCGACGGGCGGCCATCACAATAGGCGTGTCCGCATTCATGCTGTTCCTGGCTTTGCGATACTCCACCTATGTGCACCACAACCAGCAAGAGGAGAAGAAGAAGGCTCAGAAGCGACAGCCCCCAGAGCAAGCACAGGATAACACAGCAGCCAGCCCTCCACCTGCTCCACCCAGCGGACAAGAAGCTTCAGGGGGAGAATTATTGGCCTCCACGGGTGGGGTCTCATTAGGATGAACTGCGACGAACAGCATCATGAAAACCTCTATTTTCAACACTACAACAACTACAGCTTGTGCTTCTTCTCTCCGCTCGCAATCTTCATAAACTCCTCCTGCGGCACACCCTTCATGAACCGCTCCAACCCCCCAAGCACCTCAGCCACACCCTGGCGATCCAAAACCTCCATCTCGGGCTTCCGGATCAGCGCCTTGATCTTGATCAAGCTCTCGGGATTGAGGTGGTCGCCTAACCGGTCATCCACCTCCTTGAGCACTTCCTCGAGGAACTTGGGAGAATCCTTGCTTCCAACATCAATGACCTTGTTTACGAAGCCCGTCTGCACGAGCTCTTCGCAAGTGATGCGCTTGCTCATGATGAGCGCCTCGTTGGCCTTGCTAATGCCCAGCCTGCGGACGAAGCCCACCGAGGCGTTGCCCTCTGCGACGAGGCCGAGGGAGGAGAAGGGTGTGAGCAGGAAGGCGTGGGGAGCCGCGTAGATGAAGTCGGAGAAGGCGATGAGGGCGGCGGAGAGGCCGACGGCGGGGCCGTTGAGCGCAGTCACCAGGATCTTGGGGTGCGAGTAGAAGGCGTGGGTGATGTGCAGGTTGTTGGAGACGAAGTTCTTGAGCCAGAAGCGGCGCGTGTCGTCGCCGTCGGGTTGTTGGCCGCCAATGGAGACGTCGGCGCCGCTGTGAATTCAACGATTAGCATTGCACGTCGATGTAGATTTGTTTCGGGGCATGTTGTATGACTATTGCAGACGTACGCAGAGAAGAACCGGCCCTTGCCAGTCAGGACGGTAATGTACACATCATCCCGGGCGGCAACCTCGTGCATGGCCTTTGCGAGCGCATAGTACCCGTCTCCATTCAGAGCATTCAGCTTCTTAGGCTGGTTGAGCGTGATGATGGCGACTTTGCCGCGGTACTCGACGGTGACTGCGCTGTCGGCCATGTTGTTCCTTTTCTTGTTTCACTCTACCGCAAACGAATGAATAGCGAGGGTGGAGGAGACGAGAGGAAGGTGATGAGCTTTTGGCTGGCTTTTGGGCGCGGTAATCGTCTTGCGAGGGTAATCTGATGGGACATGGGCCGAGGCAAGTCTGCACCCCGGCTTACTAGTAGAGTGGAGAGGTGGGCGCGGATATGGTCTTGGGCGTTGTGCTGACGAACGCCTTGCGCTGGTGCTGCGGATGGCATTTTCATGTGAGGATTCCCTTGTTGATGGAGGGTGCGACATTCCGGGATGACATCCTTGCGCCCATGGTCGAGCAGAACTCTTGTGCAGGGTCGGTCCTGTGAAGACGGAGGAGGGGCCGATGTCGACGACAATTGCAATGATAAGATAAGATCTCAGTTCCCGAAGGATCTCCGGGTCATCTCCATCGCATCTTGAAATGTTGAAGTCTAACAATAATCGGACGATCTCATACAAACCAATCTCCCCGCCAGCTAATAACAGCACACGCAATCCCAAAATGGGGGGCCCCAATCTCGAAATCTTCAAGGTACATCCCCTCTCCCCTTAACGCCACTCTTCTTTCGCACGCCCCGCGCATACCCTCTCACTAACATATCTCTAGTTTGGGATGTACATCCTCTTCCCCATCAGCATCATGTACTACTTCGGGACCAACCTGGACGGACGCTTCAGCGTGCCCGATTTCTGGCCCAAGGAGGGCCAGACGCACAAGATTCCGTATGAGCGCGAGGAGATCAAGAAGGAGTTGGAGAGGTTGAAGGCGAGGAATCTTGAGGCGAAGAGGAGGAGGGAGGCGGAGGAGGCGAGGGCGGCGCTGGTGCAGCAACAGGTGCAGGGGAGGGAGGGAGAACAGTAGGCCGAAGGAGGGCAGTAGTCCCGGAGGAGATGCGAAGTACACTCGGACGAGGACGCTGCGTTGAACTCATGGACTACGGACCGCCCGGGAATCTCGGCGCTCGCGAACACCGTCATTTAACCGATTGATATCATGCCTTGTGTCATTGTATTGCAAGAGTAGTCGAATAAGTTGATGCGACCGCTTCGTAGGGCAGGCGTCTCACGCGACATTGCATTTGGGCGGCGTTTGGGAATCTCACCATCGGAGGATCATATTGTACAAGAATCTATCATGTTGTACATTATATACAGTATCATACAGCTTCTTACACCGGGAGCCAATCATACAGCCACCTTACTCTTCAGTTCCGCCCACAGCTCGTCGGATATATTCCCCTTTGACCAATTCGTATACACTCCCTGGACTCCAACTACTTCCTGCACCTCATCCAGGAATCCCTTGAGCCGGATGGCCTCCTCCTCGTTGTCCAGCGTCACCTTGGTATCCTCGTTGGGGTCCCATATGATCTCGCTGTCTTCGATCTCTATTCCCAACCCTTTCGCAAGCGTTTCCGCTGCAGTGGTGGTTTCTGCCGGCTCGGTATACACCACCACTCTACCCTCCGCATCTTCCGTGACATCCAATACGCCCGCATCGGCCTCGAGTGCACTTTCCAAAACCTCGTCGACCCCTACGCCATCCTTCTTCCGGAATACGGTGCGGCCCTTCTTCTCGAACATGTACCCTACAGGCGAGACATTGCCTCCCGCATCCTTGACCAGAACCCGCAAATCTGCTAGTAATTTCAATTTCGTGTCCGTCTGGCATTCTATTACTGTCGCTACCGCCGGAGGTAGTATGGCTTCGAGCGTAATGGATTCGAGAGCGGCGCCGCTCGGTGATAGGCCTTGTCCACGGGCAATGGCAGCTTCAATGTTTGCTTTCGGAACGGCGTTCTTCTTCGCTTTTTGCAGGGCCAATGCGAGGCGTGGGTTCATCGTGGCATCAGGGCCGCCAACTAGAAATTCAAGTTAACAAAACTATGTGGTTCACTCAATTTGAGAATTCGTATGGGGTAAAACTCACTCTTCACGGCATTTGTGATGTCCTTCGTGAGGAGAGTGCGTGTCTGGCTCTTCGCCTTGTCATTCTTTCCCTTGTCGTGTTTGATCGTTGCCCATTTCGAGTGCCCTGACCACAACGGCGCAGAGCTGGAGAGGCATCGCGAGCCCCAAGGTGGGGGAGCGCACCGACTTGCGCGGAACAGCGACGTAGACAGCGAGATGACTGATTTCATCTATGGGCGACGTGAAGTATTGAGGCTTCCTAGGCCTTGTGCCTGAACTTTCGTTTTGCTTGGCAGGCGCGGAGGTGCCACAACATCTCCGCATCCATCCCACACCCCCAATCGTCCTGCCACCATCATGGCGGCGTCGCACCCGCAGCTAGACGTCAAGAAGCTGCATACACTTCCCTCCGAGCAACAGGACCTCTATTTGCTCACGTTCACTTCCGATCTCGCCCGCCATGTTGCAGCCCTCGACCCTGATGAGGTTTCGGCCCACCAGATATATGTCAAGAAGGAGCTATTTCAGGTCATAACCCTCCCTTCGCCGGCACCGACTCGAGTCATAAGGAACACACTGGGGCGTATCTTTGCAGATATATTTGGAAAAGGGGATAGGAAGCTTCTGTTCGAGTCCATCAATGAGCTGGTGGCCATCTTAAATGCGGCGGGGAAGGCGGAGAAAGATGTCAGGGCGAAGCATGCGGCTGCTCATTGTCTGGGGTCCATCTTCGAGGCGGCAGGAGATAGTGCAATTGGTCTATCCCCACTAGCGGCAACCGCGTTGCTACGGTTGATCAAAACCGCGCAGAACCACACCGGACTCAGGGGTACCATATTCAAGTCCCTTGGGAAGGTCTTTAAGGGCGTTGCAAGCTCTGCTGAAGAATCCGTCGCTAGAGACGCGTGGAAGCAGTGTCGCTCGTTCAGCGTCAACGACAAGTCTTTACTTGTGCAGGTCAATGCATGTTACTGCATGGAGCAGCTGGTTCGGCATACGCCCTACTTCGACAATTCCACCGATTTCGACAAGTTGCAAACCGCCATCTGGAAGACAATCGACAGCCACTCGTCGGCTGTCAGACACGCTGCGGCATCATGCCTGAGTGCTGCGCTCGTGAAAGCCTATTCTGAGACGGCACCTGTCGAAGCACCCCTTGCCCGGTCGAGAACGATGAAGAAAAAGGCCAAAAAGCAGACTGACCTAGAAGGCGAAGACGAAGTGATTGAGCGTCCCGAGTCTCCGGCTCCGAAAAAGTCTGCCGCTATACTCTCCTTTTCGATGGCTGCTCTGCTCACGGTGATGTCGCACCAATATTGTCGACCTGCCACCGGGAACCGTGTGAGAGCTGGAATCGCCCTTTGCTATATCAAAACCCTGCGACGTCTTGGAGAACAAGTGGTCGAGAGAAAGTACGGAGAGATTGCGCGACATTTGTTTGTCGATCTAATGAGCCATTCCACCATCGTAAACAACCGCTACCGCACGTTGAGCACGAGAAAATATGTTGCCGTCATTTTGGAAGCAGTGGTCGGCAGAGACCTACTCGGAGAGGCCGGACAGCTCAATGCGGCCAAGTTCTTGGTCAATGAGATACTGAAGGACTATCCCCAAGCGTTAAAGGAGAGGCCCGAGCCGACCAAGCAAACTCTCATAGGCGCACTGAGCGCACTCTCTGCCCTCTTCGAGAGCCTGGGCTCGGCTGCCAACGTCATTGCAGACAGTTGTAGAGATGGCCTACTCCAGGTTCTGCAGCACCCGAGTTACAGTGTCCAAGTTTACGCTTCGGCATGTCTGCGATCCTTCGTGCTTGCATGCCCTCTTCAGCTCCTACCTTCAGTTACCATATGCACGAATAGTGTCAACCGTGAATTAGGTCAATTAGGCGGTCCGCGTCAGTCACCCAGGAAATGTGTAGGCCTTGCCAATGGCCTCTCCGCCATTCTAAGCACTTCGACTGAACAGCCCCTGCATGGCTCCGTGGATGTCAATTCCCGTGTCCTCTCGCAAGCCACCTCTCTACTCAAATCTGCTAGCAATTCGGACTTGCGCATATCGTCCACCCAGATCCAGGTCGCATGGATCTTGATAGGGGGTCTCATGACTTTGGGCCCCAACTTCGTTAAGATCCATCTCTCTCAGCTACTACTTCTTTGGAAGAACGCCTTGCCCAAACCCCTCAACAAGGACAACATGGTGCAGCGAAATATGTTGGAGCTTAGCTTCCTGGCACATGTGCGGGAATGCGCCTTGGGCTCGATCTTGACCTTCCTCGAATTCAACAGCCGGTTATTGACGTTGGATGTAACGAAGAGATTGGCTGCTATGCTGCAAAACACGACCATGTTTCTCAACACGTTGCCCGGAAAGAAGACAACAGACGACGTCTCCCAGCGACTTTCGCCTGCTCTGCAACTGCACGACTTTGACGTGATGGTACGGCGAAGGGTTCTTCAATGTTATACGAAGCTCGTGGACCTGAAGCCAGCTGGGAGTGCAGAAGTCTTGCAGCAAACCAACCTGCTCCCTTTTGCAGTCTCATCCTTCGCCGATCCCGATATCTACGCCCCAAGCTCACTGAGCACGGCCATTGCCAGTTCTGCGGGAAACTTTGAGAGCATATGGGATTCGGCCGATAATCATGGCTTTGGCGTGACTGGACTTGTGCAAGGCTATGATATTCAATCGCTACCGGGAGAGCATGATTCTGCAGTCGCCCGTCACTGGGTTTCTAGAACTGGGTCAGAGGCCCTTATAGACCGTACAGTGAGTTCTGACATTTCCAAGAGTGCTTACTCTTCATTAATATTCAACAGCTACTGACACCTATATGTGGTGCACGTGAGCACGATCCGATTACATTGTATGTTGGCACGTCTAGCAGTATCCACGGGCTGCCACACCCTCCCGCGACTGAAGTGGTCAATTCTGCCCTGCAGCTATTCGCAATCTGCCTGCCACTTCAGACACCAAAGATACAGGAGAGCATCCTCGAGCAAATGACATCTTTCCTTGCAGCAGGCAGCTTGCAGCGAGACGTGCACAGGAAATCGGCCATGATGGTGAACATTGCCTATGCGCTCCTATCCGCCTTGAAAGTGGCAGTCAAGGAAACGAGATGCGCACCTGGCGACCTCAAAAGCTCTGCTGTCGAAAAGGTCATACTGGAGCTTTTGCATGTGAGTCGACTAGCCTATACAACCCGAGAAATTCCACTGACTTGTCTAGTTGTTCATCGTACTTCCGGACCCGTATGTGCGAAACATCGCCGGTGAGGCACTTGGTCGTCTGTGCAGCAGTTCTGGAAACTCGTTCACCAATACAGAAGTCAAATATCTCGTTGACCAAATCGTCGCAAATCGAGAACCGAATGCACGCTCTGGGTACGCCGTCGCCCTTGGTAGTATCCATTCTCAATTGGGAGGGATGGCTGCAGGTTACCACATGCAAAACATCTTGGGCATCTTAATGTCTCTAGGGAACGATCCACACCCCGTGGTACACTTCTGGGCTCTGGATGCTCTTTCACGAGTGGCAGATTCTGCCGGGTTGGCGTTCTCAACCTACGTGTCAAGCACGCTAGGCATGCTTGCTCAACTGTACGCCGCGGATACGCACAATCAAGAGTCGGCTTCGTTGGCATCATCAAACCTCGAGGTCGACCTGCCTTCTCCGGCTGTCATAGCTCGTTGCATCGACAGCACAATCAATGTCCTGGGACCTGACCTTCAAGATGCAGCCAAGGCGAGAGATATGATCATGACTCTCATAGGCCTCTTCAAGACCGAATCTGATGACTTGGTCATCATCGAGAATCTAATGTGCCAAGAACACCTCGCGTTGTATGCTCCGGGTCATATGGAGTTTATCGTGTACGTCAAGTACCTCCAAGGTCTGTTGGATAGTAGCTCTACAAAGCTGCGCGACATGGCAATCGGAGGTCTGCACAATCTGATGCGACGAGACACGGAAGAAGTGATTCGAGCGGCCAACCCTGGGCTGGATGAGCAGCTGTGGCATGTCTTGGAGAAGATCCCCGAACATGAAGTCGCTCGCGAGATATTCCGAAACTGGTTGCATCAAACTGGGCTCGTCGACACTGGTGCATGGGTGCAACGTATTCAGACGATACTCACAAAGACGAAGCGGGTCGTAGAAGCGAATGCAAAGGTTGACGAGAAGCCAAAAGCAAGTGTGCCCGAGATTCAAGATGAAGAGGTTGCTGGTTTCGCGGCGACTTCCAACGCAGCTACGGGCGATGCCGGCGAGGGCACTCAGGCGAGCCAGGAGTTACTCAGGTGGCAAGTGAGGACGTTCGCGCTCGATTGTCTGAGCGACCTCCTCGCCATGGTGAGCAAAGAGGCCGCTTACCGTGACGAGGCACCTTGCGTGCTCGCGCTCCAGGCTAGGGTTGCAGATGTAGTTCGCATCGCATTCTCTGCCTCCACTGCAGGCGTGGTGCAGCTTCGGATACGTGGTTTGAAGATTATTGATCAGGTTCTCAAGGTATGTGTTTCTCGATTGCAGTATGCTTGTATTCGTGGTGCTGAGTATCTCCCAGCTGTTTGGAAAGACTCCAGATCCTGATTTTGCGGAGGCCACCCTGCTCGAGCAATATCAAGCCCAGATAGGATCTGCTCTCACTCCGGCGTTTGCGGCGGACTCGTCACCAGAGCTTGCTGCAGAAGCTGTCAATGTCTGTGCCACATTCATTGCTACCGGAATCGTCACCGATGTGGACCGCATGGGCCGCATACTGAAGCTGCTCGTGTCAGCACTGCAGAACTTTTCAAGTGCGTTGTTCACTCTGGTATCGAGTATCAAGCTAATTGTGAAAAGGTGAAACAGAGACTGCGGCCATTGGTGATCTAAAGGGCCTGAGTTCCAACGCGCAAGTCATGGTGAAAATGGCAGTGTTTTCAGCGTGGGCTGAACTGCAAATTGCCAGTGCTGAACAGACGTACCTGGTTGATGTCCTCAAGCCGTACATCGCGAAGCTCACCCCGCTGTGGCTTTCGTCTCTACGCGAATACGCCCGTCTTCGTTTTGAGCCCGACATCTCTTCCATGGGATCAGCATCTCTGTCTGGCAGCCTTGACACAATCTACGCCGCCCTAAACAGAGAAACTTTGCTAAAGGTAAGAGTGATGCAAGATTAGGAAGTGCTTCCATTAACCAGTTGCAGTTTTATCAAGAGTCCTGGCTTAATCTGGTAGACGCTATTGCAAGCCTCATCGACGAGGACAGTGAATTTGTGTTCGACGCTCTCGATGGGAAAACGGAGTTATCAACCCCCACGACGAAGGCCAAGGCAGACGATAGCATCAACTACCGCGACGAACCTGTCGCGTTCTTTTTCGTGCTTTTTGGCCTGGCATTCGAAGCACTAGCGGGCCGACCTGGAGACCTACAGGCCTCTAAGGAACAGATTTTGGAAATCCTCCAAGCTCTCAAGAAGATATTGCGTCCATCCGTCTCAGGTCATGCTATATATCAGGAAGTGGTCTTCTCCGAAACCATGGACATGCTGGATAGACTCGTCTTAACGGAAGGCTTGACTGTGCAGTCTGTTATCGTGGAGATTGCCAGGAATCTCTGCTTAGGCCACCCTTCGGCGAGGAGAGGCCCAAGCACGTCCAATGGAGATGATCACCTTTCCGAGGACATTGAGCAGCTATTCGAGCTCACTAAGATTATGGTCTTAGTGTTAACAGGTCTACTGCCTCATCTCGGGGATAGCGGCAAGGCAGAGGTTCGCCAACAGCTCAACGAGGAATCAGTGGCTCTGTTGATCACGGCTCTATCCGCTCTTGTCGATGCGTCGGAAGTCTTCCCTTCCATTATCAAGACAGATCTTCAGGCATGCATACTTCACATCTTTGCCACTATTTTGGGAACTGGTGCTTGTCAAGCAGCCGTCGTTCCACAATCGCTACCCATACTTAAACGTTTTGTTACAAGCATATCCGCTCAGTCCACATCCCGTTCCGATTCAGGCGACCAACTCCGCGCTACTCTCAATCGTTGCATCTCTATCTTGAAGCGTGCGCAGGCACGTGAATTCGAAGCTGCACTTGCGTGCGAGAAGAACACTGTCCTGGCCCTCACCATCCTCATCTCCTCAACAACCAATATGTTCGAGCCAAACGATCCGGTTCTCAAACGTTTTGTAGACGAGCTGTTCGATTGTCTGGGTAATCGCATGACGAGTAAAGTAGCCGCTGGATGCTGCCGCTCTCTTCTCCTGCTGCCGAAGAAGGGAGCGGTGGAGATGGCACTGGCTGCGCAGATACTACCTCAGATTCTATCATTCCTGGCTAACCCGGAGTATGTCGAAGGTCTCGACGAGACACGTTCGCTTCTGGCGGGAGCCCTTGCGGCCTTTGTAGGCACGCTTACTACCCCTGAGCAGAAGCACACCGCAGCCAAGATCATCATCCCGGCGTTGTTGGCGCGGGCGGCGAAGGAGCCGGATGCCACGGGCGAGACTGCGGCAAGGCTGCTTGAGTTGGCTGGCGCGGATCACGAGGGGTTCAAGGTCGTGGTAGCAGGGTTGAGCACCGAGCAGAGGGTGTTTATGGAGAGTGTGCTCAAGAGCGGGTCTGGGGTCAAGGCCAAGAGGGTGCAGAGTGAGGAGAGTGAGGAGCCTAGTATTGCGCTGAAGATGGACTTTGGAAGATAGATGGAGTTTTAATGGAAGCGAGACTTGACGTTGATGAACAATTAGCTGTAGGTCTTGCGGCGTGGTATTATGTTCTGTCCTCACATGGCGATTGTACAGTGTCTCTTTGGGCAGCGGTAGCTCATGTTAGGTTGTTGGTCTTGATTGAACTGTGCCGTGTGCCACACCTTCCGTTCACTCGGCTTCACCTCGCCTCGCGGTTTCATGCAGTGGATCTTGGCCAGACCCTCGAGACACTTCGTTCTCGCCACGAAACTCCTTTTCACCCGTCAGACGCACTGTCTGTCTAGATAGGAGACCAAGACCCCAATTTTCTCCATCCGCACGGCCCCGGAAACAAAGGTCGAGCCACTCACACTGTCGCAGCCCATCCACAATCGACTTAATAAGCTCGTCCCAATCTTCCTAATCTCCCTCTTGCCAGCCTACACAGGCGTTCCAACGTACGTCCAAGCGATAGTGAGTGGCCCAACGCTTCAGGTCAAAGCCTAGATTCAGCCACACCACCTTGTCCATGAATTCGGCGTATTTCCACCCTTCTTCTAACGTCACCTTCCTTATGGTTCGACGGTTAGTTCGCCCCTTTCTACTAAACTGATAGCAGGGACGATTGTGTCTGTAAGCAATACAAGTACAGTTCGTTACACTCACTTATTTTTTGTGAGCCATTGATCGGCATCAAGACTCAAGATCACTGCGGCGTAGAGAATTTATGGGCAATTGCGAGTATGTCTGGCCAAGTAGATCCCCGGCGCTGATTCTTGCAAAATCAATGCTCATGACTCTACAGATGTGCTCGTAGAGTATGAGTGTTGCAGAGATGAAGTACCACTGAACGGACATGGTCTAAACTCTGAAGTTGAGGCAGAGTAGTTCGGCAAGAAGACAGAATATTTGTATCAGGAAGAGAGCGATGACTTCAGTAGACCATTAAATGTGGTTTAAAAGATACAATGCATCGCCCGTTAGAAATCTTTTGTCAGCGCAAATCAACAACTACTCTAGAGTTAAATAGGACTGAGACTGCGAATAGAACGAGATGGAGCTATCTGCAGTCCAGGTGAAGATATATGCAACGGTGCCAGTTTAGTAACAGAATAAGGGTGACACCCTTTAAGCCTCACATGGTATATCCCTCCTAGCAAATAGAGCATCGGCAAAAGACTCAGGGTTGTCTCCATTCTCCTCATTTTCTAGGCTACTGCGAGTAAAGAGACTTAGAAGTTGTATTTCTCACTTGGCTAACCAATCTTTGTTAGGTTGTTGTCCTCACTTCAGATAGATGACACTCATCCCGTCAGTCGAGAGTGTGCATGCGCCTGCACCCAGCTGCTCGGATATTCCGCTGCCGAGCGCTGCATTTGGCCAGCCATCACACCAATACGAACACTAGGTCCTGTCGGCGTGTACACGCCCGTTAGAACACAATTATAATTGGAGCATAGTTGCGAAACGTGGAGTGTACAACTTCGGGGAAGGATTGAGGCTGTGAAGATAAGGCGAGGTAACCGCCTGGGGGAAAATGCCTCATACAAACGGTCAACTCCCAAACTCTGCTTGTTTACATTATCCAGTGCAGTGCAACAACCCGCATTTTCTTCATATCTCGGAAGCTCGATTTATTCTTGAATCTAGCAGAAAGTCTTTGAATTAGTTTGGCTTCGCCAAACATGTGGTTACCACCGAGGAACTTTATTACTTTACACTGTGAGATCAAGCCAGCTCAACAACTAGCTTATATTCTTATAGTGCTCAGATGCATACATCATCATCTTTGGTATTCTTGGGATAGTGATACTATACCCGTTCGGTAACCTCACCGCGATTGATGCATATTTTATGGGCGTCAGCGCATCAACTGAGTCCGGCTTGAATACGTGGGGATTACTGCTCCGCTGTCAACGCATCAAGTGCTGATGGGTGAAAAGTGTTGATGTAAAAGCCATGAAAACGTACCAGCAGCTCTTTCTCTATTTTGCCCCCCTGTTGACGAATCTGGGGTTCATAAACATGGGAGTCATCTTAGTGCGACTTCGGTGGTTCCGACAGCGTTTTAAGGGACTAGGTAAGTGGAGGGTGTACTGATTGATGACGCTGAAGTTTAACACCTCGGCAGAAGAGAAGAAAGCTGTCACTTCCAAGCTGATTGCTGCGTCTTCTGGCAACAGCGATTTACCTGCTACTTCCCCGTCCTCATTGGATTCGAAAAGCGGCCAGTAAGCACAGCGCTTGCTATGAAGTTGTTCGTTGGACTGATCTTGGTAGGCGCGCTATCAACACCAATGATGAGAGAAAGTCCACGACCCCCGTGCCAGTGACAAACAGCAACCCCGGAAACCCCCATATTACCTTCGCTCCTGAGCCATACCGACCTACGGGACGGGATGATCTTGCAAGTGATGAAGAAGATGGAATTCAAATCAAGCCCGTCTCTTCGGCAGGCGAAGGTTATCATTCTCGACGTCGGCGCAAGTCTGACACCAGAAGCATGAGTCGGGTGGCTTCGGTCGACCGGGCTGTGTCATCAGTATTCGTGCTGGGAAGCACAGCGAGTCGCGCAAGCCATGAGAAAATCGCAGCCCCGGAACCAATTGATCTTGTTTCACTAACCAGTGAGGAACTTGGAGGAACTGAGTACAATGCACTGCGCGTTCTGCTGAAGTTGACATGCGGTATGCATCCGACATCGATCACTTGTATCACAACTGATAGGCATGGTAGGCTACTTTTTCGGACTTCATTTATTCGGGGTTCTATGCTTGCTGCCGTGGATTCATACTGCAAACCCAAAATACAAGGAATATCTTGCTTCTCAGGGGCAAGATATAACATGGTGGTACGTTCAGCTAATTAAGCTCTATCAACTCAAAGGACCTGACCTTACTTTGCCCTAGGGCATTTTACTCGGCTCAAACAATGGTTAACAATCTCGGCCTCACGCTCACCCCCGATAGCATGACCAGCTTCCGCGACGCAACTTGGCCTATGCTCGTCATGTCCTTTCTCGCTTTCGCCGGAAACACTTTCTACCCCGTCTTCCTGCGTCTCGTCATTTGGATCACATACAAGCTCTCCCCCGCCACCTCGACACTTAAGGAAACGCTTCGCTTTCTCCTTGATCATCCAAGGCGATGCTACACCCTGCTGTTCCCGAGCACAACTACTTGGGCTCTTGCTACAATCCTAGTAACCCTTAACTTTATTGACGTTCTTCTCATCATCACCCTCGATCTTGACAATCCGGAACTTACAGCTCTCTCTCCGGGCCCGCGCATCCTAGCTGCAATCTTCCAGGCTGCATCGTCTCGTCACACGGGAACAGCGACTTTCAATATTGCCAACGTCAATCCAGCCGTCCAGCTTAGTCTGCTGGTTATGATGTACATTTCGGTCTTCCCTATAGCTATGAGCATCCGTATGAGCGGCACTTATGAAGAGAGATCTGTTGGTATTTACGGAGCAGAGGATACGATCGATGAGAGACGGGGAAGTAAGACATACTTGATCAGTCTGATGAGAAATCAGCTCAGTTTTGATCTATGGTATATCTTCCTGGGCGTGTTCTGCATCTGCATTGCGGAGAGTAAGAGAATCATGAGTAGGGAGGACTGGGTCAGTCTCACCGTTCTTGCTCCACTCTAACTTGGACTCACAAATAATCTAGGCATTCTCTATTTTCTCCATCCTCTTCGAAGTTGTTTCTGCTTACGCAAATGTCGGCTTATCTCTGGGCTACCCAACGAACCTGACCTCTTTGAGCGGCCATTTCTCTACTTTCAGCAAAGTCGTCATATGCTTTACCATGATTCGTGGTAGGCATCGTGGATTACCGTATGCCCTCGATCGTGCCGTCACTCTGCCGATCGACCGGCTGGCCGAGCGTGATGAGGAGACCGACCTGGGGAAGCAAGCGAAGGGGGCGTGGAAGGCGCAGGGGAGGAAGATGGTGAAGGCCTACACGCAATGACCCATGGAGGCGTGCTCGATTAAGCAGAGGAAAAGAGGGCTTAAGCAAACAGCACCAAGACGTGGCGTATGAATAGAGTTTTATTCAGCTACAACACTGGAAAGGATATCATGAAATCAAGATTAATCCACTACTGCTCATTGACCAGCACATAACGGTACCTCGCCTTGCCCTCCTCCATGTCAACAATAGCCTGGTTTGCATCCTTCATGGGCCTCTCCTGAACCCAAGGCTTGACCTGTTTCCGCGCAGCAAGGTCGAACATTTCGCGAATCTCGCTAGGTGAGCCGATCAAGGAACCACCAATGTTGACTCCTGTCCGAATCAAGGACCTAGCAGGCACTGATAATGGCCCATCCTCGGGAACGCCGAGCTGGATCAAAGTGCCACCGACCCTGAGGAGAGAAAGGTAATCGGAGATGGGCATTTTCGACGAGGACGCAGAGGAAACCAGCAGGTCGACAGAGCGCGAGTTCTCCTTAACCCAGTTCTCCTCGTCGTTCGTGGCAACATACTTGTCAGCACCCAGCTTCAAAGCGTCGTCCTTCTTGTTGGAATTGCGACCGATTACAACGATGTAGTCCGCACCGAGAGCCTTTGCCCAGAGCAGAGCAAAGTGACCCAAACCTCCAAGTCCAATGATGCCGACCCGCTTTCCAGGACCGCATCCGTTGTTCTTGAGGGGCACGTAAGTAGTGGCTCCTGCACAAAGCATAGGTGCCGCCAGGTGGCTTGGAATCTCATCCGGAATCTTGATAACAAATCGAGACGGAGCGCGGTTGTAGGTGGCATATCCGCCGTAGGATTTGCCGCCATTGGGGTATTTGCCGTTGTAAGTCCCGATCATGCCCTTTACGCAGTACTGCTCGTTCCCATTCTTGCACTCATCGCACGCGCCACAGGAGCCGGACTGAGCGCCTACCCCGACGCGGTCTCCAACTTGAATACCGCCTTCCGCCTTGGAGCCCACACGGACAGCTATGCCGACGATCTCATGGCCGACGCAGCAAGGGTACAAAGTGGGTCCCTGAAACACTGTTAGATGGGAGGTGTCTCTACAAGGAGAAGGGAATGCGGCATACCCATCCGCTTCGCAAGGTATGAAGATCCGAACCGCAGATGCCGCAGTGAGTGACCTTGATGTCGATGTCGGTCTCTTCCCAGGGCTTCGGCTCGAACTCTCCCCAAACCATCTTTCCGTTGGCCGAATCGCTGTCGAGGCCCAACCACCCTTCGAATTTGTAATCTTGGGAACCCATCGTATGTCTTGAACAGAGAAGTCAGGGTATTATAAGAAAAAAGGAAAAAGGAGTTGAGGGTGAGATGCAAGGTCTAAGCAGAGGGTATCAAGACCGCGGAATGCGAAGGAATTTGATGCAAGACAGTGAAGGAGAAAAATCGGACTTATAAACATCTATCAAGAAGGCATAAGTCTTCTACCTGAGCATACCCACTTGCGTCACTCATGGCGGATTTCTAATCTCGACATCGCCCAAGGTCGGCGGATGGGGCCGCTAGTGTCTTCTACAGTCGCTAAAGATGTAAACCCTTGTAGGTCGTTTAAAAATTGATCGGAGTTAACCACAGCAACGACAGTCGGAGACTGAATCTGTGATGGAAGTAGAGACATTCCATTGCGCTCAATGAGTGTGATAGGGGGCATGGAAGTGTGAAATTAATCGTACTGTGATAAGTGGGGCAACATCTCTGGAATACTGAACACTTGCCCTCAGTCACCCTCACTTAATCTTTATGTTCTCAATCCAGAGATAGGGAAATAGGGTCAAATCGGACATTACATCCTGGTGTCGATTCCGATGGTTGAAATTATGGCAGCTAGGCGACATACCGAGGCAGCGACGACGGCCATAGTAATCAACGACGCTGGAGAAGGGACGGAGGACATGGAGTTCGACAGGACTGATGCTCGTGTTTCGGAGATAAACGGCGAATGGCGGTGATGCGATCGTAAGAGAGGTAAAGACGATTTTTCGCCGGGCTACCCGCACTTATTATTCGTCTCGAAAATATTTTCCGATGCCATGGCGCCACACTGTGGCTGTTGTCGCATCATGCATCCGATTGATCTTTCGATGAATGTCAACTCTGATTGCCACCTGGTCAACGAAAAAAGTGTTGCTCGATCTTATTAACAGTTATCATAACCTCGAAGTACCAGGCGAATAGTCTATCAAAGGAGCACCGTAGTAGATGTACGCAGATGTACGCAGGACCGTAGTTCGGATTGTACATTCGGCCGCTACTACTCTGTACGAGGCCTAAGTAAATGTACGTCAGGCCGTGGTCGCGTTGTGGATTTGTACGACACCACTCCATGCCTCTACCAGTGGATGGTCCGTTGTGGTTGGCGTTGCTGATTCCTCGTTAGCTGAGGTGCGCTTGGAGGATTCACAACCATCACCAAGACGACGAGCGGCGAAGCTGCATAGTAACGAGCGGGAGCATCCTGCGTCCTTTGCGCAATACTCCTAAGCTCATGGTGAAGAGGGGGAATCTCGCGCAGGTTTCCTGCGAACATAGATGGTTGGCTCAGGGCCACCGAATTCCCACGGCGCCACCTCCTAGAGGAAGCAGTCAGTCAATGCGGTCATTAAGGCGCTTTCTGAAGTCCTCAGTACTTTTTGCTCGTGTTCCACAGAGAACAGAGAAGTAATACGGTGAGAGGCCGTGGTCCTCCATCGCGAGCGTAGTCAGAGTTCCTCGTAATCAAAGTAATCCTGGAAGTTGTTAAACACCCTGGGGCAAGGACGTGTCACAGTTTGCGAAGCGATGATATTTCTTGAATCGTAGTTTCTGATTTCGTCAATGTTCGCAGGCAGACTATCTGTTTAACTGGGCGGCTTGTACCGTTTTACCAATCCTATTCCTGGAGGCTCGAGTAGACAATTGAAAAGGCAGCGGAGCCGCCCGGATGCGCCACAGCGACAGGCTGACGGCTCTACTGCGCCCCCAACAGAGGAAATATCCCAACGGGGAGATTTCTAGCGGATATTTCGTATTTCCACGACTACATGACGGATTTTCGTCTACATGCTCGCGTACCTGCTGTAGTGTGCAGTCTGGGCATTCTGGGCAGCGTCATCCTCCTCCCTACGCTCCATGTCAATTGGTAGGTTCCACACAACAGCATTATGCAGTGGAAAGGGGGGTCGGGTAGTTTAAGGGACAAAGTTCGGGGTCCATTTCTTTCACCTCTGATAGCTGGAATATATAATTCGACGACAGTGACGGCACAAACAGCCTTGTCCACTAGACCCCTCTGGAAGAGCGACTTTCAACCATTCCCTCCTTTACAATCATCTCAGAGATCAACATCTGTATACAATCGTTCTTTCATTCCTTCAGTCTGTCTCTACTTATTTCTACCTCCTTCTCTTGCCACCACCATGCCGTCTCGTTCCCATTCACTCAGCCTCGTCTCACTCTCCATGGCCTCACTCCTCTCAGTCTTTGGAACGGCCAAAGCTCAATACAACACCCAGCGGCAAGACGTCACCACCATGGCCAACTTCTTCAACCAGAAAGAATGTGCCCAAACCTGTTTCGTTAGAACTGGCTTCTGTCCCTTGGACAATCTCGGCCGCATACTGGGGTGCGCACAATACGACTGCGGGTCCAAATATTTCGCGATCAACGATTGTTACTGTAGGGCAGACCTCCAACAAGCTGCTCACTCGCATCTCACATCCTGTATACGCAACTATTGCACGGTGGGCGATGCGGCTATCGACGCTGTTACTGCGGGGAGCATCTACGACCAATACTGCGGGGGATTGGGATATGTGCCGCCAGCTCCAGCTCCGGCTCAGGCGGTACCAACAGCAACAGCAACAGCACAGGGCCCTGGTGTCCAGGCTCCTCCGGGGGCAACACGAGCACAACCAGCGGGGCCAGGTGTAGCTACATTACCTACATCCACATCAACGAGTGCTGCAGGGAAAGGCTCCTCGAAAGACTTTGATAATTGGTCAACCCCAAAGAAGCTGGGTGTAATACTGGGAGCTATCGCTGGTTTCGCTATCTTATGCTCCATAATATCGCTCTTTCGCAAACCTGAGCCAGTGGTGGAAGTTGTACGACGCCCAGGTTGGGTTTTGCAAAGGGTTTGGGTATGAAGAAAGGGCTGCGACTTATGTCAGGAGTTGGTTATGTTTTACGTCGACATGTTTTACTTAGATTGGCTTCTACCACGGATTGAAGCTGCTGCTTCTCTTATCTCTTGTATGAACTCTGCTACACGGAATACTGGGCGTCATCGTAGATGATGTATGAGAGAAATGTCGAGACCTGATCTACCCACAACAAGTGTTGGTTCACTCACCGTCTATCCATGCATGCTTACGCTACATTACAAGGCATTCGACCAATCCTGCCAAAATGGACCGACATGAATATGACCTATTCAAAATAAATTTTCCAGCCCAATATACCCAAACGACCCTAATCTTCTCAATCAAATAATCCCACCCACCTACGCCGCCAACACAAAATCCCAAACCTGCACCTTCCTCTCCCCAAACGCCCCCCCCTGCCTCACAAACAAACTCAACACCCCCCGCCTCTCCAACCTCTCATAATCCACCCCGGGCTCCCCCGCCATATTCGCAATCGTGCCCAGCAACTCCCAATCCCTATAATCCTGCCCCGCCGTAGCCGCCCAAACAGTCACTGTGCTCTTGGGCGCATCGGGAAGGATGGCGAGAACGTTGTCGCCCCATGCTGCAATCTTCCCTCTGTAGGAGAGATACGGCGGAGTGGAAATGCCCACGTTAATGGCGCGTTTGGAAAAAGCGCCCGACGAGCCGGGCGTGCGCAAGTAGTGGTAAAACCTGGCCGGCCCGCCTGCACTCCTGTCCCGCATGAGGGCGTGGAACCTCCCCTCGTCGTCCGCACATTGCGCCTCCTGGTTCATGATCTCGCTGTTCTGCGGGATGGAGTAGACTTTGACACCCGGGGTGGTGGGGACGATGGGCTTCGCGACCGGCTGGCCCGACGAGGCTCTCCACGTGCGGCCGTCGTCATCGGTGTAGGCAAAGTAGAAGTCGTGGTTGGTGCTTGCGTCCGGGGTTTCGCGGACCGTCCAGCTGACGAAGACGGTGTGACCCTCGGGTCCGGGTGTGGCGGTTAGGCCGTTGATGTAGGCGTTGTTGTCTTGTCCTTGGAGGTACTTCCCCACGGGGCTCCATTGCCCCGTGGAGGAGGAGTAGCGGTGCATGTAGCTGTCTCCGGCGCCGGATTTGCCGATGCGGAATTCCATGAGCATGTCGCCGTTTGGTAGGCGCTCGAATCTGGGGTATGTGAGTGGGGTCCAGGGGCCGGTGGATCCGGGGAGAGAGTGCATGATGGTGCCTCCGAAGGTGGATTGAGTCCAGGAAGAGGGGAGCGTCGTGGCTATTCCGGTTGTTGAGGCGCGGTAGTTTAGGGGTACGTCCTATATCGCTTTTGTTAGGAATCATCTGTCTTGTTGTACTGACATGCAGTGAGGCTGGCCGAGCGAGGACTTACATGGTGATCAAAACTCAAGTGGATCTTCCCGTCGCCGCTTATTCCCATACTAATGGTATTATGCTCATCCAAAGTCTTTTGCTCGTAATCCGTGAACGCGAAATACTGCCACTCGCCCACCGTGGGACTCACTCGCCTCCGTCCCAGATTCACATAGTGGTTCCCATAGCCTTTAGGACTGGTGCTGTAGACCGCAACATATTGATGGTCATTGAACGTGGCCAGCGCGTGCTGCTGGAAAGCAAGGCCGTTCAGGCGTGCGGAGCCTTGCGGGTCGTTGGTGATGTTCCAGTATCTAGTCGACGTGACTGAGATGCAAGCTGCCAGAGATGTGAGGTGGGAAAGAATGGCGAACAGCCATATTGATTGAGCCATGACTTAGTGACGAGCACCATAAAGCATCAAAGTCTCACGGAGCCGCACATTGTTGCAGGCGTTGATATACCTGGGGTTTGCATGGCGAACACGCGTCGCTCGAGAGTGTTACCCCGGATTTCATCCACATTGTAGGGGCCTTAAATCGACCTGTAATATGCGAATTCCACCAGTAATAGGCCAATGCAGACTTTGGTTCAGATTGACGGGTAAAATAGTCTTAGCGTGATATGTCGATATTAAATCCGGGGTATAGCTAAGGCTTCTACACTTCACTGTTCTTAAGAAAATCTGCGAGTAGCTGTAACACTCAGTTTTCAAGTCGCATCTCGATGTTAGCGACATAACAGCGATCCGGATAATAGTCGAATCGAGTGTCTTTGTTGGCATGCACCTCAGCTAATCGATAGTCAGAGGCGTCATGACATAATAGAACAAGGGGTAAAGTTGGACATGAATACAAAGCCAATGTCGGACCCAAAGCCTCATTAAGAGCCAGATCAAGCGCCCACTGTTGGCGAACCAAGATAGCCACCTCACGCCAGCAAATTTCATCATGAGCATGCGAGTAACCCTTTTGAGGCCACATGACAGTGCCATATTCAGAAATTATGCATTAGAACATCAAGATATGTTAATGGCTGAAGTCGGAAGAACTTTGAATAAGGATGGAATTTTACTGAGGAGTTTCACGACCATGCATGCAGCATGCAAGTGCACCTTAACTCCCTCAACACCTAGTGTAGCAAAAGTGGCAGAGCAATTTCACGGGGCACAGCGCCATCCATCCGCTCCCTTGAACTCTGCCCTGCTCGCCCTCGCCATTCGCGCCCTCGTAGCACAGCATTTGATAGCTGCGAATTCACCGTCGCTCTCCTCGCTGCCTGCAGACTCGGAGTCGGAATCAAGGTGACAGTACGTGAACAATTCGTCAGGTATGCCAGCGTTCTTTCTTCTTCGGGTGATTCCGTGAAGCTTGGTTTTGTGATCGTCCCCTAGTGTAGCTACGATGTCTTCTTTGTCTAACGAATGCGACGATGACGGAGGAGTGGGCAGGGCGGAACGACAACCCTTGGGTTGTGAGAGTTCAATTTGATCCTCGCACATTGACCACGAAGGTGTCGACGGGTGCAACAGGGTCGACTCCTTGCGCTGCGGCATTAACTCATGTTGTGCCGGGTTCTCGGGCATCGGGACAGGAAAGTTGGAGACTCGGCGTGATGGAACGGGGCTGGGAGTCGAAGGATGAGTAAAGGTGGAACATCTCCGGTGGAAAGGGAGGGCCATAGAGTTTGGGGGTCGGCCTGAGAGGGAGAGGTAACCGGTGTCGCTATCTACCACGGCGGGTGTCATGTCTGTAGGGGTTGAGGGATGCAGGAGCGTGGAGCCTTTCCGTTGCAGAAAAGGACGGCATGATGTTGTGTCCAGAGGCCGAAGTTGTGGTTTCTGAGCAATGTTTGCAGTGTGCGAGGATTCTTCATTACAAGGCAAGCCACCATCATGGGTTGCATTGATAGCTGGATAGCTAGACGAAGATTTAGACATTGCGAAGGGATCGTCGAGCTGGTAACCTGAGAATGCTTCACTAATGAGCTCGCGCTTTAGGTTCGGCTGCCAGGTTGCTCGTATATCTTGACTTTGTACAGACTTTATTCTCCAGTATGGCATCCGTGTTCCGGCTTCTTCTGATTGCGTCCGCCTCAAGCATGGTTGCCGCGGGGATACCTCAAGATCCAGGTCCTCGGAGTCACCGTCACCTTCCTCGTCCTCGATGGCATCGTGAAGGTAGCGTGAACCCTTGATCGCACTATCATTGTGCTCTTCCGCCTGTTCCCACAGCGCGGACTTTCCCCACCCGCGGTCTGCAAGCCCCCCTCTTCGTGCGAATACCCTCGGTCCGCCGCAATTGATGCAGAGTTGTCTGGTCACAATCGGTCTCGGATGCTGCCGAATGTGTAGGCACGGTGATAATCCTCGAGTCCTGGACTTCGGAGCGTTGACGCAGTGCTGCCAGATTGCAACAGTATGTGTGCAAGAGATATGGTCAACAGGAACAATGATGCACATTGTTCTTGATGATATTAGGGACGATAATGTCACGACGGCAATGGAACACAGGAATGAAGAGGCAAAGTGTTCCACGCCGGGCGGCCGAGGTTATATTTTCTGCACCATGCCGACAAGATTCCGATGGGATGACGAGATTTCGGTTGGGACAACGCACGCGTACTCTGCTGGCCTCTCGTTTTCGGAATGCGATGAGCTCTGACATCACCAACCGTAACGCGGAGTAAGAGAGGTTCATGTAATCAGAGGATTTGTTGCTGGTTTTGCGCCTCGTAAAGGCAAACTGTCCATGACGCACATAAGCCGGGGATCTGCGGCGGAGTCGGCGTAGCCAGTCTGATACCTCTCTATCGAGTATATTTTCGAACATCGGGCGCGATGAGACTCGTTTTCCGCGAGTCACTTTCGCCTCGCTGATTCTAACATAGCTGCTGGAGAAGATGTTGTGTTGGGGGTTGGGGCTTCGCCCCTGTCACCAACGTTGAAGCTTGGACTTACAGTTGGACGTGCGCAAATCCGTCTGACATGCCTTCGACTGCACGCATGCATAGACGCTCGGTTTCCCGCTGTTGGGAGCACCACGACTCTCAAAGTTGCACCTAGAAGAGTTCCAACTCCTCCGTTACGCGCTTCCCGAACCAATCCACAAGCTGGTCCCCCCCGCCTTCGCCTTTCGAAACGAAAAAGTCCGTCATACGCAGATCGCTTCCGTCGTCGTTATCAACGGGCCACTCGACCTTGAGGTCTGCATGCTTGAGCTCCAGCAATTCCTTCGCCGTGCCCCAGGAAAACCGGCACTCGTTGCCCCAGCCGAAAATCGGGTCCTTATTCTGCTTGAGCCACGTCGAAGTCCGAGCATCAGATGGGTATCCGGATCCCCAGGCAATTTCGCTCCTCGCACCACCTTCCTTCTCCGCATCGCCGCTCTCGTACGTTTCCCAGCAGACCTCAAGGGCGGCATCTCTCGTCACCTTGGCGCATACCGAGGCCGCGGATACGACGGGGTATAAGCTGTCGGCCTTTTTCGCAACCGTGATGCGTACCGTCGGCCATATCCGCTCCAGCCTTTTCTGATATGTTTCCGGCTTGCCGATGGTGTCAATGTAGATCTCCTTGACGTTGACTCCGCGTTTCATCACTTCGTTGATTAGGTCAATCGTCGCGTCCATGGCTTGCGCGTTGAGGTTGTATTGCGTCGGCGACAGCATATGGGCAGAAATATCGCGGGCCGAGAGCAATCTCGTTGCCCATCCGCAGCTGTTATGCAGGTCTGAATCGGTCGTGCACAACGTCCGCATTAGATTGGACCGGACTTGTGCGGTAAGCACTTTGGAGTCGTCGAAGTGGTGAGTATCCGCCAGGAGAGACTCTTGTAGATCGATTGGTAGGTAAAACAGAGCGTACACCATCGGGCCTGTGGTTGTTAATGCATTGATCTTTTAAAGAAATAGTTCGCTCACCCAACACGGGACCTCGTCCGGCTTCGTCAACACCAAGAACGCATGGTGTTGACATGTCATCTGTGATCTGGGTCGGGATTGGTGAGAAATGCGAGTACGATCGTCCTTTGAGCAGCTTTTCCTTGTCTATGGAGGGCGCTATGAATACGTCTGAGGGAGGTGTCTCTTGCTCCAGGTCAGGATGGTCCACCTGGACATCTTCGATTGGTTCTGCCATGATAGCTATCGCCCAGTTGAAGCCCAAAGATGTAATGGTTTAGAAATTGATACCGTTGGAGATGTTGTTCCGCGTCCATGGTGCAGACGCGTCAAACCTGGTGGAAGACGCGTCTCGGGCCGTCATTTAGCCGAGGCATTCACCCCTCCCAGCTTATGACGACTCCTTTGTCTCGATACGGCATTGCAGACAAAATAGTATATACGCAGTAATCACTATAGTGTCAGAAGAAAACATTCATTATAAGCATTATCTACCCCTCAGCTCCTGCGCTTCAATCTGCGCTCCTCGGTTATACATCCAAAGTACACTACAACCCCAACCTTCCCCTTAAGCTTTCCCCTACTTCAAGCTCTTCACAATGACACTTCCCACCGTCGCCCTGAAAGCTTCTTGAAACCAATTCGGCAGCCCGCGCAAATGGCTCACGGTGCTTACGGTATTGGGCAAGAAGACCTGGCCACCAGTAGCACTGGCAATCTGCTTGACAACCGCATCGGCAACCACCTGCGGCTCGATGATGGGTTGCTGCGCCACGCGGAGGGCCGTTTCCCACTCGCCAATAAGCGGCGTCTTGACCCAGTTGGGGTGAATGGACGTGGTAAGTACGTTGGGAGCGTGATAGCGGAGGCGGAGTTCTTGGTTGAGACCTGCACACCATCAGCACCGTGATTGATTAATGTCTTGAGCTCCGCGCATACATACCTTCGTGGAAGGCCAGAACGCCAGCCTTGGTGGCGGTATAATCGACCATGCCGGCAACGCCAGCGTAGCTGGCTGTGCTGGCGATTGTGACAATGTGTCCCTTGTTCTTTGCTATCATGTCCGGCAAAAAGGCCTTGACTGTGTACCAATTGCTGAGCAGGTTGACATCGAATATCTTCCTCAGGTACTCGTCCGATGTGTCCAGGATCGCGTGTGCACCGCCAATGCCCGCATTGTTGATGAGAATAGAGGGGGTGCCGACTGTAGCTTGGATGCGCTTCGCGGTCTCGCGCACAGCGGCAGGGTCTGTGATGTCGCACTTGAAGTAGTGAATGTTCCCAGCTGATGTCGCATGTCAGCGGTGCACCAGGTCATTGAGAGGAAACGAGATACGAGAAACGACGTACTATTCTGCAGACCAGAGGGTAGATCCTGAATATCCAGTATAACAATCTTCACACTTTTCTTCCACAGTCCCTTGACCGTCAATTCACCAATCCCACTACATCCTCCCGTTACAACAGCAATCTCCTGTGTCAATTTCCACCTCTTCTTCTCACTCTTGAGCCTCCATGCATTCAGCGCAATGGTATTCAGCTGCTTGTTGACTTTCCCCAGGAGTCCAACTACAAGGAGCGTCTTGAGCGTCCTTACAATCTTCGCAAAGCGCACAGGGTCCCGGAGCGAGGCGCTCCGGCTGACGAGGAACTCCTTAACACTCTCGGGCCCCTTGGTGAGGATCCAGAGCAGGGAGGCGGTAATGACGGGGTTCAACGCAATGTGCGATACGCTGAGCGACACGAGGTTCTGGAGCCGAATGATTGTGGCGGCGGCCGACATGGTGAATTGATTGATACACTATAGATTCGGGGGAATGTGTAAAACGCTAGGGGGCCAAAGGAAAAGGTCGGCCTCTTTCCCTCTACACGGTGTCACAAAGACATGCGGATCCCCTGGGCGAACAGAAGAGGGGCAAGCTCGTCCTCAGCTCTCGCTCTCACATGCAGGCGCGTCAACCTCGGCATTGCGTCCCATTGATTGGCGAAGAGAGATGGTCGCCATTTCTTTCGTCATCGGTTCAGAGTCGCAAGACGGTGTCTTGTTGTTGGTTTGTTGCACGAGAGATGGCGGTGTTTCTGGCGGCCTGGTTTATGTTGAGGTCGCCAGGATAGCAATTCAGTGGATCCACAGACAGCATGCACTCGATCTGCGGGACTAACCGTATTTGGATATATCTTGATATCCGATGCCAATCGAAGCAGTACCGTGCAACTGACGTATTGAAAAACTACATAAATGGTATTTGTTCCTTTCATTCATTATCGCTCGTTATCAAGATTGAAGCAAGGTGTTAGCACGGCCCGGAAAAAACCAACGCATAGTTCAAGACGGAGCCAAGCCATAGACATCGCAATCAGAAAGAACGAGAATTGGGATGTTTACCATACCCACCACGGTCTTGATCTCAAATGAAAGCTACAGGGTATCCGCAAGAAAGAAGATCGAAAAAAGCGAAAATATGAAAACTAGGAGAACATACTCGTGCAGTCCGGTCACTCATATGAAAACATCCGCCCTCAACGATGCCATGACCAACATGCGCTCACCCAGGAAGCTCAGCAGCAAATACTCGCTTGCGTTCCGACTCTGTACCCGGCAGTTCAGTAGCCGTCTCGTGGCCTTGCCCAGCACTCTCTGCAATCTGTCCATGTGCAGAATGATAGTCTGCGTGCGGTCGATACGCTCTTCCCGGCTCCGGAGCATGTCCCTGCAGAGCCGCCCTATACGGGCTTTGCGACGACTGCGACAGATTCGGACTACTCGAAGAGCTGTAGCTATTTCCCCTCGCATGCGAATACACACTGGAAAGAGACTGCTGCGGCGGCAGAGAACCATACCCAGGCGGAGGGCCAATGAGAATCTCCCCGTGACCACTCCTCTCCCTCGGATCCACCGTCTTCAAGGCATTGAGCCGTTCATTCGCGACCTTGGCGTCCATCATGTGCGCCTTTTCCACCAGGCGGTCCACGAGTTTCGAGTGCGATTCCTTGAACGTCTTCTTCACGAAGGAGATCATTACAAGGTTGCACTTCATCTTGACGTCTTCGCGGATGTAGAGGCCTTCTCGAGGGGCGCCTAGGCCCAGCTCGACGGGCTCCTTGGGCTCCCCCGGAAGACTCCCTCCTACGCTCCATTTGGCTCGAATGTCCAGACCTAGCGGCGCATAGATGTGGGTTTGAAGGCCATCCGGGAGGTCGTGGAAGCATGCGTGGTATGATACGGAGCCAGTTGCTAGTCCTCCGGGGAGATATGATATTTTGTCTACAGCAAGTGAGCGGACATTGTTTGCGCAAGTTGATCTGTCATGGAATTTACCTTTGATGGTGTACCAGGTCGAGTAGTACTCTTCTGCTGGTGCATAGCTCGGTGGCTTGCACTGGAAGCGCTCAATCACCAGAGGGTTGAGGTCAATCATCTCCTCGTGGTTATGGTACGTCTCGATTACGCTTTGCCTCGTGACGCCCGCCGGTAATGGCGTTATCGATGTGAAAACACTTGTTTTTGACATGTTGACTGCGACTATATTCCCGTCCCTGGGGGAATGTTCCCGTTCGTTCAGAAGTTTTGCTCAGTCTAGGCCTGGATTGCTGGAGGTTTAGGGTTGAACAGAGGATTGCGGAAAGGAGGAATTCGAACGGTATATTAGATTCAGGAGATTGACTTTCGAGTTTGAGCCGTCTGATCGACCCAAGTACCTATGCAGATGCTGCGGTGAACTCACAGCTAAGCCTCAGCCACAAAGACGCTATGGAACAGTGCTTCTCCCACTGTGTTGGCTCTTGGTGGCTCTTGGAGCGATGGAGGCGGCGGCTTGTGACGTGGGAGCTATTTATGGAAGTATATGTGGGGGCGGGGACAAAAGCTAGCCTAAACGGTACTGGCACAACTGCAGTTTCAAATTTCTGAGATCCCGCTTTACCTGGTTTGGAAACCTTCCATGAAAGCAAATCTGCCACCATGGGAAGCTTCCGTTAACTATAGGATGAGCAGGGTTGAATGTATTGTAGCAGCATCTCACAGGATGAGAAAAGAGATACATTGCCTTGCAATGTTTTGTATAGCATTCATTAAATCCTTTTACCATATGTGTATGTAAAAGCATAGATTTCGAGAACCGCAACATTGAAGCCAGCCTAATCCCAAACTCCCGCAATTCATCACAGCGCCAGTCTTGATGATTGCACACATTGTAAACTCATCATTGGTATCATGTCCTCCGCCTCCTCTGCCACCGTCTCCCTTCTTCAAGTTCACTGCTCATCCCTGTGTCTCTCTTTCATCTCTTCCCGCCTACACGCCCTGATGCATCTCAACCTTCGCCTCAGCCGTCCCACTCCCACTCCCACCGCCAAACCCACCCCTGAACAACCTCACAGCGCCCACGACGGTCGTCGCCGTCCACGCCACCCAACTCATCGCCGAGACAGCCACGCTCGCCTTCGCGATGGCGCACACGGTCCCGAAGCAAATGCGGTCCGCCAGAAACACGGCCAGCGCAACGAAGCCTGCAAACCAGTACAGCATGGTGAGCGCGTCGAGGGCGAGCAGGCCGATGCGGGCCCTCTTCTGGGAGGCGAGCGAGGGCGCTTTCCAGGGGAGGACGACGAGTGCGGCGAGGGCGAGGAGGGACCAGACGGGGCTGAAGATGAGGAAGTTGACCTCGTGGGGGGAGAATTGGCGCCAGTGCGTGGACCACCAGGAAGCGACTGCGAGGGGGAAGGGTTAGTGTGGGGTCTTGACGGATGTCGATGTCTTGAAGTTGAAAAGGCTAGTCGCTCACCATAGCTCATGAGGCCTAGCACTGCGCAAGAGAGAACGGCTTGTAGACCGCGCACAGGGAGTATCCAGTTGATGGCCATCTTGGCAGATGTACTTGAGAGAGAGCGAGGTCGATGTATATGCGTGATATTGGAATCGCAAACCTGTCTGTGGCACACCAGTCGCAGAACCAGCAAACGAAGGCAGAGGATGTGCGTAGGGAATCGACAGGTGAAGAAAATGATGGGAAAAGAGAGTGACGGGAAGAGAATGATTGAATCTTGTGAAATGCAACAGGTCGGGGTGCGACAGGAACGGCGAATATGTTCGCTTCACCTGTGACACCCCCATCTTCTGGTCCCTTTCGTGCCTAAACCTGTTCTCTTGCCCAGTGTCGCGCGGTGGCCATCTCTGCCGTGTTTCTGCTTGTTGGCCCTTTTCTCAATGCGAAGAGTTGATGCGAGCAGAGTGATGCAGTTTGAGTGGTCGGTAATGAGCAGTCGTGTTTCAGGTTGTAAAGGGCAGGGACTTTGGTCTATGCGGACCAGAGGACAAGCCGAAAATCCTGGTTCCCGGATTGGTTGCGTTATACTCTGAAGCAGCTTGGTGCAGCTGTAGAGGTACTGCAATTATGTCGATGATAACTCTTCGCCATAAATAGATAATTATGGCCGCTGTGGGCGAATTTACCCGCTGCCCAGCGTCGCGTTACTCAAATGTCCAACACTTGTCTGTATACCGTACTGGCATGTTTTTATTGAGACCTACGAGATGAGGTGATATTGTTGTGTGTCTGTCTAACTGACCTTTTAGTCGCCTAGTCATATTCCATAGGAAGGTAAAACGGCGAGAGTGCATAGCCGTGTTAAGCATATTAGGATATCTTCCAGGAGCGTCCCGCCGTACGCGGAGCAACCGCTGGGAGTGCAACAGGCTGTGACGGAAAAGATCTCAGCAGTAAAGAACAATGGGGTAGGCCAGAACCAACCGAGATGGTTTCGATTGCATACTCATAGTACAACTGCTTCTCATCATGACATCCGTTGCGACCGATTAGCTCCCAGACTCCACCGTGTAACCCCACGCCAGCGCCCTGACAAGGTCTATCACAGACTGACGCGATGGGCCGCTCGAACCAAAACGCCGGCTCACTGTGTCATTACAAGTAACCTCCAGATGCTTCAGTATAGGACATATATACAAGGGAACATGATACTCGAGACCAGAATCTTGGCTTCGAGAGAAACGACGGCGCGATGTGCTGCATCTTGAACGCGCATACTCATACAGGGAGGTTGAACTTTCTGCCCTGAATGACCCTGGTATGGCATTAGTACCCGACCAAAGCAGAGAGGATGCCAACGTACTTGGTATAGTAAATCCAGAAGAAGTCCGAGTACAGAATCGTTTGAACAATGCCCGCAAACACGGAGTGGGGATCCCAGTGGCCTTCGGCAAAGTAGCGGTAAATCCAATTGGGAATGTACAGCGCACGATATGCGCCGAGGGCGAACAGGTAGTGTGTGGTGATGGTCTCCGCTTCGCCAGTTCTTTGCAGCATGAAAAGTTGGGGCAGGATTGCGACGGATTCCAGCCAAATGGAGAAAGTCCACAGTATCTGAGAACATTAGCGCCCCACTTCAAACTCGAGTCGGAACCCTTATGTACCTCTACAAACTTGTACTTGTACGGGAACAAGATGGCCAAGACAGCGCTGGCGCCCAACAGGTATTGCACCTTGAATGTGTCGAGGTTCGGGTCATGGGTAGGTTTATAGTCGTTTAGCATGAGGTAGACGGTGTAGGCAGAAGTGGTGATGAAGATGATTTTGAACACGGTGAGGTAGAGCGACGAGGGCTGGTAGAAGGTCCAGAGGAGATCAATGTACCGCGTAACGTAAACGAGCAGGTAGAGGAACTGGGATTTGAACGAGATGCCGGAAGCGCTCTACGCAGAGTCAGAGAAAGGGATCAAGCTGAAGCGTGAGGCTGGGAGGGCAATTGGCGTACACTAGAGGACCGCATCTTTTGCAGCAGAATCAAAATGGACAGAACATGGGACAAGTCCCCTAGACATGAGTGGTTAGCTTTGCGCGCGGGGTGCCGCTCATACGAAGCGCATACCTAGTAACCGGAAGATGTTCATGGCGGCAACACAACGCGAAGTTCACGTCTTCTTGGTAACAAGGCAGAATGAACAAAGCGCGGTTGGAGGATTCGATGGAAGTGGTGAATAAGACACGTTTGGCAGGTGTTGAGGATCCTTGCATGCCAAGCCAGTCCCTGGCCACCACTGTCGACCTCAACGTGTGACGTCGACGATGATTTGAACAAAACAATCTTCAGATTCCTCAAAAAGAGCGATGTTCCGGGTGATGGCCCTATGGCCCTTCCCACACGCTGGAGAGACATTCTGAGTACTAAAGATTTCCTCAAGCAGGATTGATTGGACAGATGCAATCCTCTGCCCTCTAAACCTAGGGACCGTGCTGTCTAATAAACCACGCGCTTACCGGTCGACTGTCCTCTGCTTTCATTGAAATAGCTAACTAGCTATATCTACCGTTCTGTGCGCGGCACGAGTCCACTTCTCCTAGTATACACATCACGTTCTAAGCCAACATACGCTGGACTGGCAGCATGCGAAGTCGGTTTTACAAAGTACGATGAACATATGTAGGGCTTCACAGAGCAAGGCAAATTGATTCCCATGCTTGTACTCGGTAGCATCACTGGTATAAAATTCCCCGGAATAGACCACCGTTGGTGTCCGGAGCTGGGCAGGTGGCGAAAAACCGAAGTATCCGCCGCCAAGATGTTCGCCGAATCTAGCATAGTTTACCTCCGATAAGATCGTACTCGGCCTTCAGCCCGAACATTCCTACACTCTCTCTCCCATTTCATTTCCAAACTCATTTTCTACGGGGGCTCTGTGCCTGTCCCTTTACCGTGAGGTTTCCTTGGTTTCTTCGTGTTCATCGTCGGCTCATTCGTCGCTGCTTTCCCGACCCGATGTGTCAATGGGACTAGAGGCTCACACAAAAAGCAACCTCTTTGAGGAGCACATCCCCTTTGTTAAAGCTGCCCTATTGTCCCTGTCTGCGACGCAGTGAACAACCTTGACGGCCTGTCAGGGAAGGGGACCAGAAGAGGTGGGATTTCGAAACTTTTTCCGATTCGCCTCATTAAAGTTCATTATCACGAGTTGGCGCAGCCGTATTTCTCTTCGTTTTCTTTCTCTTTTTTCTTACTCCTAGGATACCCATTTGGCTGTTTTTTCCCCCGCAATGGCCCCTGCCCTCTTGACCAGAAAACCGAGGATTCTGTATCTGGACGCATATGACTCCTTTTCGAACAATATTGTCGCTCAAGTCACGGAATGTCTAGACGCCGAGGTCACGCAGATTCGCATCGATGATAGTCGGTTCTGCAGCGCCGGAACCTCTTCCAACTCGGACAACCAGAAGAACGAGTCTACTGCACCACCTCTAGTCTTCTCTAAATGTCTCCGCAGGTTTGATGCCGTGATAGCTGGACCTGGTCCCGGGTGGGCGACTGAAGAAAAGGATGTCGGGCTAATGAAAGAGCTGTGGGAACTCCAGGATGAGGATTTACTTCCGGTTCTTGGGATATGTCTTGGTTTCCAGTCGATGACTTTGGCGTTCGGTGCGAAGATGAAGAAGCTCAAGGAGCCGCAGCACGGTCTGATCCACGACATATTGCACAAGGAAAGCTCCATATTCAGGGGACTCGACCAATTGCTTGCCACGCAGTACCACTCTCTTCACGTGGACATCGGACACAACATCCAGGCGAATGGCGCTGTGTCGTACCCCGGGGAACTCTGGGCCACCACAGAGCAATGTCCGTTCCTCGAACCGTTAGCTTGGGACTTTGATAATGCGAGGAACGGGGCGGTTCTGATGGCAGCAAAACATACTGAAAAGCCTTTTTGGGGCGTTCAGTTTCACCCAGAGTCCATATGCACCAACGAAGAGGGCTCGCACTTGATCAAAAACTGGTGGAGTAGTGCAGAATCGTGGTGGTGGGAACGACGGCGCGACCGTAAATCCCGCGCGGGAGATGTAACCCCACCTACTCTTGTGAAAGACACTCTGAAGCCGACAGGCCATCCGATATCCAACCTCAGCTGGGAGAAGCTAGCTAGCGACCTTGGCCTTCCGCTTAAAGGCGAAATCAAGGACACGCACGATTTTCTCGAAGCAGTCCGGGATGCCATCGTGTCCAAATCACATACAGGAGGAAATCTAACTCTACCTTCTCCCCAGGACGACTCCCAACATGTGGCGAGCTACCCAGAACACTCTCTCATGTGGGATACGATTGCCACTGCCTTCGGTGGTCGGCTTAAAGCCGAAATCAAGGACGGGAAAACTTTACCCAGAGCATTACGGGACCGCATTGGTGGCCGCGTGCCGGAGGTATCTAATGCCAGAGACTTCGCGGGATTGATCGGTCTCGACATGGAGCTGCGCGCAAATTACTTCCCGCCGCCATATCTGCAATGGCTAACCACTGGAAGTGGGCGTCTTACGGTCGCGGACGTCTGCGAAGCTTTCGATATCCCACGGGGTGAGGCGATAGTACTAGAGTCTGGTCTTCAACCAAATTTCCAACCCTTTAAGGTGGGGACAGGCAGATACAGCATCATTGGACTGGTTCCGGAGAAAGAAACGATCCGTATACTGTATACATGCGCGGATCGAACTTCACAATCAGGCTGCAGAGAAGGGACACTCGAGCTCCAGGATGGGCAAGGCAACGTGCTCATCAAGGCTATGACTTCCACTCCCTGGGAATATATCAAAGCCTTCATGAGACTTGCCACGCCAATCCGCACCCCTATCAAAGCAAACCCTGCGCCATTCTGGGGCGGGCTCATGGGTTATGCGACATATGAGTCTGGCCTGGAAACGATTGATGTCGACTTCGTTGGGAAATCGTCATATCCCGACATTTGCTTCGCGTACGTTACACGCTCCATTGTTCTGGACCATTTTCTCAAGAAAGCCTACGTTCAGAGTACCAGGCTGTGTGATCGTGCCTGGCTCGAAGGTGCCCGAGAGAAGATCTACAATGCCGCTGCCTTGAAAAGCTTCTCATCTACGCCGAATCTGACTCCGCTGCCCAAGCCAGATCCCTTTGACACCGACACGACCCTCAACGAGTACCTCTGGTCTTGCAAACAACATGTGGCCGAGCAAGATGCATACTGCAAGCTCGTAGAAAACTGCCAGGAGTACATTGCCAACGGTCACAGTTACGAGCTCTGCCTCACCACGCAGAACAAGATCACCGCTAAAAGGCCCCTCGAGTGCCGCCACTCCCAAACCGCCAACAACGAACTGAGCTGGAAGCTCTACAAGCGCATGACGAGCCGCAACCCCGCGCCCTTCAGCGCCTACGTCCGCCTGGGCAACGTGCACATCCTCTCCTCCTCGCCCGAACGCTACATCTGCTGGGACCGCAAGCAAAAAGCGCAATGCCGACCCATCAAGGGCACCGTCCAAAAGCGGCCCGGCGTCACCGCCGAAGACGCCCACGCCATCCTCTCGTCCTCGAAAGAACGCGCCGAGAACCTCATGATCGTCGACCTCGTCCGCCACCAACTCCACGGCGTCTACGGCGCCGGCAACGTCAAAGTCAGCCAACTGATGCAAGTCGAGGAGTACGAAACGCTGTGGCAACTCGTCTCCGTCATCGACGCCATACCCGCGGGTCTGGGTCCCGGTCCCGGTCCCGGGACACCCAGCAGCAGCAGTCCCGAGAAATGGCACGACGCGAGCGTCGGAGCAGCGGAATACGCGCCCCCGGACCCAGACGATGCGTCGTCGACGCTGGGCTTCGAGGCGTTTATCCAGTCGCTCCCTGCAGGCAGCATGACGGGCGCGCCCAAGAAGCGCAGCTGCGAGATTCTGCAGTCCCAGGAACGGGCTGCGCGGCGGGGCGTCTACTCGGGCGTCATTGGCTACCTCGATTTTGGCGGCGCGGGAGACTTCTCCGTCGTCATTCGCACGGCTGTGAAGGTTGATAAAGCTGCGCCTGAGAGCACCTCGGAGGAGGAAGTAGTAGCTGAGGAGGAAGAGGATGATGAGGATGAATGGCTCATCGGCGCCGGCGGCGCCATCACCAGCCAATCCGACCCTGCGTCCGAGTACGACGAGATGCTGGGAAAATTCCGCAGCGCCTCGCGGGCGTTCCAAATGGATAGTAGCGAGGCCGCTGGGGATGCGTCCGGGGCGAGAGAGAAGCCGGCGCTTGCGGATGTTTTGGCGTTGTTGGATCGTGGGATATCGGTTTCGGCTGCTTGAGGGATTGTTGGTGAGGGGTGTGGGAAAGGGGTGGGTAAGGGGGTTCCTAAAGGGGGTGCGTGTGTTGGGCAGTAGCTGTCGGCGTAGGTTCTCGGGTTGGTGATGACGGCTTTTTTGGTTGGAGTTTCGTTTCGAGGGCTCGGTATTCCATCATGCGTGCGGCTTCGATAGAGATGGCTAGATTTCAACACTAGAGATTCCTCCCCTAAATGGTGGATTGAGGGGGAGCGTGGTTTAGATGCTTCATCCGCATCGGTTCTGATATTCGTTATTCGCATAGCGCTGCTTTGTTGGTACGATATAGATTACGCATGGCGTCGTTTCTTTGCCGGGTTATGCTACAGAATGAGAGTGGATTAGATTTTACGTGTTTTTATAACCGGCTTGGTGTTGAGTCTGTTGGGAGGGGGTTGTGTAGAGGGCTTGATTGGTGTGCGCAAGTCGAAGTTTGACTGCTAAATGGTTCTGTACGGGGTGACTAGGGGCTTGGGGGGTAGCAAGTGGTGTTAACGGTATGCGCAAGGAAGTAGAGGGGGTGCTATTGTATTCATCTACGTGTTTGCAGTGATGAAGGAGGCAGAGCTCCTATCCGTGGGCTTCCGAGAGTTGGCTTTCACCAACTACCAAGGATGAACCACTTTATGCATAACTTGAGCCATATGGCAAAGGGAGTAGAGTGATATCGGAAAGCATTTCCAAGATCAAGCAGCAACGGGAGCAGATTCAAGACGAAAGTAGTGACGAGGAGAAACAACACTGAATTGGCAACTGGTATCGATATCTGACTGTACCCATTGAACAACCTGTATCTATATACCCATACAAAACCCCTCGCTCGCAACAGTAATCCCCTCCTCCCATCCTCTCCTCATCCCATCCTCCCTCCTTCGCCCCCCACCCCTACCCCATATTCTCCCCCCACCAAGCCTCCCTCTCCCTCTCCTTCCACGCATCAAACTTCCCCGCCGCTCGATCCACCATCGCCTGCTTCGCAGACGCCTGCCACCCCTTAGCGAGGTGCCCATTCCTCAGATCCAGCTGGAACTTGGCGACATCGGTCCTGAAGATGTCGCCCCCAGCCAATTCCTTGGGTCGCGCAACCCCCTTCTCCTTCCCCTCGTCTTCCAAAAGTGCAGCCCTCAGGCCCAGATTCGCCTTCGTCGGCGGCAGCATCTCGAGCAGCGTGCCCATTTCGCCCGGCGCCAGGCAGTCCCACGCAGACGGCTCCAGCAACAGGTGGTAGATGTCGGCTCGGCAGAGCCGGCTGTTGGAGTTTGTCGTCATGTAGACGGGGTCGAAGGTCTTTTGGCCCGCAGGCCGGGTTTTCTTGGGGGCGGGAGTGGGCTCGGCTTCTGTGATGAGGCGGGAGGGGGGTTTGCGGGTGCGGCTTGGGCGGGTGTTGGGTGTTGCAGCGGTGGCCTTGGGCTTCGCTGGGGTCTTCTTTCGAGCCTTTCTGGCGGGCGAGGCCGTGGACGAAGGGAGGGTGTCTTCGTCGAGGTGGGCGCCGGTGCGCTTCTTGGTGGTGGTGGTGGAAGAGGTGGAGGGACTGGGGGCTTCGTTCGGCTTGCTCATGGCGGGAGCAGAGGCTTCGGGGTTGAAAGGACCTTCGGAGCCAGCCGAATGGTTGGTGGGGACGGATGAGAGGGACGAGGTGCTCTTGGTGGGAGAAGGCATCGCGATGGTGGATGTTTGGTGATGCTGGTTTGGTGGTTGTGAAGTTGGGATCCTTGGAGGGTCTGGTATTGCGGAGGAGGGAAGCGGCGGTATCTCAGAAGCTGGATGAGAGGGCTGAGGAGGAAGAGAGCTGACAGTGTGGGGAGGAGAGGACCTGTTTATATAGTCAGGGACGGGGAGCAGGAGCTATTGTGTGCGGATGCCATTGTGCTGGACAATATAATCGTCCGGGTGCACCGTGATTGTGAAATAGGGGGTATAATATAAATGATAGACAATAGGAGATATACTGATTGTGTCGAAGCACCGTCTCAATACCGGCACAATAGGAGGAGTTGAAGTTGAGAAGGGTCACGTGATGGGTATTGAGATGGTTCAATGTTGCGTATATGCTCAACCTCCTGAGCTAGGAGAAGGATCTTATAGGAAAGGAGTAAATTGAGAGACCTCAGAACTGATTGCTTGGGAAAACGAACTCACCGTACGGGGAGCGACATGGTGGGATGTCGCAAACTGTGTGACTGTACTATGTGATATCTGCAAGTCACGAATACCTCTGGAGGAGCCCAATTTTGTATGCAGGTCAGAATCCTGTTCTCCTCTCATCCGCCGTCCAACATCTCTGGCAGGTCTCTTCGCAATGGTTCCGCGGGCAGAGAGTGTATCATGACGGAGTGGTGGTGGTCTGTCGTCAAGAGGTCCAAGGGTCCAAGCTCTTTGAGGTTGCTCTGCCCACCACCACCATCATCATTCCCGAACACGTAGCCTCTCCACACCACAACCTTAGAACTACTACTTGCCTCTGGCGCCTAGCTCTCAGTCTTGCTACAGAATTGACTCTCGACCTCCCACGGCACAAGCTTAACCGCACGATCCCCCGACGGCTGTTCCTCACACGAAGCGCCAATGATTCGGCACACGCTGATTGCCCGCTTGGATGGCTTGATCCTGGCTGCGTCCGTCGACGACGGAGAGGAGAGCGCCGAGTTCAATGAAGTCAAGAGCAAGATAAAGCTGGTGCTACGGCGCCTCAACCGCAATTCGGAGCCCCAAGCCAGCATTGAGAGCGGCTCCTACACCTACCAGTATGGCCGCCCCACGTACTCTCGTTCACGGACATAGACTCACAGAGCCTGCAGCTACATCATTCATGACGAACTATGCTTTATCTGCATATGCGACCGCTCCTACCCCCGGAAACTCGCCTTCACATACCTCTCGGATCTCTCCTCAGAGTTCACCACGACCTACAACCAGTCACAATACCTTTCGCCGTCATGTCGGCCGTACGCCTTTGTCGAGTTCGACACCTTCATACAACGCACGAAGAAGACGTACCAGGACTCCCGTGCCACGCAGAATCTGGACAAGCTCAACGATGAGCTGAAGGATGTGACCAAGGTGATGACCAAGAACATAGAAGACCTGTTATATCGCGGTGACAGCTTGGAGCGCATGGGAGATATCTCGAGTAGGCTTCGTGAAGACAGCAGGAAATACAAAAAGGCCGCAGTCCGGATCAACTGGGAGCTATTGATGAAACAGGTGAGTTGCTGCTCCGAGCGACAGGGGCCAATGCGTGCTAACGGCAACCCAGTACGGCCCACTTGGAGCCCTGGCCTTCATCATGATTGTTTTCATATGGTGGCGGTTTTTCTAGGCGTCTTCTGGATTTGTGAGCCGCTCATTGCATGCTTAACATGGAGTATGCCCTTCTCCTCCCAAAGGTGTCACAAACCTGACGTTGTGGGTTGCATAACGTGTACAGTATGATTATCAATAATACCCCTTCTCATTCGCCTGACTTGGCCCCCTTGCTTACTGTGTGCTACCCATGCTGGTCTACTGATAGATTAATCAGCATAATCTCGATGCTATGTCCTGAGCCTCCAACTTCCACGTCTTCGGCGTAGTGCTGACCGGCAAGTCGGCGATCCACTTCTCGCACGACAGCTTCCGTCGGGCTCACTTGGGTGACTGCCTATCAATAGGAATACGTTGAGGGGTACACAACTTACCGACTGCTCCGGTTGGCGTGTGGGGCGAGTATGCTCATCTTTTGCGGCGCAATGGGTATTCTTTAAAAGTAGCTCATGTCCCCCCGCGTGAGCTACATACCTTTCATCTCTCGAACGGCATAACCTCCATCATGGCCAAACCGCAAATCGTCCTCGTCCCAGGCGCTTGGCATACTCCGGATTGCTTTGATATCATCACCGAGAAGCTCAAAGCTCATGGCTACACGGTTCATTCCCTGCAAATGCCAGCCGTGGGAAGAGACGACAACCCAGTCAAGGACCTCGAGGAAGACTATGCCGCGCTCCGCGAAGTGGTGAACAGAGCCATTGGGGAAGGCAATGATGTTGTCGTTGTGCCCCACAGCTGGGCGGGTATACCCGTCACTGGCGGATTGTCAGGGTTTGGGAAAAAGAAGCGGCAAGAACTAGGACTTCCTGGTGGGATTGTCAAGTGCGCGTACATTGCCTCCCTCATCATCCCGGAGGGTCAGAGCTTGAGCTCTGTTTTGCCAGGCGACAAGCCAGACTGGTGGGAGGTTAGGGTAGGCGCTGCTCTTTTCCGGGGCTACAGAGTGCCCATCTCATTAGGGAGTGGAAGTGCTAACGTTCTCTCGCAGGGCCCTCTTGCAATCGTCAAAAACTACAGGCCATTTTACGACCCTGACATTCCAGCCCAAGAGCAGGAGGTGTTGGCCAAGCGACTCAAGTCGCACTCGCTCGCAACCTTTGTTACGCCAATCACGTCGGCGTCCTGGAGGGAGATCCCCACGTCCTATCTCCTGTGCGAAGACGATCAATCGTTTCCGGCTTTCGCGCAGGAACTCATGACGAACGCGGCGAAGGACATGGGGGCGGATATCGATGTTCAAAGGGTTAAAGCCGGGCATAGCCCTTTCTTGAGCCAGCCCGATGCCGTGGTGGACTTCATTCGCAGAGCAGCTGGGGAGAAGGTGTAGACCTGTCCATATCACGATTATATGGTCGACGTGCGAGACTTGGAAATTGTTAATCAAAGATGTCAACTCAATAAGTACTCCCGCTCATATGTAACCCCGCATATACTGCTCCGGGTTCCCCTTGTTGCGTGGTCGAGGTAACTCACTTCTCGCGTACTCACAGCTGCGGTTATTTCTCCGAGCGCCTGCAGCTTCGGGTCCCCAGCGGCCTTTCCCTTAACACACACGTTACATTGCATATCTAGGAAGGCACTGTCGTGTTAACCCACATCGTTCCCACGTCCATATCTTCTGCCAGGTACCTTTGGCTTTTTTTAACTCCTTTTCTCTCTAGCTTTTCTCAGGGTAAGTTGAATAAGGCCAACGTCTTCTGTACGGTTAATCACCCTCATTGCTGACCTCCAAAGCCCAAGCAACGGTAAAACAATGACACCAACGTGGCTCAATCAAGCTTCTACCAAAAGGGGCGAAACTCTGAACAAAATACCCGCATCGTGGCACCTCCCAGAAGGATCCACATCGCACATCACAGAAGACTCGACCGACAGCGTTCTCTATATCCCAGCTGCGTCCGGTATCCTGACTGAACGTGAGCTTCAAATCACCGAGCGCCATGATGCTACGAATCTAGTCACTATGATGCGTAGCAGGGTATATACATGCGAAGAGGTCGTCACGGCGTTCTGCAAGCGGGCTGCTATTGCGCACCAGGTGGTCAATTGCTTGACGGAAATCATGTTTGAAGAGGCCATCGAAAAGGCGAAGGTCTGTGACGAAATGGTTGAGTCGGGCGCGGAGTTGGGCCCCTTGCATGGGCTACCGATCAGCTTGAAGGTATGGACCTGGCGCTGGGTATCTGGGACATTGAAAGGGCTCATATGTCAGTCGGCATCAAGCTAACGTATTGAGCAGGACTCCTTCAACGTCAAAGGCGTCCAAACCACCATCGGCTACATCTCCTTCCTCTCCCACCCCCCCGCAGCCTCGAACTCCCACCTCGTCGACATCCTAATCGCAAACGGCGCAATCCCCTTCTGCAAAACGAACCTCCCGCAAACCATGATGTCAGCCGACACGCACAACAACGTCTTCGGCCGCACCCTGAACCCAAACAACCCCTCCCTCACGGCCGGCGGCTCCAGCGGCGGCGAAGGCGCCCTCCTGAAGATGCGAGGCAGCGTCCTAGGAGTAGCGACCGATATTGCGGGCAGCAATCGCATCCCCGCGCTGTGCAACGGAGTCAAAAGCTTCAAGCCCACGGCATCCAGGATCCCGTTTGGAAACAAGGTACCACCAGGTCGCCTCGGCAGTCCCAGCAGCATTCTTCCCGTCATCGGACCCATGGGACACTCGGTGCGCGATTTGGAGCTCTTCATGCGTTCCGTGATTGACACCAGGCCGTGGATTTGGGACGAAAACGTGCTCGACGTCCCGTGGAGGAGAGTGCATGCGCTAGGCTCACACGCCAAGTTGCGATTTGGAGTCATGGGGTCGGATCCACAGAGGCCTTTGCATCCACCAGTCGCGAGGACTATGTATACAGCCCTCGAGGTGCTCAAAGCCGCTGACCACGAAATCATCGAGATAACGGGGTACCCGAGTCTGTGGTCGACGGCCGTGCTGGCGTGGAAGTACTTCCTCCTGGATCCCGAGAGGACGCCAGCGAAGCATGTCCACGCCGGAGCGGAGCCATGGGTGCCATCGATTGCGGTGACGAAGTTCCCAGAGTTGGAAGGTTGGGAGCCGTCGATTGAGGGGTTGTTTCAAATGAACGTGGCGCGGGCGAAAGTGCTGAAATTTTATCATGATGTCTTCGTGAAGGAAGCGCTGGACGCGATTGTTATGCCGGGTTACCAAGCTACTGCGGTGCCGCATGATACCTATGGCGTCCCTATCTACACAGTGTTGCAGAACTTGCTCAATGTAGGTCATCAGGTGCCCCGCTCTAAGAGTTGCCTAGTAGGAGAGAAGAGGTTAACCGAAAGGCAGTACCCATCTGGCATATTGCCATTTCTGAGAGCGGAACAGAGGCTGGATGAGGCGTACGTCCAGACAACGCTTACCTATGAGCCGCCATGTAAGTTTATCCTTCCCCGGATTCACTGCAGCCCTCTTGCTGACTATCCGTTTTGAAGATGATGCTCAAAGGATTGAAGGGGCTCCCTGCGCGATCCAGGTCATGGGAAGGCCTATGAGGGATGAGGAGTTGATTGAGGTGATGAAGGTGGTTGAGCGTTTGTTAGAGGAGTATGAAAAGGAGCACGATTGAAACGGCGCTTAGCTTGGACTGAAAGGCTGGTATTGTCGGCCGTGGTTTCAAAGGCTGTGTTATGGATGGACGTTTTGTAGGGGAAGCGTGAAGCTTCTTGTCAATGAAGCTCTATTGTTATTGTTATTCGACCGAGCCGGGTTTCGCCTGGGAATTGCGGACGGTCTAAGTCGTTTCGCGTGCTATAAGCAAGTATTTGTAAATTGAAAACAGAGACCCCGCAATGCCTCTCTCACAGCTGTTATCTTGTATGAATGGAATCACATTGCGGAAGATGTCATAACCTTCTTGATATTTAGACACCCAGTAAAACTCTAGACGCTGCTATATAGGTTATTTTGCCCTGCCAAGAGCTCAAGCTCTGCGTGTTTGCAGGACGACGGAGCGTCACCATTCCATCACTCAAAAGTCTGCTTATGATTCTGCGCCGTCATGCTTCCAGAAACCTATGATTCTATTCAAACCGAATATACCTACTCCAGAATGGGAGAAACCAAAACGGTAAACCCAGTCTCCTGCATGAAGCCACGGCCAACGACAAAGTCAAACCCAGTCTGATCACTTGCAATCATGCCCAACGACCAAGAATATCCTACTTGCTCGTGTTCACAGACAATGTGATTCCACCCTTCATACTGACCAGCCACCTGCTACCGCCTCACAATTTGTAAACCAGTACATACACCAACGTCAAGATTGCCAGTAATGGCCAAGCGGTCCCCAAGAGAGCGAATCTCACGTAAACAGGGTTTTCCGGGACCGGTGGTCTCTCGGGTGAATGTGGCAGAGGAGCACCATATTGACTCCCGAAAAGTAACGGCATCCCTTCTTCTGAGGACCGCCTCCGTGGCCGAAGTGAGGCTCTCTCGAGGAGCCGTCGTAGTACATATTCCTCATCTTCCCGATCTCTGATGTCCTCTCGCGGCGGAGATGGTTGCGGTGAAGGGGTCCGTTCCTTTTCGAGAAGAAGACGATTGTATGTTTGCCTTGCGCGTGAAAGAAGCGGCCATTCCGGCACTGGTCCTTGCCGTTGCGGTGGGCGTTCGGTGGTCGTCGACTCGTGTGAACCTTCTAATCCTTCCGTCGAAATAGCGTTTGACCTTTGTTGTGGTGTGAACGACCAGCGTAGTTCGGTCCTCCACTGTCCGGTCGCCGTCTCGCCAACGTCGACTGTAAATTCCCCCTGGGATGTTGGATGGGTGTACGACGGGTCTGGAGATCCTAGCGGTGCCGGCGCTGAACTAGACCGTTGTGCGGGTTCTTGGTCTTCTGGATCTCGTCTCCGGCGGCGAGCTCCGGGCGACCTGCTTGGGTACGAGTTCCGCGGCATGGTAGCGTTGTGTGTCTGGTTGTGGGATGGGATGGTTTGCTGATGCTGCTGGGCGCGTTTGATATATGAGAGAAGTGAGGGTAGTCGCGTCTATCCCGAGTGATGGTACTTGAATAAGGGCAAACAGATTATCACTGTGACGGTGCAAAGAATGTGGCGGGATGGTGAGACAAAAGGAAGATGGAGGAAGTAATGGAACGCACCGGTTAAGTACCCACTGCAGCGCCTGCCGGACTCCAGAGCTAACAACGGAAACTGCACGTTACGACAAGTGCCAACTACTCATCATCGAAACTGCAGTGACTACAGTCTGATAAGGAACATTCGAAGATCCCCCATTAGGCGGCTAGAGCACATCGCGTGGAAGTATCAAGCGCGGACTACCAGTGCAAATGGACCAGCTTCAGATGTTCGCATTCATCTCTTTATCAGCGACAGAGCAGGGTACATCGACGACCCACCCCGCCTCAATGAATCGCTCAGCGAGCGCAATGTACTAATCGCTGAGACCCTTTTCCTAGAGATGTTTCCCGGTTTATGTTGACGCAAACACAATAGAACAACTGGTCTGTCGGCGCTCATAGCCAACACGCTCGCCGTCGGGGAGCTACAAATCAAGTTCAGCCAACCGGACAACTTAGCACGCCACGAATGCGACATGCCACCAACCTCTCACTTACACCAACTCCTGCGCAAGGTTTTCCCGATCATGGAGATGCAAATCATCTCGCACAGGGGACAAGCAATAGACAACGCGCTCCATAAAACACTTTCAAGCCTGCAGTGACTCCCTGACAACATCCAACCAGATGGCTTCGGTTTCCAGCCGATATTAAAGATTTGGCGGGGGAGTTGCAGTTGAAGCCATAATTATCGTAGCCTTCCTGTCCTTTTGAAGTGATCTAGGGCTCCCTAATTATCAAGAAGTGACGGACTCCGTCGCCTCTGAGGCACGTTCTCGCTCTTTCTGCCGGCCCGCTGATAGGGAGATGGACTCCTTTCATCCTTGCCTTGGTTTGGAGATCTTGTCCTCTTCCTATATCTCGTATCATCAGGAGATTCAGTTTTCGTACCTCGCGCTTGGTATGGGGAAGTGCTCCTCCTTCCACGTCCTTGGTAAGGTGACTCGGTCCGCTTTCTCTCCCGTCGCTCGTAAGGCGACTTGGTCCGCTTCCTCTCCCGTCGTTCGTAAGGTGACTCGCTCCTCTCCCGAGTATCTCTTCGAAACGGGGACCTGCTCCTGTCCCGTCTTTGGAAAGGCGAGTCGCTCCTCTCCCGTATATGCTTTCGATACGGGGACTTGCTCCTCTCCCGTATATGCTTTCGATACGGGGACCTGCTGCTGTCGCGTCTTTGGAAAGGCGAGTCGCTCCTTTTCCGAACATGCTTTCGATACGGGGACCTACTCCTGTCGCATCTTTGGTACGGGGATTCGCTCCTCTTCCGCTCGTATCCGCGGTCTGATGAGATACTGCTCCGATGACGACGGTGATATGGGGACCTGCTTCTGTATCGCCGACGGTCGTAACCGCGATCGCGACTCGTTGACCTGTGCCTCTCCTTTCGTCGCTCGCGAGACCTGGACCGATCGCGACGCCGATAATTGTGATCCCTAGACCTGCTCCTTGACCTGTGTCGCTTGTGTCGCTCACGCCGATCATTATCCTCTCTCCTTGACTTGTGCTTGCGACCTTTTGCCTCCGCCTCACCAGCCTGACCCGGTTTCGAAGCCTTCGATCCTAGCTTGACCATGTTCGGATTAGCTGTTGCATCGCGATCGGGGGGAGCGAGCCCCATCGCAGCATACATAGCTTCCTCCTCGAGTCTCTTGAAGTAGGCCTTCTCCTCGCGTAGTTTCTCTTCGTGCGTCTTCTCCCGCTGGGCTTCTTCGTCGGCTTTGTTTTTGGCGTACCAGTTCATATCACGGCCCTGCTGCCAGCGTCCCACAGCTGTCCAGATTGTCAGCGTTAATAATTCTCGAGACAAACGGCTCGAAATACGTACGCGCCATGAGCGAATGGCCCAGGTAGTTCTCACGGTGAGCACTCTCCTTGACATCTTCCCACTTGAAGTCGGCGCGACCGCCCCTGATTTGTGTAAGAATGTGAAGACAGCGTAAAGTAGGCCTGCATACCTGCTCCCCTCCTTGCGCACTGTTTGAACGAGATCCATGGCGAGCAATGGAGATACCAAGTCCAAAAATGAGGTTGCGACGACGCGCCAATGCGACAGCATCATGGTGGCATACATTAAGTCATGCCAAGGCGGGATCTAAAATCTTGGCAACCGCGAGCCGCGGTAACAACGACCCCGGTCTATGCATGCTTTGACCACCACCACTGGTACTCCGATCATATTCCCGCCCTATCCACCACCACCCTCTGCTTGTAAGCTTCAACACGACACCCACAATGAAGCTAGCAGAACTCAAAAGCCACGACGACCAAGAACTCAACGAGCCATGGCGAGCCCTGCAATTCGGCGGCACCCCGGAACCCAACAGCAACAGCATCCTCTGGTACTTCGCCTGGTCGCCCTTCTGGGACCCCTCCTGCAACAACAAAGCCCTCGAGAACCAGGCCCAACAACTACCCAACGGCCAAGCCATACTGAACAGTCGGCAGGAATTCGAGGCTACGCTTCGAGCACAGTATCCCACGGGCGTGCAGTTCGTCGTCTCTTCCGAGGCGCAGGATCGGACGCATCCTTGGGTGATTCAGCGGCAGAATCGGTTTTTCGAGGATAAGGAGATTAAGACGGAAGTGGAAGGGATATATTATACCAGGGGCGCGGTGCTGCAGGCGGCGCCGAAGTTGATGGATGTGGTGGATAACCAGCTTGTATGTCAATTACCATACCACACTTAACCACAATATGCAGGTCGAACTAACTTGTACCCAGTTCTCAATCTCCCGCCTCATGGACGAATTCCTCGAAACCAGCAGCGCACTCGACCACTGGTCCCCATCCACGGGACACACTTACCTCCCACCCTCCTACAAATCGAAAACCGACGGCGGGCTCGCCCAAATATCGAGCCGTGCAGGCAGCGTAGTACCTGGCGGCGACACCGACGCGTCACAGCCCGCCGCAGCATCGGCCCAACAGAGCCAAATGACCGAATTCTCGGACGCCTTCTTCCTTCAATCGCTCAACCTGACGAATCGGTATCGGAACGAGTACATGGACGAGAACCCGTTGCAAGGCGAACCCGGCGCTTTTGTCTTCGCTTCCACGAATAAGCAGGTCGAAGCCAGGAATAAGGCACAAGCTGCGGCCGCAGCTCAGACGAGCGCCGCTACAGGCACGACCGCAGTATCTGCGGGGAAGCCCGTTGAGGGAGGGAGTGCGGGAAACAGCGCCGCTCCGACACCCAAAGCTGCGCCTAATGAAGCAACGTCTCGGAAGGGTAGTACAGTGGGCATGCCACCAAAGGTCAAGGGGAGGCGGAAGAGCAAAGGAGGTGCGAGTCCTGTGACACCGACGGCCCCTGGGGGGTTTTAAGGCGGAGAAGAGAGGCTTTTTCTTTCACATTTATGATACCCAGTATGTCATTGAGCATGCTACAATATTGCCGTCCGACGTACTACTACATGGAGTATTGGACGCGGTCAACTAAACATATCGAGTTTGCCTTTTCAGAGGTGGAGAAAAGGACATCTCAAGGAGGCGGGGGATGACATATGCCATATGCATTATCCAATTCAAGATCACTGAGTCGAGGGCAATAGGATAGTCTCAGTGACTTGATAACCGTCCTCAAGCCGAGCTACAAGCACGTATATGTACACCTGAATGTATAGTCCTCAGGGTATATCCCCAACTCCCAAATCCCTACTTCCGACTCACCGCACTCCGTACCGCCTCCAAAATCTCCTCAACCACCCATTCCCCAGGATTCCTCTCCTTCTGCCTAACATTCCAATCGCCCAACCCCCAACCCTGACGTCCCCCTTCACCCACCAAGGAAAGCTCGACGACGCACACCCTCTGACCCTTCCCTGACTCTTTCGGCAACCCCTTCGGCTTCGATGCCTTGAGCAAGGGTGTTCCAAGAGCAACGTGGATGAGCTCGGGTGTGGTGATGGGGGTCAAAGGGTGCACCCGGGTCTTGGGAACCGATTGCACAGGCGCCCCGGAGATCGTAACGGTAGACGGCGCGGCCTGCTGGAGGTGGGAGTAGATGATGTAGGCGGGTAATTTGTCGACGGGGGTGCGTGCGAGGATTGATGAAGGATGTAGATAGACGTATTGGCTGGACGGATCGGCCATCTTGGCGTGACTCCGGAATTGCGACGAGGGGAACAGAGTAACGTAGGGGACGTTGATTGCGGACTTGGGTCGGGGGCGAAGCTCCGGCGGATTGGCGGATAGGTCCGCCCGTAGTGCGACCTGATCTATGAAGCCAGCGGCGCAGACTTGGGAAAAGAAACTGACGAGCCTGTCCGAGGGCGGAGGGAGTTTTGCTTCATAGCTGCTGATAGCGGTGGGATGGCGTGCTCTGACGATGTGTGTGAGCTGTTCGCGGAGCTTGCTCGCTTCGTGCATTGCCTTGGAATTAAGAAACATGGTTTCGCAGAAGGTCTTTGGGTTGGATGCGTGGGCGTAAGTGCAGACGGCATTGTAGAGCTTGATGACGTCCCTTCGCTTTGCGTTTTCCGCAAGCTTGCTTTGAGCCTCGTTGTACGCTTTACGATGCTTCGAGCGCTGTTCTGCTTCAAGGTTCTCGGCGTCCGTGCGGATACCATCTGGACTGCCTTGCCGTGGTTCCTGCAGGTTCAACTTATTCTCCGGTACCATAAGTTCCGGAACGGAGAGAGCAGCGACCAGGGCAACCGTCTCGGCGGCGGCCCAGCTGTGTCTAACGCCCATGACTAGCATACGAGAAAAGCGTGGGTGCAGGGGATACAAGGAAAGCTCACGACCAACTTTGGTGATGGCCGTACCACCCGGACGCTTTCTGTCTGGAGACAAGGCCCCGAGATACCAGAGCACCTTTTCCGCGCGCTTAAGGCTGTCGCGATCCGGAGATGTTGGGAATGGGAACTGGTCCACTGGTATTCCCAGGCTCGTCAACTGAAGGACAACGCCCTCCAGTGGCGCCTTCAGGATCTCCGGCGGCGGGTATTCCTCAAAATACCTCTCGAAGACGGCAGACGAATACAGACGCCAGCAATGTCCATGCCCTGTTCGGCCAGCACGTCCCTTTCTCTGGTCGGCACTAGCCTTACTGATCCAGTCCACTTCAAACTTCTGTACACCGGTGGTGAGATCGTACTTCCTCTCCTTGGCGCGGCCACAGTCAAAGACGTAGCGGATACCGGGGATCGTTAAACTCGTCTCAGCGACGTTGGTTGCTAACACGATGAGGCGGGATCCTTCTGGGGGCGGCTCAAAGACCTTCAGCTGTTCCTTTTCGCGTAGCTGAGAATAAAGAGGCAGCACATGCACCTTCATGGTGGTCGCTTCTGGTGCCTCCCCGATGTCAAACTCCTTTTCTTCTTCCTCCTCCTCCTCGTCAAGGCCCCAGATATGATCTTCTTCCGAATTCCAGCCCTCGTCATCTGTGTCTCCACCAAGTTCGATGTCTTCATTTTCCAAAGCAGTCTCTGCCGCCGAAACCAGAACCTTCCCATGCTTGACCGTCCCTCGTTCAGTAGCCGGGAAGGCCTGTTTCAGCTTTTTCTCCAACTGGGTGATCTCGTTTTGACCGGTCAGGAAGACGAGCATACCTCCAGGCGGCAACTTTCGATGACCTATGCACACTTTGCGATACGCCGCTTCAACGTAATCCCTTTCGGTCCGTTTGGCAAAGTGGGTGGTAACGTTATATTGGCGTCCTTCTACTTTTACGAGCGGCGGAGGGCCGCCAGGGAAGAGACGCTTGTTGTCGATGAAATCGGATATCCTTAACGTGGCCGACATGATAACCACTTTCAGAGGCGTATATTTCACCTTCAGACTATTTTGCAGGTTTTCATCCCGCCGCAGTTTCACAGTCTTGGACAACATGCCAATCAGGACATCGGTGTTGACACTCCGTTCGTGTGCCTCATCGATAATCAAAGCCGAATACTTTGATAGCGCAACGTCTTCGCTTGCTTCGCGGAGGAGGACACCATCCGTCATGAATTTGATAGTGGTGTCCGGTGTGACAGTTTTATCGAAACGAATCTGATGGGCAACCTTGGATCCCGCATCGCCCAGCTCGTCGCTGACACGTTTAGACATACTCACAGCGGCCACTCGTCTTGGTTGCGTGACTCCTATCATTCCAGGGGTCGGCCCGTCCGGTGCGCCATAGCCTGCTTCGTACAGGAATTGCGGAACCTGCGTGGTTTTGCCGCTACCGGTGGCACCCCAAACGATCACTATGTCGTGGTTATGTATCGCTTCCATGACCTTCTGCTCTTCGGCAACAATGGGGAGTTGCAATCTTGTCTTCTCTATCTCCGGCGACCGCTTTACTGCAACGCTAAATGCCTTTCTCGTTGCATCCGTCGCAGTATTCGTCTCGAGCTCAGGAGGCAAGGGTTCCGCTTCGGGCGCCCGAGGTTGGAAGTTCGCCGGTTTTGGAGGTAGGGTATATTCGATATTCACGGTAGGAGTGAATCCTACGACATCATTCCTTTGTTGTGTCGCCCACGCCTTGAATGCAGATGCACGCTCTTTTCGCTTCACCTTCGCATCGATTCCCTTGTCCTCGTCGGCTTCAGAGCCTTCCTCTTCAGAGCTCTCCTCTTGGTTTTCAGAACCACTCCCGTCGTCTTCAGAGCCGTCCTCGTCTTCTGAATCCTCCTCCGACTCTTCGGTCCCTGAGGAGGGTTGTTCTTCCTCGGAGCTGAAACCTTCCCATTCGACCTCGTCCACCACCGGCGTCGTCTTGGCCTTCTTTTGCCTCTTCCTCGCCTGGATGATCGGCCTTCCTGACTCATCCAGCTCTAAAGGCCTCTTCAACCCACTTCCCCTTTCTCCAAGCCCTTGTATGTTAGGTTTCGCAGGTTCTGCGGGTGGTGATATCGAATCCGGAGTCTTGACGGATGGAGCCTGTGATGTCTTCTCCACTTTTCCCACAGGCACATTCTGAACCTCTTCCTCTTCTTCCTCCTCTTCACCGCTCTCGCCATCCACATCCAACTCAGCACCCCTCACCCTCCTCCTCTCAAACAACAACCCCTCATTCCTCTCGACATCAACCCCCGCCAACCTCTCCCTCTGCGCCCTCCTCAACCTCTCCCTCCTCGTCTCCTCCCCCCCCGCACCCAACCGCTTCGAACTCGCAAACAAACTCGTATCCACCTTCTGCGCAGCCAGCTTCTTAAGCAACTCGAGATTCTCCTCCTTCTTAAGCTTCTTATCCTACACGATGAAACACACAAATTAGCATACGCTCCAACCCAAATCGCATCGCCCACTACTGATTGTACTGGGGGACCACCGGAGCAACAAACAACAGAAGAACATACAATATACTTCTCCAACCTCTTCTTCTTCTTCGCGCTCATCTTGCCCTGCGCCTCCCTTGCCAATTCCTCCCTCAGCTCCTTCTTCCGCTCTGCCCGGTCCCGCTGGTCGGCGGGCAGGATCGCGGCGGTGTTGGTGTCATTTGCGGTCGGGGTTTCGGGGCCGCGGGTGCTTTTTTGGCGCGCAAGCACTTTGTGCTTTCGCTGCCTGGGCACGAATTTCGGCATTGTGAGGAGGTGTGGAGGGGGGGAGGAATGCTGGCGGATGCGGAAGACTACATAATGCAATGGAAGTTATAGAGAAGTCTTGGCGTGGGAAATTTAAGTGGGTACGCGACAGGGGTGCGAGTAGCGAGAGAGGGAGCGGGGCAGCCAATCAATATACCGAGGACCTTCCGGAAGCTCAACATCAGTATCAAGTAAACACTCCAATATAATCCACCACCATTCAGAGCCTCACTACCAAATATCTCTCAACGTCCACAATGGCGCAGCCAACCACCCACCCCACCCCCTCACAACAATCCTACCCCATAACCCCAACACCGTACCCCGCGAAAACCACCACCGCAACCGCGCCTGTCCACGGCGTCTCGACGACCGCTACCTGCGTCTCCTTCGCCGACAAGATCCTCATCACAGTTACCCAGGAGGGTAAACTGGGTCATTGGGTACGTCATTTGCTTTCCCCTCTCTCTGTCTCTCTCGATCATTATCTCTTACGCTCTTCCACCGCACTCCGTTCCCCCAAAACCTACCCACCACATATTATATCCCCAACAATCACACAGCCATACCCTCTCTAACCCATCCCACCGACAGATGCACATCCCCCTCTCCATCTCCCCCACAGACGACCCCTTCCCCTCCTCCTCCTCTACCTTCTCCTCCACCTCCTCAAACCAAAACACCCTCCTCCCCCACCCGCACCTAACCGCCACCACCATCCTCGGCGGCACCCACCCGACCCTCTCGCTCCTGGGCCAAACCCTCGCCACGCAGATCGCCAGCGCGATCCTGACGCGGAATCCGCACGAGAGGAGGATGGTGGTGGTGGGGCTGGGCTTGGATCCGAGGATGGAGGAGGGAGGCGGGAGGGATGCGTTTGCTGATTTGGTTGGGCTGATGTTGGGGGTCATCTGAATAGGGACGTTGGTTGGAAGTGTGGGATAACTCTGTTCACCGAGACCAATGATTGAGAAAACGGAGAGAAAGGTTGAGTGAGGATATCCCGCTCGATTGAAGCCCAGTGCTCCCTCTGCATAGGACGCGGCAGGCGACTTGGCAATCTCAGTCCTGGAGGTCACGGATTGTGTAGTGTGTTCTCCAAAGCCACTGCATCCAAGTCATCTCCAGAGAAGTATAGGCTGTCCAAAGGTGACTGCAACAAAGAGGGAATGGTCTAGGGAAGACCTCAAACCTCCTAGCTTGCAGGCCGGGCTTTGAAGTTCCCGTAATCCGGGAATAGGTGGAGGATGCACAAATGCACATAGCGGAGATAGAGTTGCACGATCTAGATATATCCTACGGGCCTAAAGTCACGCCACCATGAACGAAACCAAGCTCCACCATATGTAGACCGTCCAATCGCTGACACACTTCGCCATTTTGGAAACCTCTGTCCTCCGAAGAACCCTCGGATAACTGAGCGCCAGCAATAGGAGCACTCCATTACCAGACTCGCCAATGTCCCACCCCCATCTAAGACCACATGTAGAAGTACGCTGGAGCACCCGTAAATCGTCAGTCGCAAACATGTCTCGATACCAGCGAGGCCGAAGTACCTTAGAAGCACTTGCGGTGGACGATGGACGGGCCGCTCTCGTCGTACTCCTGCTTGGAGATCCACATCTGCTGGAAGGTGGAGAGCGAGGCCAAAATGGAACCACCGATCCAGACGGAGTACTTGCGCTCGGGAGGGGCGATGATCTTGACCTTCATGGACGACGGGGCGAGGGCGGTGATTTCCTTCTGCATACGGTCGGAGATACCAGGGTACATGGTAGTACCACCAGACTAGGCCATGGTTAGCTTTTAAAACAAGGCATATCTTCTACCAAACATACCATGACGATGTTGCCATAGAGATCCTTCCTGACGTCGACGTCGCACTTCATGATGGAGTTGAAGGTGGTGACGTGAATACCGCCGCTCTCGAGACCAAGGACAGAAGGCTGGAAGAGCGCCTCGGGAGCACGGAAACGCTCGTTGCCAATGGTGATAACCTGTCCGTCGGGAAGCTCATAAGACTTCTCCAAAGTGGAGCTCTGGCTGGCGGTCTGGATCTCCTGCTCAAAGTCCAAAGCGACGTAGCAGAGCTTCTCCTTGATGTCGCGGACGATTTCACGCTCGGCCGTGGTGGAGAAGGTGTATCCGCGCTCGGCAAGGATCTTCATGAGGTAATCCGTCAGATCACGGCCAGCCATGTCAACACGGGAGATGGCGTGCGGCAGAGCGAAACCCTCGTAGATGGGAACAACGTGAGTGACGCCGTCGCCAGAGTCCAGGACGATACCGGTGGTACGACCGGAGGCGTACAGAGAGAGCACGGCCTGGATGGAGACGTAGAAAGCCGGAGCGTTGAATGTCTCGAAGACGATCTGTGTCATCTTTTCACGGTTGGACTTGGGGTTGATGGGGGCTTCGGTGAGCAGGACGGGGTGCTCTTCAGGAGCCACACGCAGCTCGTTGTAGAAGGTGTGATGCCAGATTTTCTCCATGTCGTCCCAGTTCGTGACAACACCGTGCTCGATGGGGTATCGCAGCGTCAGGATACCACGCTTCGACTGTGCCTCATCACCGACGTACGAGTCCTTCTGGCCCATACCAATCATGATACTGTATTCTACGTCAGTCCGCGCATCAGATGGGGCGTCTTGCTAGGAAAAACGCATACCCATGGTGACGAGGTCGACCGACAATGGAAGCTGCGGAATATTGTTAGTTGGAGCAGTCATCGTATGACGGCATTCGCGCCCGCCATGTTGTGGAGCGGGGAAGCCGCCAACACAACAGATAAGGGGGGAACTTACGGAAGACGGCCCTGGGTGCATCGTCACCGGCGAAACCGGCCTTGCACATACCCGAACTAGCATCTGTCAGCTTGTGTCCATTCTATCCATCTATGACGTCCAGCGTCTGCTGTGTGAAGGTTGTGCTCGTTGATTGTGGTGCGGTCGTGGATGAGGGGGGAGCAGACACCCCACAGCAGGGGGCGCCAGTCGTGATTGGGGGTCACCATACCCATTGTCGATGACGAGGGCTGCAACTTCTTCTGTAGAGATCGAAGGCGATGTTAGCAGAATTCAATGAAGAGGCAGCAGATAGGTGCAGAACAGAACCAGTCTGCTGTCAAACGGGGGGGGCGGTGCCGAGCGGCGGGCTTCAGCTTACCTTCCATGTTGACTGATTAGGGATTTGCGATTAGGAGGAGGCGAGGAGGACGAGTCGAGATGATGACTGTGACGGACAATCAGATGAATGCGACGAGAGAAGTGGATTGAGGAGGGCGGTCGGCAAAGCGGGCGCAGAGGGGGGCGGGACTTACGGTAGAGCGGTAGTGTGGTGGTGAGGTTCAGGATCTTGCACCTGGCAAAGTCGGTGGGTGCTTGTGCTAAATAAGCGGGCGTCGGCGCTTGCCCCGATTTAGCGGTGCGGCCAGGAGCGAGGCTGGTAAATCGGGGAGAGAAGGGCACCAACAACGAACAACGACCAAGAAGTCGGAGAGGGAATTGGTGATGCAGCAGAAATGCGAAAACACTTTTTGTGATGCCGTAGCATCGCGAACGACGTAGTTATTTATACAGCGGTCCCAGGCTGCAACTATTTCAGTGTTTCCAACGTACGCGCAAGCTTCTTCCGCCACGGCCAACGTCTTCGCCGCAGAGGGGCCGTAGGGGCTCAGAGAAGACATGCTCGGGCAGGCAGCGCCATAAATGCTTGGCGCGGTCCGGAAACGCAGAGAAAGGGGCCAACCTGGTTGCTAACAACGAAGAGTTTGCTCCTGTTGAGGCGTCTCCCTCATTCCTCTTCCAGCCCCTCATACTGTTCACTGCCAACCGGACGCTGGACGCTGAAGGTGGCAGGCCAATCCCCGCTGCCAAGAATTTGTATAGTCACGTGAAATGAGGGGCCACCTCGCACCGGCATAGGCGGGCACGTCGGACTCCCAGAGCCCTAGAGTATCGAGCGCAGTTGCAATCGATTGTGTTGACCACCTTTTTTCTCTTTTCCAATCGTGTCGGAGTTCGACCGTGACCAAATTATTCCACCACCTACCTACCTACAACTAGGTATGTAGGTCTCTGTATCTCAACGCACTGCCGTGAATTCGCCGTTGTGGTAGCCAATAGAAGCCCGTGGAACCTTGTCGTCCCTTCGCGCCAAAAACCAATCTGAACCTGCGTCATCTTGCCGGTGCCCCAGCGCATGTCCAATGTCTAAATCAATAATCGTCGAGAGAAATTATTCCGCCTGAACCACAACAGCGGCCTCAATCAGACACAACGCGAATACGTACGTACCAAGAAACTCAAAACAATGAATGACCCACGCCTCAACAACCTGCTCAAATGGAGCATCGAAAACTCCGAAGCGTCTCGCAGCGACCCAAACGCGCCCAAAACGGACCCCAGCAGAACTCTTGATGCCGATGCCCTGCGCGCATTGTTAACGGGAATGACTGGCCCCTCGGACGCCGAGATGATGCTGAGGAAAATGGACATTATCATGAGCGATCAGCATTCCCTCGAGGACAAGGTGTCGGCATTCGATGACTTCGAGATGCTCATCGAGAACCTGGACAATGCCAATAACATGGAAAACCTGGGCCTATGGACCAAGCTGATAGACCAGCTGGAGCATGAGGAGGCCGAGATACGCAAGTATGCCGCTTGGTGTGCAGGCACGGCTGTGGAGAATAATGCGCGCGCACAGGAGAGGGTAAGTGCCCATGTCTCCCATCATGGCGAACCTGTGCTAACAGTAGCAGCTCCTCGTTGTCGGCGCGATACCTACCCTCGTCAAGCTCGCAATCGAAGACCCCAGCCGAGAGGTCCGAAAGAAGGCCGTTCGCGCCCTATCTTGCGCATCGCGGAATCATCAACCGAGTCTGGACGCCCTCCTGGAACATGTACCATCACAGTACAGGCCTGAGGCGAAACTAGACGCTGGAGATATGGCTGCTGTTGACAGTTTGATTCACAGACTCAAAGCGGACGCAGAGAAGCCCCGTTGAGATTAGGGGCCCACGCTTCCTTGCATTCATTGGCGTTCTGGCGCATATTTTCGGCATTGGAGGGCTGGCTGCCCATGTGCATACGGGTTGCATATCAGGATTTTGCTAAGGAGTACTGAACATAATCGTACTCGGAGCGTCGTTGACACCTCAACTTGGTTCTTATTATTAGAAGGCTCCTGGATGCATACACAGTAGACCGTCTCTACAGATATGAGAAAAGTGGGGTTGCTACATCCGGTAAGAGTCATCGCTCACCGGTAGTTCGCCGCCTTATGTAATCTTCCTAGGAGTCACTATTCGTCGATCACCTCGACTCCGAAGATGATTCATCTACCATCTCACTTCTCATATGGATGCACCGTCCTCTTCAATGTCAGATTCAAAGTTCACATCTGCTCGATCCGTGCACTCTTCGACACCCTTGAGGTAACGCCCTCGCTTGTTCATTGCGCCATTACAAAACTTTTTGCGTTTCCGTGCTCTGTTTTCAAATTCAAATCCGCCCACAACATGTCTTCTACGAGACGGTCGTCGGCGAGTGACAGTTCCTCCACACCAAATGGAAGCGACGAGCGGACCCCATTGCTTGCCACCCTAAGTCCCATTCCCACGAATGCCACCATTGAGGCGGCTATTGAATCCGTAGAAGAGGAAGATGTACACCTCGAAGACGAAGATGCCCCACTCCCGTTTTGGCAAATCATGGTTCTCTGTTATGCAAGAGTTGTGGAGCCTATAGCCTTCTTCTCCATCTTTCCTTACATCAATGAGATGATTCAGAAGGTTGGTCACGTGGCCGAAGAAGACGTGGGCTTCTACTCGGGGCTTATCGAGAGTCTGTTTTCTGCTACGCAGATGTGTGTTATGATCTTCTGGGGCAAGGTCGGTGCACTTTTCCTGTCTTGTGTCAATGCCCATCTGATTGTGAGCAGGCTGCAGACAGGTTTGGGAGGAAGCCGTGCCTAGTTATCTCCCTCTTTGGCGTCACAATAGCGACAGCGCTATTTGGCACAAGCACTTCCATATGGCAGATGATTCTGTTTCGCTGTATGGCTGGCATCTTTGCCGGAACCCTCGTGTGAGTGTTAAATCAAGCCTTGGGATTCCTTGTTCGGCGTGTTGATGCGAGGTCAGTACTGTGCGCACCATGATCAGTGAGAATAGCACAAAAAAGACTCAAGCCCGAGCCTTCAGCTATTTTGCTTTTACAGGTAGAGAACCTATGTGTTTTTGATGTTCCCAGTACCTGACAAATTCTCTAGGGAATCTGGGCATCTGCGTAGGCCCCTTCATTGGTAAGTAAACTGGGCCGGCTACGACTTATGTCTCAACTGACATAGAAAGGCGGTCTCTTGGAACGGCCGGCCGAGAAATTTCCCTCGACATTTGGCAGCATACAATTCTTCCGTGACTATCCATATGCACTACCAGGCTTTGCGTCAGCTTCTGTGGGCTTCACTGCCGGGATAGTTGGGGCTCTGTTCCTTCGCGAGGTAACTATAGGTACCGTCGATGATTGCACTGCACGATCCGCTGACATGTGGACAGACGTTACATGTGCACCACCGTCACAGAAGAGCGAAGGGAGGATCCATGTCGACCTGGGAATTGTTCAAGTACCCCGGTGTTGCCCGCGTCCTTGTCATCTACAACTACATTGGCATCCTCGCCTTCATATACACAGCGGTCATCCCAGTCTTCCTATACATACCGATAGAGCTCGGCGGCATAGGGTTCCCCCCGGAGCTCATCGCCAGTGCAATCGGCCTCAATGGTATTTCCCAGGCGGTGTGGCTGTTGCTGGTGTTCCCGCCGCTCCAACGCCGCATCAATACTGGAGGCGTACTTAGACTCTGCGCCGCTTGGTGGCCCGTCTTCTTTTCTCTGCACCCAATATGCCACTTGTTTCGCCGTTTTGGACTTACGGCATTGTTTTGGTCCGTTGGACCCTTAAACCTGATTGTTGGCAGTGGCGTGGCGATGGCGTTCGGTGAGTTTTAAACACACCATATTCAAACCTTTGCTCATCGTTACAGTCGGAAATCAGCTCGCCCTGAACGACATTGCACCTACGCACGAGACTCTGGGTACCTTGAACGCTATGGCACTTGCACTCTCCAGTGGTCTCCGTGCCGTTGCTCCAGCACTTGCTACTAGCCTCTATGCGATCGGGGTAAAATATCATATTGCCGATGGGCAGTTCTTCTGGATCATAGCCATAATACTGGCTTGTGGGCAGAACTTTATTGTGCGTCTGCTTCCGAAAAAGGCGGAGGGGAGGATCGCAAGAGAGGAGGACGAGGAAGAATAGTCCTTATGAAGTTGGGGTTTGAAGCACTCCATGGGGGAATGGTGGCTATGACATTCTATCCCCGAACTGCAGACGGAAACACCTGCGTGCTACCTTACATCCGTCTGTTTAATCGTAAAGAGGGTTCAACAAAGCACATGTCCTTTCACTACGCGTAGAACATGCGAGGACGCGTCACTCTCGCGAATCCTCAGTGAAAGACTGTTTACCTTGTTCATATAAGAAAGCCAAAAAATCTCTTCTCTCTAATACATTGGCTCATCCACCTACTACCCTCCCCAAAGCCACCCACTCCAAACAGGGCATGGCAGTCCACTCCGTCAAATACTCACTGAATCGCTACTTTCCTGATCTGAACATCCCACGTCTCGCTCTCGACAACAACGCCGCCGAGAAGGATGTACGTCAAATCCTGCACGCCATCACTGCCTACGCCGACATCCAGCGGCAATCCGGGCAGCCCGAAGAGCACCTCATCGACATGGCTATCAGCAGGCTGAACGTGGCAAAGGTAGCTGCCGATATGGGCACGACCGAAGAGGCAGTGCGTAGGATCGTGCGTGGTATTTGCGTGCAACTGCAGCTTGACAGACCGCGAAACGCACTGAACAGCACGCATGGCATATCCGCCTCTACTATAAACAACGACACCCGCAACACAAATCCTAACAATGGCTTCTCCAACCCCCAATCCCAGGTCCAGCGCAACCCTACGCGTTTTGACACTCTCATCTCCCAAGTCCGCCACGCCTTTGCCCATCAAACCCACGCCCTGATCCTCCCTCCGCCTCCAAGACTGCACCCTCAGTTGCTCTGGCCCGAACCCGTTCCCGAACACGTCCAGCTCGTCCGCAATGCGTTCCTTCTGGTCATCTCAAATGCCAGGTGCAATGCTTATGGCGGGATAGGCCTTCACGCCAGAGATGTGCAGACGCTGCTGAATGGGATGAATTTGCTGGTCCAGAGGACGGAGCAGCACTGGGCTAGCCTCAGCAAGACGGCTAAAGCTAATGAGCTCCGGAAGAAGGAGAGGAAGGAGGAGAAGGCGCGGAAGATGGACAAGGCGGGCAAGGTGTCGACGGAAGACTCAGGCTTTACGAAGGCCTCCCAAGTCAAGAACGGCAATTCAGTGGTTCCGCAATCTCTGGTGCCGCCTCAGTTGGGTCGATCGAGCGGTGGGTCTCGATTGGCCACAACGGAGGGTCAAGCCATTTTGGAGGCTCCCGACATATCTCCAGTTCGTGTAAGTGCTCCTTCACCTCCAGCGGCGCCTTCTAATCAATCGAAACCACTAACATATCTAACTCCCATACACCAGCCTCCCCATCTCCAAATCGGAATAGACGGCGTCGCACGCCCCATCCTCCACGGCCTCACTGTCTCCGGCTCCAACACTGCTGCGGCCACGAACCCCACAACGGCAAGGCACGTTCTACCAGGCCCCAGGAAGCACAATAGTGTTCAAGGTCCGGACATATCCCATCATAAGTACTCCTCCATCACTGACACACTGAACCCAGTTTTGGCCCTTCGCGCCCTAGCTCCCTCCACGAGCAACATCACTCCCGCAACAAACAACGCCGAACTCCCAGCACAGGCCCATGGTCCTACGGACAAACCGGACAAGACGGCGGGAAAGCACGTTCTCCTGCGAACGCCTGGTAACAGTCCTGTGAAGAAACGGGCGAAGGCGATGCCGAAGCCTGGGGTCAAGAAGGCTACGAAGAATGTGTCGTTCAGTGGTGGCCTGAATGATGGAGATAAGGAGAATGGAGGTGAGGCTGTCTGTGCTGTGGGTGGCTTGGTGGGTGGAGAATATTGAGGGATGGATGGGCTGCTTGCGTGCTATGCTTGCTCCTTATGTTTGAGGTGGGTTTCTCGGGGGGCTTGCGGAAGGTGCGTTGGTTGGTGGGCGATTGATGATTCGGTTGAGAACATTGGCAAAGGTTGGAGGAAGGTGGTTGTATGGGCAGCGTCTGACTGGCTTTTCGCCGTTCCGGTTCTAAGGGGTGAGAGAAGGGGGCATATATAATACGTGCGTGGTTGAAGGTGCTCCCCAACAGAGCAAGTCACGGGCCTCTGTACTACAATTCTAGGAGTTATTAATGTGATGATCCTCTGTAAACGTTTTGCTCAGGTATGCTGCCGATTGTGATTTATATGGTTCTTGAGGCGGTGGAAGTGAAGGGCAATTTTGGATTTTGAATCTACTTTACTTCGCCTTTGATTGCTGACTGATAAACTGGTGTCGCTACTAATCAGTGCGCCGGACTTTCAAACATGGACTCCGGTTCTGGGTCGCTCCTTACAGAGTACCGCGAGAAGGGGAAAGTGGTGAGTGTGAAGTCTGTTTCGAACGCGTACTTTTTACACGTTTAGACTTTTCCAAGGATGCAACAACACTCGTTGAATCAGCATCACGCATTTGAAAGACTTTTCAATCATTACCCCATTCTTACCAAGATATATCTAACCGTCCACTTCCATCGCCCGGTCCCTCACTCACTCACTCACTCCCCGTCCGTCACCACCACCACCACGGCCTCATCCACCGACCTCAAATGCCACCACCACCGCCCTCTTACTCCCTCCCCTCCCTCCTCCACCACCTCCGCTCCCACCCCACCTCCTCACACTCCCCACCCTGGTCCCCACCCTCCCACGAACCCCTCTGGAACCCCACCGCCAACCTCCCCCAACACGAACGCTCCCCCCACGAATTCCCCTTCTGCTCCGACGGCAAGCCCATCAACCCAGACGACACCGTGGCAATCTTGAAGCGCAAAGCCCGGCCCATCCGGTATTCTAAACACCGTTTCCGATTCGGCACGTCGGGGGGGGATTTTAAGAATGTGTTTGGGAGTTTGGAGTGTTGGAGTGGGATTTATGGGGAGGCGGTGGGGGAGTATGAAAAGTGGTTAAGCATACGGGAGAGACATTCCGAGCTCGGATACATCAAGGAATCCGTCCCGCGAACATCTGGTGTTTCGGGGAAACGGAAGCGATCAAGACGGGGACGCAGCCTTGAGAGACATCTCGAGGACACAGAGGCTTCGTTGTCGTCCTCGCATTTACCAGAGGGCCCAAGGGCGCGGTCAATGTTGCCAAGCGACCTGCGCAACCTTTTACGGCGAAGACGCTCCCTTGACAGATATCTCGAGGAGACGGAGGCTTCGTTCTCGCATTTGCCAGAGGGCCCGAGGGCGCGCTACAACCTGCGAAGAGACCTGCGCACCATTTTCCTGGAAGCCGTTCTCGATAAGAGGCTGCGGCAAGATCAGATGGAACGAGCGATGAAAAAGATGGTGACGGAGAGGGTGATGCGCGAGGGGGATTTGCGGGGGGAGAAGGGGAGGCGGAGGGGGTATGGAGAGATTGGGAGGGAATCTTGCCATGGTGTTGATACGTGCGTTGTTGTTTGGCGTTCGGGGCTTGTTGAAATTGAAGAAGTTCCTTGTGGGTTGAGTCTGGAGGGTGGTTCGGACGGGTATGATGGTGATGTTAGCGGTTGAATGGGGGGGTCTGGTGGAGTTGGTGCGTTTGCATGGATGTGGTGTGTTAATCAGAGACTGCAATGCGGTTGGATCTGTGTATGTAGCGAGATGGGATGAGGGACGCTGAAGCAGATGGATACACTCTTTGTAGCGCTTTGCTTAGCCTAGGTAATTAAGATTATGGATTGGCGGTGGTTTTGTTACTGGCGCTTTCTTACATCAGCAGACCTTGGAGTGCAGGTGGTGAAGTCAAACCCCTTGTGGACTAGTACCGTTAGCAGACGCCCTGCAGCGAGATCAAGGGACCATAGTATGAGCTCTTTGTTCTCGCCATATGGAGATATAACATGTATTTCACTACATGATCTGGGATGTTCAAACGAGGGGCCAAAGCGACACTGATGGTATGAGGGCTGATTATTCAGGGAGGGGATACAGAACGTGAAAGCGCATGTACCTGAGCAGCTAAAACAGGCACACTTGAGAGTCTGAATTTAGGGATTCCTCCCCCAGGATTGACATGGTGTTAATAACCTAAGGCGTTGCGGTTGATGGGTTATACAGTAGGTTTTCGATCAGTGTCTAATTTGATCTCCAAGTCTCTAGCAATTGAGCTAAGATACATTATAGTCGTCTATATGAAGCCCACTCCAAACGTCCTAACTGCACTCCAAACATGATGTCTTGAAGTGCTTGGTGCTTTCAAGGCTGTGACACTGCCTTCAAATGACGAGGGTCGCCTTGCCCGCTTTTGGAGACAGTGAAGATCACGCAGAACCGGGAAAGATCCACGTTGTAGTTAGCCAAAACATTTTTGGTCCGACTCCCAGATCATTTCTTCTAGCATGACACTGCGTCGTTCCCTCGCGGCCTGCAGCAGGTGCTTTCGGCTTGAAACGACACCAGTCGAACTCTAATGTTCTTGGTCCCTCTCCTCCAGAATGGGTATCATCTCTCAAACACCTTGAAACCAATAACCCAGTTACGCCGTGAGAACTCGTAGAAACATATGCAAAACTTCCGAACGTTAGGTCAGTCCTTGGGTTTCGTGGCGAGGCGCTTGTCTTGCTCCTCCTTGGAGAACGTGTCCCATTCTGCGACGTTCTTGTCCTGCGAGACTTGTCAGCAAAAGGATCTAAGGAAACAAGTAATATGGCGGTAGAGACTTACCCATTCGGCCACGCATTCCGGCTTCCAGTTACACTTCTCCACCTCACCATACATGGGATGATTGAGCCTGGGATGCAGCGTCGGCCAACCACTCGCATGGTAGTGATGCTTGATAAGAGCGCCTCTTGAATCGTGGTTCCCAGAGTCGGAGTGTCCCTGGCCCGCAGCAAAGGCCTCGACATTAAGCACCAGAATGCCATTCACCAGCCGCGACTCCGCCAGATTGTGGAACCAGTCCCACGTCACCGGCTTGCGACCCGGGTTCTGCGCCGTCATCTGCTGCAGAACAGCCTCCGTGAAAGCCGACGGGCCAGTCCCGCTGATGACCTCGTTGAAGTCGAGCTGGAGCTTGCTGATCGGGACGCCTTTCCTGTGCGACAGGTCGTCGAGCCATTCCTGGATGTTCTCAATGAGGCGCATCATGACCGGAAGTCCGGGTTTGGCGGCAAAGGTCCACTGGCAGAAGGACTTGCACTTGGATCCGAGGATGGGGTGCTCGGCGAAGGCGGGCTCGTCGATTTCCACGCCGATGATCATGTCCACTTCTTCCTCGTTGTAGCGCTCGGGAATGAATCGGCTGATTGGGCGCAGGCATTCGACGTCGATGTCGGCGTAGACGCCACCTTCGGCGTAGATGACCAGATAGCGCAGCAGGTCGGCTTTGACGATGGTGATGTTGAGCTCTTCGTAGAGCTTGACGATATCGGGACGGTTGAACCCTCGGGGCCCGTAGTGCCATCTTACATATTCGACAGCGTTGTCGTCGGTGAGAACCTCATACTGATAACCTGGGTTCTTCGCAGGCCACGTCTTTGCAGTGTCGGAGTCACGCTGCTCAAAACTTAGAGGATTCGTCTTCCATGTTTGCCATATCTTCCGCGGAATGACGGTTCCTTGAGTGCTTATGAGCGGCTTCTGGTACTTCAATTCCCGCTTGTACTTGTGTGCGGCGCGTATCGGGGCAGTGACGAAGTGCACATTGGTGAGGAGAAGGAAGACGACAATGAGCAGAATGTACACTGGCAGGACCCTCCGTACCTGAGTCGTCAACTTTCCCCTGAAATGCGATGTTATAGGTGAAGAAGCGGGTGTCATTTTGTCGATTTGGAGGCGGAGACGTGGTGGCCTGGGTGTATTCCGAGGGCGCATGCTGAGGTTAATCACGGAATCGCGAAACCGCCTTGGTTCCCCAGCCGTGCACCACCGAATGCTCCAAGGTCTTCTTTTTCATGAGCCGGTTCTGATCGGCATTGCTTGTCTCCGGAACCATCTGCGGCCGCGGATATTACCCATTTGAACAGAGCTGCATCGTTGCACCGTGCGGAATACTGAGGTCGGCGAGGATAGGAAAATCGACAGGGACGAATATTGGGATCGACCTATGAGAATTCCACGAGTTTAGCAGAGGAATCCATTTCTGCAGGGGCTGAAGCAGCCAATACTCAATTTACCTCACAAAAGTTGGTCGTTGCGATTCACTCTGGGTTGCATGCTTCCATAAGCGGCATAGGCAGGTGCATACAAGCAAGGTGCCAGGCGGATCAAGCAAAAGCTTGCTTTACTAGCCTCCGCGACTGCATTAGAAACTTGTACGGAATCAGATAATTCTCCTGACTACACGTGCATTAGCGTCACCGTTCATCCAGGAACTGAGCGTTATGAACCTTAAATCGGGCGCCGAACCGAGGTTCGTGAGGACATGTGAAGCCGAAACCACCATGCTCCCCGGATTCTGTTCACCATACCCCGCGTGCTACCCCACAACCAACCCCGGAACCCTGCCTTTCCTCAAGCTCATAAACCTTGTCGGATTTCTTCATTCCTCGTTTTGGCCAGTACGGCGATGATCACTCGTCGGGTCTCCAGATATGGATGCGTCCTCGGTACAAGGGCTAAAACTTCATGGGCATGTGCTCTGGATGGTCTCAACAAACCGGATTATTATCGGGGCATGATTTTATGGACTTGAATTGGGATTGGCATTCGAGTCATCAGCCATATGGCTCCCATCCTTCCCGCCACCATCATTAGGAAATATCCCTTCGCTGGGTGAAGCACTCAATAGCCCACTATTGACGGACTGCTCAGATGCCCACCAAGTTCGAAGGACTGCTGGACCGCAGCGGCCTGGAAGATGTGAACTTGAACCCTACGAACTGGAAAGCACGTCTTCCGACGAGATGGAGTATTGACCTGGTGCGGCCGGACTTCATTGCGTTGACGTTGAGACGCAGCGCAGCAAAGAAGCCCGCGAGACGAACAGCATGGCTAGACGGTCTGAGAGGTTTCGCCGCACTCATTGTGTATCTCCATCACCACCAGCTATGGGCCCACGGTCTTCATGGGAATCTCGTGTTCGAAAACGCGTTCGGGTATGAAGGGAGGCACTACTTTGCCGCTCTTCCCTTTGTGCGCAATTTCTTCGCCGGAGGACATTTCGCAGTCGCCATCTTCTTCGTGATTTCGGGATACGTCCTCTCCTATAAATCTCTCTCTTTGATTCAAAAGGGTCAGATTTTACCAGCAGCAGACAGCGTGGGTTCAGCACTCTTCCGGCGATGGCTACGCCTCTACATCCCTGTCATCGGAATCACGCTCCTCTGGATCGCGCAAAGACACTGGACGGGTATCTGGATCGATTATGGCGAGCCCAAGGAGAATTTCGGAGCAGAGCTCAAGAACTGGTACTACAAGTTCAAGAACTACAGCTTTGTTTACACGACCGGCAGTATCTATGATTTCATGCACCTGTACCATCCGCATTCCTGGACCATTCCCATGGAAATGAAGGGCTCCGTGATTGTCTACACGGCGCTTACAGCATTCTCTCGATGCACGAGGCAGGCTCGACTTTGGTGCTCCGTCGGCCTGATATTCTACTTCCTTTACATCGTAGACGGCTGGTACGGCGCCGTGTTCTGCTCCGGCATGCTTTTATGCGACCTCGACCTCCTAGCTCTGGAAAACCAGCTTCCGCGCTTCCTCGCCGCCCTGGAAGACTTCAAGGAGTTCATTTATTTCCATCTCTTTATCGTCGCACTGTACCTCGGTGGCGTCCCGTCTTGCGACCAAGAAAACTACCAGACCCTCCTCAACAGGTCTCCGGGATGGAGGTTCCTTTCACACCTCACCCCCCAAGCCGTCTACGACCCAAAATGGTTCTTCAACTTCTGGGCCGCCCTTCTCTTCGTGGCCTCTGTGCCGCGCCTCCCCTGGCTAAAGCACTTCTTCGAATCGCGCTTCTGCCAGTACCTAGCACGCATCTCCTTCGCGCTGTACCTCGTCCACGGCCCGCTCCTCATCCTCCTCAGCGACAGAATCTACGCCGCCGTTGGATTCTCGCGCGGCTCGCAGAAAGGCCATATCGACGGGTGGATCGACGCGTTTCCGATTACGAAAAAGGGTCCCATGGGGCTGGAACTGGCGTTCTGGATTCCGCAGCTCGTGTTGTTTCCTGTGACGCTGTATGCGGCCGAGGTGGGGACGAAGTTGCTGGATGAGCCGAGCGTGAGGTTTTCGAATTGGTTGTATAGGAAGGCGATTGCGCCGCCGGAGTCGCCTTCCAAGTCGGGGTCGTGAATGGATGTGGAATGTATGTAATGAATCGGATATTGAAAATTTTGAATTATCTATTCGCCTTCATGATCTATTTCTTACCGGTTTCTTCAGCTGTGATCGAGCGTCCCACTAGTGTTCAACTTTTATGGTAATGGCCCTTGAACGAGCCACTGAAGTGACAATGCATCATCAAATGAGAAAAAACGTAAAATATAGATGAACGGAGTTCTCCAACTAGTATAAAAGCTACTGACGGTCCTGTATCGCCATTCCTTCGTTTGAATTCTATCCCTGTTTCTGAATGGCAGTAAGTCTTTCAATCTCCCTGCCCCAGGCAAGCATATATCGGAAAGCACTGGTGAAAGGTTTAATCCATGATGATAATATCTGACTCAGTCAGCACAACGAATTTCACAATTACACACAGTGTGGACTGTCTGAGTGGCAAATGTTTGCACTAACGCCGCGTCAGTCACGTACTGCAGAGATCCCATGATGAGACGTATGACTGATTTCCATAATGTGCACAGTGACTGTTTCTTGCGGTTACACTATAAAAGGCGATCCTTCCTGGCGACTCTCACTAGCACCCTCGAGATTTGCACGCTTCTGCTGCTTAAAGCGCCATAACTACAGAGCCTTCAACCTTTCACTCCCTCACATCACTATATCTGCTCATAAATTTGATGTCCAAAACCCGGAAATCACTGGAGAAAAATACCTCAAGGAAAAAGCTGCACATCCCTTCACGTGTACCGACACTACACGGGAACGAGACCGAAATCGGGCATCAATACGACAATGATAGTAGGGGCTCCTCCGTGGAGAAGAACCGCCTGGTGCTCGTTGATGGTCCTGAATGGAAAGAGAGCGAGGAACCTACCAAGATGAACAAGGACTCTTCTTTCAACGAGACAAATAGAGATGGTACCCTGAAGACGCACACAAAGGGAAAAGGTACGTTCCCCCTCTCGTTGACGCTTTTGGCGTCGCGACTGACGTAGACAGCGGTAAAGAAGGTTGTTGAGACCCACTGCTTCTACGGGATCGTAGAATATACTGGCTGCGATTGCAAGGGCAGGACTCCACTCTATTGCGCTGAACGCTTCGGTACGCAAGGTTGTATACATATTGGCATGGAACCGACACGTCGACGGGGCTATTTTGAGTTAGTAGAAGGCAGGTGTTCGTCATGTATGGAGCGCCGTGCCAGGAGCGGCGCCTCTAATTCGTGAATTTTTTGGGGTCGGGCGTTGTACAAAGGACTTGGGTCAACTCGATCACCACTTCCACAAACTAAAAAGCTACAAAGGTCGGGCCCGGGAAGAGGAAGGCAAAGCTCGATATGCGTGATCGCAGGTAGCAGAGTCTAATATGATCTTGTAGTTGTCTCAGACACAAGCTGCATGATTTTTCGTCTCCACTGGCGGCTAGAGCTGGGACGGAACCGATTGCCCGAACCAATTCTCAAAGTGTATGCAGAATCCGGTTATTGACGCCCACTTTATTTGCTCTTCTTCCCCTGTACGACTAAGTTCTTCCGCCGCCTTCTCTCCTCCCATCGTGCCCAGCCTGAATCGACCAGATCCTCCTGGACCACTAAATCCCTCACCCGCAAAAGCCGAGCCAAGTATGTCTCTAGAGCCCAGTCCACCCATCCAGATCTTCTCAGGTAAGTCGTGAATCCGAACCAGACAACCGCGAAGACGGCACCGGCGGCGCAACCAACAAGAACCTGCTTTGGCGTATGGTAATTGAGATATATTCTGCTCCAAGCCACCGCACCGGCACCGGCTAAAGCACACAGGGACAGAAGGAAGCGCTGGAAGAAGCTGTAAGGCGTATGTGTTTCGGTCGGGTGAGGTACATGGCGAAAGAGGAGGAAGAACGCAAGCGTGACGGAGAAGAAGGTGACGAATTGGGCATGCGAGGAGGGCATTCCATAACCCTTTCCGTGCATTTCTGGCGGTTCCCAGTTAGCAACCAGCATCAGTCTACGGAAGGGGTCCATATACCTCGCGGTCGCTCTTCTTTGATGTAGCGCTTGAGGACCCAATTCACAGCCTCGCATGCCAACTGCCCCGCAAACATGAGCATTATTTCAATCTCCCGGTTCGACCATATCAGAGTCGCGTAGACGATACATAGCCCCTGCGGGACGAGGGCTAGCCAGGCACATAGGTACGAGATCTGGTCGCCAGGGGTCTTTCTCTGTCAACGACAATATTGCGGTTGGGGGGCACCGGTCTTACATAGTGCACATGTGTTAAAGACAGAGAGGCAAGCGGCGGATCCTCCATGGCTATCCGCCGTTTATGTTGGACAGACAGGTCAATCGATCAATCGATGACGGAGTCCATGAGACCAGCCGCAAATGCTTATGTAATCAAGCTGCTTGGAGTGGCGCAGCTTTGAACCTCGGAGTTTAGGAGCAGGCCATTCCCGCCCTCCGCCGCCCTTCCACAAATTCACCTCCGAGCATTCGCTCGTGAAATTGGACCCTGGAGGATTTCTTTCGCGAAGCCAACAGAAGTGACTCAGCCAGGATTCGCCCAAGGGCTCACAGAGGGTTTTTGACCGCGGTTTAAATACTAACTTAGCTCCTCTAATCAACCACCCTCTAGATTTCCTGCCAGTGCTTCCGCCACCAGGCGCCACTTCAACCGCATTTTACACAGTACAATTTCTAACCTTTGTGGCTCAAACATCGGACTCCATTCAGGAATAAGCAGAGGAGATTCCATGGCTGAGTTCCCTCCAGACGATGAGCGCATCGATGAGTTGACAACGCTGCAATCCATATACCCAGAGCTGGTCCTCGATTTCGACCATCCACCGATACCCACCGCACGTATCGAACTGCCCGTAGCCCCAGAAAAGCCACTACCCGTGGTTTGCGACTCGGATTCCTCGGTCCGCAATCTTTCCCATCTTCCTCCTCTAATCATCGACATTATCCTCTCCGAGGGGTATCCCACTGAACGAGCACCGACCTTCAACCTAACTGCCGACCCACCATGGCTGCCGGATAGGGTGCTGGAACAGCTGATGGAGAAGGGACATGCGTTGTGGGAGGAGTACGGTGGAATGCAAATGCTGTTTGCGTATCTCAGCTTTTTAGAGGAGTCAGCCAGGACAGCATTCGGCGCAGCAGATAGCGCACGCGACGGGGTGCTTAAGCTACCGGATACCTTGCGGACGCCTATGCTGGAACTGAACGAGAAACTGGGCAAGGAGCTTTTCGACAAGGGAACATACGATTGCGGAATCTGTCTGGAACCCAAGAAAGGCGGTGCGTGCCATCGCATACGTCACTGCGGCCACGTCTTTTGCAAGGCCTGTCTGCAGGACTACTACAACAACTGCATCAAGGAGGGCGATGTGAACAATGTCAAGTGTCTATCCCCGGATTGCGGAAAAACTGGCGACGTAAAAGTCGACCGGAAGAAGAAGGACCGGCTGCTCTCCCCGAAAGAGCTCCTACAGATTCCACTGGAGTTGGAAACGGTAAAACGTTACGCCCAGATCAAGCGCAAGAAGAAGATTGAATCCGATCCAACCATCGTCTTCTGCCCTCGCAAATGGTGTCAGGGCGCCATGCGCACTGAGAAATACCCCAAGATAACAGACGTCAGCCAAATGGATGAATCCGATATTGAAGACGGCGAGCCCGTCGCTGCTCCCAAAGCAACAGACCAAGAGATCAAGTTCCGCGGCGCGCCTAACACAGATCGTCTAGTCATTTGCGAAGACTGCAGCCTAGCCTTCTGCAAAGTTTGTCTAGCGCCCTGGCACGGCGATTTTGAGCGGTGCATCAACCGCGAACAGAAGGATTTGACGGAGGAAGATCAAGCCTCCTTGAACTACATCCTGAAGAACACGTCGCCCTGCCCTACATGCTCGGTTCCGTGCTCCAAGTCTTACGGTTGCAATCACATGACTTGTTTCCAATGCAAGACGCACTTCTGCTACCTGTGTGGCGCATGGCTGCAACCTGAAAACCCGTACGGTCACTTCAACAACAAGAAGAACAAGGCTTGCTTCCAGAGGTTGATGGATGGTGCTATGGGCGATCAAGCCAATGGCGAGATACGATTCGGTGGCCGGCGTGGAGCGGAGCAGGAGGCGGAATTTTGGGAACAGGAGGCGCTGCGGATACAAATGGAGGAGCTAGGAGGATAGTCAATGAGACAGAAAGGGATCTCCATGCATGATGCATTAAGGATTTTTGAGGATTCGCGAATTCGGAAAGCGTCGAGACATGAAGTCCGGTTGGATGTACATGTATGGGGATTACTCATGATGATGGTGAAGGATGTTTGCAGTGATGTACCATAGCTGGATGGGAACATAGCAGCGGGAGTACGAGAGTAACCAGTCGGCAAAGGATATACTGGCGTCATGTCAGATGAGGAAACGAAATCAAGACAATGCTGAACCCTGTCCTGCCCAAGCCCAAGCTACTGCCAGCTGTGGTATGCTTCAAGACCTTCAAGACAAAACAAGGCCATCCGGGTGATATTCATCAGTGCCGCGCCCTCACATGCTCTAGATCGCATTTCCTCCCACGGCATATTAGTGGACAGAGTAAAGTGATCTCCGGGACTTGGAATTGTTAACTCCATCTAGACAACAATACGAGACAAATGCAACTGCTGTCGAATCCGCAGAAAGAAGTCAAACGGCAAAGACAGTTTGGTGTCTACAACACGACCAACACATATCCCATCAACTACATGTATGCTCCACACCCTCACCACAACTTCCAACACGCTTCTTCCCCCCTAGTGACTCTTCGCCTTCCCAGGAAGACGGACATGGTTCGCCAAAACGCAGACGAAGTAGACGATGCAGAGCGTCGGGATCATCCACACGCTGACCAGGTAGTTCGCCTCGTGATCTTTATTGAACTTGATGAGGGAAATGAGGCAGAGGCCCAAACCGCAGGAGCCGTTGATGCCGAGACGGATGTACTGCGAGGGTTTGCGCTGGCGGGCGGGGAGGGAGAGGCCGCCGAGGAGGGTGGTTAGGATGAGGGAGAGGCCGCCCTAAGGACGTGGGTGTTAGCATTGCGATACAGGGAGGAATATAGGGGTAGATAAGAGGGAGAGCTTACAGCGACGAAGACATAGGTAAACACCAGTTCAAAGACATGGATGTACGACAGCAGAAGCGCAATAGGATCCGTCCGCTTGACCTCGTCGCCCTTCTTGTCGTCCTTCTTCTCCTTATTCTTGGGGATGCTGACGCTAAGGCTGTCGAAAATGGTCTTGCTGGCTAGAGCAAAGGCTTCGTCGGTGCCGTACGTCACGAGGTTTACTGCCGTCTCATTGGTCGGGTCCGCGAGCAGGGAGTCGTATGCGTCGATGAGGATGTACATGGCCTCGTCGTTGCCCTTGATGGCCTTGGAGGCGTCGACGCCCTTGGGTACATAGTCGTAGACGCTGGCCCACATGGTGGCGTTGTACGCCGCGGCCATGTCGATGCCGGATGCGTATTCCAGGTTGGCGGTGGCGTTTAAGACGGGGTTCAACACAACGGCGAAGTCGTCGAAGGCTTTGACGGCTTGGATCCAGATGACGAGGAGGGAGACGCCTTGGAGGACGAGGACGAGGGACGTGTGGAGGGGGAAGTGCAGGAAGGACCACCATTGCTGCTTGATGGTGCCGAAGTGCTCTTCCTGGAGGCGGTCAAAGTACAGCATGTACAGGAAGTAGATGATGAGGATGGCGGCGATGATCTGGCCCACCACGGCGGCGGTCCAGAGGAACTCGTTCTTGACGATTTTGGAGAGGGACTTGCAGATGACGATGATGCCTTCGCCCAGGATGATGAGCGTCAGGAGCGACATGCGTTGCACCATGTGGGTTCCCTTGAAGGAGATGACGCGCCAGATGCACGAGACGGATACGGTGATGAGCGTCTCGACGATGCCGATGATATACCATGCAATGTAGACATCGCTCTTTTGCTCGATCGGGGAACCGTCTGCATCATATTTCATAGCGGGGAGGGCCGCAACCAGGGCGCCATAAAGGACACCGGCGATGGTCGTGGACGCGATAATGGCGGCAATCGGGACGACGGTCTTCTTGTACTTGCGCGAGTAGATCAAGGTGATGCCGTACTGGCAGGCCAGCGTGAAACGAGAAACCATGAGAATAAGACCGAATGCTTTGAAGATCTTGAAGTCGGTGACTTCCTGGCCCGCTTTCCACTGGACACCCATGACGGCAAAGCCGACCATGACGCCAAAGTGAATGGCTTTGGCAATGCGCTCAAAGACCGAATCCGTGCTGAAGCGCACATCGTACAGGGAGACTTGATACCACGTCAACCAGAGAAGGGAGAAGAAACCAATGTATGCCGTCAGTGAGGTCCTGTCGTTGATCTCCAGCATCGAAGTGAATGTCGTCAAGTTGGCGACGAAGAACAGATCGTAGAAGAGCTCCGAAGTCGTGGCTTCCGCATGCTTGTGGTATGATGGATGGTCGTGGATGTCCACGTCCATATTTTCGAAGGGGACTTCATGTTCATGGTTTCTGTGCTTCTGCCGTTCCAGGTCCGACGATGCTTCGGAAGTGTGTCCATGGGAGTGAACTGCTCCGTGACCCGGCTCGTGCAGAGGAGAGGCGAAGAAGCTGAGAGGTTTATGCTCCTCGTGCCCGTGACCTTCGTGACCCATGGCGTCGATTAGGAACTGCTGGCCGCGGTTTGGAAGAAGAGGGAAAAAGTGGACTAGAAATATTATGGAGGGTGATTCTCTAGAACAAGGACGCCTGCCACAGAACGCAGAAGAAGTGAATGATTGAGAAGAAATCTCAAATGAGCAAAAGGATAGCTGGTAATTGAGACGTCTTTCTATTTTCCGTCGACGCCTTCACGCGTTGAGGATCTGGGCTGGGACTTTGACGATGCATGGGGCCAATCTTACATGCAGACCGCAGGGGCCAGTCCTCGAACTGACTATGGGGATGCGTTGTCTTAGCACGGAAGTCCTTTGTTTTTGTGGCTGAGGCTGAACCTATGCTGTCGTGTGTTGTCTACGGTCCAAGCGTGAGGAGCACATTTGTGCTGTACCCGGTTAACGGATTTTGCGCCTTCGAGGTCGCTCGGTGCTGTTCATTCATCTGAGATTTGTGTATGATTGGACATTCGGAATGCTCTTTGCTGCAAGTTCAAAAGACGGAAGATAAGCATTATTCGGAGGCTAAGACTTGTAGGTTTCTCGTGTATCTCGTCTTAGCCACTGACAAGCTTCATCCTGGGCCCAGTTGTTTCAGAGGGCTGTCAATGGGAAGTGCGACATCAGCCACATGGTAATAGTTGGTCTGTATGATCGCCAGCATTATACCTATGTAGCTAGAGTATCGGATCGTGTAACGAGTCAGATCACGTACCGAGCTAGCTATTTCCCTATACAAAATCCGCTAAAACGGGAAAGCAACGCGAAAACAAGTCTGCCTTATGAAACAGCTTACTATATAAAAAGCATAGTCCTCGATACTGCTCTTGTAAGCTAGAGCATTGTTAATACACGTTGTGTTAAGATGCAGCGCTGCAAAGTTACAGATTTCTGCCCGTTTTTTGTAGATTGTTGTATAGGAAAATAGCCGACTCACTACATGATCTAACTCGCTACACTCGAATAAGCTTTTCTGCTGAGGTCTTAGTCTTATCAAGCTCTTAGCGGACCTTGCTGATGTTTCGGCCCCTTCCTCCAGTTGGTGCTTGTGCAGTCTCTCGCCACAGCCTTGAGTTGACATCGTTATGGGAATCAGCGTGTCTAATCGTGAACTCAACGGTATAACTGCCTTGGGAACAGAAACATGCAAATCATAAAAGGGATACTCGATGAAGTGTGTGACGTTGAATCGTCGTTGTCAAAGCACGTAAAGGCGAACATCGACCTTGCCCTTTCCAAAAAGCGGGCTCGGAATTTTAATCAGCGACCCAACCGCATGTCGCTGAGTGATCGACTTTCAGCTCTCCTTCTGATCAAATGGCATGTTTACGATTTACCCATTTAGGAAAATACTGCTAAACCCGTTAAACCCGTATCCATCACTAACAAGCACTGCTGAGTCGGTAACCGTGCCCGCACCCGCGAACTCCAGAACCTCATTTCAACCTCGCAGAGTTTGGCAAATGGGTTTGTCCGATGCTCCACCTGCAGTTTGGTCTGTGATCGTGGTACCACGTAGCCGTGCAGAACAGTAACCTCCCTTGGCGGCTTGAAGCGCGGCGCGACTTCCTACATACCGGCAATGGTGTCTCTCTACCGCTTGGAGTCGAACTTCTCAAGGATTGCTTTCGCTGCGAGTACGGGGGCCAGTACTTCGTAAGAGCACCAGCTTCAAACTAGCGCCAAGGAATCCCATTCTCCTCGTCCCTTTCCCAACAACATCTTCCCTATCTCCCTAAGCAATACTCTAAAAATGAAAGATGTATCATCAATTCCAGCCAACACGACCAACAGTACTGAATATACGCCCTACACCCCTCTTCCAAGGCGTCATCTTCTTCTCTTCCCACTCACGCTAACAAAGCAAACAAAAGATACGTCTTCCTAGCATAATCCGCCGCGCTCTTCTTCAACCTCGCCTGTAACCCTTCGGCCTCCAGATCCGCAGCACCGTACACCTGGTCCATCAGCGCAGAAACGGAAGAGGAGCCGGTGCCTGGGTGGGCGAGATAACGCTGGATGTAGAGCATGTCGAAGGCGAGTTGCTTGAGACGCTGAGATTTCAGGTCAGGAGAAGGGGATGCAGATTCTGCGCCGACGGAACCTCTTGTTTGATCGTCGGCGTCGGCGGAAGTTTCTGTATCTGCTTGTATCGACGGAGTATCCGCTGCCGTCGAAGAAGTTTCCGCCATAGAGGTCAGACTGTTCCTCCATGTTTTGGTCACCTCTTCTTCCGTAAGAGACTTGATTACACGGACGGCCTCGGGGACCCATAGATCGGTCCCATGACGAGCCATGCTCTTGACCAAAGCGCGCAGAAACCTGAATGCGGCTGGGGATGGCTGGGCCGGCAATGCGGGATTGCCCTCCCATAGTAGTTGGCTTTTGGATGAGGGTGTCGCCATAGCCTTAAGCAATCTCTGGTAAGATGCCATGACCGGCGTGACTATCTCCGCTGCGAGGGCCAAGTGCAGTGGCCGGATGAGTTCGTTAGTGAAAGGCGTAGTATGAGGCGTTGAGGTATCGAGAACTCGCAAACGTGGGATGCGCTTGTTAATCTCCCGGACTACTCGCAGTACAAAAATCGCCTTTGACACCTGCTGTTCACTCCGGTCCTCCCCTGTAAGCGAATGAATGATCTTCTTGAATCCATCGCCCAGCGCAGTGAGAGCTCCAGCGAGCGCATCCTGGGTCACCTCTTCGAGTAGTCGTGGGTCATCTCTGCTGAGCAGCGTTTGCTTTGAGTCATCACCGAGCTCCTCGTCGGAATCGTCAAGTTCCACGTCGTCATGGAAGGGATCATCCCAGCGCGCTTCCTTCATGTGTTTCACGACACTCTTGACTTCGAGAACAGACTCCGTCCATTTGTCGTAGTTGGTCAAGATGTGGATGACGGCTTCGTCGCGCCCTTGATGTGTGTTGAGAATGTGTTGCTTGAATGGCTGTGCCCCATTCGATAGTTCTGTCGCCGTTGCTGTCGTACTCCAGAGAGACGTCGAAACAGACGTATCCTTCCAGGACCCGACAGTTCCCGCGACTTGACCCACGACATACCCCAGCCCCTGTGCTCTTGACCTGACGATAGTTTCCAGCTGGCCATTCATCGTGTCCCTCAGATCGTCAAGTACATTGCGGCTCTTCACACCGGCCATCCTGGGCCCGGAAACAATCCATGTTTCTATTAACTCTTGCCTTAGCTGCGCAACTTCATTGAGGTCTTTGGTGTCCTCAAGCACTGTCTTGATGCCTTTGAGAAATGCAGATATGGCCTGTTTCGACCATTGGTGAAGTAGTCTCTCCGCTTCTGGTCGCTGCAATGCATCATGGCGGGGTTGGGGAGTGTAGTCCTGCGCCTCGCCGCCAATCCATTGATGATGAATGTCGAGGTTTAACTCATACAGCGCGCGAACATCGGGATCCTGCACGAGTGGGTGCGTCTTCAGCCGTGCCAGTGCATCCGCCAATCGACGAGGGAATATGGTCTGAGTATCCTGACAGGTTTTCAGGCACAACTTCAACGCATTAACTCCGTGTTCTTTCAAACCGTCCCCCTTTCGTGATGAGCCCAGTATCTCCTCCATCCTGACATGATGAAAGTGTCGCAGGACATCAACAGGCGTCGACGAGGTGACCAGCGAGTAAGCACACATGGTCTCCACGAGCGTCTCTGTTTCTCCCGCCCCACTCGCCAGCCGTCGGTCTATTCTTCTCAACAATCTGCTCCGCAGCGAACCCAGTTTATCCCTCAGTTGGTCCACGATTGGCGCTTTAGTCTTACTCTGTGACAAAGCCTTGTGCAGCAGACGCGCAATAACCAGCACTTTCGCAACTAGCAAGTAACCCGCGTCACCCTTCATCAGTCGTGCTATGACAATGGGACAGCTCCGAAGCACGGATAGTTGAGAGGCAAACGTATATCGGTCGGCATCTCGCTCCAGAGTTTGCGCGTGCGTCTTCGCAGCACTACGAGCGATGCGGTCCAGGTTTCGCGAGTTGCAGTTCTGTCCTACTCTTGCTAGGTTGGCTTCGACTCTCTGCATGCGGGCTTCCATGTCAATGATGGTTTCCGCAGTATCGAGAAGGTCGCGGTAGCTCGCGCTGTGCAGCAATAGTCAGCACGCTTCTTTCATAGCTAGGTGGCCAAGTCACTCACCCCACGAGGGAGCGGAGCTTCTCCCGATTGTCAGCGGCATGGCTACGCAATTGCCGCTCTAGTTTCTGAACCACCGGTACTGGATATTGGAATGCATCCTCCCACGTCTTGAACGTCCGCGGGTCGGGGGTTTCGGCCGCCATCTCACCAGCTTGCGTTCACCACTGAGAGGGGTGACGTTGGGGGTTGTTGCGGTTCCGGTTGAACAATCATCCGGGTGACTCAGCAGGTCGGGAGGTTCACAAGCACTACCACAGGAATGCTGATATCAGAGCAGCACGAGAATCAGGAATAAGTACGAAGAGAACTTGTGCTCAGTGCAAACGTAAACAGGTCATTATTTCCGAGCTCGTACACAAAATACATATTCACATGAGCTCGCAATGGGCAATTGTCAAGTGTGAAGCTTGAGATGCATCGCTGATCAACGGAAATCATGCAGCACGCCTAATCGTTCTCACTATCTTCGGCGGCTTGTTGCTCTGCCAGCCTTTGCGCCTCTTGCCACTGCATCGCAAACTCCCTGAGCACACCCTCCCCACCCCTGCTGGCATCCACGACATCCTTTGGCAGCTTGTGAGCGCTGTACTGGGGCGTGTTGAAGTTGTAGGCCTCAGGATCGTCACGCCGCACAAGACGAAACTCGGGGATGAACAGAGGCTCAATCACTTCATCCTCCTCGGACTCATCCGTAGAGTATGCAACGGGTTCGGCCGGTTCCGGAAGCGTCAAGAGCTCCATCCAAGAAAACAGCAATGGATCGGTTCTTTGAGCCCAAGGGTTGATGTCCATGAGCCAAACTCTATCATGTGGCGGAGGGACGTACACGTCGAACGTGAAGTTCGGATCTGGAAAAGTATCCTTTAGCCGTATCTCGAAAAACTCTCGTATCCTGTCAAGCAGGCGATCCTTCATGCTGAAGAGAAACTCGAAGTGGTTGAGATCCCTCTGGCAAAGCGCAATGAGCTTCCGATTCCGGACGAAGCAACGAAACTCCACGGAAGGATTCAGCAGAATCCACTTGCGTAGAACAAGGTGATACGGGATGGTAGGGGTTTCCTCGACTTCGGGCACCTCCTCGGTGTCATCAAAAGCGTGCTGCAGATCATGTGTGACGAAATCGCTGGACTTCAGGAGAAGGTAGATGTCGTTGGGTGTCCTGCACTCCATGCTATTTGTCGCGGCGATCCACGTGGCGTCCTTTGGGGCGGACCAGTTCAGCTTTGGTGCGACCTTCCCACCCAGCTCGTCTATGATCCTCTCGATTTCCGCATGCGTTTCCCGCCACTGGGTGGATGGGTCGGCGTTCGCTTCATCGGCGTCGTCTTCGTCGTCATTCTCGGTTCCAGTGAAGATTCCACTATCGCCATCCGACCACTCCGCTCTGTCTGCGTCCTCTGGCGGGAGCACTATACCGTCACCACGGAGGTATTCGAGGAAGGAATCAGGAAGGGGAATTAGGCGAGCCTTTGGGGTGATAGCTCGATATCTAATGCTGTCAAAACCATGTGCACGCGACAGAGCAGAAGACTCACTTGGGATGCCAGCTATGATAGGAGCAGTTCAGAATATGCTGCTTGGTTAACGGCGGAAATGGGAGCTTTCCCGGCTGCCCATCGTCTTCAGGAAGCTTCGGAGCCTCTGTCTCGGCCATGGTGCGTTCCAACAGGAGAAGTATGACCTCGGCTCTGTGTATATGGTGAGTCCATGGTTACTGCGACCTGTGTCATTATTCACGTTTGCCATGAAGGGCGGGCCCAAGGTAGGCGCGCTCGGGCCACCGCCACTTTGCGGGCCGCCGCCTGGCGTTAGCGTAGTCCAGTACAAGTAGGCGCGCTGTGACCTCGATTTCAACATCTGCCAGACCTCAACCTCAACCTCAACTACCGGCTCCGAACATCCTTAAAACATGTCTTCCAACGTCGGCCTCTCGACGCCCCGAGGCAGCGGCACCTCGGGCTACGTCCAGAAGAACAAATCCCTCCTGAAACCCCGCGATGCAGGGGCGCCCTATCCCAAGGACTGGGAGCAGGTCAAGCACCGCCAGCGACAGCCCGACGCAGCTATCCTCGAACACGAAGCTCGACGGGAGATTGAGGTCAAAGTATTTGAGCTGCGGGACAAGCTGGAAGAGGAAGGGTAAGTGCAGCCACCCAAGCCATTTATTATCTATTATTGAGGCCAGGCTGACCGGGGTCAGTGTCGACGAAGACGAGATTGACGAGCAATGTGCAGCACTGCGCAAGAAGCTAGAGGATGAACGCAAAGCCGGCAAAAGCTTGGGGCCCAACGCGCGAAACCTCAAGTCGCATCAGGTGCACGATCTGGCAAAAGCAAAGATTGAGGAGAGCGAGAGGTTGAGGAGGGCACTGGGCATTAGTAAGGACTATGAGGAGGGAAGCCATTGGCGCAAGCAGGAAGAGCGGCTGAGGGACAGTCTGGCCCGCCGAGATGGAGAGGACGAAAAGGACTCCAAGTAATAAGAGCGAGTGCCGCGACGCAGGGCAAGAGACGACGAATCCGAGTGAGCAGCCGGTGCGCGTGGTGGCTGCGGAGCTTTGCGCCGATATGAGGCGGGCCTCGGAACACGTGATGGCAGGGCTTGGGGGCCTTCGCACGCAAAACGTGCTCGCTTCCCGCGCTCTGTTTCGCTGCAAGTAGTAAACGACCCCCAATATTGCGCCCACGCCCTCCCACTCTAACTGCCTCGCCAGACACGCTCAAAGTCCTCATCTGTAACCGCGAGATGCCTCCTTGTCTCCAATTCAGTGGTGAAGGTCGCCTCCGAACGCCTCATTGCACATGCTACAAGCCGGCCATCCCACTGGTTGTTGGTGAACGACGTCAGACGATGCTTCACCTTCACCTATAAACCTCCAGCTCCGTAGCCCGGCCCACCTGCTCCGTCAACTTACACTGTACGGTACCACAGGAGCTGCCGCGCGATCTCCCATTCCCTTGGATCCTCTTACCATGCACCTGGTCGACGGAAAGAACTGACCCCTCATCCTGCGACGATCCGCCTTGACTTTGTTGACCAGGCTCTCCAAGGATTCTCATTCCTTAGCCACTGGCATCACGCTTCTCTCGCCAACCGTCCGCCATGGCTCTGGGTATCTCCACTCTCACCGAGGCATGGAGGTCCTACACCCCGCTCGAACGGCGAAATATCGCCATCTACATTGCCGCCATCATGCTGTACAAGTTCGGTCTGGAGGCCTTCAACGGATCCATTGTAGCACTTGCCACGAACCGGTACGACGAGCTGGCCCGGAACACAAACACCCCTTCCAGGACCTTCGAGCGCGTCGGCCTTCTCACCGGATTAAACCAGGCATTCCAATGTGTGGGCTCCATCCTCATCGCCCCCTTGGTCAAACGGTATCCCACCAAAAACGTCCTGTCCATCGCCATCTTCGTCTTCGGCATCTTCAGCGCACTTCTTCTCATCATCGACGCTGCTACCGGCGGTACCTTCATCCCGCCCCACTTCAGAGACAGCCATCCCGAGAATGACTTCAGTTACTATGGCAAATACAATACCGACGGCATGATACCCATCTACTGTGTCTGCGGTGTCGTGTACGGCATGGTGGAGCTCATCCGCCGTGTCATTCCGCGCGACATCGTAGGAGGCAACGTACAAAAGCTGCGGCGCATGGACGCCCTGGTTCATATCTTCTACGAGGTGTCTGGAACCGCAGGCGCCTTCGTTACAGCACTCGTGCTCATCCCACGCTTTGGCAACAACTTTTCTTTCATTATCACCCCAATCATGTTCACCCTGGCGTCTATAACTTGGTTCTTCATCGAGGAGCCTGGTTTCCAGAAGGAGGCCACGGTGCTATGGGAGCAGCCCTCCTATCTCAAAGCCGTCCTTGGCGGCTTCTGGCTTTTCTTTGAGTCGGTGTACACGGGCGCCTACATCATCTTCACGAAACGCAAATTCATGTGGCTTTTGCCCGGCTACGCGATTGCGCTATATGGGCATCGCTATCTTGAAAACGGGCTTGCTCCAGCCATTGCCCGCCGCTATCTGGGCAACTCAGCTTGGTCGCAGATCATTGTCGGCGGATCTAATCTTGGCGAGTTGTTTGGTGCCGCCTTCGTCTTCCTGTTCACCAACCTTATCACGACCCCGATGCCCTGGTTGCGCATTGACTCTCTGATGCTACTGATTCTGTGGTATCTGCCACATTGGTACCCTCAATCTGGCGACGTCAAACAGGCATGGATTGTTGGTGCCACGTTTTTGCCCATTGTGAGTGAGGCGCGCTTGTAACTCTGGATTCGTTGCTAACAACGGTACAGTCGTTCGGTTGGGCTGCTGGCGACGTCTCTCTTGCTGCCTACATTCAGGCGTCTCTGGCCCGCATCGAATCGACGACAAGGAACGTGTCGGCGTTAGGCGCCGTGATGGCCTTTCTGTACTGCACGTACATTGTCACATATGCAATTGCGTCGCCCGTGTTGGGAAGCTATATCGACCACATTTCCAATAACAATGAGGGGAACATACACACGGCCATTCTGAACGTCGGGGCTGTGCAGTTCACCATTATAAGCATCCTCGTGATGACGGCGACCTTTGTGCCCAAGGGCGCCTTCTCGCTGAATCCGAAGATTCTCAGCGACGAGAGTCTGGATTACGATATTGATGAGGAGGGTGAAAACTACTATCCTGGAATTGATGGGAGCGTGAAGGAGCATGAGATGACGACCAAGTCGAGCTCAGACTGGAACCAGCGACGCACATCGCAGTAGATGATGCGTAGGGGCCGCTGTCTCTGCGGAAAATTGTATATTTTAACGATAATGTGTACTCGGATAAAACTTAGCATGTCTTGTATTCCTCGCACGTGCTCCACTTCACCGCTGGACGGCGAAGTGCTTGCCATACCTTATCTTTCGGCCTGATTGCCGGCCGGTGCAAGCCTGTGTCGAGGAGCCACTTCGGCAGGCATAAATAGCGGTGGAATGTCGCTCCCGCTCCTCATCTGTCATTTGCACAGTACCTGGTGCGCGTACCCCGTCCCCGTGAGAATCCAATAGGCTTGCGTCGCCATCATTCCCCTTGCTGAGGCGGAGGGCTTACGGGTGGCTGCACGTGCAGGCGTGCTCGGACGTGGTTGGACGACCAATCTCACAGCAACCTCCCACAACACCTCACCCATAGACATGCCAAGGTATCACGAATGCATCCGCATCAAACAAATGGCGAGCCTATTCCCCCTCGACGTGCCTTGCACGGCTCACCTGCTTGCCAGTCACTACCTTACCTTCCACCCGCTCCATGTCGATCGCCTGCATCCGAAGAAGCCCAGCGGTCGTGTGCGCAGCAGCGACCTCCCCATGATAGCTTTATCCTGTGCTTGACTTCCGGCCTACGCACCCGTGCTTGATTGGCATCTTGACCCATAGGGGTCCTTCAGATCTTCCACTCCAGTCCGGACCTACGTCAACACCTTGTGAACTGTAGGATCGTAGACGGGACATCGGGGCTATGGACCCCTCCTCCCCCGACCCGCCTAACAACAATGCTCCACGTGCCGTTGGACCTCTCAGCAGGACATGGGGTCAGTTGTTGAAGAAGAGAAGGAGGGGGACCAGTCCACCGCGAGATGTGCCAGAACACCAAATCACGCTTCCGCACCATACTGCACACCCGCTACCCACTATCAAGATCCCTCTCCCACGCTCTGGTAGCGCTAGTGTGAGCGACTCAGGTACGTTCTGCTCGTATGCCCTGATCCTGGATTTTCGCTCTCCTACTATGCTTCGTGGTCTTCTGTACATGGCTCGGTGCTAACGGAGTGATAGCATCGGTAGCACCATCGACCTCTACCGGCTCGACCCAGGCAGAGATGCTTGCTTCCAAGAGCAACTACGAATGGATCGCAGAGGGCCGCCATGCGGAAATGGGTCTCCACTTCTCGACTGCCATGGCAACCGGCGTGATGATGCGGCGTGCAACCCACCGCGCAGCAGAGCAAGCTCGGCGAGACCGTATGAAGTCGGCAATGGTCGACCTGGCCGAATATGTGCTCGACGGCGAAGTCACCTTCGGATCAGGGACAAGCTGTTTTGTCGTATCGAGAGAGGATGCAGCAGCAGCCGAGGCCGAGGGCGGACAGGAAGGAGGCGGAACTGGAGGCGGCCGCGGAAGGAAAGGGAGGAATATCAATAAAGCAAGGATCATTGAGTTGGCTTTGGAGAAGCTGAAGGCACAGGAAAAGGAGATTGCGTTGCTGGAGGAGAGGTTGAAAGCGTGCGAATGCAGTAGTAGGATGGACACGAGCGTATAGGCTGGGGAACCAGGATACCGGTGTTAAAAGCCATCGGGCGGGCCATTTTCGCCTTAGTCGGGCACATCGCCATGAGCATAATTTCTTTGGTATATACATTTTTCCACTCAATCCATAACCACGTCCAGTCTCCAGAGACAGAATGGAGGTCTATATAAACAACTGCACCAGCGTCGCTTAGTGCCTTGGCATCTTTTGACCCGTCCCAATCGGGAAAGTCGTGACGTCAAGTGTCTGCGGATCCTGCCCCGTCGCCCCTTGGTCTTCGCACCGCACGAACGGCGCTGGCCTCTCACATCTGGCAGCATCCGCGCCTCCCCAGAGGATGACCGACGTACGGCCGGATCAGTCAGGTGTGCCTGGGCCCCTTCCAAAAGACCCTAACCGTCATGCGTATATCGAGAAGGATGCCGTAACTGAGCTGAACAGTATACCGCTGAACGACATTCTGGATCAGGACTCGCGCCCTACCTTTGTGCTGGACCTGGACTCGGACTATGTTAACTACAACCTACGCAAGGACGAGCTCCGGCCAATCTTTTGCAACTCGGCACTCAGGCTTCACGAGACCCTGCTGGACAGTGTAACCGGCGTGACGGGCGTCGAGGATCCCGCTGAGCCAGGCTATTCTACATATCTGGAATTCAGGTCCTGGGCCACGAGCTGGAGCAAGTTCGACGATTCTCGCGATGTATTCCCCCTCACCTGTCTCTTCATGGGAATGCTATGGACTGGGTCAACTGTCAGGCAACGATTTCGGATCATCAGTGGGAACAGGTGCTACGATCTCTCCCAATTGCCCAAGGAAGCCCTGCAGGCGGGGTCTCCTATAGAGCTAGAGTACGGAGTTATCCCTCCAAACAAACCACCTGCTAAGGCGATATCAAACGATCGCGCTGGAGACGTGCGGCCTCCCCGTATTCTGACATCGCGGCCTGCTAGAGCAGTTCCGGGCACGGAAACAAGTTCAACCACCTTGGTGACATTCTCCAAAGCCAGTCGTGCCAAAGACAAAAGTTCCAGAATCTCAACATCGGATGGAAAGTCCGCGAAGACCAGCGGTTCCTCGAGCTCCATCCCCTTGTCCGCTCCCGACAATGGCGTTCCGGACTGGACTGCTGAGCAGCCTACAGGGGTAATGACTGACCACGTCTTGTTGGCACGTAACGTGGACTGGGCAGCTACGCCTCTTGGGCCCATGACGAGTTGGTCGAGAGAGTTCCGCGAGGTGGCCAATCTCGTCATGAGAAACCCACATCCTGCCGCCCTATTCTGGGGCGAAGAGCTGACCATGCTTTACAACGAGGCATACGCCAAGGAAGTGGCTGGGAACAAGCACCCTGAGCTAATGGGGACCGGGTTCAGTGGTCCATTCTCCGAGCTGTGGGATGGCGTTTCTCCTGTCTTCCGCGAGTGCGCTCGCACGGGTAAGAGTGTACGCAGGGAAAACGATCCGTTACCGATAGAGAGATATGGCTATCTAGAAGAAACCTTCTTCTCTTGGTCCTTCATACCTCTCTATGGAGGAACAGACCGAATATTAGGATTTTACAACGGACCATTCGAAACAACATACCAGACCATCAGTAGGCGGAGACTGCAGACTCTCCGCAATCTCGGTGAGAAACTAGCCCAAGCGAGGTCTTTCAAGCATTTCTGGAAATGTGTACTAGACGGTCTGGAAGACAACCATAACGACATACCTTTCGCTCTGCTATATTCCATTACAGATTCCGAGGACGCCGACGCAGCGTCCCATTCTTCGGATAGCACCATCTCGCTGAAGTCTTGTTTTCTGGAAGGCTCCATCGGGATACCGGAGAACCACCCTGCATCACCGCCCAAGCTTGATCTCAAGCGGAGCAAGGAAGGATTCATCCCTGCGTTCCGCGAGGCTATGCGGACGCGGGAACCGACCATGCTTCAAACGAGAGATGGCACTCTACCCGAAACGTTGCTAGAAGGCATCGAGTGGAGGGGGACGGGAGACCCGTGTAAAGAGGCCATTATCATTCCAGTTCGACCTACCAATGGCGAAACCATCTACGCCTTTTTGCTGATTGGAGTCAATCCTAGGAGAGCGTGGGACGAGGACTATAGGGATTTTTCAGCGATGCTGAATAGGCAACTAGCTACCTCGCTGGCATCTTTCCTGCTCTTCGAAGATGAGGTTCGGCAAAGTAGGCACGAGGCGGAAGCGGCGGCACTACAACGGGAACGATTGTCTCAGGAGCTGCAATTACAGACCAATCGGATGCGGCGTATGACGGAGCTTTCACCCCTGGGTATGTACCTGTTCAGTCCGGACGGTGTCCTGTTGGAAGCGAATGACCGCTATTTTGAGATGACTGGCCACCGAAGGGACGTTCAGTCGGAGTTTTCCTTCATGGACTACATCGCGGAGAGTAGCAAGCAAACTGCCAAAGTTATGTGGGACTCGTTGGTGAAGGACCTGAAGCCAAAGTATGGGGAGCTGCAGCTGAAGAATCCTAAAGTCGACACTCGTGACTTGAATGGCGAACCTATCGAGTATTGGGTCTTGGCCTCGTCCATGCCGGAGATCGGCATGAACGGAGAACTGGTATCGATCATGGGCTCTATCGCGGACATTAGTCACATGAAGTGGGCCCAGGGGCTGCAAGAGCGCCGGCTACGAGAGGCAGAAGAGACGAAGCGGCAGCAGAATGAGTTCATCGACATCACGTCGCACGAGATGCGGAACCCTCTGAGCGCGATTCTGATCTGCGCCGACGACATCCGTGACACGTTAAGTCGACATCAGTTCAGCGGCGGCGACGCTGCCGTTATTTCTGAATGCATCGAATCGGCGAATAACATTGCACTGTGCGTGCAGCATCAGAAGGCCATTGTGGACGATATCCTCACAGTCAGCAAACTCGACTCGAACCTGCTAGTCATCACCCCGGTTCCAGTCCAACCCGTCACCGTCATCCAACGCGCCATGAGCATGTTCAAACCCGAAGTCCAAGCCAAAGACATCGAATTCGAATTTTGCCCTCAAGACTCGCTGGAGAATCTCCAAGTCGACTGGGTGAACCTGGACCCCAGCCGCCTCCTCCAAATCACCGTCAACCTCATCACCAACGCCATCAAGTTCACGCAGAGTTCCTCGAAGCGCGTCATTTCCGTCATGCTCGGCGCGTCGGTTGACCCGCCGGACCTGCAGAGCAAAGGATTCGAATACGTGCCTACACGCGGTCCGCTCGTCAACATCACCGGGGGCGATGACTGGGGCAACGGCGAGCTGCTGTATATCCGCGTGCATGTACAGGATACAGGCTGCGGTCTCACGCCCGAAGAGAAGCAACTCCTCTTTGAGCGATTCGCTCAGGCATCTCCCCGCACGCATGCCTACTACGGCGGAAGCGGTCTTGGTCTTTTTATATCCCGCCAACTCGCCGAACTGCATGGCGGCCAGATTGGCGTGTCGTCCGAAGCCGGCGTCGGCAGCACGTTCGGCTTCTTCATCCAGGCGCGGAGGGTGGTGGCGCCGGAGAACTACATGTCTGGGCAGCAGCAAGGTCTGCCGCCGCCGCAGGTCACGAAGTCGGGAGAGGTAAGGCGGTATCCGGTTGAGGATGTGTCGACGGCGATTCCGTCGCTTTCGACTATATCCGAGGCATCCAAGCGAGGGGATCGAGGAGAGGAGGAAGAGGAAGAAGAAAAAGAAGAAACACGCAGCCAGAGTCCGAAACAGGTGCCCACACCAGAGACAATGACACCCATCCTAACACCCGGCCCATCAACCATAACACTCCCCGCAGCCGTACGCGCGGCCGAACTCGCAGAAGCCACGGGCTCCCCCTCCACCTCTCCCATGCACATCCTCATCGTCGAAGACAACATCGTCAACCAAAAAGTCCTCTCCAAGCAGCTGCAAAAAGCCGGGTGCATCGTCTCAACGGCGGACAACGGGCTGCACTGCCTTTCCTTTCTCTCGCGCACGCACTTTTTCTCCCCCCACGGCCCGGGGACGGGGATCCCGCTGTCGCTGATCCTCATGGATCTCGAGATGCCCGAGATGGATGGGTTGACGTGCGTGGGGCGGATTAGGGAGATGGAGAGGGAGGGTAGGGTTAGGGGGCATGTGCCTGTTATTGCGGTCACGGCAAATGTGAGGGAGGAGCAGGTTAGGTTGGCGCTGGGGAGGGGAATGGATGAGGTGGTTAGTAAACCGTTTCGGGTGAAGGAGTTGATGGAGGGGATTAGGAGGGTTCTTGGGAGGTTGGAGGGGGATGGTTGAGGGGTGGGAGGAAGGAGGGGTGAGGGATGTGGGATGATCGATGAGTGAGGTTTGAGGGGGGAGGTGGAGATGGCTGGAGGCAGCCAGGGCGTGGTTTGGAGTTGGTCGTACATAAGGGCGGGATCTTTTTTGCATCTTTTGCATAGCGAGCGAGCACGTACATACATACATACATAGCGGTTTCTGGCACGCTGGATATAGGGTTTTGCATTTCCCGTTTCAAGAATATAGACCCGGCTACTTTGGAAGTAACGTAACGTTTGCTGTTTTGGATGGAGAGACGAGTTTGTTTGTTGGTACCATTTTCTCCTTTATCTTATCGAGATTTTGCTTGCATGATCGAAATAGAAATGAGGGTTGGATTGGGGTGGTTATATATATGTATATAAGATGAATATACGCTGCATACACCGTCTCATCTTTGCTGGTAGCACTCACTTTTGCACAAGCTCGGGTTTTTGCACATAGCACAGCAAAAAGAAGCTCATAGCGACAGCAACAGCAACAGCAACAGCAACAGCAACAGCGATGCAGTTATCTATACATATACAAAGCTAGATCCTAATCACGATCTTTATAATAAATTGTATACGTAACGCATATACCTAGAGAAAAAGAAAAATGTATTAAAAACACTAGATTCTACACTCTACATCTAGATAAAGATCCAGGGCCTTCCCTCCTTCGCTCGCTCGCTTGCCCGTAAATAAAATAAACAAATTAAATAAACGGTGGGGAAAAAAATGGAAAAAAAGAAGTAAATGGTTCTCGTTTTGGTTCTTGTTTCTGCTGTTTCTGCTGTTTCACAGCTAGCTGTTCTCCAATCCCCTTTTTATTGGTACGTCGTGGGGCCCTTGCCTAGATTGATTTGATTTATGGATGAGATGGATGGATGGATGGATGGATGGATGGATCATTTCATTGAAATCGACCAACAGCAACATACGTACCCGAACGTATCCAACACACAACACAAGGAGACAAGGCAAGACACGGCAAGCGTCGTTAACAAGGGACTATACTTCGTCCTAATCAACTGTGGACTACGCATACACCGTCACTCGTATATTTATAGGACATATATTCGACCCTTCCAAGCGCTAACCATTCATTCACCAAGATATCAAATACCGCTCTCCGGCGACTCACACACTCGCTCCAAAACATCACAATTCACAGTCAAGCAATCAACCAAGAGGCACAATCTTCTGAGTGGGTAAATCCCGGCGCGCATTTCCCCCCAGCCCCAGCAGCGAGAGGAAGAGCAGCAGCAGCAACCACTACTCCCTCCCACACCGAAGCCGGCCAGAAACCGCGACCCGACGGATACGAGTCTTGACTAGCTACGTTTTCATCCCTAGGTCCAAAGTAGAATAAGTTTTGCAATATGAGGTAGAAGGGTAGGAGGAGTCGAGAGGCATGTGACTGACAAAAACAGAGAAAAAGAATGGGAGGCTAACAACGCACGCCGGCTACCAGGGTAATAAATAGCAAGAAAGAATCGGGAGCCTCTCCAAACCTTACTTTCCCTTTTCCCCAGCTTGTTGAATAACAAAAAAGCAAAGAAACCCCTTCATTCATACACAGTCTTCTTGAAATGCAGCATCAAGTAAGGATCCGCGCCCCGTACAATGTCAGATTTCCCAACCACCCATGCATGCACCCCATACGTTTCCAATGCTCCCAGGACGAAGATAGGTGGATGATAGACAAAGGGTAGAGAACAAGTAGTGGAGGAGAGGAGAGCCAGAGAAAACATCCAGGGCTATGATAGGTAGAAGTAGGAGACGAGGCAGGAAAATGGTATCTCTAAAGCTACAAGCTCGGCGCAGGTTGAATAAAGGAGCCTAGGTGTTTAAAAGGTGTTTAGGTTGAAGAAGAAACGGACCAAATTGAACAAAGGGATGAAAACGTTGTCAAGACTACAAGTGGAGGTCATGCCAACCTCCAACCCACTCAAGGTCGCCAATGTCATCGACCACCATCGGTTCGCGTTGCGTGTGATGCTGGCGCCAATCTTTGCTCAAATTCCACATGCCTCTGTTGTGACTGCGATCAAAGATTCCAAGATCGTGGTGAGCAGGGCTCAGGTTCAGAGGACGTCGCCAGCTGCCGGCCCGGCTTCGCTTCTTGGCTGAGTTGGGCGTGGCCTGGGCATGATGCTTCGGTGTCTTGATGGGCTTCTGCGGTGTCGGCTGTGGCGTTGGCTGCTGCGATTGCGGAGCGCGCCTACGATCACCCAGGGCGGCCCACTTGTCCAAGATAGTGCGCTTCGAGGGGGGCGAGTACCTTGGCGGCGGATGGGTATGGTCCTCGAAGATGAAACCAGTCTGTTGACTGACGCGTTCATCAAGCCGGCGACGGCTGGATGGAGACACACTCCTGTTGTGCACGGTGCTGGGATTCTTCACTTCGGACAAACCGACACGAGGCGTGGACACGCCCGACCCGGAAGCGCTTTCCACCTGCTGCTTGAGGCCGCTTTGCGGCACATAGCTCTCCTCAGCGGGCGCCGGGCCGTTCTCCCTATCATCGTCAACCTCAGGGATGAGGTCGTCAATGTCGGGAATGCCGTGGCCTTCCTCCTCCTCGTCCCATAGATCACTCCAGCTCTTGGAGAAGGTGTCACGCTTCTTGCCGAAGACCGAGGCCATGCTGTGCATGGGCCTGGCAGCGGTGGCTGGGAGAGATCCAGAGATGGGTACAGGACGGGACCGCGTGATGTCAACAGCCTTGGAGGACGGGGCGTCATCCGTGGACTGGAATGAAAGGCCCAAACCAGAGTCGACAAAGGAGGCGGCCGAAGCATTGTGGGGCTTGATGTCGAACCACTTGTGGTTGGACTGCAGCGAGGGGGGAAACAGGTCGTCCGCGTACATTTCCGTATCCGGGATGGCGGACAGCTGGCGGATGGGCTGGGGCGGCGACATGGCCAATGCCTTGGCCCAGGGGAAAGATCCTCCCTGGTCGAGCTGCGGGGTCGAAAGAGACGGCGTACGGAGAGGCTCGCGATTGGCGCTCGCAACGACGGGTTCACGCTTCTCGGTGCAGAACTCATCAAGAATCTCGTCATCGGTGGTGAAGCTGACGGCGCTCCTGAGCGCATCCTTAACCAGGGAAAGGTCACGCTTCTCGGGATCGACGGCCAGGCAGTACCTCAGGACTTCAAACGTGTCCGAGGACATGTTGGGAAAGACGTCGAACAACGACTCGCGATCGAGAACAAAATCCGCATAGAGAGGGTCGGAAGTATTGGGCACCGCAAAGGGGTTGCGGGAGAAGAGCACGTTGAGCAGACAGATACCGATGGCCCAGATGTCTGCCTTGGCCGTGGAATAGCCAGAGCTAGCTGGGTCATACTGCTCGGGTGCCATGTAGCGGTCGCTTCCAACAGCAATCTCATAGGACCAGACATCGGTAGTAGCGAGGCCGAAATCACCAAGCTTCATGGCGCCGGACTGGGTGAGGAAGATGTTCTCCGGCTTGATGTCGCGGTGGTAGACGCCGCGAGAGTGGATGAACTCGACGGCATCCACAAGCTGAAGCATGAAGTCGCGCACGTGCTCCGTCTCCCGCGGACCCCTGCCGTTGCGGATGGCTTCGTAGAGGTCGCCATTTGCGCAGAATTCGAGCACGAGGAAGACGTGGTTTTGGGTTTCGAAGGACTCGAGAAGGTTGACCACGTGGGGGTGCGAGGCAATGCGCTTGTGGATGTCGAGCTCCTCGGAGCGCTCGTCGATGCCGACGGGGGAACAGGTGAGCGGAGTGGCGGGGGCAGACTTGGTGATGACCTTTACAGCCACGATGTTGCCGGTTACGAGGTCCTTGGCCTGGAAGACCATCCCAAAGGAACCATGGTTGAGAGGGGAGATGGTCTTGTACCGTCCATTGAGCACTACACCTTCTTGCAGCTGATTACGCATACAATCCATGGGCAAGGCTCGAAAATGGACGGGAAAGAGACGACCAAGGGGAACTCGCAGCGGACCCGATGGCGAAACAACGAAAAGCAAAAAGCGGACGAGAACGCGGACAAGCTACCAGAGAGACAACCGCCGATGGAAGACGCAAATCGTAATCAAACAAGAAAGGGTGACCCGTCAGCCCGAGAAGCGACGATCTATGACACTTTTTAAGGTGACGACAGAACCTCGAAGATGGTGATATATGTTGTGATAATCGTCCGATCCGAGATGAGATGGAAAGAGACGGAGCAGAAACAATGTCGTCAGAGGCAAAGACGCAGCGGGCTTGCAGGCAGCAGTGAGTCGATCGAAAGAGGCCGAGTCCAAGGAGAGAGATGAGGGGAAATATGCACAGGTCCGGGTGGTGGTAAGAGTAAAAGAAATGGTCAAGAGAGTGTGATGCTCATGTGGTGATTAGAAGCTTGTATGGATAACCCGAATCAACGAGCGGTAAGAGATGCAAGAGCCGGAAGCGTCGAGGACCTGGACGTCCGGCGAGAAAAAACGAGAGGAAATGGCTGCGTAGAATGAGGAGAGAGTCGTAACACGTGGAAGTCGTAGGATAGGCGCTGGCTATCCGAGGTGGAGTGGATTGTCCGGTAGGGGTGAGTCAGCGGGCACAGACTCGGAGGATCGGCAGGGGTAGAGGGTGAGTGACTCTTTGACGGGGAATCCGATGAGGGACAGTTGTCGGCCTTCAGTGCAGTCGAGAGAGCTTGACCGAAAGGAGCATCAAAGGTCGGAAACCACGCAGCTGGGGCACAGGCAGCTTCTTGTTGAGTCGGATGGGGGCGAAGAGGGCTCAGTTCATCGATGACGAAGGGGGGGGTTTGTCGAGCTGTTTATCGCATCAATGGACGACGACCAGGGCAGGGCGGGAAGGCGTTGAGGTCGTAGATGATTGGCGTCGACTGAGCTTCGCGAACGGTAGCGGTGGAGAGGAGGAGGAGGAGGGAGAGAGAGTTGGTGAAGATAGCCAGGTGAGGGTGTAGTTGCTCTGGGACTCGCTGGGGGGTTCTTGACTGTTGCAGGCAGGGCAGGCAGGGCAGGCAGGAGGCGTGGTTGGGGTGGCAACAGCGGGAGCGAGGAGGAATGGACGACGGCGAGGGATGGGAGACGAGGAAGGATCGGAAGGCGAGGAATGAGGGAGTAGCGGCGGATGGAATGATGTAGCCAAAGGACCGAGGCGAGGCGAACGAAGGGAGCAACTAGACTATCAGGACATGAGGAGGTGGTGATGGGGCTTTGGTGTGTGGAGTCGCAGCTAGGGGGGGAAAGGGGAGGAGAGGAGTCCAGGGCAGGCGGGAATCGGACGGCTGATATGGGAAGAATGGGGGCCTAACACAGAGCCCTCGCACCAACAGGCGGTGGGCGCAGCCAGCAGGTGGCGCCATGCTTCAATGGGCATGGCGTGAGAAGCGATACGCAGGGGAGGTGGGGATCAGCAAATTAAGCGCATTTTGGCTGCATTTGACTGCATTGGGGTAGCAACTTTGGTTGGCCTTTGGCTGGCATTGGCTGGAATTGGCGAAGGTTGGCTGTGATTGGCTGGCATTGGTCGCCTGGGCATCCGAATTGAGCGACATTTCGCTGGGCTTCCCTCACTTTCCATGGCGTTCCCTCATGATACCCTTAACTTTTGCCCACCCGCCGCTGGATTCTGGGGTCACACGAGGAAAAAGGGCCCGCTCCAGCTCCTCTGCCTCTCTCCTGATGATCCCTTTTCTCGGTCCGAGATCAAAAGTGGGTATGGAGGAGACGCGGTCTCGCAATGGCCGACAAAGCTGCCGGTACACTTGATGATGACACTGTTAACAACATGGCTGCCGTGAGCAGTTTTCTGAGGGAGAAATGACGTGCAACTTTGCAAAGCGTCTGTTGAAACAAGGGCCCAGAGCACCCAGCCCTTAGTCCCAGAGCATACATTTGCCGGGTGCGGCCACAGCTTTCCCCTTGGTCGGCACTCGGCACCCGGCACCCGGCGCTCACGGAGGAGAGACGTCAGTCTGCTGGTCGGCTTTGTTCCGCCGTTCTCTTGTTGATGGCCATCTGATGCCATGGCTTGCCATCATGGTGCCACCCTTTCCATCTCAAGGCTTCGGAGAGACGGGCAACTGGTCGCACGAGAGGACTGCCAGGTGGCCTCTTGGACCGCCCCATTGGTTGCCATGTTGCCACCCGTGAGCCAGTTCGAGCGCCGTCTCGGTGTCTTTCTTTGTTCCACAGTTCCACCTGAGTGCGGGGGAAGCGGAACCTGTGCAACTCAGGGGCCGTTTTTGCTGTGAGAGAGGGATGCTCTCCCGAATTAGCCACGACGCGCGTTTCATCAGTCCCAACGTTGCGTGAGCACTCTGGGCTCTGCCTCGCCTAGGCCACAGCTGCTGCTCACTCATCCAACAACTCCCAACTCGTCCGATGATTGACAGGTGGTTGTTGCTGCTTTTCGCGAATCGCACTGCCGGCCGAGTCGCTGGACCCTGAGATGCGGGGGAAGCTGTGCCTCGTGGCCGCTGGGCATAGGTTGCCAACAACAACACCAGCCCAGCTTCTCTCCGGCAGTCAAGCATCAAGCATTTTGGAGTCCGTCGAGCGTGTTGCAGGTATACGAGGCTGCAGACCCCAGGGGCGCTACTGCAGCCAGTATGCACTCCCTTCCTAAGAGTCCACTCGCTCCACCCTCGACGGCGGTGAGCCCCTCCAACGTGGACGAACGCTGTGCTGTTTCGCCCTCCGCATCCTATACCATCGTCTCTTTGCTTGGGATTTCGAGTACCTATGTGGGCCTCCGGATGTACTTCCGACTACTCCTGACCCATACCAATCATAAGCATCATGTAGAGTCGACTGTGTATGCCATACCATGCCATGCTGGCTATCGAGTACAGCTAGTAGGAAAGCATGCCATATCATGCCCTAGCGCAAACCTCAACAAACAATGCCATTCTCCCCAATAAGCCTATCCCCATTCGGTAACCGACCTCTGCATCTATCGCCGAACAACAACATCCTCAATTTGCATCGTCTTGACCGCCATGTCTTGTTGATGTTCCCTCGTGCCTGCCCTGCACCAACCACGGCTCGCCATCGCCTCAACACCATGCTCGCCAGCAGCACCCGCTCCATCCCCCTCTATCCAGCACGCTGAGAAAAGTCTTCACCGCCCCTCACCGCCTACCCTCTTCCACTGCACGCCCGCCAGCATGTCTGCCGCTCAACTCGACCACGCGCGCTGGGAGAGCACCGAACTGGTGCTCCTCGACATTGGTACGCATTGCATTGTCTTCCCTGGGTCCCTTGAGACGATCCGGATGCGCACAGCAAACACAGCACCTGCGACGCAACCACCCTTTTCCTCGACTATTCTTTCTTCCCGTCCCTTCTTCTCGAGGCCTCGCGTACACAGCATGCCGTCCACTCTGGCCAGACCATGCCTTTCTTGTCTTGTTCCCTACCCCAGATTTTGCATGCGCCACAAACCCTCCCCTGGTCCAGCCGTCGCACCTTCCCCCCGCTAAGTCGAATCATCATCCATTCAACACAACAAGAAAACCACCGGCTAACCACTTATCTTCCTTTCTAGAGGGCACCATCTCTAGCATCTCCTTCGTCAAGGACATTCTGGTCAGTTTGCTCTTGCCGCATTTTCCTCTTCCCGCCTGCTGCTCAGCAAACTTCTGCATCGACGCTATCCGCATCCCCGTCGCTGGACGTGTGATCATCACCACCATCACCACCCCAACCATCGCTACCATCACATCCAGACATGTCGCTTCAGCTTCGCCAATCTGATCAACCCCCCGCCACTCATTTCCCTTCCGAGCCTTTCACATCTCCTGCTTGCTCCTCCCCGCCCCCTCTCATGCCGTAGCACCTCGTCTCACGACTCCAGCCTCCAAGCCCCCATCCCAACTCCCTTCGTCACGCGCCATTGCACTCCCATCCGCTTCAAGCGACACAGAGGGGAAGGGTAGACGGCCCTACACTCCTGGCCAATGACATTCCTCAACCCCTTCACTAGCTTCACTACCTGGCTACTCGCCATAGGCTCTCCAGTTTACACTTCCACAAAACTGACCTCGCAGCAGTACCCCTATGCCCTCGACCGTCTTACCAGCCTCGCCCGGGACTCGTGGTCCGACGCCTCCTTCCAGGACCTCATCGCCGGCTTTCCGGCAGAGACACGCACGACTGCCGATGCCCTGATTGCCCATGTGGAGGACCTGACGAGGAGGGATGTCAAGGCGGTTTACCTGAAGGAGGTGCAGGGTATGTTTTACTCTCTTTCTGCTCTTCCATCACATTTCGCTTTTCGTTTTTTCCCTGCAGTCGTTTCATCGAGATGCGCTGCACAGTGCAGAGGGAGCTGGAGTGTTCGGATGCAGGCAGCTTCGACCATGCATGCCCTGTGATACTCGCCGTCCTAAGATTATCGTCTGGCCGGCTATAGCGCTGCACACTGCATGCTTCCTCCTGTGTTTGCCGTCCCTGTCGTCAATCGCGGTTACGTTGCAATATCCTCTCAGCACTGAGTTGCATCTATCTTGTTTCACAATCTCGAAGATCACTTTCGCTCTTATCAACCCCTCATTGATCGCCCTTATATGCTCTACTATCGTACACAAACAACCCCCCCTCGACGTCATCTTCGTCTATCCCTCTCTCCACCTCCTCCCCATCTAACCAACCCCGTCTTCTCCAACAGGCCATCTCTGGCGCCACGGCTACACCACCGGCGCCCTCACCACCCCACTCTTCCCGGACGTCATCCCCTCGCTCGAGAAATGGAAATCCCAATCCGGTAAATCCCTCGCCATCTTCTCCTCGGGCAGCGTCAACGCCCAATTGCAATTCTTCACCTACGTGAAACCCGAAAATGGGTCGACGAGGGACCTCAAGCCGCTGTTTACAGCACACTTTGATACCGTGAATGCGGGGTCCAAGATGCAGAAGGGTAGCTATGAGAGGATTTGTAAAGAGCTGGGGGCTGGGCCGGGGAAGGTGGCGTTTTTGACCGATAATGTGCTGGGTGAGTCGAGCTTTTCCTCTTCATCTATTTCATAGTACATTGCCGTGTAGCGGAAGGCAGGAGGAAAGTGACTTGGTGAGGGGCATCTTGCTAATTTGCGGGAATACAGAAGCCGTGGCGGCGTCCGACGCGGGCGTCTATGCCATCCTCGCCGATCGACCGGGTAATGCACCCCTGACGGAGGAGGATAGGAGGCGCTTTCCGGTCATAAAGAGTCTGGGGGAGTTGCGTTAGCTTGGGATTGAGCTTCGTGGGGGCTGCATGATGGGAAAGGTCTGTCGAGAAGGGAAACCATGGGATGGCATGGACACTGAATCTGGATATAGATGGTCATGTACAAAGTGCAACCCACCCGACCAGTTGTCTTATAATCACCGCCATAGAGAGGGAGGTTAAGTGGATCGCATATACTCGGTCCTTCCTTGCCAGCTACATACTTTGATTTCCACATTTCCAAGACAAAATTCGAAAGAGTTTCAAATCTCCAAAATCTCCAAAGTATCCAAACACCCTCAAAGTCATCAAGCAAAATCATACACAACAAGCGCCTGCTGCCCACCACCTCCCTCACACCCATCACCACCATCCCCGCAACCACCAGCGCGCCTCCTCTCCCTCAAAACAACCACATTCCGCTCATCGAACCCAACCCACCCCCGATTCACAACCATCTCGTCATCGAACCCATGCTTCTGCTCGAGCGCAAATTTCAGCCCCCCAGCATAATAACTCTCCCGCAATGACGACGGCGACGACTCATGACCTGCCCCATCTCCTTCTCCTACTCCTTCCCCGCCAACTGCCGCCGAGGCCGGAAACAGTCTCCCCTTAGAAGGTTGCACCCTAACGCTAAAATCGCCATCCGCGCCTCTCCTCCCCCTCACCGCTGAAGAAACCACCGTCGAGGACGACGAGAACGAAAAACAAGACACAGAGGAAGAAGAAGAAGAGAAACCCCCCTCCAGATCCCAAACCCGCAGCTCATCCCCCAACCGACTCACCGACACGGCCTTCCCGCGCCCGCCCACCTGCGCGCCAGACACGCACGAGGTATGGCCCCACAGGCGGGTCCCCGCGCCAATGGACAGCGAGGAAGACGTCGAGCGGACGAGGTAGAGGGTGAGTGTGTTGTCTGGGTGGGTGACGAGGAGGTAGGGGTGCGAGTAGGACATGGAGGTTGGTTGGTGGGGGGAAGGGGGGGAGGTGTTGTTCGTTGATGATGATGAGGAGGAGGATGAGGAGGATGAGGATGAAGAGGGTTGGGAGGTTGGTGACGTTCGGTGAGATGAAAGTGTAGACGGCCGTCCGGTTACGGGCTGGAAATAACCGTCTGCTGCGGTGGCCAGGCGCGAGGCGAGGAGGTCGCCCGTGTGGGAGAGGCGCATTTCCTGGATGCCGACGGTCCAGCCGGAGAGGTAGGTTGGGAGAGCGTAGGCTATCGAGGCCGTCATGCTCGTTGCGTTGGTGCGGAGAGATAGGGATACCGGTGGCCAGGCGGTGTGGGATCTGAGGGAGTAGAGAAGTTTTGGGGGATCGAGGGGGTTGGAAACGGCCTGTTCCTGGCCTTGGAAGCTGTATAGGGAGACGATGTGGTCTTCCGTCATGGTTAACAGATAGGGGGAGGAGTAGGCCACGGCGGAGAGCATCCCGTTTGAGGATGAAGGGTGGTTGAAGAGGGTGATGAGGTTTCCCTCTTCTCTTTCTAGGGCGTAGATGGCGAATGAGCCGTCCTCGAAGCCTACGACCACTTTCTGTTTTACTCCCCCCTTGGCGGAAGAGTCGACGGCCATGGCTGTAGGGAGACGTGCTGCCGTAGTTTCAAGATCGACCAACGCCGTCGATGCAATGATCTCCCGTCCATCCTTCGAGTTCCACACGCGCAGCCCGGACATGGAATCCGCCGTATATATCAATCCATGCTGCATCATGACGAGCAGCGGCGGTTCCGGCGGCCGATCCGCAACCACAATCTCGCTGACGGCGCATTTCCCTCTCGCCCAGTTGTACCGCAGCCTGTACTGATGCTTCCAATTTGTGCTCCCCCTCTTCACCAAGTGCCCATCATCCAGCCATCTGGACAGCTTCGACGAGTAGCGCAGATACCCCGACGCTCCTCCGTCCTTGGCATGCTTGATCCCCGATATACGCGATGCGCGCGGGAGGACGAATTGATTGTAGTAGGCGGCTTTCCAGAGTTCGGAGTCCAGTGCTATGCGCCCGAACTTCTTGGATACCCTGGATGTGTTAGCAGTGTTAGCATATGCTATACTCTGTACTGGGTTGCGAAGGTATCGTGAACGCCACATACCTTTGCACTGTGAGGAGGGTGGATACGGTTCCGAAGGAAAGTATGCGCACCAGGAGCTCGTCACTGAGGTTGGAGAGCCTGTCGACTGCGGGCACACGTCGAATCTTCGCAGGCCTCTCCTCTGAGGGCTCCGCCTCCCGCGCACGCTTCATGATAGGACTGCGTCGTTAATTGAGATGGTGAATGAGGCGGGGCGTGATAGTCTTCCTAAGATACGCTAAGTCGGTTCAGGTTAGCGTTACCAAAAATCACATGATACCGCGCTAGCGCGTCTCGTTCCTGACTCCATCCAGGCTACAACAACACGCATCCGATTCATTATTTCCAATCTCCCACGCGCCGCCAGTGGCACAAACGCGTTGATGCATACGCGAAGAATATGGCGAATATTAGTACATGGCTGAGCCAGCAGAAGGAGGATCTGACGCGTCGTTGCGACCGCTTTCGCGATGATGTCATTGAGGGACTGCTGGAGAATGCTGAGAAGGAATTACGGAGGAGTGAGATCCCCTGGGACTTGGTATATAATGGATACTGACTGTGGCAGGGGAGGAAGAGCATCAAGCTGAATTGAAGAAGAGTATGTCTACTGCCATGTTATCGATCCATCCATAACATGGGATTAGGAGAGGAGAAGGAACGCGTCATTTCTGAGCGATTGAATGACGAGTTTGTCAAGAATGCGCGTCTTACGGAGGAGAACAGCATCCTTCTGCATAGGCTGGAGAGGTTGGAGCAGAAGATGTTAGCATCAACTAACCCTGGTCCTGCAAGTAGACCATCACATCGAGCACATGCATCCCACGATGACGCCGGAGCCACTGTCTCGAAGGAAGAATATCACGATCTTGTGCAGAGGTTTGAAGATTTACACAAGAGACACCAAGAGGCGATGCAGCGCATAAAATACCTCGAAAGGAAGAATGTCACGGTCATGCAGAAGAACAAGGAGATGAAAGAAAGCGTGAGGGCATGGCAGAGATACAGCGACCGGAATCATGCGAAAGAGCAGAGATTGAAGGTGCAAGCAAAGCAGAAGGAAGACTCGGCTCCCCCAGCTGCCACCAACCAGCTGCCACCTCGTCCTGCTATACCGTCCAGTCCAGTGTCATCCGGTATGAAATCTCCACCACCCCTTCATCCAGTTGAGCGCTCGCCAGGTCCCATCAGCCTCGCAGCTCCGATTCGACGCAGTCTTGACAACCGTCAGTCACCGGATCCCAGACATCATGACGGCGCAAGTGCGCATGCGGATGTGGACGAGCTCCCCCATTCTTTCCAGCCGCATCTTGACCATCAGCAAGGTCCGCTCGAAGACGCCGAGATGGCTACTATCGGAGATGAACTTCCTTCTATCAGCAACGCGGACCAATCCTCCGCAAGGATCACATCCAGTCAAACGGAATACGATGAGAATGAGACTGCCGCAGAGCTGATGCCACCTCCCCCCAACCCCGGGTCCGACGACACGCCTGAAGTCGTCTCCGAAAGGTCCCTGAAGCGTAAGCGGAAGGATCCGATATACAACGACCCTATCGGAACACCCAAGAACCCTGTTCGAGTGAAGGAAGAACAATTCAGCAGTCCACCCGCTCCTTTGACGGCGCATAAGCTGCTCCGCAAAGAGACCTTCGACTTGGATGAGCTAGGACCTCGCCCAATAACCACGCCACGTAGGAAAAGATTTCGAAATCCGGTGAGGCCGGCGACATTGCGACATCAGCGATCAATAAGCGAACCTTTCATCAAGGAGGAGAACCTTCAAGAAGTCCAAGGCGGCACCACTGCTGCAGGTTTGCCCGCTTCTCATATTGAAGACGCGCTTGAGGTCAGAGCTTACAGTGAACCGTTTGGACAGGAGCAGGAACAGCAACCGGAACTGGCACCGGACCCTCCACCTCTTCGTCCCATCGACGCGAACACTCGGATGACGGCAAGAAATGATGAGCATACTCCCTTGAAGAGGCGTAAGAGAGATGACGCAGCTGCTCGTTATTCGGAGAAATTTAACCTGCTAACCGAATCAGGCGAGGAACTCCCGCCTCTGTATGGCAAGAGTGGACGCCTGAGGCCCGAGGCCGCGAGGGCCAAAATCAACCAGAAAATCAGAGCAGCGAAACATCCCCGGACTCCAGCCAGCAGTGCCTCGAAGACGCCCACTACTGCACGATCGAACATCGAAAATGTAGAACCGACAACCTCTGATATCGATGACACACCTGCACCCGCGAAATTTGCCCCTGTGCTCCAACCTCGTAAAAACCCTAACTCAGAACCAAAGCACTCTCCATCCAAACACACCTCGGCCCAGCGTCCCATCCGCCTCCGCGACAAACCCGTCCACGAGCTCAAACTCTCCGACTTCAAAGCTAACCCCAAGTACAACCAAGGCTACAGCTACGCCTTCGCCGAAACGGTCCGCAAGCGCGCAGACCGCGCCTGCCTCCCCGGCTGCACGCGGGAAGAATGCTGCGGCTCGACGTTCCGCTCCCTCGCTGATGCTGCTGCCCCTTTATCTGCCTCCCAGGAAGAAGCGCTTCTAGAAGACTACCTAGGCGACGCGTATGATACCCTCCAACTCACGCAAATGACGCCATCGGAGCGCCGGGAACTCGTCTTGCAGGCACGGACGCGGGACTTTGCCAATAAGTATGGGAGGCATCGGCAAGCGTACGAGAGGCATAATACGCCACCAGGGTTTTGGAGAGTGGATTTCCCGAGCACACAGGAAGAGAGGGAGGATGTGGAGAAGGCGAAGGCATTGGAGAGGAAGGTTGTGGCGGAGAGGAGGGCGGAGGCGATGAGGAGAGGGGGACGGTGGATTTTTAGGGACGAGTAGGGAGGTCAACGGATGTGTTTGGTGATGGAGCTATAGGGTTTCTGGATAACCTAATGACTAGATACTTCAGTGAAGAGGATGGGGAATAAGAAGGCTATGTGCTGCTTAACCATCAGGGTTCGACGGACGTATCATTTTGAAGACGGAGACAGCGAGTTCGTAGCCGCCGCCGGAGAAAGAGGCGTTTTGGGTCGCAGCAATTCAAGTGAACAGGTCGGGCTTGGATGTACCACTTGACTTGACCACTCAACCCCGCTAACAGGATATTGTTTAATGAAGGGGTTCTCAAGTCAGGGTATTCGTATGAAGAGGTACGGAAATAAGGCAAGAAGCGGTGGCTGTCAGGAACTTAGTCTTCTCGATGCTCTGGTGCAAGGCGGTAATGGGACATTTGAGATTCTGTAGTGAGACTCACAGAAGGCGCGAAAACTCGCCGTAGCAAGGAGGCAGAACTTATAAGCGAGATATAGAAGTAGCCCTAATACGTACTAAGAGGACGGGGCATCGAGTGTTACTGACGGGTATTCCTGAGAGTATCGAGTTAACTTCAATGATTCACGCGGTTGAATGAGCGTTTCGAGATCGTATTATGATCTGATTCCAAGCAGCGATCAGTTGAAGACTTATCAGCCGGTTATATCTTGGTTGCAATAGGGTTCCGCTAACGGATGTGTTCTTCTGCCCTGACACCAACGGTGACTGATGGGAAGGGAGTCTGCGTGGACCATCGGTTTAGTTACATCACGAATCTTGCAAGGATTAACAGCAGATACAGGAATCCACTAGGCGAACAACGGGTTTAAAATTCTTATTTACCGGCGTTCCCCGGACACTCGCTGGGGGTCCGAACGTGCAGTTACCTATATACACGCTACGCTACTGGGTGTGCATCCTGGTGGATTTCCATGAAGTCAGATTACAGCGTCATAGAAGAACAGAGGTAAGTTGATATAAAGGGCCGGAAGTTAACGATAATGACAGGGTTGTGAGCAGAGGGAAGGTATGATGCGGTGGATACCAGCGTTGCCAACAGTCAGTACTACGGACCGTATCTACTACGGGTTACGGCTTAGATAAGCAGTTAAGAGCTGGTAATAGGCCCTGCCGTAGGTAATACAGTCCGTAGGTGTAGGAAGGCTCCTGTAACTGCTATAACTACTAATTAGCTAGAATCTTAGTGTTGCAGCTAGCAGCTTACAGTAGTAGGCGCTACCTAACAGTGCCCTATCTAAACTTTGTAAGATATCTAAGCAGGACTATTTTGTACGCGGAGAGCTGTAAGAGGGGTGTTTTATTGCAAGCTGTACGCCTTATCGTAACAGAGACAGGCGAATAGTTCTACTACTGTAGCTAACAGCTCTCCTATAGTTACGCTGTACCGTAGCTTTAACTCTTAGATTTAAGCTATTACGGCTACGGGCTGTAGATGCTAATTTTGTATGTAGTACAGGCAGGAACTAGAGCAATCCTCCCCCGTAGATAGAAATTTTAGGGCTCTAGTTACGGGAGAGCTGACTGTTGGCAACGCTGGTAGATACATGTAATCAACACTAGGTTTGGTTGCTCGTGTATCTATAAACTTATCACTGACACGTTATGCTTTAATTCTGCATCCCCTTTTATGCATTATGTAAAAATAACTCTATCGATACTAAATCCAACTTCAGAAATACGTCCCTTTCACTGCCATTGCTTGCCAAAGAAATTCAGTACGGTCTGATACCCCCTCGCATACTCCGCTTTGGAGCGGGCATTAGACAAATCAGCGCGCGCCGCCATCCAGCCGTGGACCTGGTCACCGAAAATCTCCACGTGGTTCGGCACCTTGAGATTGTTCTTGAACTGTTCAACCGCATCGGCTGGATCTTCCCCAGCCGCGAGCATAATGAAAGGCACCGAGATGCCCTCTGCGCTGCTAGGATCGATCATCGCCGGGTGAGCCACGGCTGCAACGGTAAATGGGTTTGACGAGGACGAAGTGACGAGTTCGACGACTTTTCCGCCCCAACAGAACTGCGGGAAACCTCGGTCAGCGCTAGTCTCGAGATATTTAGTCCGCAGACTCACCCCCAGAATGCCCCAAGACTTGATAGAAGGGTTTGCAGCTTGGAGAGCTTTGACGTATTCGGGTAGTGCAGCAGCGACGCCATGTGGATCGTTGTTGGCGAACCAGGCGCCTAGCTGTTTCTGCTTCTCCTCCGTGTCGGGCGGGAACCTTGGGTCCTAGTTAGATTCCGTGCAGCCTTCTTAGCAGCGATACACACTCACAATTCATTCGGGACAGGGTTGCCATGGAACCAATCCGGGATGAACACCTTGTAGCTTTGGTTTCGATTGCTCTCGGCTAGGATATCGGCGCCCTGAAGGGTCTGAGTCGCGAACCCAAAGATGTCGAATATGGATACGATGCCCTTAGTCGCCTCATCCGACCCGGTTACATCTGTGTGAATTGCCCGTCAGCTGCAAGGGGGTTCCAGAACGGGATAATGGGATAAGGGCGGTACTGACAAGTGTTCATGCCACCGAGCTGCTTATAGGTGCCTTTGGGGACATAGTCCTCGGAGACCACTGGTGGAATATTGCAACAAGACTCATTATGGCCATGTGTTGCCGGCATAGTAGCCATGGTAGCGACGGGGCAGTGATGGGTTCGTGGAGGAGGTCGGGATTGGGATAGTGAACAAGGATTGCTGCGGAAGCTTGAGGCGACCGTCGTAAAGGCTCGTGATGGTGGACTCAACACGAGAGCTTGGTTGACGATCGTCTTTATACTCGGTGCTGCAGGACTGTCATTAACCAACTTGGCAGCTGCAGTTTGAAGCCGACTGGAGCCCAGGGTGGGCGTGGTTATCTTCGGAAAACCAAAGCTTGGAGGCATGATGACGGGTTGTTGCAAGAATACGAGTGCGGACTTGAAGATCTTGTGGAAAACGATGGTGTTGATACGCATTCTTCGTATTCTCATTGTTCGGAGCAATGGCCGAACACCTAAGGGACATAGCGTTTTCGATCATCGGAGGTCCGCGGGGACCCACCCAACACCGTCAGATCTTACCATCGGACCCTCCGCGGCTGAGCCATCCGAGCCAACCCATTGGTTATTTCCCATTTGGAAACCCGACGTGAATTCATTTGCAGATTATGGCATCTTTTCTGACGAAGTTCACGTTTCGATCGCGCTTTGTCCGATCGCGTTCGGTTATCAGAACAACTTCGAGACGTCCCCTGGGCCCATTTTAGTCTCCCGAGTGAATAATACTCAGCATTACATTCATGAGGTTTCCCTCACATCCCTACCTGACCATTATACCATACAGTATCGTCAACCTCAGAAAATCCCGTCGAACTTCGCCAACCCCGTCGCAATGGCACTTTCAAACCCCACGCCTACTTTCCTCCCAAACCTCACATACCTCTTCAGCGCAACCGTGAATCTCGGCAAAAGCCTCGGCCCCATCCCCATGGTGGAAGGCGGCGCGCGTCGTGGAAGTAATCACCGGCGGCACCATCTACGGTCCCGGGTTCAACGCTACGATCGAGGGAGGTGTGGCTGCACCAATTCTAGTGAACAACGGCGACGGAACGAGGATCCATATACCGTACATCTACGCCTATGGCACCGCAGACGTGTCAGATTTGATGGTATCTGAAGATGTCACGGTGACAGAAAGATTGATTGAAGATGGGTTGACTGATTGTATTCAGGTGTGTGCTTGTTTGTGTGAGGCTGGGGCCTGACACCGGTTTTGATGTTCCTTCTCTGGGCACCAAGGCTGTGCAGGGCACTAGCCACTGCAAAATCACTAGCCACATATCTTCAGACAGTACCGGTATAGACAGTTTCTCCCAGTCCTCCTCTTCAGTCCTAGATGAGATGTCCATAAACTGGCTTACCATCTGACAAGACGACGGATCACCTTTCTACATGGAGGAGGATGGGATTGGGTCGGGAGTAACGCAGAACACGAGATTAAATATCAATGTTGGGGGGAAGTATAAGGCTTTGCAGACCACCTATGTGCTGGGTCAACCTAGTGTGAATGAGGAGAGGACAGTGGCGTACGTGGGATGCTTCAGTGTGCCGTTGCCGCCGGGAGCGTAAAACCCAGGTTATAGGAGAGTAATGCGAAAACGGTAGCAAAATCATTACGTTTCAATGTACGCGGTCTATCTCGTTACGAACTGAACTGCTTGTGAGCCGGTAGTCTTGACCCTTGTTGTATTTAGAGGAACGCTTTCGTAGATCTGAGTACAACCTTGTGCTCGTACAAACAGGGTAATATCTCTCAGCACGTAGCGAGAAGTACCCCGTAACGATAACATTTCTATTACCAAGCTATCTTGCTTCTGTCTACACAGGTCTATCAAGCTACAAAAGATACACTATCGTCTATAGCTATTTCTTCACCTAAGGTCAGCGTATGGGAGAAAATATCGTACCGTTGGTAGTGCTATTAGCAGTCTCGTCATCGCCTCCAAATCCGCTCTGGACGCTAAACGCTGTTCAACAACGAGTATTGACAAGGCTCTAGATTTCGGGACTATGGTACGGTCGTTTAGTCATAAAGGAATCAACTTCTAAGGGTCTTAGGCCTCTTATACTAATGGTCGTGGAATCCGGGATTTTCGCCGAGCGCAAAGAGGGTATCCTTCTGCCGAAGCATAATTTTAGCATAGCTCGGCTAAATTAGTGTAATGAATCCACCGTATCGAACTTCAGCGCTATTAGTCATTTGTGGCGTAGTGCTAGGGTGTTTGCGTTGTTTGCCAAGCTGGAAATAGACAGGTGTCTAGTTCATTGTTCGCTGCCTGGCTGCATCACGAACACTCGCTGGCTTTGGCTGCCTTCCACTTACTTCTACAGTACCACAGTGAGCTACCATGGATAAAGCCAGTAGAGCACTAGTCGAACCCCTTCCTGAAGGTATACCTGACACAGTCCCTGCCCGAGCAGTGCATTTCAACCTTCCTCTTGCTACCCTTTATGCTCATGCGCGTGGTCGACCCTCGAAAGAAGCGAAAGCCGCAGACCAACAGTACCTCTATCCATACGAAGAGAAGGCCGTCTCCAATTTCCTAACACAGTGTGGTGCTCTAGGACAACCTGTGCGAGTGAAGTATATACCTGCGATAGCGTTTAGTGTCACCCGCCACCGACCCGAAGCAGACAGGCCACTCAAGCCTCCGCACTACAGCTGGGCTAAGCGGTTTGAGACACGTCGAGTAGAGCTCGTCGCAAGGAAGAACAAGCCACAGGACTGGAACCGATATAATATCTATGATAAGGTCGTCTACTGGTTTGAGGTGATCGGGGCGGAGCTACGCAAGCTGGGTATCCTTCCAGAGAATGTCTATAACATGGACGAGACTGGAGTGATGCTAAGTATGCTGAATTCCGTTAGGGTCCTTGTTGGTATGGACGATATACAACGCTATAGAGGTGCCTGCGTCAAGCGGACGATGGTAACTGCTGTTGAGTGTATCTCCGTCGATGGTAGGTGTCTGAACCCTATGATAATTTGGCCTGCCTCAACCCACCGCGCCAACTGGACTACACATCCCACTCCTGGCTGGGTTTATGCTTGCTCTAACTCTGGATTTACCGACTCTTATATCAGCTTGCAGTGGCTCAAGCAGGTGTTCGATCCCCAAACTAAATGTCGAGCTAACACCAGACCGCGGCTCCTTACATGGGATGGCTTTGGTACGCACGAGATGTGCGAAATCTTGGAGTTCTGTTTCGAAAACAATATCATCCTATGCCGCCTCCCCTCCCACACATCCCACAGGCTCCAGCCCTGTGATGTCGCAGCATTTGGCCCGCTAAAGGCAGCCTACCACGATCAGGTCGAACGAATGGATCGAGGCGGAGTAGGCACAATCGGCAAGCAGCATTTTACTTATTTGTACAGCCCTGCAAGGGAAACGGTGCTCACGAAGAGGAACATCCTCGCAGCATGGCGAGGAAGTGGTTTATTCCCTTTCAACCCTAGCAGAGTTCTTGCAGATACGCCAAAACCACCTGCCGAGCTGATTATCCCAAAGGCTAACAACAGCGTGGAGTCTCGTCCGCAATACGAATCGATGCCAACGCCTGCAACCCCAGTATCATCAGAATCTCTGGTATCGCTCCTTAATATGATCAAACATATCCCTAACGATAACGCGAGCAGCCAGCGCAAAAGAAAGGTCGTTAACCGCGTCGAACAGCTAACGTTAACCTTTCCCCCCTCCCCCTGCGTAGCGAGGGGAACAACAGGTACCGGTACTTTAGCTTTGCACCTGCTTCAACCTTTCTCTACAGCGTAGTCGTGGTTAAGCACCTTGCAGCATTATCAACAACTGATGTTCTTACAACTTACAGGCTATATCTAAAAATTACATTGAATTAGACGCTGCATTCGGCGGCGCTTCGCAGCACCACTGGCAGGTCACCATCTCCAGCGTGTGTTGCGACGGCCTGCTCGTCGTCCTATACAGCGCACCTCCCTCAGCTCTCAGCTCTCAGCCCGCAGCTTAGCCCGCAGCCCAGCCCTCAGCCTTGTTGCCAGCCTACGAAAAAGACTCTCGCCCATGATGGACGCTCGCTACGCATCCACCTTTTAAACTGTCAGGCTGTCCCTGCACGCTCCACAACCAACAAGCACATCTGACGACAAAACATCGCGATGGTGCAGTACCTCGCGACCCAGTACGGCGGCGAGCCCAACCCACTCAACACTACCGGCCTCTGTCTGCTGTCGCTCGACGGCGGTGGCGTGCGAGGGCTGTCGACCCTCTACATCCTCAAGAGTCTCATGGCGCTACTGAACCACCAGCGCCAAAGCGACGGCCTTCCTCAAGTAAAGCCATGCGAGGTGTTCGACCTCATCGGTGGCACAAGCACGGGCGGGTAGGTGGGCGACTGCATAGTTGCGAGACGCAACTAACAGAATAGGCTTATCGCCATCATGCTTGGCCGGCTAGAGATGGATGTAGACACATGCATCGCATCATACAGCGAGCTGATGAAGACTGTATTTGAGGAGAAGTCTAGCTGGTTTCCTGTCAGCTGGAGCGGGAAAGTGAAGGCGCGGTTCGACTCGGCGAAGCTGAAAAGCGCTATAGAAGATGTGGTGTCTAACAACGGCGCTTCTCCAACAGACGCTTTCAATGATGGCAAGGATCGTGGATGTCGCACGTAGGTGTACTGCACCAATGCGCGGCCCCTGCTGACACAGCACAAGGTTCGTCTGCGCGACAGCAACGGAAACTGCGGGCGTCACACGTCTGAGGAGCTACACTTTACCCGACGAGGGCGAGATCCCAGCGACCATCTGCGAGGCCGCGCTGGCGACGTCTGCGGCGACGGGCTTCTTCAACCCCATCTCGATTCGATCGCGGCAGTTTGTGGACGGTGCGCTGGGCGCGAACAACCCTGTGGACGAGGTGGAGGGCGAGGCGGCCAACATCTGGAGCGGTGATACAGGCGACCTAAAGCCACTGGTCAAGTGCTTCGTCTCGATCGGCACGGGAAACCCTGGCAAGAAGGCGCTCGAGGATGACATCGTCAAGTTCTTGTCCAGGAGCCTAGTGGGGATCGCGACAGAGACGGAGGAGACGGAGAGGAAGTTCATCGCGCGATGGGCTAAACACTACGATGAGAAGCGGTACTTCCGCTTCAACGTCGATCAGGGGCTCCAGCAGGTCGGCCTCGCTGAGTACAAGGAACAGGGCAGGATAGAAGCAGCAACGGACGAGTATCTGCGACACCAAGCGCAGAAGTTTCGGGTGCGGGACTGCATTAAGAACCTGCAGCAGAAGCAGAGTGTGTATCTTGATGACTTTGCCTAGATCGCTAGACAGTCTAGCGCTAATGCTGCACAGGCAGAACAGAGTCAACTTTTAGCCTGGTTATTAGTGTAAGCACTGCAGTGTCTAGGGCGTAGTAAAGATTCTTAGCTTATACCGATACAGGAGTACACGATGCGGTGCATTACAAAACGGCAGAGAGGTGAACGATGCATGTCTGTCTTTTTCGAGTATGCTTAGACTAATACCTGTGTAGGGGGAAACGCGCACTGGATAGTGCCCTGTCCAGTTAACAGTCTGTTCACTGGGCGCGCTGAGCTCACAGATCGGATCCAAAGCGCCTTGCGCAACGAGCCAGGCACGCCTAAGCAGAAGAGGCTGGTCATTACGGGCATAGGCGGCATGGGGAAGAGCGAGGTGTGCCTTAAGATCGCAGACGCGATGCGAGAAGAGTGCGTTGCAGCTTAGCTATGCTTCGTGTCAGTGCCTCTGCTAACGGCCAACAGCTTTTGGGGCGTGTTCTGGGTCGACGTAAGCAGCCCGTCGACTGCCAAGAACGGCTTCTTGGCCATCGCAAAGGCGCTCGGATCGTCTGCCGAGAGCATCGACGAGTCGCTCCAGGCGCTTGCAAACATAAAGGAACGCTGGCTGCTTGTCCTAGACAACGCTGACGATCCAGCATTCGACTATGCAGCGTACACTCCGTCTGGCACACAAGGCGCAGTGATCATAACGTCGCGCGTCCCTGAGTGCAGCCAGTACAGCACGCTTCCTGCCGAAGCGCTCGAGGGCCTGGAGGAAGAGCACTCGATGCAGCTTCTGCTCAAAGCCGCCCGCGTGCCAGAAGCGTCGTGGCAGTCTTGCAAAGAGCAGGCGAAGGCTATCGTGGAGCTGCTAGGGTCACATACGCTTGCGCTGATCCAGGCAGGGGCGTATATTGCAGAAGGGTACTATCGACTAGACCAGTATTGTGCAAAGTACAAGCGGCTGCACGAGCGGCTGCTGAAGCACTATCCTAAGCAACAGCAGTCGAGGTATCGGCATGTTTACGCGACTTTTGAAGCATCTGTCAGAGTGCTAAACGATTCTGAGGATGAAGTGGGCCGAGACGCGTTAGACTTGCTTGGGGTCCTTTCGATGCTACACTCTAGCGTGCTGCCACTTCAAGTCTTTCCAGGCGCGTGGAAAGGAGTTCGGCAGGTGCTTCAGGCCAACGACGACCAGACAGACAAGATGGAGGCTCTTGGACGATGGCACGTATCCCAGCTGCCTGAGTTTATCGACAGACAAACAGACGAGTGGGATGACCACCGGCTCAACAGAGCCAGCGCTCTGCTTGCCTCGCTTTCGCTGGTGACAAGACACCGCTTGGACGACCTAGACGGATTGTCGATGCATCCGCTCGTGCATGCGTGGGCGAAAGACCGGCTGGGCCAGGAGCAGCACCAGATGGCGTGGGTGAGTGCAGGATGCATTCTTGCATTGTCGCAGGAGGAGTCAGAGACGTGGCAAGTGTACGAGAGGCAGTTGCGACCGCACATGCAGTCTTTTCTCCCGCCCAGTGTCGAGGAGATCTTTTCGTTTGGCCCACCAGGGACCATGTTGCCTATCTTGCTGAAGTGCGGCTGGGTACTGAACAGGATGAGAGAGGATAACAGGCTAAAGTCGTTGCTAGAGAGCCTCTATGTTGTTCTTAAGATCACGCCGTCGGAACCGTCACCAGAGCACATACGGATATGGGATCTCGCGGCAATAAGTCTAGGATACTTAGGCCACGCTAGGCAAGCCGTAGGGCTGCTGGAGCACGTAGTCAAGGTCCGGGAGACTACGCTGGCAGAGACTCACCCTGATCGGCTGGCATCACAGCACGCGCTTGGTTT